CCTTGTCCTTGGGGATGGCCTTTCCGGTGGAAACACAACGAACACGCTTGACGTGTCCGCGTCCCTTCTTGTTGCGTCCGTGGTTGCGTCTCTTAACAGTCATTGTGGCAAATAGATAATACTTCTGAAAATGGTAAAAGAGAAATAGAGCAAATGTGAGGAAACAGGTCTGTAAATAGATTTCAACATCTCATCAAGACGATATGTCTCCAACAGCAGCAAGACTTTCAACAGAGCAATTGCATGAAGCAGTACCCAAGGAGATCAAAATTGATTGCATTGCACAGTATTTTGTTTGTTTGTTTGTTTGATTGATTGCATTGATCGATGGATCCAACTGGTAACTCTTTGTAGACAGTTTCCATTCCATAGCACTCAGGTCAATCGTTCCACAATCCAATCATCAATCAACCAAATCAAAACCCCAATACAATCAGACTCCTCTATCCCATTACTACTGCCTCTATATTCCATCGTATGCTCCTACTATTGTCATTGTTGCTGTTGTTGTCGAGACACCAATCTCCTTTCATCATCGTACCTGTAGCTACACTATTGTCCTATCTTGCAGTGATGAGGGAGCTTGACGATTTTTCGTGTGTGCGCAAGGTCAGACGGCAGATTTTTAGTAGGTGGTAAAGATGATGAAAGGTCGGAGGAGTCAGTAGGATCGCCGACCCATATGACTCAAGGGTACTCCTTTAGTGACTATCATTTGAAACACGATACAAAACCACAAATCGTGATGTTCCAATGGAACATTACTCTGCAGCAATCGAATACCGGTATTCACCAGCATTGTACCTAAAGAAGCAATCCGAACAATCATGTCTAAAGAGATGATGGCAATACACCTTTTGGCGCATCACAAGAATCCAAGAAAGATCTCTTTGACGATCTCATAAATTGAAAATCTGAACACGAAACACACCCCAACAAAAAACAAATATGTCCTGCCGCCATCGACTTGTCGCCATCTGCCTCTTTCTTCTATACATCATTACATGGGCGTTCTCCATGTCGGGCGTATTGAATAATCGATTCTGGGACAAGCGATACAATCTCAAGCGCATTCAAGAAAACGACGGGGCAGTAGAAGAGCTCGAACTCGGATTTCAGGAAACCACCAAAAATCCTACTTTTCGGATGTGCGATACGTTTATTTTTTACCCCATGTGATTGGGGCCATTTTGTGGTGGAATCTGTACTTTTTGCAGCTGATTCCAAAGATCCGACGCAACTACAAGAAATTCCATCGCATGCTGGGCCGCTTTTTGATGGTTGTGCTGTTGGTCCAAACCATTACTGGATTTGGTTTGGCGGCAACGACCAAGAGTCACATTGTCAAACTTGTTTCATACATTCTGTGCTGCGCCAGCATCTTTTGTGTCGCCCAAGCATGGAGGTACGCTTTTTGGAGAGACATTCCCAAGCACAAGCATTGGGCCATTCGTTTGGTGGGGTACATGCAAACCATTGCCCTCCAACGATTTTGGATTGGAATGCTCATTATGTCACATTCCATGGGATGGGATGGACTGTATCCATTGCTGGACGACGACTCGACGAATGAGGAATGGATCCAAATGACCGAGCAAATGTTTGACGATTCCTTTGTCCTTTCGATTACCACTGCCTTTTTGTTCACCGAATGGTATCTTGCCGCCGAACAAGGCATGACGGAACCACCTGCTGATAATCGAAACAATAAAGGAGGAGGAGGAGGAGGAGGAGGAGAAGAAGAAAAAGATCAGAATGATACAAGTATGCGTGCCGAAAAGGAGGACGAGGACGAGGTCGTCATCGATCAAGTGGTGGATCGTGCCTTTAATGGCGGCAAAGAAGAGGCAGAGAAAGAAGGTGAAATGACAACTACGCAGTCGGATTCCGGCTCTAGAGAGGTGCACTGAGAGTGACGGCATGTAAAGGATTGTCAAATTGCATGTATGAATAATCTTATATATACATATATATATATAAATATAATGAATTGTATCCGTCAAACGAAAAGATTCCTGTCTAGTCTTATTCAACACCGCAAAAAATGCTACCTTTCATACTCACGCCGATATACCGGCACTCGATTCAGTATGCTTCACAGAGAAAGTAGCGGCTTCAACTAGCCATCACACTAAGGAATGTGTCAAGAGAAAATCTACATCATAGCAGTAAGACTTATTTACAGTACAGATTATACGAGAAAGGGAACACAATCATTCCCAAATCTATCTGAGCATTCATTTATGTATATGAATCATGGAAGCATAGCAGTGGGCCGAACGGGCTTTGGCCGCAGTATCTGTTGGTTGATAGCCGAGACTTGCCAATTGTGGTTGCGGTTTCCCCAAACTTGCAATGGCACCATCAACTTATTGTCTTGATAATGATGATCTTCATCATGGAACTGACGATTCAAAAAGGCAGCCACTGGATCGGAACAGTGGCGGCGACGTTCTTCCTCCATGTGACGCGAATAGTCATCTTGAATGTGCAAGGGAACAGGCGAGCTGTCCCGGTAAAAGTCGGTTCTGACAGCACCTTGAGTTGTTGTTGTTGTTGTGGTGGTTTGTTGTGGAACCATGGCACTGCTAGTAGTAATGTCCGATAGACGTCGTTTTTGGCCCAATTGTCCACTCAGCATTGATTTGCTGGAAAGACTCTTTGCATCGGTGCTATTAGTATTCTTCAACAAGAATCGCTGTGATGGTTGCAAGCGGTCATCGTACTTTTTGACGCAATTTTCCTTGCCGACTGATGCATTCTGATGAAGTCTAACATGAATAAATGATGCAAGAAACCAATGACAGTGAGTCGTGTGAATACAACGACATCGAGGTAGCGTCTAAAGCAAAGACCAAAGTCTCTCTTACCTTGCGGATGGTTGAATGGGCGACGATGACATGTCTTGTCGCGTTCGTTCGATGCTGTTGCTATTGCTATTGGACATAATGTAGCAATAAGTTGTACCGGTCTGTTTTGATTGAGTTGGCAGTGCAATTCTTTTGAAGCTGAGGGTCAGGGAGTGACTGTTCTGCTTCTTACTAGAATGAATGATTGCAGTGTACAGATAATCAAAATACTGTAGGTGGTTTCTGGATGAAAAGCTTGGAATGCAAATGTGGAAGGAATGGAATCCTTTTTCAGTGGGCAGGGGATGGGTCAATCGTTTCGTTTCAATGGTTCCGTTAGCAATACGAATTCTTGAATGGTTCAGCCGTTCAATTTCAATGATGATGGTAGAAGTTGATGCTTTATTATTGTGTGCAATACAGGTTTATCCGCGTTTGCATCAATGGTTGTTGGACGGCAAACGGATGAGAGATGACTGATGATGAGAGAGAGATGGCAAAGCAATACGCAAGGGGATCGTTCCATTTTTATTTATTTGGCAGATATAGCGTCTTTTTTCGCTTGCGTAGTAGTTCCTACTGAAAGTGACCTGTACAAGTTACGTGAATAAGATGTGAGATAGTGAATTCAAATTTATGTTGTCTACAGATTTGTATATATTTCATTGATCGATTCTGACCAGAAAAAACAAACTGTGGTATTTTGCGAACCACGAACATTCAACGGTTCGGAAAAATGGCAAAATGCCGTGGGAAGGCTGTAGGATATTTTTTGAAACTATGATAATATACACGTGTCCCTTGGTAGTGGGAGGGATGCACACAACTTTGAAACTTTCTTCGGTGGGAAGGATGCACACAACTTTGGTGAAGGATGCAAGAGGGCAAGAAAACTGATGTTGAAGAGTGACGTCACTGCGATCCATTGGATTTTGGATTTTACTGCCTGCCTGTGTTGATGGAGGAGGCTTTGCAATACCGGTAGAAACAAGTCAAGGGAATGGTATGTCCTAGAAAGCTTCCTTATCGTTTCGACTGGGCCTTCGTTGAAAAATATGGCATTGATGAATAGCTAGCAATTTGGCTTTTTGCTGAGACATGTCTACACATTTTGGAATGATGATGACAATACACCTGCGTTCTGTTCGCTGCTTGTTGACACACAAACAACAAGTTTCTTGCTTCTCGTTGGAGTGCCACATTCGGGCATAGGAGTCCTATGATCTTGCTCGTCTACGACGATTCTGCACTAATGAAGTATCTCTGGTATGGTAGTAATCATGTCATCAATCAAGTTTGATGAAAATCAACAATACACTATTAGGATTCATTCATTCATTCATTCATTCATTCATCCTTACTCTAGCAATATCCTATGCAGCATTCGGGAAGTAGTTGCTATTTCCCAGTGGATGATGCTGCATGCCAAATAGGAATTCCTTACATTACGACCACATGTCTCGGCCTCCTCGAGTTGCTGCTTCATCATTCTCGTCCGGTCGATGATGGTAGTGAACATCGAGGGTCTTTCCATAAAAGGGCAAGCCGTCGTCTCGCCAAATATCAAAGATGACTCCTGCCCATTGAAACGAAAAGTACATGTGCTTTCCATCGGGAGAGAATGCCAATCCAGTCGTCTCTCTGCCATATTCCGACGATTCCAATATAGTGTAATACCAATTGTTGGCATCCCGAGCATGAATCCCTTGGGAGTCGCCCAATTCTTCACAGAAATACAAAAGGGGTTCTTCTTCCGGTTCATTGACATCAAACGTGCTGCTGGTTTCGACATTGCCATCCCTAATGAGTCGCTTCATTTGGTCTGGCTGGCCATCAAAGAGACCCACATCTGTGGGGAAGCGTTTGTAGGTGTCGCTGTCCAAATCTAATATGAACAAAGAGTATTGCACCTTGGATGCCAAGAATAGTTCATTGTGGTACACATCCAATCCTTCCGTATGCATGTAGAAACTTCTGGCGTTTGATTTGGCGGCGTCCAAATCATCCGTCCAGTAGTAGGTTCCTTCTTCGTCCCATCGATCTCCAGTGGATGGCAACAACACTAGATACTCCAAAACACCCTCTCCATGCAAAATAGACCAGGGATCATCCCAGTTGGGATTGGAAGCAGTGAACCGTCTCAGTGCACCATAAGTGTTATCCTCCGTGACAAAGAACTGTGGCTTGTCAAAATTACGAATGTCGTAGGCAAAGGATTCAAATTTACCAAGGGTGGCACTCATCGAAGTTTCTTCCGGGGGGCGGAGTCCAGTGGGGTCCACCTGCCAAATCCGTCCATAGTCGTGCTCTTCGCACGACACCCATGTGTCCCTGTTATTATTATTATTATTGTCGTTGTTGTTGTTGTTGTTGTTCAAAAAGAAAGAATGGTGAGATTCTTTGTGGAAACCAGCTTCATGTTATTCATCTCCACATTTTCTTGGCAGTACCTACCATGGTGTTTTTCCGCCCGAACAGTTGTAAGATGTTCCCACTTGAAGGTGTTTGTATCCCACAACTTCTCCATCCGCATTGAAAACAATGGCTCCTACACCACCATCGCCATTTTCTCGTTCCGAGTTGCTGACGTAACTCCATCCACCACTCTCGGGATCCGCAAAGACGGCAGCGCCATCGGGACTATCGTGAAAACCAAAACGTGAATAGGTCCCATCAGCGAGCTCAACCTTTTCCATGGAAGTTGCAATGATTCGACTCTGTAATCCTTCACTCAGAAGTAATCCGTTCTGATAGTTGTTTAACTTTCCAGGAATGTAGCTCAAGCCAGCAAGAGTCGCGCTTGCAATCTTGGTAGGCGAGAAACTAGGCATTTCACTAGGCGTTTCCGAAGGAGCTTCTGTTGGTGACAACATGCCCTGCTCCCATGTCGTCGTTGACGTGGAAAGTGGCCACTTTGCCTCATGTGGAATGATCAAGTCTCCTTTTGAATTGGTGGTAGGAGGTGTCTGAGCTGCTGGTTGTTTCCGTGGGGGCCCTGCCGAGTATTGTAGTTCACGCTGATCTTCTAGATGACCACTTTCCGTTCCTTTGATTTTGCTTGTTGTCTTGGACTTGGGATTACCATTCGCATATTCCATTCTAGGATTGGTGTCGTTGTTGTTTACATTCTCAGACGACTTTGAGGCATCTGCTAGTTGCCCACGATTTAGAAGCAATGCAAGGACAGGTAAGCAGTAACTCGAAGAAGTTTTCATTTTGTGATGGATCGACACTCGATAGTGTAGCTTTTTCTGTTATAAGTCTTTTGATAGTCAAGGCACGTGCTTAGAAAGAATGATGCAAAGGGGTCTGGAAAATGGTGAAAATTCATTTTCAATATCAGCGATTTCGGGATGAATCGCCGCGCGTTGAACGGTAAATTCTATAAACGAATTCCGTCGGTGCCGTTAAAACACCGGTGAAAATCAATTTCCCATCATGTGTACGATATGATCACACTACACACACTGCACCTGTCCAAACTTCCAATGAGATGAATCCGCGAAGATTGGAAATCAAAGCAAGATGAACTATCATTTATATGCAGTATATATGGACGAAGTTGGACCACGAAGATGATTTTTCTCATTTGAAACTGCCTATCGACGATCACACAGAAATCCAATGATGAAGACTCGACTGCGCAAATGAGTGGCTTATAGAGACCTTGAAAACAACACAACAACATGCATTCGTCTCATTTTATATATAAATCCTAAATCAGATTCCAGAAAGAATAAAAGTTTGCTTTTGTTCAGTGGCAAAGCAAGCAGGAACTTCGCAATGATCTATAAGTCCAGGTAAAAGCTCTTCACTAAGATGATTTGCGCTGCGCTTGCAAGTACCAGGTGCAATCGACGTGCTAGAAAAACAGTTTCCTTGGTCTTTTTGGCACTGTAATGATTCGTATCTTCCTGTCGAGCTGGAATAGAAACTATAGTTGCAAAATGTATGGTTCGGATCAGAATCCAAAGACGCAATCATTTAAAAAACAATCTGAAGAAGAGATGGGTCTTGGTGGAAGGCATAGTTGACAAAACGTCCTTTGCGAACCATGCCACTAAATTCCTGCTCTGTCAACGGATGCAGTGTGTCAATGGTTCTTGTCAACGTCGTTCTTGTCAACGTCGTTCTTGTCAACGTCATTTTATCTTTTGGGAAACACAACTCATCGGCTTATGCCGTGTTTCGTATCGTACCCTGTCGCCATGAGCTTGCAACCAGTACCGCCGATCGTTCAAGTTCATGACTTTCGCGTGATGATATGATACCGTGATAGTGTTGGTTTCGTTCGCCAGTGGGCCTCCTGACAAAACAGTTGACAAGTATGACCAGTGCCGCACAGTGATTTATTCTATACTTCCTCCATCATTCATTCAAGTATTGTTGGACAAAGCCATTGCTTGCTACCTCGTGTTATCGACGTTCCGGTCCCATTCTCTTTGTGTGGCATCTCCTTCAAGAAAACATCTATATACCGGTACTAAGAATGTCTCCATATACTCTAATGTCGCTATAGCTAATAACATATTATGAATTATGCTTATTTCCAACATCTACACTACCTTGTAAATGTGGTTTGTGTGGTATGTGTATGCGTGTCCTGCGACGCCCACTATCAGATTTCGAACCTGCCGTACACAACGTTCGGTACCCTTTATTATGCCCACATGTCTCTTTCTTGGTCTGGAACATCTGGTTTCTCATGGTAATGAACGTCTAGTGATTTTCCATAAAAGCGCAACCCATCATCTCGCCAAATATCAAAAATAATTCCCGCGGATTGATACGAAAAGTACATATGCTTTCCGTCAGGAGAAAATGCGAGTCCAGACGTCTCTCTACCATATTGCGAAGATTCAAGGATCGTGTAGAACCATCCGTTGGCGTCGCGAGCATGAATGCCATTGGCTGTACCAACCTCCTCACAGAAATACAAGAGAGGCTCTTCTTCAGCTTCATTGGCTTTGAATGTATTGCTCGATTCAACGTTGGAAGGACCATTCTTGATCAGGCGTTGCATTTGGTCGGGCTGTCCATCAAACAAACCAGAATCGGTCGAGTGACGTTCATACGTATTGTTGTCCAAATCGAGAATGAACAGAGAGCGCTGCGCCTTGGAGACAATAAAGAGTTCATTGTCGTATACGTCTAGACCCTCGGTATGCTGATAAAACCGAATGGCACTGTTTTGCCCAATCCGGAAGTTCGTCGTCCAAGAGAAAGTCCCCGCTCTATCCCATCGATTTCCACCGGATGGTTCCAATACAAGATAATCCATCGTTCCTTCCCCATGCAAAATCGACCATGGATCATCCCAGTTTGGATCGGAGGGGGTGTACCGCCGTAATGCACCGAACTCAGAATCTTCTGTCACAAAGAACCGAGGCGTATCAAAATCGCGTATGTCGTATGCAAATGACTCAAAATATCCTAGATTGTCGGTGCTAATAGATGTCACTTCGGGAGGGCGTAGTCCTTTTGGATCGACTTGCCAGATTCTGCCGTCCCAATACTCTTCACAAGATACCCATGTGTTCCTGTCCCGATGAAAACACGAACAGGAGAATGAAATATAATAGGTGATGAGTAAAAATCGATACCGGTATCATCCTGGATAAATTTCTTTTCTCTTGACACGTACCATGGCGTTTTCCCTCCTGAACAATTCCACGAGGTTCCCACTTGGAGAATCTTAAAGCCAACGACCTCACCATCTGCATTGAAAGAGATTGCGCCCACGCCGCCATCACCATACGCCGCCTCCGAGTTGCTGACATAAATCCAGCCCCCAGTATCTGGATCGGCAAAAACTGCAGCGCCGTCGGGACTGCGATGAAAGCCATAGCTTGAGGAAGATCCATCAACGAGTTGCACCTTCTCCGCCGACTTGGCGATGATTCTACTCTGTAGTCCTTCACTCAGCAGTAGCCCATTTTGACTGAAGTTCAGTTTTCCTGGAACGTAACTTATTGTCTGTGTAGGCGATGAGCTAGGTGACGATGTGGGACTTTGCACGTCTATGAGAATATCTAGTGGGCGAGGTACTCCACCGTCAGCACGGTTGTACAAAATTGACTCCTTCTTCTTAGGAACACGTCGTTCATTTGTCCAGGCGCTCCATGTTCCTTCAGGTTGTAGTCGTAAATAATCCTCAGTAAGCTTCCTTGTCCCCTTGATAGTTTTCTCTTTTAACTTGCGATTGTCTTGTTTCTGTTGATTTCCAGATTCGGTGTCCAGATTGGCAGAGATGGCCACTTCTTCAACCAGACTTGATGAAACTCCGCCTTGCCAAGAAATAAGTGCAAATATTGATAGGTAGTGACTTGTAGACTTTCTCATTCTGTTAGCGGATGATGTATGTATGGGACAGCAAGGTTCGCTCACTATGAAATGTTCCGGTTTGTTGAGCGAAACTTGCAGATTATGAGTGATCCGTCAATCATGTGACGTTTGGTATTTTGGCGAGATGCTCGGCTGGCGCCCGTTTCTTTTTGCACGGTTCAGAATTTTCGCAAGTTTCAAGAATTTTCCGCAATCCCAACGACTTTTTGTCTTACTGGGACGCATCGAGATGAATATATACTGTACACTGTACTGTATTTTATATTAATCCTACTATAGTAGATTCAACGTTGCCTTGAAAATCTGCATATTGAATATTGCAATCTAAATCTATCATAACTCTAAATCTAACCTAAGTCTGCACTTCATGCTTTACACCACAATCCAGACTATCTTCCTTGTTGCGCGTGATAATGTACATCGAGTGTCTTGCCGTAGAATGGCAATCCATCTTCCCGCCAAACGTCAAAGATGATGCCTTGAAATTGATACGAAAAGTACATATGTTTTCCATCCGGAGAAAAGGCAAGCCCTGAAGTTTCCCTGCTGCCATTGTTTGATTCCAAGATTGTGTAGAACCAGTTGTTAGCATCCCTGGCATGGATTCCGTTCTCTTCTCCACTATCTTCACAGAAATACAGCAGTGGTTCTTCTTCAGCTTCCTTGGCGTCAAATGTGCTGCTAAATTCAACATTGGAAGGACCATTTTTGATAAGCCGCTTCATCTGATCTGGTTGCCCATCAAAGAGACCAAAATCTGTGTCAAAGCGTCTGTAGGTATTGCCATCCAGATCCAAGATGAAAAGTGATTTTTGCGTCTTGGAGACGACAAACATTTCGTTGTCGTATACGTCCAAACCCTCGGTATACCGATAAAAGAATTCGGCATTTGCTCTAGCGATGTTTAGATCTGTTGTCCAATAGTATGCCCCAACAGTGTCGTCTCTGCCTCCACCAAGTGGAACCAGCACTAGATATTCAAGTGTCCCATCCCCGTGTAGAATCGTCCACGGATCATCCCAGTTGGGATTGGTGGGTGTGAACCGCCGCAGCGCACCTTGTCTATTGTCTTCTGTGACAAAGAATCGCGGTTTCTCGAAATCGCGAACATCGTAGGCAAAGGATTCAAAGTCTCCAAATGCCGGGCTCAGGGATGTCACTTCTGGTGACCGTATCCCTTGCGGATCAATCTGCCAAATCTTTCCTTCCCGCCACTCTTCGCATGATACCCATGTGTTCCTTTCCAATCAAATAACGAAATAAAAAGCACAAACAATAGAAGAATCAGATGGTGAATCATTCAATCGATCTCAATCATACCAGAGGAACCCATTTCAGCAACACAACTTATACGTACCATGGCGTCTTCCCACCCGAACAATTGCGCGAAGTTCCTCGCAGCAGATTCTTGTAGTCAACTACTTCTCCGTCTTTATCAAACACAATGGCTCCAACTCCACCGTTGCCTCGAAACTGCTCCGAATTGCTCACATATGTCCATCCACCGGTATCTGGGTCCGCAAAGACGGCAGAACCATCTGGCTCTTGGTGGAATACTTCTTGTGAGAAGGAACCATCCTTGAAGCGCACTTTTTGATCGGCTCTTGCAATGATTCGACTTTGGAGTCCCTCGCTGAGAATCATTCCATTTTGGGAGTTGGTCAACTTTCCTGGAACATAACTGATAGTCTTGGTAGGTGATGAGCTGGGACCCGTGCTGGGAGAATTGGAAGCCACTGAGCTCGGAGCTCCACTAGGAACACTGGACACGGAAGGAACATCGGAAGGGAATGTAATAGGAGCTCCAGTGGGCGCATCGGACATCGAGGGAGCGGCAGTGGGGGAATTAGATGGCGGATTCAAGAACCTGTCTTTCCAGTCTTGTTTATATGGAAACTTCAAGTCGTCTTTTGAGACTGTAGGCGGGGATTTTCGTGCTGGTACATCTACGTCTTGTAACACCAATTGTCGGTCTCCAGCCCCTTTGATCATGTTGGACTTCTTCTGTTCAGACTTCATCGTGGTTCGACGATGACTCAAATCAAGCCTTTGAGAATTGGTTTTCGAATCATCGTAGTTCGACGAGGCATCGGCTGAGCTTGAAACATCCAACAATAACGCAAGGATCGGAAGACATTGTATTGATGGCTTTCTCATTATCGTAGCAACTTTATACCGGTGCGGCAGCACATTCAAACCTCATCCATAAAATATTTGAAAATACGGAACTTGTGGAATACTTCGGTAAAATACGGAAGGTGCGACATTGAATTTTGTCCTCTTGGCGTCGCATTGGTCGGTCTGATCAATCGACAAATGAAATATACTGGGGTAAATAAAATAGTAAACGAAACAAATTGAAAGACGCTATTAGGACCATCCTTGCTAGGACTACCAGTACATGTCTTTACTTTTTATATATTGGCTGGACAGATCATCTATAGAAGAGTTTTACAGAGCGCGTGGTGATGCTTCAAATTAGGTAGAGCCAAGCCTTGTTCGAGAATTGTTGTTTTGGTCGTCGTTGAAGCCGGCATCAGCTAAAGTTGAAACATCGAATAGGAAGGCAGTTGTAGTAATGCCATGAAAAACTCTCAAACAGCAACTGAAAGTATTTTATATCTGAAAGGTGTCCTTGGGGCGTCGCACACGTATATTTTAAACATGTGGTCCGATCAACGACTCTAAAATTCACACGATTGAAATGGAGAGGACCAACTGTACGTTGTGCGGGTTCTGAGGTATTATCAGATCATCTACATTGAAGATACATTGAAGAATACATAGTCCGATGTGTACTCGTACATATTATATATAGAGATATAAGTTTTCTATAGCATTGTGTTTTAAAAAAAATGATCAAACTGGTGTTGCATTGCAGCAGTAGGAACGGGCTTTCAAAAAGCTGTTCTCCCTGTCTGCTAGACCACTACTTAGTCACTTCCATCATTACGAATCTCTTTTGGATTCTTCACCCCGGTGCATTGCTCAAGACAGTCTTGGCGACATGTTTCGCAACTCTCCCCAACATCACATACACCATTTCTGTTGCACACGATCTGCCTCTCCCATACTGCAGCCATGGTTTCATATCCTTTGGTGTTAAGGTGCAAGTTGTCGGCACTGTACAAATAATCTAGACTGAAAGTCGCCTTGTACATGTCCACCAATTCTACTTGATTGGCTGAGGCAACCTCTCGTATTCTCGTTTGAATACTGTAGACCAAAACGTCGTTGGAGATTCCAAAATCGTTTGGAGTCTTGACCCACGGTGGTATCGCCACTATGATTCGGACGCCTGGTGAAGACGCTTTGACTTGTTTTATTATCCGATTCATGCCCGCGGCATATCTGTGACTGGCTTGCTGCCAAAACCTCACATCATTTGTTCCCAGCATGAGCAAATAGATATCGGGATCATACTCCATGGAAAATCCAAAGTTAGCAGTATTGATGTACGGTACACCAAATTCTTCAATGGCATTGGCAGTATTTCTTCCATAATTACGGACCCTAAAGCCGCCGCCCAACAATCCCTGAAGTTGCTGAGGGTAAGTGAGTCCAGGATTACTGGTTCTTCCCCGCGTCAAACTATCCCCCGCAGAAGCCACTCGGAGAGGAGTAGCGGTGGGTGATGCTGTCGGAGCTGCACTTGGTGAAGTGGAGGGCACAAGAGATTTACTTGGCGTAGAGGAGGGCAAGTTGGTCGGAGATTCACTTGGCCGATTGGTCGGAAATTCACTTGGTATGATGGATGGCAATTGGCTGGGAGATTGACTTGGCTCATCAGTCGGGTTATAACTGGGTGCATCGGAGGGCTCATCGGTCGGAGTATAACTTGGTGCATTGGAGGGCAATGAGCTAGGAGACTGACTTGGCTGAGTAGTCGGGGAATCAGTGGGCCCGAACTGTTGCTTCCAGGCTGATTTGTATGGCATCTTCAAGTCGTCTTTTGAAACAAGAGGCTGCCTTTTTCGTACTGGTGCGTCTAATTGTAGTTGCCGGTCCACAGCCCCTTTGATCGTGCTGGACGACTTGGACTTGTATTCTGACTTCGTTGTTCGCTGATTCTTCAAGCTTGAACCAAGCCTTGGAACATTGTTCAAGGAAGCACTTCCATCATTGCGTGATTGTTTTTCGCTTTTCCTACCTTCACATTGCTCAAGGCAGTCCTGGCGACAGGTTTCACAACTCTCCCCAATATCACATCTGCCATTATTGTTGCATAAGATCTGCCTCTCCCAAACTTGAGCAATAGTTTCATGTCCTTTGGCGTTGAGGTGCAGTTGGTCGGCAGCGAAAAGTGAATCTAGACCAAGTGTCGCTTTGTACATGTCCACCAATTCTACCTGTTGGGCCGAGGCAACCTCTCTTATTTTTGGTTGAATATTTTTCAGCAAGACGTCGTTCGTGATTCCATAACTCGTTCCCATGATCCATGGCGGTATCGCCAGTATGATTCGGGCGCCTGGTGAAGTTGCTTCAACTTGTTGTATTATCCATTCCATACTCGCGACAAATTTTTGACCGTCTGTCTCCCAATACTTGGCATCATTGGTCCCAAGCATTAGCAAGTAGATGTCTGCACCCAAAGCTATGGAAGCTCGAAATTCTTGGGTCTTGTTGTAGGACAAACTCAAACCACCAATGGCAGCGGCGGAGTTTTTTCCATAGTTGTACGTGTCGAAGCCTGCGCCCAACAATTCGTCAAGTTGGGTAGGGTAGTCGACTCCAGGATCCACCCCAATCTTCCCCCGTGTCAAGCTATCCCCAGCACAAGCAATTCGGATGGCCGCGGTAGGAGCATTGGATGGCGATGCACTCGGAGAATCACTTGGCGCATTGGACGCGATAGCAGTGGGAGATTGAGATGGCGATGCACTCGGAGGATCACTTGGCGCATTGGACGCGGTAGCAGTGGGAGATTGAGATGGTGGAAACAACCTTTCCCTCCAGGCTGATGCATATGCCATCTTCAAGTTGTCTTTGGAAACTGCAGGTTGCCTTTTTCGAATTGGCGCTGCATCTTCTTCAAAAAATAATTGCCGGCCAAAATCCCCTCTGCTTGCGCTGGACGATTTGGACTTGAATTCTGGCTTCGTCGCTGTTTGATGGTGATTCAAATTAGAACCAAGCCGTCGAATATTGGTTCTTGGTTCCTCGTTCGAGGCATCAGCTGCGCTTGCACCATCCAAAAAGGATAAAAGAAGGATAGGAAGACAGCGTAGGAAAGACTTTCTCATTGTCGTAGTGTAACTAAGCGGAAATGCTTACTAGTGAAGCTTCAAGTATTATACTCGTATTGCAACCAATCCCATGAAAACGGAACTAAAATTTTAATGGTGCAAAACGACCTGAGATAAAAAAACAACAGATTCTTTGGCGCCGACGACATCGTAACATTTAGAGCGTGGCTGGAGAACGCATGACCGGTACAAAATATACACATAATAGGCAAGTGCCGTTTTGGACAAATTTGGCCACCGAGGAACGGACAAAGAATGCTATGTATTCGAAATTCATTATTAAAAAACCAGTAAACGTGCCACTCACTCTTTCGTCATTGCTCCGCCCTGAATCAATCGTACCAAATCGACCAATGGAATTAGTATATACTCCGCAAATTTTCCAATCGCTACAGTTTTGTTTAGATTCTTCTTCTCCCATGAGTTTGATTCATTCCTATACAGGGAAATGAGATGGTGAATCAAGCTCAAATCCAATCAAAGGGGAATGAATCAATCGATCATTTCGATTTAAAATACAGCACCATGTATTACGGCATCTTTCCAGCTTCAATAATTACAGTAGGAGCTCGCTCGGAAGCCACTCTGATTTTGGAAGACAATGACCTCCGCATTGTCGTAATGATGACTCCGGAAATTTCTCAAACCGCAACTGAAAGTCCTCGAGGCGTCGCACACATGATCCGATCAACGACAAGTTGAAAAACACACGATTGAATCAGAGAACCGATGAGTGCTGGCAGACCACCTACTGAACAGCTCTCGTACAAGCCCGATGCAAGACCTTGACTGTGCTAATACCTAAAATTAAAGATGTATTATATAGCTTCTTCTTTAGCATTGCTTTCTAAACTGGTGTACATTGCTCAAGGCAGTCTTGACGACATGTTTCACAGCTCTCCCCAATATCACAAAAACCATTATTGTTGCACAAGATCTGCCTCTGCCAAACTTGAGCAAGCGCTGCATAACCTTTTTCATTGAGGTGCAAGTTGTCGAAACTGTACATGTCATGTTGATTGATAGTCGCCATATACATGTTCACCAATTCTACCTGATTGGCCGAGGCAATCTCTCGTATTCTTGGTTGAATATTGTTCACCAAAATGTCATTGGAGATGCCAAAATCGTTTGGCTTGACCCATGGTGGTATTGCCAATATGATTCGGACTCCTGGTGAAGCTGCTCTGACTTGTTTCATTATCTGATTCATGCCCGCAGCATATCTGTGACTGGCTTCCCTCCAATATTTCATATCATTTGTTCCCAGCATGAGCAAATAGATATCGGGATTCAAGTCCATGGAGAATGCAAAGTTAGGGGTACCAATATAAGGTACACCAAAACCGTCCATGGCATTAGCCGCATTTCTTCCATAATTGCGGACTCCAAAGCCGCTGCCCAACAATCCCTGAAGTTGTTGAGGGTAGGAAGCACCACTATTTCCGCTTCTTCCCAGCGTCAAGCTATCCCCCGCACAGGCCACTCGGAGAGGAGCAGCGGTGGGCGATGCAGTCGGAGCTGCGCTTGGTGTTGTTGTGGGCACAAGACTAACGGTGGGTGATGCAGTCGGAGCCTCACTTGGTGCATTGGAGGGAAATTTGCTCGGAGCATTACTTGGCGCAGGGGAGGGCATTGAACTACTGGACGGAGCTTCACTTGATGCAATGGTGGGCAGTGCACTAGGAGATTCACTCGGCAGATTGGTTGGTAACGCGCTAGGAGATTCACTTGGCTCAGTGGACGGAGCTTCGCTTGGTGCATTGGAGGGCAATACGCTCGGGGCGTCACTTGGCGCGGTGGTCGGATTTTTAGTGGGTGCATTGGAGGCCAATGCGGTGGGAGAAGCTGTGGTGGGCAATTTGCTTGGAGCATCTGTGGGGACAGCGACGGGAACGTCTTCTTGCGTCGCTTGTTGATCTGTTCCAATTTCTTTCCGTTTCTCTGATTTCTTTTTATTCAGGGCCAATATATACATGCCCACCATTCCCACGCATAGAAACAGAATTATTATGAGTATCTTCTTCTTTCTGTGGCTTTTGGATAAACAGCATATCGATGAATCTGATTCCACTGACACATCGTCTGCATCACTCCATTTGGGTAGTGTTCTTCTCCTTTCTTTCATTGGACTGCAGACAACAACGGCGTATTCCACCACTGATCTTTTTGCCGTGGCTTTTGCTCTCTTCTATCTACAGTACCAGCAGCTCACGGAAAGCTAAGGTGCTTTGATCAAGGAGAAACTCTTGTATTCGTTGATACACGGTATGGCGTTAACATGAATATTTGACGAAGTGTGCGCGTACCTCGCTGGGACCGGCCGGCGGCTGCGATGCCTTTACCCATCATTTCTATTTGTTGACAATCGAACTAGTCGTTCCCATATGTGTGACCAACACGCACAGTAGTACAAGTATCAAACCATATATATTCATTCAATATATAATTCCGTAACTATGCTGTACCATCAAGCTATTGTCTGTACAGGTATTGCGTTGTTTTGTAATAGTATCCGCATGCATTATGTTACCAGTATCATGATCTACTCCCGATTCAATCCCATACCATACATTGCTGATACCTATCATTGGAAATATGTAACTTCATTGGCTTGTTTCTAAAACAGTGTACATTGCTCAAGACAGTCTTGACGACAAGTTTCACAACTCTCCCCAATATCACATACACCATTATTGTTGCACAAGATCTGCATCTGCCAAACTTGAGCAAGCGCTGCATAACCTTTTTCATTGAGGTGCAAGTTGTCGAAACTGTACATGTCATGTTGATTGAAAGTCGGTTTGTACATGTCCACCAATTCTACCTGTTGGGCCCATGCCACCTCTCGTATTCTTGGTTGAATATCGTTGAGCAAAATGTCGTTAGAGATTCCAAAATCGTTTGGCTGGACCCATGGTGGTATCGCCAATATGATTCGGACGCCGGGTGAAGCTGCTCTGACTTGTTTTATTATCGCTTTCATACCCGCGAAAAATCTGTGACTAGCAGCCTTCCAAAACCTCACATCGTTTGTTCCCAACATGAGCAAATAGATATCGGGATCCAAATCCATGGAGAATCCAAAGTTATGGGTACCTATGTACGGTACACCAAAACCTTCAATGACATTGACAGCATTTCTTCCATAGTTACGGACTCCAAAGCCGGTGCCCAGCAATCTCTGAAGTAGGGTAGGGTAAGAGGCTCCACTATTTCCGCTTCTTCCCAGCGTCAAGCTATCCCCTGCACAAGCCACTCGGAGAGGAACAATTGTGGGCGATGCAGTCGGAGGAGCTTCACTTGAATTGTCTGGAATCGATTCTGTTAGATCGGTGGGGATAAAGTCGCTAGTCGCAGAATCTGTGGGAGCGTCTTGTTGTTGCGTCAGTTGTTGTCCAGTCCCAGTGTCTCTCTGATTTTCTCTCATCGCATCGTCTGATTTGCTTTCACCCATGACCACTATTATCAGACCCACTATCCCAAAGAGTATAAACAAAACTATTATCAGTATCTTTTTCTTTCTGTGGCTTTTGGATACATAGCATATCGATGATTCTACTTGTAACGGCACCTCGTCTACATCGTTCCCATTGGGTAGTGTTATCGTCGTTTCCATCATAAAACTGAGGACACCACGGCGAATTCCACCACGGCAAACTCCACCACGAACGGTTTTGTTTTGACTTTTGCTCTCTTATTCTACAGTATAGCTTGCAGACAAGTGCTTCGTCGATCTACCGGTACCGCAGGTACCGGTATGAAAACATCAGTTGACGAAAATGAATCCCGTTATATATCCGCAATCAATTTTGAAATTTAAGTTGATCGAACTAATCAATTACAGTACCTACATTTCGTCGTTTTATCATTATTATGCTACAGTATATGTTCTATCTTGACCTACCGTCGATTCATTCTCATATCGATCATGGCAACCCGTCGTCGGCAGTTGGGAAATTCGATGGCCGAGAATTTGTCCCTCCAGTCCGGTTTGTATGAAAATTCTTTTGAAACCGTAGGTAAATATTCTGTGCTGGTACATGGCTGGTGATCTCACTCTTGTACAATCAATTGCCGGTCTTCAGCCCTTCGATCGTGATGGACCACGGCTTGTTGTATTCTGGCTTTTTATATTTCTCATTATTTGGTTATGATTGAAATTAGAAAAAAGCCAATAATAGCGCACCAGAAATCGGAAGAATCCGCTCTACTAGTAGCTAGTGATGGCTTTCCCACTATCGGAATGACTCTGTAAGCTTCTCAAAGCGCACTAACAGAAGAATCGGTCCGATAAAGGACTAGTGAAGAAACACACGACGATTCCCACAAGTGCTATTGAAAAGTCTGTTATACAAGATATAAAGTCCTATCTGCTCTTTCTTCAATACTATAGCACTTTTTCTAAGGTACACTACATTGTTGAAGGCAGTCTTGACGACAAGTTTCACAACTCTCCCCAATATCACATACACCATTATTGTTGCACAAGATCTGCCTCTGCCAAACTTGAGCAAGCGCTGCATATCCTTTTTCATTGAGGTGCAAGTTGTCGGAACTGTACATGTCATGTTGATTGACAGTCGGCTTGTACATGTCCACCAATTCTATTTGTTGGGCCCATGCCACCTCTCGTATTCTTGGTTGAATATCGTTGAGCAAAATGTCGTTAGAGATTCCAAAATCGTTTGGCTGGACCCATGGTGGTATCGCCAATATGATTCGGACGCCGGGTGAAGCTGCTCTGACTTGTTTTATTATCGCTTTCATACCCGCGGTAAACCTGTGACTGGCAGCCTTCCAAAACCTCATATCATTTGTTCCCAGCATGAGCAAATAGATATCAGGATTCAAGTCCATGGAGAATCCAAAGTTATGTGTACCGATGTAAGGTATGCCAAAACCGTCCATGGCGTTGGCAGCATTTCTTCCATAGTTACGGACTCCAAAGCCGGTGCCCAACAATCTCTGAAGAAGGGTAGGGTAGGAAGCACCACTATTTCCGCTTCTTCCCAGCGTCAAGCTATCCCCCGCACAGGCCACTCGGAGAGGAGTAACGGTGGGGGATGCAGTCGGAGCTGCACTTGGTGCTGTGGTCGGAACTAGACTAGTAGTGGGCGATACAGTCGGAGCCTCAGTTGGTGCATTGGAGGGCGATATGCTCGGAGCATCACTTGGCCTATCTGTGGGCAAAGTACTAGGAGACTGACTTGGCCGACTGGACGGAGCTTCACTTGGGGCATTGGAGGGCGATTTGCTGGGAGAGTTACTTGGCTCGTTCGTGGGCAATGCACTTGGAGATTCACTTGGCTCATTGGTAGGCAATGCGCTAGGAGAGTCACTTGGCTCTTTGGAGGGCCATGTACTAGGAGACTTACTTGGTTGGTTGGACGGAGCTTCACTTGGTGCATTGGAAGGCAATGCGCTCGGTGCATAACTTGGCTCGTTGGAAGGGAATGCGCTAGGAGATTCACTTGGCACATTGGTCGGATCTTCACTTGGTGTACTGCTAGGCGATGTATTCGGTGCGTCACTTGGCGTATTGGCCTGGGTTTCAGTGGATCCGAAAAGTTCTTGTTTCCATGTTGATACAAAGGGCATCTTTAAGTCGTCTTTTGAAACAGTAGTTTGTCGTTTTCGTATCGGTATGTCTAAGAGCAGTTGCCGGTCGACAGCCCCTTTTATTACGCTGGACGACTTGGACTTATGTTCTGACTTGTTTCTCGTGGTTTTTCGATGATTCTTCAAACTAGAACCAACAAGCCGCCTTCGCACATTGGTTTTTGGATCGTTGTTGTTGGAAGCATCAGCGGCGCTTGCACCACTGAATAAGAATAAAGCAAGGATCAGAAGGCAGCGTATGTCAGACTTTCTCATTGTCGTACAGTGAGCTTGGGAATAATTTATAGCTCAAGCATTCTGAAAGGCTCAAGCTTCAAGTGTTTCAATCCCATGAAAAACGAAAGTGAAATTTTAATAGTGTGAAATGAGCGAGTCGTTTGGCGACGTCGGTATTTAGCACCCGGCGGGAATACATGTATCCGTGTATGACTGATGACTCATATTCAATATGATAAAATATACCAACCGATCGGGGGTCAGAGATAGCCCCTAGAATAATTCCCCCTCAATAACGACCCCCCTTTGCTTCATATTCAAACATAAAAAAGGATCCGATTAAAATATACTTGTCGGGAAACTTATCATACCGGTAGAAGATATAATATAACTTCTTCTATAGCATTGCTTTCTAAGGTGTACTACATTGCTCAAGGCAATCTTGACGACATGTTTCACAGCTCTCCCCAATATCACAGACACCATTATTGTTGCATAAGATCTGCCTCTCCCAAACTTGAGCAAGCGCTGCATATCCTTTTTCATTGAGGTGCAGGTTGTCGGAACTGTACATGTTATCTTGATTGACAGTCGTTTTGTACATATTTACCAATTCTACCTGTTGTGCTGAGGCAACCGCCCGTATGATTGGTTCAATATTATTTACCAAAATATCGTTGGGGATTCCAAAATTGTTCGGCTTGACCCATGGTGGTATCGCCAAAATGATTCGGACGCCTGGTGAAGCTGCTTTGACTTGCTTTATTATCCGATCCATGCCCGCGGCATATCTGTGGCTGGCTTCTTTCCAATATCTGGCATCGTTTGTTCCCAGCATGAGCAAATAGATATCGGGATCAAAGTCCAAGGAAAATCCAAAGTTATGGGTTCCAATGTAAGGTATACCAACCACATCAATGGCATTGACAGCATTTCTTCCATAGTTACGGACCCCAAAGGCGCTGCCCAACAATCTCTGAAGTAGGGTAGGGTAAGAGGCTCCACTATTTCCGCTTCTTCCAAGCGTCAAGCTATCCCCCGCACAAGCCACTCGGAGCGGAGTAACGGTAGGCGATGCAGTTGGAGCTGCACTTGGTGCAGGAGTGGGCACAAGACTAATGGTGGGCGATGTGGTCGGACCTTTACTTGGTGCATTGGAGGGCGGTTTGCTCGGAGCATCACTTGGCGCAGTAGAGGGGGATGTACTAGTGGTAGGAGCTTCACTTGGTTCGTCGGTGGGCAAAGAACTAGGAGATTCACTTGGCTTCTCGGAGGGCCGCAAGCTAGGTGATTCACTTGGCTCGTTGGACGGAACTTCACTTGGTGCATTGGATGGCAATGCGCTCGGTGCGTCACTTGGCACAGGGGAGGGGAACATACTGATGGACGGAGCTCCGCTTGGCTCATTGGAAGGCGATGCACTGGGAGATTCAGAATCACTTGGCGTCATGGACGGAGCTTCACTTGGTGCAGTGGTGGGCACTAGGCTAACGGTGGGAGGTGCAGTCGGACCTGTACTTGGTGCATCGGACGGCAATGTGCTCGGAGCATGACTTGGCGCAGTGGACGGTAATGTGCTCGGAGCGTGACTCGGTGCAGTGGACGGCAATTCGCTCGGTACGTGACTCGGCGCAGTGGATGGCAATGCGCTAGTGGACGGAACTTCACTTTCCTCACTCGTGGGCAATGCACTAGGAGATCCACTTGGCTTATTGGTCGGAGCTTCACTCGGCTCATTGGTGGGCAATGCGCTAGGAGATCCACTTGGTGCGTTGGACTGGGCTTCACTTGGTGCATTGGAGGGCAATGTACTGGGATCTTGACTTGAAGCAACTAAGGGGAATGCACCACCATATTCGCTTGGCCCAATAGTGGGCAGTGCGCTAGGAGATCCACTTGGCTTATTGGTCGCAGCTTTACTTGGTGCGTTGGAAGGTAATGCGCTCGGTGCGTCAGTTGGCGCATTGGCCTGGATATCAGCGGACCCGAACAGTTCTTGCTTCCATGTTGATATGAAGGGCATCTTCAAGTCATCTTTTGATACAGCAGGTTGTCTTTTTCGTATTGGCATGTCTGAGAGCAGTTGCCGGTCGACAGCCCCTTTGATTGTGCTTGATGACTTGGACTTTTTTTCTGACTTGTGTTCTGGCTGGTTTCTCGTGGTTGTTCGATGATTCTTCAGAGTAGAACCAAGCCTTCGAACATTGATTTTTAAATCACTTCCATTATCACTTATCGCTTTTCGTCTTTTCCTCCCTCCGCATTGCTCAAGGCAATCTTGACGACATGTTTCACAGCTCTCCCCAATATCACAAAAACCATTATTGTTGCACAAGATCTGCCTCTGCCAAACTTGAGCAAGCGCTGCGTATCCTTTTTCATTGAGGTGCAATTTGTCGCCAGTGTACATGTCATGTTGATTGACAGTCACCTTGTACATGTCCACCAGTTCTACCTGTTGTGCTGAGGCAACCGCCCGTATGATTGGTTGAATATCGTTGAACCAAATATCATTCGAGATTCCAAAATCGTTTGGAGTCTTGACCCATGGTGGTATGGCCAATATGATTCGGACGCCTGGTGAAGTTGCTTCAACTTGTCGTATTATCCATTCCATACCCGCGACATATCTGTGACTGGCAGCCTTCCAATATTTGGCATCATTAGTCCCAAGCATTAACAAATAGATATCTGCACCCAAAGTTATGGAAGCTCGAAAGTCTTGGGTATTGATGTACGGTGTACCAAACCCGTCAATGGCATTGGCAGAGTTTTTTCCATAGTTGTACGTGTCAAAGCCTGCGCCCAACAATTCATCAAGTTGGGTAGGGTAGTCGACTCCAGGATACACCCCAATGTTCCCCCGCGTCAAGCTATCCCCCGCACAAGCCACTCGGAGAGGAGTAGCGGTAGGCGGTGCAGTTGGAGCTGCACTTGGTGCAGGAGTGGGCACAAGACTAATGGTGGGCGATGCAGTCGGACCTTTACTTGGTGCATTGGAGGGCGGTTTGCTCGGAGCATCACTTGGCGCAGTAGAGGGGGATGTACTAGTGGTAGGAGCTTCACTTGGTTCGTCGGTGGGCAAAGAACTAGGAGATTCACTTGGCTCGTCGGAGGGCCATAAGCTAGGTGATTCACTTGGCTCGTTGGACGGAACTTCACTTGGTGAATTGGATGGCAATGTGCTCGGTGCGTCACTTGGCGTAGGCGAAGGGAACGCACTGGTGGACGGAGCTCCGCTTGGCTCATTGGAGGGCGATGCACTGGGAGATTCAGAATCACTTGGCGTCATGGACGGAGCTTCACTTGGTGCAGTGGTGGGTACTAGGCTAACGGTGGGAGGTGCAGTTGGACCTGTACTTGGTGCATCGGACGGCAATGTGCTCGGAGCATGACTTGGCGCAGTGGACGGCAAAGTGCTCGGAGCGTGACTCGGTGCAGTGGACGGCAATGCACTAGTGGACGGAACTTCACTGTGTTCATTTGTGGGCAATGCACTAGGAGATCCACTTGGCTTATTGGTCGGAGCTTCACTCGGCTCATTGGTGGGCAATGCGCTAGGAGATCCACTTGGCTTATTGGTCGGAGCTTCACTTGGTGCATTGGAGGGCAATGTGCTCGGAGCTTGACTCGAAGCAGCGGAGGGGAATGTACTACCATTTTGGCTTGGTTCATTGGTGGGCAATGCGCTAGGAGATCCACTTGGCTTATTGGTCGCAGCTTCACTTGGTGCGTTGGAAGGTAATGCGCTCGGTGCGTCAGTTGGCGCATTGGCCTGGATATCAGCGGACCCGAACAGTTCTTGCTTCCATGTTGATATGAAGGGCATCTTCAAGTCATCTTTTGAAACAGCAGGTTGTCTTTTTCGTATTGGCATGTCTGAGAGCAGTTGCCGGTCGACAGCCCCTTTGATTGTGCTGGATGACTTGGACTTGTGTTCTGACTTGTTTCTCGTGGTTGTTCGATGATTCTTCGGAGTAGTAGAACCATCAAGTCGCCGTCGAACATTGGTTTTTGGATCGTTGTTGTTGGAAGAATCAGCTGCACTTATTGCGGCATTCAATAAGAATAAAAGAAGGATCGGAAGACAGTGTAGGAAAGACCTTGTCATTATCGTTGAGTAATTCTGGGGAATAGTTCATGGCAGTACTTCTATCCCATATGAAAGCGGAGGTGAAATTTTAATATTGCATAATAATTAGCAAGTCGTTTGACGGCATTGCATTTAGCGCGGAGAAAAGTCCACGCACGATAGGCGTCGACCATCCGCAAATGTCGTTTCTGACAAATTTGGCCAACGAATGAGCTTCCTCCTTCGGTCCGTTGAATTCAAAATTTATACAATAAAAACACTAGTAGAATTTTTGATGAGACTCTTTCGTCGTCATCAATCGTGGCGCTGTTTCCGTAAGGCTCAAAGAGTGGATTGTTGATAAACCTACAATACCTTTTAGGTAACAGAATATATTTCACATCAAGAAATAAAAGTGATATGTGTTGTGGTAACCTACAGTAGAGGCAACTACAAAGTCAGTAGATAAACAAAATGCCAGTTTTTAATATTTCGCGGCAACTTATTTTTTGCCTCATCATGTTGAAGTATCCCATGGGAGTAGTTTCAAGGATTATGTCGAAATCGTTTGAGCACGATAACCCTCGTCAGATTGATGTCGCCGTCGAAAAAGCTGCAATAAACCCAGTTTGGACCCACTGAAAACTCTCGCGCTCGCTCTACTAGTGCTAAACAAGAAGCATGATTCTTCAAATTATATTAACTATTTCTTTGTTATGCATTATGCTGTTGTTCTATCACATGATCTACCTTGGATTCAGTTCGATACACTATATCCCTACTATCATCATTTCTCGTGATAATGGACATCAAGTGTCTTGCCGTAGAATGGCAGTCCATCTTCCCGCCAGACATCGAAGATGATCCCTCTCATTTGATAGGAAAAGTACATGTGTTTTCCGTCGGGAGAAAAGGCTAACCCTGAAGTTTCTCGATTGTCCATTGCAGCTTCGAGTATAGTATAGAACCACCCGTTGCGATCACGTGCATGGATGCCAGCCTCCTTTCCGCCATCTTCACAGAAATATAAAAGGGAATTGGAACCCTTGATCAGTCGCTGCATTTGATCTGGTTGTCCATCAAAGAGACCTCTATCCGTAGAAAAGCGTCTATAGGTATCACCATCCAAATTCAATACGAACAGGGACTTGAGCGTCTTGGAAGTGAAGTACAGTTCATTGTTGTGTACATCCAGACCTTCCGAAAAATGATAAAAGGATTCGGCATTCCCTTCGGCATGGCCGCGATCTCTTGTCCAATAGTACGTTCCATCATTTTTATTTCCATTTCGAGGTTGCAGCACAAGATAATCAAGGGCACCCGATCCATGCAGCATATTCCACGGGTCGTTCCAGTTGGGATTGGAGGGAGTGAACCGACGCAGCGCACCTCTATTGTTGTCTTCAGTGACGAAGAAACGAGGTTTGCTGCGATTGCGAACGTCGTAGGCAAATGCCTCAAAGTCTCCTGTATCTGGGCTCATGGATGTCTTTTGTGGAGACCGTTTGCCTTTTGGATCGACCTGCCAAATCTTTCCACCTCGATGTTCTTCACACGATACCCACGTATTCCTGTTCACAAGATAGCAAGACAAGAAAAGATGTGAGATTGGCAGGCATTGAAATGCAAGAAAGCAAGGAAGGGAACGTACCATGGAGTTTTTCCACCGGAACAGTTGCGGGTGGTTCCCCGCAAGAGCATTTTGTAGTCGACAACATCTCCATTTCGGTTAAAGTAGATGGCACCAACCCCACCACGTCCTCCGTTTTCCTCCGAATTGCTGACATAGATCCATCCACCATTGCTATCGGGAAAGACAGCTGCACCATCTGGTTCTCCGTGAAATCTGTCCCTCGAATTGGAGCCATTGGCCAAGCGTACTCTATCATTGGTTCTCGCGATAATCCGACTTCTTAATCCCCGACTTAAAAGCAATCCATTTTGGTTTCTGGTCAATTTCCCAGGAACATAACTGACAGCAGAGTCTCTTGGTGGTGGATTCGAAACTGGATTTGGTCGTGGGGTAGGATTTGGCTGAGGTCTTGAAGTGGGCCGTCGGGTGGGAGGCCGAGTGGGAGGTGGTGGTTGGGTTGGGGGTGGTGTCATGTAAAATGGTTGTGATCCCGATCTGCTTTCAATCCAGACTCGTTCCATCGACACCCTGAGTTGGCTGTCGCTCGAACAACATGACGCTGAAGTCCAAACTACTTGATCATTCTGACTTCGCAGAACCAGATTTCCGTCCCTTTGGAAGGTCCATCGAAAAACGGATGCTCCTAGATCTTTTTGTGGAATTTCCCATACACTTTGGCCGTTTACAAACAAGCCAAACTGGTTAGTCCAAGTATATCCAAAATATGCTTCTTGATTGTTTCGTGACAGGCAGTGAACGTCGCCTGCGTAAAATCGTGTCGAGTGTTCAATCGTCAGTCCACTTCCGTTTCTGGATTGCACACACTTCAAGGGTCGATCAGCTGTTCGGGTAGGTTCTGCTGTTGGGGGTGACGGGCTAGGAGCTCCGGTTGGAACATTTGATACAGAGGAAGCATTCGAAGGTTGTGAACTTGGGCTATCAGTGGGAGCATCCGAAGGTAGCGAGCTAGGGCTTTCACTGGGAACGTTGGAAACGGCGCCCGTTGCTGCTGATGGCAGTGAGCTAGGGCTTTCACTGGGAATGTTGGAAACGCCGACCGTTACTGGTGCAGATTCAGATGGTGGATTGACCCTGTCTCTCCATTCCGAAAAGAATGGTAATCTCATGTCGTCCTTCGAAACCAAAGGGATATCTTTCCTCACTGGTCCTTCATCTCCGTCTTCAAAAAATAATTGCCTTTCTGATTCTTGTTGGCTGCTTTCAGCCCCCTTGATCGTCTTTGGCTTGTGTTTGTCGTCAGAGGCATAAGACGAATATGGTCCGCCGCCCAAGAGTAACACAAGAATCGCAAGATAGTGTATTGGAGGGTTTTTCATGGTTCTGTAGCAAAGTTTGTGATCCAGTGCTTGAAACACTTTCTTGTCAAACAAAATCGAAGCAGATGTATATATATGTTGAATATGTAACTTATTTTTATTTGGTGATGTTTGAGATTTCAGTGTCTATTTCGATGTCGCAGATGTCTCCGCTCTAAACAAAAGGCTGAACGGAAACTGAAATTTTGTGGGTTTTTCTATGATGTACCACCATCCACGATAAACGCGAATGGTGAATGAATCACGCCATCGCCAAAGATTTGATTCTACGCAAATGATGCGTCAGAAGATGCGCTTTTAACTGCCAATTCTAACGTACCGGTATTCTAACATCATCCTCTCATTTATGAGATAGAATCGCATTAAAATTCTAAGTTCTAGGGTGTGCCTTGCTTGATGGCACCTTCTGCATGTTTTTCAATACTGATGACTCGGCTGTTGTTTACTACCTCAACAGCCCATCGATCTCTTTTTCTGTTCCTACTCGCAATATTTCCAAATACTTATCTCCATAGCCTTCATATTCAAATCCAAAGGTGAGCTCATCAGGAAAAGACGCAGGATTACCAACAACCGGTTCAATCTGAGTATCCTCGTGCCATTCATTGAATGAGTTTACCATCAATACCCGGTTTGGTTGAATAACCGACTTGTCCAAACTGCTCGTGTCAGCCAATGGAATAGCATACTTCAATGCCTCCCGCAATACCGATCCTCGATCTTGTCCCGCCAAAGCTCGTGACAGTGGCGGATTTTCTTCTTGCGGTCGGACACTGAGATCATTATACCCTGGGCTTACAGATGGTATGAATTGGCAGTTGTATTGTTCTGCTGCTTGTTTCCATAGAGTCTGTTCTCCTTGGTAGTATTCTTGGACCTGGGATTGAGTCAGAGTTCCACCTTTATTTCCCACAATTTGAGCAACACTACCATAGACGTCGTAATTGGTGACAGCGTCCAATAGTTGGAAAGCAGAGTAGTGCCTAGGGTTGTTGATAAAGTCTTTCTCTGATGCGAACCCAAAGACTTGGTCTCCCACTATAAACAACTCCTTGCCACAAGCATTGCGAACAGTCTCACGCATGAGCTCGGTGGTGACACGCAATAGGTCTCGATTCGCTAAATGTCGACTCAAATACATGAATACGACTGGGCGAGGCCCATTTGCCAGGTCAGTGACAGTGTAGTAGTTGGGGTGATCGAAGAAATTCGTACACATGTGTTGCATGTCTGATTCTACACGTTGCAAGGAGTAATCTTCTGATGGCCGAATTCGTCCAAGTGTTTCGTAAAAGAGAGCAATCTTGTGGTTTCGCAGTTTTGGATGTGGCAGAATGTTTTCCAGGGTAGTTTGATCCGACTGACTTCCGGGCCCCCACCACGAAGTTACCCATAGGTTGATATTGGCTTGTCGGCTCCATCGCAAGTGCTGTGTGACAACGCTTTCTTCTCTGTCATCATACTCCCCGAGCACAGGCTGCTGACGAGGATCTAGGTCATCACGTAAATAGCCTTCATCATTATGGAAATCATCCGCATGCCAAGGATAGTAGTATGCACCGACGACGAGCTGGCCTGCAATGAACTCGTCATTGATAGTTGGCATGATTGTCGGGGAAGAACTGGGTTTTGAAGTTGGTTGGTTTGAAGGTGTAGTCGTCGGTCTTGCTGTGACGGATGGCGCTGACGATGGATGATGAGATAATACAAGGTTGTCTCGCCAACTTCCTCCAATACTGAGTCTCATGTCATCTTTGGACGCAACCGGTTGGCGTTTGCGGTCTTCAAGATCCTCCATTGTTAACTCCTGTAGACTTCTGAACTTCAAAGCTGACGTCGACATAGTCAATGACATCGAGTCATCCCATGTGTACCTTGAGCTTCCTTTGAGGACACGCGATCTATTCCTCTTTGTTTCACTTCTTGAATCATCAGCAATGCTGTGTGTGTCGGCATCGGCATCACTTGCACAGACGACAAGCATGAAACTGCTACAGCAGAAGAAAAGGCTGATCGAAGACACTGTCAGTAATCGCATCTTTCAAAGTATAGATGATGGTGAAGTGATATGAATCAATTTTAGCTTCGATTTGTGTTTGTGCCAGAATCATGAATGTATGAGATTCAGTTGTGAGTTTGTTATTGTGTCGTGTGAATTTTGAATGTGGGGTGTGAAAGAAGGTTGCGAACTTCTTGTTTCTAACTAACAGTATCGCGCATGCCGACCCAACGATTCTGGAGTCACAAAAATACATAGATCTTCAAGCGCCTGCCGATACTGGCATCGGTGTTTCACATAGAAAAATGTGATCACAACAGATTTCACCCACATGGATACCCCTTCCAATGAATGCATATTTAAAAAGCATAATAAGAATGTGATCACAATAGACTATAGCCCACAAGGGTGGCCTTCCATCGAATCGATTTTAAAAGCGCAATTGCAACGCGCCTTCATGTAAGCTAAGAAAAGGGTCTTCCATTGCCACAAAGACGTAGGGTTTTCTATTCAACATTGTTCTACTACTACAATAGGTCATCCATCATCATCCTATGCATCACATCAACGAATCTCAAACAACCAATTTGCTGTCTGTTGCCTCCTTCAATATATCCAGATACTTCGTACCATATCCTTCGTAGGTAAAACCAAACGTGTGATTTATTGGCGTGGAGGAGGCAGTCCCAACGGTCGGTTCGATTTGGGTATCCTCGTGCCACTCATTAAGCGAATTCACAACAAGTAGTCGATCGGGCTGTGATGTTGCAGTGCTGTCCAAGCCACTATTGTCAGCCAATGGAACAGCATACTTCAGCGCCTCTCGAAACAAGGACCCTGGTTCTTGTCCCTGAAGGGATCTGGAGAGCGGTGGATTTGCTGCCCTGGGCCGTACGCTTAGATCATTATATCCAGGCGACACTGCTGGAATGAATTGGCAATTGTATCTCTCAGCGGCAGCTTTCCACTCCGCTTGTTCGTTTTCGTAGTAGTTTTGCACTTGAGATTGCGTTAGAGTACCACCCTTGCGTCCCACAATCTGTGCAACACTACCATAGACGTCGTAGTTGGTGACGGCATCAAGAAGTTGGAATGCAGAGTAGTGTCTAGGGTTGTTGACAAAATCTTTTTCCGCAGTTCCGCCAAAGACTTGATCCCCGACAATGTACAACTCTTTGCCGCAAGAATCTCGAACCCCTTGTCGCATACGTTCCGTCGTTGCTCGCAGCAACCCTCGATTGTCCAGTCCTCGGCTCAGATACAGGAACAAAACAGGGCGACGACCTTTTCCAACATCGTCCACATTGTAGTAGTTAGGGTGCCGAAAGTAATTATCGCATAAAAACTTCATATCTCGCTCAACTCGATGCAACGAGTAGTCATCACTTTCACGGATTCGACCTTGTGTTTCGTAGAATACAGAGATCTTGTGTGTTCGCAAGGTATCATGAGTCAGGATGAATTCTCTGGTTGTATCTACAAAGCAAGATGATGTTAGAAAACAAGATGTATATCGTGTACACTTCATAAAATAACATATGCTCACTGTCCGATCGACTTTGAGGTCCCCACCACGAAGTTATCCATAGATTGATGTTGGCCTGTCGACTCCATCGCAGGTGCTTCCATATGGTCTTTCTATCTCTGTCGTCATATTCTCCAAGCTCTGGAAGCTGAGGTGGTTCCAAATCCTCTCGCAAATATCCATATCTGTGTATTAATAAATGAAGAAAGAGCAAAATGTCAGCTCTTGACTATTCCATGCTCTGATCAAAACAAAACCTACTCACCCTCGATGAAAATCGTCGGCGTGCCAAGGGTAGTAATATGCTCCCACCATCAACTGTCCTGGAACAACAGTGTCATTATTCGTTGGACTGATCGATTGAGATGGAATCATGCTGGGTGACTCCGACGGTTCCTTTGTTGGCACATTGGTAGGTGATTCGGACGGGACTGTAGTGGGACGATCTGAAAAGACTAGCCGGTCTCGCCAATCTTCTCGTGCAAACTTTAAAGCAACCTTCGAAATCGCTGGTGCCTCTTTGCGCTCAAATTCAACTTCTTGAAGTGTTTGTTCCTCTTCGGTGGTGGCTGCGAAAGAAACTGGCGAGGCATGGCTCGAGCTTCCTTTGATTGGACGATTACTTCGTCGAAGCGGACCCTCGTCACGAGGCATGGTTTGTGGCTCGTTGAAGAAACGAGCATAATCTTCTGACTCGTCCACAACGGCATTGACGAAGACGAGAATGAACGAGAAACGCAGAACAGCTCTGTGGTCCAAGAACTTCATCGTCAATGTATTACTTGGTTGAAAGCGGAAGAGCTGGTACTGATATTGGTGTTTGTGCCTGTGCTGGTATTGGTGTTAGTATTGGTGTTGGAAGTTATTAGGTCTGAGATCTCGTGCTTGTTGGTGGTAGGCGGCAATATGAGAAAACTCCAATGATGATACATTGTTTTGGTTTTTCCTGTGTTTTTTTCACCATAAATCTCAGAGTTCGCATGATATTTATTGCAGATACAAATATTGTGGAGACTCGACGAAAACGATAAACAAATGTGGCGGAAATCGTTCCAATGCGTCCGACGTTGAACATGAATACCATGCAATTGTCTCGCTCGAACAGGCTTGCTCGCACTGGCCAGTCCCATGTAATTCGAACACTCTGGCAATTTTTCGAACCGCACAATTGATGGTTCATGCGGCCTGCAGTATTTTTTTATTAAAATACACAGTTGGAATAAAAATGATTGTTATTGCTACCTTCTGATCAAACAAGCATACCGGTAGATATAAGCCGACCTTGGAAGACTCCGTAAGGGTTGTTGATAACCATAGGTACAGTACGAACAAAGGCATAACTTGTCACGTGTAATCATTTTATTCAATATATACTGCATGCGCGTGTGGGATTTTTTTAGGGACTATTACTAACATCCGGGTTCGCTCCAGTTTTTCGTCTCCCATCGTACCGGTATATAACATGCATCCCGCTATCAACCACCAAAAAAAAACATTAGAATCGTTCCCACAGTACTCCTTGCGACACCAACAACAAAGTACAATCTATCGTGAAAGAATGAGGGCGTCAGAAGGTCTCACTGAATTTGCTGAAGAAACGGCTGAAAAGATTAGTTTCCACGATCAACAGGATGGTGATGGTCTGATGAACGATGTTTCAACAGTAGGTCAGATTGCAATTTGTACGGCCGAAAGTTGTCCTATCCCTATGAATGGGTCCCATGATGGACCATCTTCAGTTGATGACTCGAAAACATCTGAAAGCAAGAGCCAATCTGAAGGAGCATCTAATCCGACCATTGCTTCCTCTGAAAAGCTAAACAAAAAGAATAGGAGAAAGAGCAAGAATAAGAATAAGAAGGAAGGAGGCACTCAACAATCAGTATCATCCATTCAGCAGATTCACACTCAGAGTGATTTGAATAAAGTCTTGCAGGAACATGATACAGTATTATTGGAGTTTGTCACGACGTGGTGTACCGCTTGTCATGGAATTCAACCTCGGTACGAGGAATTGGCAAAAGGCGAAATGGGGAGCAATGAGAACAGTGACGCAATGCTTCGGGCTGCTCAAGTTGTTTGTGACAAGAACAAGGAGACCAAAAAGCTGGCAGATGCGAATGGTGTTGGTAGTTACCCAGTCTTTGTTCTGTATCAACAGGGAACTGAAGTCAGCAAATGGAAGGGAGCCGATGTTGGAAAGCTCGAAAAAGCATTTGACAACTATGGTGGTAGCAGCGGTGGCAAACGCGGCAAAGGTGGTAATGGAAAGAAAGGAAAAGGCAGAAGATAATGATGACCTGCTCCGACGTACATAGTCACTCAAATGTAATTCTTTTTATAAAATTGTACATGTAGCTCCATTATTCGAATGGAATATTGTGTCGCTCAAACGACAATGTTGACATCCTTTGTGCCATTCCGCAGGATATCCAAATACAAAGTGCCGTATCCATCGTACTCGATTCCAAAGGTCATATTATATGGTGTAGACGCCGGCTCGCCGATGACTGGTTCAATCTGTGTATCTTCATGCCATTCATTGAAAGAATTAACCATTAGCAGGTATGATGCGGACGGATCGACCAGTGTTCGGGCATGCTCGATCGATACACGGAAGAAGGAGCCCGAGTCTTTGCCACCACGGGTTGCTCGTTTCAAGGATCTTGCCAACGGCGTGTGTTCTTCTTTTGGACGTACTCCAAGGTCATTGTAGCCAGGAGAGACAGCTGGAATGAAAGAGCATCCTTTTTGCTCCTTGGCGTATTTCCTCCATTTACGCTGTACCGTCAGGTAATAGTCAGCGACAGAATCTTCCGCCACGTACCCACCAAATGTCCGTAAAGTTGCACCCATACTCCCATAGACATCGTAGTTGGTGACACCATCCAGTAAATCAAAGGCCGTGGGAGTCGACGAATACAATTTATCTTCCTTTTCTACCAGTCTCTGTTCGGCACTGACCTCATAGCCTGGTGGATCAAAGCGCCCAAAGATCTGATCGCCAATAATATAAATATCCTTCCCACAGGCATCTTTGACAGTCTTGCGCATTATGTGAATTACTGATTCGAAACGAACCAAGGTCTCCAAATGCCTTGTCAGGTACACGAACAAAACAGGGCGACCATCGTCGAGCGTGTAATAGTTGGGATGACTCAAGTAGTGTTCACAGATGAATTCCATATCGGGTTTGATGCGATGTAACGAGTAGTAGTCTTCCTCTCGGATTCTACCAAAAGTTTCGTAGAACAGAGCAACCTTGTGATTTTCAAAAGGTCCTCCTTTTTTCAATTCCTCGTGATTCAATATGACCGTCCTTGTTGTATTATCTTCCCGTTCGTATGCCCCCCACCAGCTTGCCACCCATAGCCCAATGTTTCCCTCCTTGCTCCATGCCAAATGTTGGCTGATAGTATTGGGATCACGATCGTCATACTCGCCGAGCGCAGGGCTTTGTCCCAAGCTTTTACGGACGTATCCAGCTCCTCTGTGAAAGTCTCCACCGTGCCATGGGTAATAGTAAGTTCCAACAGTAATCTTAGGAATCTGAGGTGTGTCCTGAAGATTCTTGTCACTACTATCTCGAACACCTGAAATCACAGAAGAAGAAGGACTGCTGCTCGAAACTGGATACTCCCAAATATGACGGCCAGCCATCAGTCCCAGTGTGAAAAGCAGAGCAACCGACAGGAGTAAGCAGTAGATTTCCATGATTCTAGAATTATTTGCAGCCGGGTAGGACTGTATGGAATCATTTGAAGAAGATGTTGAAGCACCTGAATTCTTTCGTCTTGGGTTGTACCTCGGGTTTTTTCGCATGTTCTTTTTCTTGTCTCCATGGTCGTGATATTCGTCAAGAAAGGATGCAGATGCTTCCAACTCATGGTGCGATGGTATCTCGTCGTCGATTGAAGCTGATGCTGAAGAATTTTCAGCTGCGGCTTCTCTTTCGGGGCCCTTGATTCCTTCCGTTTCGCGGAATTTGTAGTCCAAACTCTCTTCTCCGTCAGGCACTCTTCTCAATGATGGCGAGGCATCTGCTGCACCTATGACAGCCGCAGTTCTTCGAGAGTATGCTTCATCTTTGGAATAGATCAAGTAGGATGACATCCTGTTTTCCCAGACGGAAAGATACTATATATAAAATTGAGGAACCGTTCGAGACGTGAAGTGATGTCCAGCGGTGTGGTTTTCTGGGTAATGGAGTAATCGTGGGATGATTGTGACAATCCCGGATTGGCGCCGGCGCGGGACATAGCTAAGTATTTAACCATTTAGCGGCTAAAACTGTAGATTGAGACGTTCTGCCGCGCGTTGTGATGTGGGACTAGTAGAATTTCTTGAAATTTACGCTGAAAAATGCTAGGCTTGCTTTTTGCCGCCATTCTGAGTCAGTCGAGTCACAATATCTTTCTGGTCATATTCGTTCAATATTCAATATGCGTCATCGCGAAAGTTTTTCCTTCTTTTGCTCTAATAAAATGTTTTCTTGCTTTTCCTTCTGTTGGACACCTTTCTATGAACGCATTATATCAAACATCAAGTCATCTAGGAGACTGCCCAACATTGCCGATTTGAGAAGAATTTCTTCCGGCATGATGGGAAATCTTCCATTCGTCTCCCTCTTTGGTGTAGACAAAGGAGTACTGTCGTGCTTTCACAATGCCTTCAGTGGCTTGTAGACTGATATCATAGACACCATTGTCCATGTACCAGCCGGGACCAGTCGTGACATAATTTTAGAGTAACATGCCTTGAGGTTTCTTTTTCCAAGAAATGAACGAAGTAGTCCTCCTTGATGGAATCATAATCAGTTCTTGGGACATGGCTGACAGTGCTGGGAAGGAGACAAGGCTTGCTGGAGTACCTTGATGCGACCTCGTCTGAATCGAGAGTCGCCAATGCGTCGTTCCAGACGCAGAAGAGTCCACGGACCTCATCGTCGGAAAGGGCCAGAGTGCTCCTGGTTTTCTCGTCCTCGCCATTGTCAGAAATTTCGACATCGCATTGGATGCCAGTATGTCAACGCTTTGCAAGGATTCTTGTTGAAAGCCTTCATCAACGCAATCTCTCTTGTTACACTCTGAAGTTGCAAGGGTATCCAAACTTGTTTGGGACAAAAAGGTCTTGAAAGATAGTTTGTTCTTCTTGGACTCTACCAGCAGTTTGGTCTTTAGGATGGATGCGATCTTCATGATTAATTATTTGGTGAGCTATCGGGGCTTGAAGTGATGAGATGAACGATTGATTCGTTCGTTCATCGAATTTATTAGCAAGTTTGTGGGCGAAACGACAATGGCTTGAGATTGCACCCGGCCCAATTCCAGCCACCTGCCTCATTGCGCCCAAACATCACAATTACGGTGTTGGGCACGGCATCCCGCCAAAGTTTGCATTTTTTCTCCAATTAACACCGCTAATTCCATAGCACTACAGTACTCCCCACAATGGATTGCAAAACTTTGATACTTAAGCTAAATCATCCAAAACTCTGAGTATCATTCGGAATAATGAAATGCTTGAAGTTGGCACCACCTATGACCGATAATGACCGAAATACTGCAAATCCACGTCATGCCGTCTTCGTGGTGAAAATACGATCGCCAACACTTGTTGGTCCAATGAACACCGCTAATAGTATCAGTTGTAGAATTAAATTGGAATGGTGGCATCATGGGGTTGGCACCTTGGTTTCTTTTTGCCACAAATACCCCCTCGGATGACCACCAGCACCAGCACCACTACCAGCAGGATGCGGGGCGGAAATACCACTACACTCACACAGCAGCAAGTGGATATAAAATGCCCAAATATTGTAAGTTCCTGTTTCTTGACCTTGTTGTGGGTAACCATTGGAAGAGTGGCTTGCAGTAGTTTACGATACCGCATACCGATGGATGTCCTCTTTTCATCGGAACACTGGATCTAATTTTATCAATTTTGTGAACAATTCCGGGAACACAAATAATGTTGGGGATGTCAAAAATATCAATTTGGTTCAGTACTGCCCTCTCTGAACAAATGACGTCATCAAAAATCGGCCACCAAACAAGAAAGGACTATCATGAAACGGTAAAGGGTCGGAGTGTATCCCACGAAACCTGACTGACTCATCAAGTTCTGGTGGAGCGAGAGGTAGTGACCGACTGAAGTGAATAACGAATGGGTCGAGCATGCAAGATTGGAAAAGGGGAGAATGAGGTAATGCAATGCACGACGTGGTAGTGGTAGTAGCACCGCCCCGCCCCGACCTCCTCGGCGTGCTGCTCCTCAAGATGATAGTCTGGCTATGTGAGAATAGAGTTTAGATCTAGTAAGTCTCTATTATTTGATTTATTGGTCTATGATTGATTTTCGTCGTCTATGGGTTGGATTGTAACTTCCTTCTCTATTGCAATCGCTTGCGTGGAAGTTTCTTTCTATGTATTTCGTGTTGCGCTCCTGCTTCTTCATGATGAAGAATCAAGCAATCACTATCATGACTTGATAGGCTTCTCTTGGATCAGTTCTCGCATAGTCACACAGATCAAGAACAATTGAATCATCAATTCTTCTGGATGAACAGTATGATCTGGTAGGTAGTCAGCACTCAAGGCAAATAGTCGCCCGATTATGGAATACAGGCGCATCATGGACTTGGACGGACTGAGTAAACCAGAAAAGTCCAAGGCAACGTGTGCCATGTCTGTCAGGACTTCAGCCTCTACCAATGGGGAGGAGGGAGGCTCCGTGGTCAGCGGTATGGTTTCGGCAATGTCAAGGCTGGAGGAGCCAAGTGCTGAGAGCCGCATCATCAATCTGGAAGGATTGCTGAGAAGGCCCGAGAAATCAAGGGCAAAGTGGGCCACGTCCGTAAAAGAATCCGGCCCAGCCATTTGCGGTAGTGATAGGCTGTCGGCCATTGAAATACTGGAGGTGGCGATCGTTGACTGAGCAAAAGTGGTTGCTGGAGAAAATGCTGCATGACTCTGTGAAGCGATTAGCGATGCGGCTGTTGGAAGAGCAATGTCCACCAGGGCGTTGCCTTCGCTACAGCAGAGACTTGTCGCAAGGAGTGAAATCAAGGTAGACTTCTTCATGGTTGTGGTTTGTTTGGTAAAAGTGTTGGCCTTCTCTTTGTGAAAAAATGAGAATGTTTGTAATATTTTGACGGGTTTCTGCGATTGTCTCGTTCTCCTTTTGCACATTACACGACGGAGTTGATGGTTTGTGGGGTTTCAAAATTTGCTCAGCCAATCAGAAACGATTCTAGTTAATCCCGTGTGATTGGTTAAAAACGACGTCATCATTTCGCCATTGGTTGTACGACGTCATCAGCATTCCAGCTAGTCGGGTCCATTGCGTTTGCCGTTTTCTTGATGGGTTTGAACTTCGCGTGACTGCCGAGAAACGATGCGTCATCATTCATCATGCGTTATGTCGGAGTGGAATCCTCGGCAGAACTTTTTCAGGCACTGTTTCTTGGTCAACGCACCAATTCTGCGAGGCTGCGCGGGCCAGATTCATATACTATGTAGAAGCAAGATTGAAGTGCTCGCTGAAAGTGTGCAGGGCGCACTTTTGTAGAAACCCACATACAAAAGCACGCGCTAAAGTCAATAGTAAGTATGGAACGTATGGCAGCGGACCCGCCAACATTTGAACACAACGACAAAAGTGGTGTTGACATCAAAATCTTCACCGCAATACACCCGACGAAAAGATACATCCACGAATCTAGCACTCCAATCGTTGCAAATTGCAACAATACCATCCAAATACATCACAATATACACAACCGAAAATGGTTTTGCGAGCCTTGAGACAAGAAACCTGCGAAACGTGGACCGAATTCCACAAAAAGTTTCATTCCGATGACTTTCGCTCACATTATTCCATGAGTTATTTCAACAGCGGCACTTTTATACACAAAAGCAACAATGCCAACAAGAATACGCTTGTAAAGAAACTACATGATCTGATATCGTCGCCAAGTCAAACTTCCAAGCGGACGATTTCACTGCGTAGGGGAAGCCTCAACCTTGCTGCGTGGAACAGCCGATGGAACAGATAAACCTCAACCTATAAATTCCTCTGCAACTGCTGCCATGGCGAACTGACGACCCAAGATGCAGTGACTGAAGTTGCACCTGACTCTGGATCGCTGGCCTACTATCAGAGCACCAAACACATCCAATGCACCCGAGTCCACGACGACGACTTGCACAGATTTTCCTCTTTTTCAGCCGCATTCCACCACCTTTCGATTATGACGCCATGTCGATCTATTCCTCTTATGCACCTTTATGTGTTTATGTCAATGCTATCATCCGTTCTTGTGGGTCCATGTCCAAGCCAAAGACGAAACCTGCTGTCCTGCAAAGTAATCCGAATCTTATCTTCTGTAGTTGCTGAATATGAATATTATGATACAATATACTCAATTATAAATCAACAACTATAACATACAAACTTCCATCTATCAACAAGGATGTCGTTAGGGAGGTAGGATTGTTCACAATTAGATGCTCGAGCTGCTATAGGGCGGATATCTATTATAGTTGATTGAATTTAATTTACCAGGGATACTATACCGGTACAGAGAAAAAGAAATTCAAAATGTCTGACTGCTGGTGAGTCAGTCAAAATTTGTCTTTTTTTTATTGATTGGTCATTCTACGATAGAGGTGCTAAACGGCAAACAAACAAAAATGTTCGTTGGTCATCATTCTACGATCCTAAATAAAATGCCGATTCAAAATGTCTTACTTGTGAGTCAAAATCTGTCTTTATTGGTCATTATTCTGAGATATTGTTACCCCACCATAAGTCAAAAGGAGAAAAACAATTTCGCAGCAGGCATTTTAGTAATACACGGCAAAGAGAACAGGGCGTTTATACTACCAACAATTTACGACGATAGCATACAGGCACTTTGTATGATCTCAATAATGTCATCCACAAATACCATCTCAATGCCCGACACAAGAGGTAGTGAAACAGAGATGGCTATCAGTACTCGATTGCTATCTTTAATGTACGACAAAGCGACACCACGATTACGAGTGGACGAACTGAACGAAAACAGCACTCGATATGACTTGGCCGTTGCCGCTCCGCCTGACGAAACTTTAGTAGACTACTGGTATGCATGGGCGATAATAACCTTTCTGTCAGGAATGTTCAGCTTCGTCGTCTTCTTGGGAGTCGTTTCGAGCCGGAAGACCCGACGGCAGCCTTTCAACTTGTATCTGATCTACCTGATGGTACCGGATTTTCTGTTTTCGTTACTCTGTGCCATGACGTGCCTAATGAACGCGATACACGGCAGTTACTGGAGTCATTGGATGTGCAATTTTCAACAATTCTATGTAGTGTTTGGGTTTGGAGCCAACATGTGGCTAAATGGTGTGGTGTGCTTTCAGCTGCACAGAATGCTTTCATTCTCAAATGGCAGAAGGCGCTACCAAATGCCCAGCCGAAGACGAGTAACATTTCACTCTATGGCGGTCTATAGCTGGTGCTTATTTCTGGCTAGTTGGGGTATCTATGAGACTCCAAAGTTCCCCTTTCACTCAGGAGCGGTTACAGGATTGGGGTGCTTGCCAGTGGAAACGGATGGAGCCTCGACCCTCTTCTTCTGGCTTGTATTCTTTCCAGTCTTTGCTGGCATACCGCTTGTGTACGTAATGTGGGCGTGTTTTGATGTATATCGTCGGAATTTGCTGCCACCTCGGGGCAAGCGACGACTCTTATTTATATACTATGCGCGCCTTGTCGGGATGTTTGTGGTGATGTGGGTTCCTTCCATCGTCCTCGCTTTTGTCATGCCGATATCACCTGAGTACTTCTTTGCTGGTGGGACTTGGAGTCACCTGCAGGGGGGAGTGAGTGCTGTCGTAGCCTTGATGAAACCCGATATTTTGCAGGCTGTGAAACGATTCATCAAATGTCGCTGTGACGATGCTGAGGTTGAGAAGGACGAAAGATTTAGGCAGCAGAGTGAGGATTCTCATGGAAAGAGCCTTACAGATGCTGAAAGAATGCGGCGAACTTCGACTAGCATGAGGGTGAGTGAGTATGATTCGCACTATAATAAGTCTTTAGGAGACATGTCTTTCGACCTAGAGATCGGACCATCGGTCGGGACAAACAAATCGACAGAGCTGGAAACCACCCCGCATAAAGAAGAGCAAACAAAACCCGAACAAGAAGGCAAAGAAGACACGCCCTCGATGGACACGTCAGATGGAATCGATGGGGTCAGTCGGCATTCTCGAATAGACCAAACAGGCCAAGTCACTATTCATGGGAGCCGAAAGAATGGAAGGAGGTACGCCAATGAGATTGTAATAGAGTAGCATTTCGTCGCTCGATCTAGCTAGTCGATTGATCTAAAAAATAATAAAAGGAAATGTCTTCGTTTTGGTACAGTACACGTGTACCTGGTACGAGCTCATACCTACCGGTACCAATCTACGATTCCCAACCCAATGTAGAAATGGAGAAAAACTCGCGATCGTTACACGTGCAACGTAACGAGGCTTTTTCGTCATTTTACAATAGTCGCAACCTCCACAATAACAACCATCTCCATGCTTGATACAAGGGGTAATTTTGCAGAGATGGCTACTCGATTGTTATCGTTAATGTAAGACAAAGCGACACCACGATTACGAGTGGACGAACTGAACGAAAACATTACTATATGCCTGATGTGCGGGGATTACCTTTTATCAGAATGTTCCGCTTTATCCTCGTCTGTTCGGGAGTCATTTCGAGCAGGAAAACAAGACGGCAGCCTTTCAACTTGAAATAGTTCCAGATATTTTATTTTCGTTGCTCTGTAGCGACGGTGCGGCTTACCTGGTGAATGCGATCGGCAGTTACTGGAGCCGCTGGATGTGCAAATCTACGTGGTTTTCGGATTGGGAGCCAACATTTGGCTCAACGGTGCTTTCAGCTGCACGCATACTCCCACGACAGAAGGCGCTACAATGTACCGACTCGAAGACGAGTAACACTTGATGCCAGCATGACAGCGTACAAATGGTTCATATTCTTGGCCAGCTGAGGTATCTACGAGACTCCAAAAGTTCCCCTTTCATTCTGGAGCAGTTACAGGTTTACGCGGTTTGCCAGTGGAAACGGGCAAAGCATCAAACCGTTTTCTTCTCGTTTGTCTTCTTTCCAATATTTGCTGGCATGCCCTTTGTTCACGTAATCTCAGCGTACTTTTTGCCATTCCGATAACACCTGAGTACTTCTGTGCTGGTGGGACTAGGAGTCACCTACAGGGTGATCCGAGTGAGCGTTGCCGTACCGTTGATGAAACCTGACATCTTGGAGGCTGTGAAACGCTTCATTACGTGTCGCTGTGGTGGCGAAGCTGAAGATGAGGAAGTAGGGTGTAGGCATAGTGAGGACGAAGCTGAAGATGAGGAAATATGGTGTAGGCATAGTGAGCCTCACAGATGTTGAATGAATGCGACGATCTTAAAATAGCATAACGCTCTGTGGTTTTGACTCGCACTGCTTCTCTTTCGATCTATAAAGGACAACGCGGCATGGCAGAGAAACAGAATAAGAACTGGGGGGCCAAGCCCACACACATGATTCCGCAGAACCCGAGGGATGAGCCAAAGAAGGAACGTCCTCCTCGGACAACGGAGTCGATGCGTCCATACATAATTCTCAACTGGACGATACACGGCAAGAAACAATTGGAAACAGAGAAGGTGCACATTTCTCACAAGCAGAAGAAACAACCGCCATTGAAGTTAATAGCTGTTGAAATATGCAATAGAATTAGATGCGGTATTAATCGTTGGTGGCTTGAAGCTGTATTATTAGCTTCTATGTCAGGAACGTACGTATCCTCAAATCGGGGCAGGCGGTATAACGTGGGTGAACTGCGCACCGCCGGTACGGTGGTACGGGTACCCAAAATGGACTACCATATGTAAAATTTCCCTCACCGTTCAACGTTTGAGCAGCGCCAATACCTAGTACCAGTTACTGCAGCTTTCAAATAATTAACGCTTTTTCATTCGGAATGACACCCTTCACAAGTTTAAAAATGAGAATCTTCACCCAATGCGGAGAGCAATAGTACCACGTGATCAGAAAAGAGACTACGGTACAAACGCACTGTGAGCTACACCAAACTGGAAAAACTCGTTAAGGCTACTAAGTTTGAGGCGAAATTATACTAAGTAAAATTCGCATTCGAGTTACAGAGAACAGTCGATTTCAATAAATGTAATTAACAGCTGTATTCCCTACGATCAACAGTATAAGTGGGCAAGTCGGGAGCCAATGAAAAGACCCAGGTCCACAGCGAACATTTAATACTTGCGGCGACTGCGGCGGTTGAGGTTGATAAAAGTGATGATTCCTGTATGCTAGATTGGTCTTGATTGCGCGTTTTTTTTCCCTTTCCTCGCAGTATTTGCAAGAACCCTCCCACAATATTCAAAGGACTACAGCCCTCCATACATTGTCTTGCACACCATGATCCTTCAGGACCCTATCTCTCCTGAAAGTCCCTTTCGCCAGCAGAAGCTGGTGAACGGGAAATCACTCCGGGATCTGAGTGCTTATGACGGTTACTCTTGCAGTCTTCGGGAGACTCCAGAGTATCGATTCAGCGACCTTCACAAGGTGTCACATCTTGGAGGGGGGTCATACTCCAAGGTTTCACTAGTGATTACAGCATCGAAAGATCAGTTGGCCATGAAGTCTTTGGATCCAGCGAAGTTGGGCACACAAAATGCCTTTGTTGATGCAGCTGTTGATCTAGCACGGGAAGCAAACATATTATCAAAACTTGATCACCAGAACATCATTCGATTGCGAGGAGTTCCGTGCACTAGCCTTTCCGAATCATTCTCTGACGCAGAGGTCAGCAGCCAAAGCGACGATGGATATTTCATTCTGCTGGATACCATTGACGAGACCTTGAAAAGCCGCCTTTCAAGATGGCGTAGAGACCTTCGAACATCCGCTAAGGGACGAAAGAAGGGCACCATCAGTAGAGCATTATCCTTTGATGCCTGGAAAAAGAAAGTTAGCAAGCAAGCCTCCAAAGTGGACGATGCCAAAATGAAGGATCGAATGCGTATAGCAGCAGTGGGAGTTGCTTGTGGTATGCAGTATCTTCACGAAGAAGGTGTTATTATGCAAGACCTCAGCGTATCCAACGTTGGATTCGATCAGCGTACTGGTGAAGTCCGAATATTCGATTTTGGCATGGCGCACAAGGTGAACGAACTATCCAATCCCCTCCAAGACAAGAGGGAAGAAGGTCTCGTTTGCGGAACTCCACGCTACATGGCTCCAGAAGTCATGCAAGGTGCTGGAGGAAGCAAAGAATCCGATGTCTTCTCGTTTGGCGTTATGTTGTACGAGATTTGTACTCTGCAGTCCTTCTTTTCTTTGGACACCGACCTTCAATGCTTTGAGAAACACGTTCTCTCTGGTGAGCGACCATCGTTGGACAGAACTGTTCCTTGCATGCAGACAAGGAATCTTATCTCGAGCTGTTGGGCTACCGATCCAAAGGATCGCCCTACATTTGATGAGATTGTGGATGTTCTTGTTACTATCCTTACTGCCGATGACAATGACTCGACGCTTGTTGATGAAAATCCTCGCGCGCTTTGGTAATCAGACGTTGCGGTGACATTTTCCCAATCCCAATTTTTCACTTTGATTTGCAGAGAATTGAGGCCATCTGCTGCTTGAGATCTCCTGCTTGCCATCAAATTTTGCAATTTTTTGCATGCACAATTTTGCCACACTACCATAGACAGGCTAGAAACCATTATAAACGCTAGGTTACAAACAAACGAGTCCACGTTCATTTTGATGCGATTTGGTTGTGCGTGCAATCCATTTCAACAAGCAAGCTCCTGGTTGCTGTTGCATGTCGATGATGCTAGTCCTCAGGACGTATTCGCTAGTCGGTAGTAGCATTCATTATCATTTTTAAAACTTAAAATATTTACTCTACCTTGACACCGTCCTTGTAGGAATAAGATGGTGTTCTCATGGTGACCATCTCTTCAGCAGAAGTGGGGTGGATTCCAATGGTGTTATCAAAGTCAGCCTTGGTGGCTCCCATCTTGATGGCAATGGCAATACCTTGGACCATTTCCCCGGCTCCATCCGTGGCGGCATGACATCCGACAACTTTGCCGGTATTGTCATCGACAATGAGCTTGAACAAGCTGTAGGTCTCAGAGCCGGGGAAGGAGTGCTTCATGGCACGGAAGCGAGACTTGAAGACAGAGATATTCTTGAACTTTTCGACGGCTTCTTCTTCCGAGTATCCAACCGTTCCGATTTCAGGAGTGGTGAAGACTGTTTGAGCGACAAACTCGTGGTCGACAGGACGATCCATACCTCCAAAGACAGTATCGGCCAAACGGTGACCTTCCATAAGGGCGACGGGTGTCAAGGCAATGCGATTGGTGATATCACCAACGGCGAAAATGCCTGGAACGTTGGTACGGGAGTAGTCATCGACGGGAATGAAGGACTTTTCGGTGTGGACACCTGCGGACTCCAAGTTTAGCTTTTCAATCTTACCCTTGCGGCCAGTGGCGTACATGACAGAGTCGCATTCCACCTTGTTTCCGTCCTCGGTGACGACGGTGAAGCTTCCATCGTCGTTTTTGACAATTTCTGTAGGATTGGTATTGAATTGCAAGTTGATCTTGGAGTTGGTTTCCATCTCTTCCTTCAAGTGTGCCCGCATGTCGTTATCGAATCCACGAAGGAACAGGTCGCCACGGTACATGAGGGTGACATCAGTGCCCAAACCGTCCATGATGGTAGCGAATTCCAATGCGATGAATCCCCCTCCAACAATGACCATGCGCTTGGGTTGTTCCTTCAAGTAAAAGATTTCGTTCGATGTGATGGTGTGTTCGATTCCTGGAATATCAGGCTTGAATGGCCAACCACCAACAGCAACCAAGATATTTTTGGCAGTCAAGGTCTTGGTTTCACCACTGTCAGTCATGTGAACATCGACGGCATTCTTTCCGTTCAAGGCACCAAAACCCTCGATGATTTCGACACCAGCATTTCCCAAGATAAATTTGTTGTACACGTTGTTCAGACGAGTGATTTCAGTATCCTTGTATTCCATAAATTGCTTCCAATCGAATTGTCCTGGAGTGGCTCCACTCCATCCGTATCCAGCGGCTTCGCCAACCTCACCAGGGTAACGAGCGGCGAAGACCATCAGCTTCTTGGGGACGCACCCGACGTTGACACAGGTTCCACCAATGGCACTGTAGTTGGGAGCACCGTGTTGCAATTGGGGTTCAATCAATGCGACCTTGGCGCCGTGACCAGCCGCGATACGAGAGGCGCGGACACCACCCGATCCTCCGCCAATGACCAAAAAGTCGTAATCGTAGTCTCCTTCGGAAGACATGGAACGGCTGACCACGGAGGATAGCGCTGTCCGACGCAAGGAGGTGCGTGGAACAAAGGTAGCGGCCGAAACCACCATGGAGGCAAGCATGGCGATTCTCATTGCAAATACAACTAACGTTGCTGAAATTGTCGGAATGTTTCTTGAATATAAACACTGCAACACACGTTTGGAGTTGCGCTGCTGTACTTTCTTTTTGTTGTCAAGGAAAGATCTGCCTATATTTTCATCCATCAATGATGGTGGATGGACGGGCGGAGAAACATCACACATCACTCAGCTCAAGCATCGGTGGCAGACTGACGTATGTTGTGTCCGACGCATTTCTCTGTCCGAACGAATATAAGAGAACTGTTCGTTTGGCAGGATGATGGCCACGAATGAAATGGAGAATCTTATTCTTGGGCGAATGGGGCAGGTTACGTATTGTGACACCACGTAGCCGCCAATAATCTCGCATTCGACGAGATAATCAGACATTTTGGTAGCTCTCCATTTAGGCACGAAACAAATTTAATTAATCCGAGCTCAAAATCTTGCACCCAAAACCGAGTGTTGGATGCCGCTCCCTAATTGATGAGCACTTTCATCTGATCGTAGTAAATTCCACGTGCACATACAGATGTTATGCGACCGCCTTACGGACGTTCATCCAAGGGAAACTATTGGTCATGAAAAAGTTCCCCGGCACAAAGCAAATCAGTCATCCCCCCAGCTGTTGTGGGCATCAACGACTTGCGAGGGCTATTATCTTTCTTTGATAAGCCTACAATCATCACCATCAAGCATACAGTGCTGTGACAGTACGAGTACCTGCTACTTGAGATTTCAGGCATCGCCATCAGTACAAAAGCTTTGATCATAATTTGATCAGATTTCAGAAATCTGATTCAGCAAGGCCATTGGAGCATTCGGATACTAAAATAATAGCCTTACCACAACGAACGAGCTTGAAGACATCATGACGAGCCTAAACAATATCAGCGAATCCAGTGAAATGTCGGAAAGCATGTGTGAATCTGAACTCCATTCGGAAAGGGATTATTACGAAGAAAGTAAGAAGATGACCGTCAACATGGCTGGAAACGCAACGGCAGTAAACAGCAACGGGGCCGCTATGAATAAGCATAATATCATGCGCAATCCCGCTGCCTTACAGCAAGTTGCGGCAGATCTAGAACGCGGCTTACCTGTCAGAGATCACAGACAGCGCTTTCGAACGTACAAACAAACCTTTGTGGGAACTGATTGCGTTGATTTTCTGGTGAGATCACAGTTGGTGGAGTCAAGGACAGCAGCTGTGGAATTGGGACGGAAACTGGTGTCGGAACTGAATCTTTTTGAGCATGCTACTTTAGATGATCAAGAGTTTAACGATGACCACTTCTTTTATCGATTCATTGAGCCTGAAAGACGCACCTTACCACCACGGGCATCCATATCAAAGGCTTCTGCCCAAGGAGCAGCAAAGCCTGCCTCAGCGAAATCAATGTCCTCAACAGACGCAACTTTAAAATCGGCTGCTGAATTGATACGCCAAAAGCTACCAGTTCGAGGGTTCCGGGTCCACAACTTTAGCATTTATCGAAACTCGTTCGTTGCCAGTGAAGCTATTACGTTTATGGTTCATGAACAGTTGGTTGGCACACGGTACGAAGCTGTCAAGCTGGGCCAACGATTAGAACGAGAACTGCAACTGTGGCAGCATATCGACCAAAGGCTCGCATTTAGCGACAAGTACTTGCTCTTTCGATTCCAAGAAAAGAATGCACAGAACAAACTGAAATCGGCCGCCACGGCATCCCAGGAGCAAGCCCAACGGCAGCAGCAGCAGCAGCAACCAGGAACCAACCAGCAACAGCGACCGAGTCACATCACCACAGCAACGCTCTCTCCCGATGACTCCCTGCAATCTACACCTGATGCAGCAGATGCCTCCGCAGGAACAGCAGCACCAGCCCGTCCACAACTTCACACAATGTCGCAATTGAACACGATTGGGAATATTCTCAAAAGAGGACTCAAGGTTAAGGACCGGTCCCACAAGTTCAAAACCTATCACAAATGCTTCATGACTCGTGAAGCCATCGACTTTATGGTGAAGGAAGGCTTGTGTGCTGACCGAAAAGAGGCGGAGCAACTAGGACTTGCGCTTCAACATCAGCTGGGACTTTGGCATCATGTCAGCTTTGATGACAACTTTAAGGATGGCAAGCTATTATTTCGATTCTCCACCACCTACGGGTCCGAAGAATTCACCATCGCCTCGGAAAAATACTCCGGTTCCTTCCACACAGTCTCCATTCCGGAAGGCACTGGACATTCCATCGCTTCCACGACTCTCTCAATTGGAGGTCCTACCTATAAGCTTCAAAATGGCACCACTTTGGACATATTGGGCTTGAACAGCGTTGCCTCCAAGCTAAATCGAGGTCTGAACATCAAGGACCGAAAGTACAAATTGAAACGCTATCGCAACGTCTTCGTCGGAACCGAGGCTGTGGACTTCATGGTGCAATCAAAAATCACCTCCAGTCGGGAAGAGGCAGTGAAACTTGGCAATCACCTGATGGACCAATTTGATTTGTTCTACTGTGTATCCACTCGTGGAAAGGCTGTCAAAAGTACATCCAAAGGTGGTGTGGCCAATGGTGAGGAGAAAAACGCAATGAGCGGCATTGATAGTAGCAAAAACGGAATCAACAAGCCGTTTGCGGACGAATTCTTCCTCTATAGATTCTCCAAAGACACCAAACTGAGCTTGGGGCGCTCATCCATATCCACAGATGGCTTCAGTTTCGACCAATCGTTTGCTTCCTTTGCTTCCTTTGAACTCAGTCTTGACGACGACAGCCAAGACGGTGACATGGAATTTTCGGGAGTCACCGAGCAGGTGGGACGGATGAAGCGACAGGAAATCTTACAGATTGGAGAGCGACTGCGACGGGGAATTCGCGTGCAAAACCGAAAACGTAAATTCAAGACTTATCGCAGTTGTTTCATCGCCTCGGAAGCTGTCGACTTTATGGTGCAATCGGGGATTGCAGAATCGCGGGAATACGCAGTTGCTATTGGGAAAAGACTTGAAGAGGACTATACTTTCTTTCATCATGTCACTAGAACCCAAGGCTTTAAAGACGAGCCGTTATTCTTCCGTTTCGTGTCAGGTGCTTCGGGACAAAAAGATATTATTGCCAAGACCGTAAATCAATCGGTCACAGGCTTTCAACCTTCACAAATGACCAAGGGCAAGCAAAAAACAGCAGCCGAACTCGCAACACCTACGTTAGTGCCAACCCACATTACTGCCAGTGATGTTGGTAACGCTAGCGGTGCCGAGGGTACGGATAGTACTGAACCCGCGAAGAAAAAGGGGGAACGCATTCGAATGGAATACGATGCTACCTTGAGACAGGAGCACGTCAAACAGCTGAAACAAATTGGGAACAGAATCGCGAACGACGTGCACATGGTTATGATATCGGGTCCTTCAGGTTGTGGAAAACGTGCATTGGTGGAATCAACCTTCGATAGCGACAAAAATGCCTTATTTTCGTCCGCCAAATTCGAAAAGACAGAAAACTCACCATTTGCGACAATACGACTTCTATTTTCGGAAATCTGCAAAAAGATTGGTGATAATTTCGATATTTGTCGCAGTTTAGCCGAGACACTCACTGGAAATCAGAAACTCGCTTTCATCAATTGGGTACCCGAGGCCGTCACAATGCTTTTTGCTGACGACGTTGAGCAAGAAGCCGTTCGGACTGAGTCCGATGGGGAAGGCGCTTGCATCAAACATACACTACTATCGTTCTTGGAAGCGGTGTGCTCTTTCTATCCAGTTATCCTTCTACTTGATGATATCATGTTCGCAGAACAAGAAACACTTGAAATTCTTGACTTTGTATTGAAGTCAAGCCAAAATAATCTGCTTTTAGTGGCAACATATCAAACTGACCACGTGGATGAAGAGCACAACCTGATGAAGTTCAAGAAGGAAATGACCAAAAAAATCAAGGTCGAGAGCATGGCAATGGAAAACTTGAACGAGAACCAAGTTCGAATCTTCCTCAGTCACTCATTGAAGTTAGAAGAGGATCAAGTTGCAGAACTTGCGACACTGATGAAAACGAGAACGTTGGGAAATATGTTTTTCCTTATTCAGCTTCTTGAAACGCTACAGCAGATGCGTCTCCTGATCTACGATTTTCCAACTTTAAAATGGAAGTTTGACGTGGAACAGATTCGGCAGGAGACCAATGTGTCTGACAATGTAGCATCACTACTGTCGATGAGAATTGCAAACTTGCCGCGTTCTGTGGCAGAGACATTGAAAATTGCTTCATGCTTTGGTACTTCTTTTGATCCCGATGTCATCGATGCCACAAAGTCGGTCTTGAAGATCTACGAGGAAACTGCCTACGTGCTTGACCAAGCATGCAACGAAGACTTGTTGATTCGAATTTCAGAGCGAGAATACAAATTTGCCCATGAGGAGGTTCGGCTGGCCGCATACAAGCTTCTGCCCGAAGGAGAAGAGCGAAAAAAGGTTCACTGGGAGATTGGGTTCAAGCTTTCGAAACGTCGGAACTTGCTACAGGATAGCAGTAATCTCTTTGCCTGCGTGGATCAGATGTTGCAAAGCGAAGAGCAAATGTTCCTTATGGTCAAACGAAATTACAAAATCAGAATTGTCAACTGGTTCCTTCGAGCAGGACAAAGCGCGATGACATTATCTGCCTTTGGTGTGGCCAATCGGTATCTTCGTACCGGTGTCCAGCTTTTGGCAGACGATCCGAAGGCTGCCTTTCGTGATCACTACGAATCTTCTGTTTTGATGTACTCAACCCTTGCGCAATCAGAACTCAGTGCCGGCCGAGTCGAAGAGAGCCGAAAGCTCGCTGAGACGGTCCTCGAAGAGAGCCGGCTACAAAAAGACAAACAGACCGCTAGTATTACCTTGTTTCGCTGCTTCACTGCGGAGAGCAGAATGAAAGAACAACTTGATTTTGCTATCGATCTGTTGGCTGCAGCTGGGCTCAAAATCCCAAAAGACCCCAACGTTATTCAAGTGAAGCTAGAGTGGGAAAAGACGAAATCTGGCATCAAGAATGCCGAAGAGGTTCTTGCCCTTCCCCATGCAACAGATAAGGGCATTGACTTTTGTTATGATATCATGACTGATCTTGTTTTGACCTCGGATGCGCCGGGGCGACTTTTCAGTTGCTTTGCAACTGCACGGATGGTTCAGATGACGCTGAAGCATGGTCTCTCGAAGTTTACTCCTCTGATTTTCATCCTTGTGGGTTTAGACTTCATTGCGTATGGCAATGACTTGAAAGAAGGAAACAAGTTCATTCAACTTGGGTTTCAGATTCAAGATAATGTTGAAGTTGCTTTGAGGGGGCGTGTGCTAACACAGGCATGTATGGCTCTCGGGTGTGTTCAGCCAATCTCCAGGTGTATGTACCTGGCATTGGATGGATACAAGGCCAGTATGGAGCTTGGTGACATCCAAAATGCATTCCACGGAGCTCGTGTCTACCTTTGGAGCTTCTATTACAGTGGCTTGCCTTTTGAACCGCTCATTGATGACATTGAAAGATTTGCTCTCCAAATGCTGGATTATAAACAGCTTTATCTCTTTCACATGGTCACACCGATGTACCAATTATTGCTAAACTTGCAAGGTGTCTCAGGCGACCCGACGAATATCGAAAAGGGAAAGGCAATTGAACTGGCAGGTAAAGTTCCGACTGAAAGTGAACATGACGTATGTTGGGAGTTCATCCGTGCCTATGGAATGGAACTTGCGTTCTACTTTGGTGATCTGGAGAAGGCTACAAACTATTACAATGAGATCAAGAATTTGCACATCGGATACCTCAAGGCAACCTTGCTGTTTCACAGCAGAGTTTTCTTCTACGCGCTCATTTCGATTGAGAACTATCGAATTACCAAGAAAGTGCAAACCAAAAACGATGCCAAGAAGTACACTGGTTTCTTGAAAAACTTGGTGGAACAAGGTGCTGTGAATGTGAACCATAAATTCCAACTCCTGCAAGCCGGATTGATGTCGTTGGCTCCAAAAGATCCGACCAAGGTTGTCAGAAAGTACGAAAGGGCAATTGCCCTTGCGTCCCGAACTGGATTTCTTCAAGACAGTGCTCTGGGAAACTATCTGTGCGCCCAATTCTGCTTGAGCCAACCCGACCAAGTGGACTCAGCCAGTCGTTTCATCGAAGAAGCGTACAAGCAGTACCAATCTTGGGGAGCAGCAGAAGTTGCAGAATCAGTGAAGAAGCGCCATCCGGAATGTTTCCCCAAAGAAGCACCGGGTAGCAGAGTACGCCAACGAAAGAGTGAAGGGCTTCGCAGTCGACGACATTTCCGTGGTTCGATTGCTCATATGCACACATCCTTGGCTACTGCTCGCAGAATCAAGCGCAGTAGCATGGACGAGAGTGAACAACCGCCGTCCTTCAATTAAAGCGAGCTTTGGCTAACGAAATAATATAGGGCTAGTATATTATATTCATAGAACAAAGGTACCGTATATATCCATTTTTTATCTTTCAGTTTGCCCACTAGTTCAGATGTTCATCGCCAACAAACAAATCTGCGTTTTGGAACTAAATAGAAAATGTGTAGGATATATACTTCAAAACTACTAATCATGAACTTATATCTAGTTGCCTTCAGCAGCAGCGGGCCCATGCTGGGTGCAAGGCTTTAGCCAGCAGTGGCGAAAATCCTGGCTGAAGTGCAAACTTGCCATGAGAGTAGTAAAAGCCGTTCGAGCTAAAGAAGGTTGGCTTCTTTCTTCGTGATTCGTATGGAAATAAAAGTGATGACAACTTTCACTTTCAACTTTCAACTTCTTGGATGAATGCGGGACTCGACCAGTTCAGGACTGAACCAGTCATAATTTCAAATTTGATGATGACCTACTCCCCCATATCATGACGATGTTCTCATTTTTCAAAGACTCCATCGCAATCCTTCTTGTTTGAAGCTGTTTTTGTGCGTTCCGTCAGCTAAGAGTCCACAATGAGATGATCTACCACTCTCGCTGGTAGTTTGGTCTTCTTCGTCCCAGTAGAATGACCATTCGAAACAGACATGGACAGAATGTCTGCGGGACAGCAGAGCCAAATAGTACCAATCGAACCAATAATACTTCCAAAAAGAAATCCAAATGGTTGAGCCCAATATGGATTCTAGTGATTATTGGTTTGATCTTGTTTGGTAGCAAACAACCATACCGCTCTTTCTCGAAACAACAAGATCCTGCCCTAGGAAGCAAATCAGCAAAGATACCAAATCAAGGCAACAACGCGCAAGCCTTGACATCATCATCGGCCTCGGAAAATGCACCTTCCACTGTACGCGCACAATCCACAGGAACACCCACACCATCTCCAACAGAATATTACACAAACAAGGAATTCCTCAAGCATGATTCTTATTGGAACAATTGGTCCAAATGCGACATGGCTGCTGCTTTTCGTGCCAACTGCAATCCACGTCCAGCCAATTGTTCCCGTGTCATTGAAAACGTTCGCAACAATCACGGAATTGGCAATGCCCTTACTGTTTCGTATGTCAAATATGCCATGGATAGTCTCCAGGAGCAACCCGACTGTACTCCCATTCTCAAGGATGATTGGTCAAAAACTCTGGAGGCCAACACTTACAAATTTAAACTCTTGGATTATGTTCATGATCCGACCGTTGTCGTTCCTGTCCTGAACCGATCAGAGCCTATCAAAAAATGCGTCCTATATGCCATTACTCGACCCCGAGAGGCAGTGGCGACAAAATTGGAACAAGTGGCTGCCAAGTTCGCTGAAAATTCTTCCGACCATTTGCCATTGGTCGCCCTTCATATTCGTGCTGGGTGGAGTGACGAACTAGAGCGAAATGCAGCCTGGAACGCCTTGGGCAATTGTGAGGATTTTCCTCATGACATGGAAAACACCCCACTGGCCGTAAATGAAATTGATTTGAAAGGCATCCTTTTGGATACAGCCCATGCGGCCGATCGAATGTTTGGAATGGCCAATTGGCGGCTTTATGTGGCCAGCGATGCTCCTGGAATTCGAAGGTATGTGCAATACTTGCTCCACACCAGAACGCCCAAGATTGTCTGGAACGAAGGACGAGTGGGGCACAATTATCTGGGAGGACAAACCACCACTACAGAAGAAAAGATTGAAACCTCTATCAGTGCATTTTCCGATGTATTAGTCATGGCCCAAGCGGATCTATTGGTCAGTCTCGTTTCCAAATTTCCGAAAGCAGGTGAAATGATTTCCATGTGCCCTCAACGAGCCATTCAGTTGAGGGGTCATCCGCGTCATAGATTGGCCATAACGGGTCATGTCCTGAAGAATGCTTTTCGGCTAAGAACCAACCAGACGGATCCTTATTGGACTCCCGAGTTATCATTAACAGTTGGCGATATGGAAAAGTTTTGGGATCATTTGCCTTTTGGCAAAAATAATTCATGCGCCAAGGCAGAGAATCAGCTTCGATCTTGTTACTGCTTGCTCAAACAGGCACATGAGTGACGAGTAGCATAGTTTATTATGCTCTGAACGAATCAATCCATCGGCCTTATTGCAGTATCCTGGCACTGTTGTATAGTTTCCAGCGCCATAGGGCTTGCCACCGGTGAGCTTGGTACGCAGTGGGGAGGTGGAGACCAAGTAAAGAAACAAGCTAGCTTCCAAGGACTCGGATATAAGAGTCACAGCGAACCAACCAAAATCCTCTTTATATGCAAAAAGTGAATTGCTATCACTTAGTAAAACACTGGCACCCCTGTTTCTGTAATTGTTCTAGACTTCTCTACTGTTGGCACATAGTAATATCAGGACTAGCAGGACTAGCATTCGAGCATTGCAAAATTAAATGGCACAATTTTTTGTTACGCTGTCTATTATAGTAGTCCTATCATGAGCAAGTTTGCTTTTTAAAAAATCTATTGCTCAAAGAATTCCAGCGCCGGAACCACCACTTCCGAACAGTATTCGTGAAAGGCCCATGCTCGGTGCAATGCTTTGGCCAGTGGCGAGTATCCTGGCTGAAGAGCAAACTTGCCATGATAGTAAGAGGCATTGGAGCTGGAAGAGACAGCCTTCTTTTCTTCCTGTAGTAATAACAAGTCCCTCCAGTTGGATCTTGTGGGATCCACCACGAGTTCTTGGCTGTCTTTGTCCATGTGTTTGGCCTCTAGCAATGCTTGAATTAACTGGTTTGCCGCCTCGACATTCATGCCAGGAACTCGTTGCATCAAAAAGTCGACAGTGACAGGCAAGGAAGCGCAGTGTGTCGTATCCAGTATGATCCAGTCACCCGCCTCAGAGTTCGGAAGTGGATTATGCCCTGCTGAAGCGCAGTTATTGGTGCAGAGCGTATGATAATTCTGAATTGCCTTTTGAGTGGTGCCCTTGTCTCGTGGCATGGGTGCTAAATATAATTTTGGTGAGCTTGCTTTGCCTCCGTTATTCTTGCTTTGTTGTCGTTGTCGGTGCAATTCCTGAAGTTGGGTGACGACCTTGGGGCCCAGTCCCATGACCATGACGACACCCTTATCAATGACTCCGTGAGCGACCAACTGAGCCGCCATGGCACCTCCTGAAGAAGCTCCCATTACAAATGTCTGAGAGGAAGGGGATGATGATAGTGCAGTCGAAAGAAACTTGCGAGGTGACAATGGTTCGTTTGATGATGGTTCTTCTCGCAACCATTTCAGCAAGTATTCAATTCGTTTGGTATCCTTCGTAGGATTCCAGCATCCGCTTTTTCGATCGACACAAGACAAGGCGACTGGAATGTATCCTTTTTCCAACACTAGCCTTACGATGCGCATTTCTTCAGATAAGCCAACACAGTTGGGACAGGTGGCAAGAGATGGGGAGAAAAACTTTGTCGCGGAATGTGTACAAGCATGCAGCAATAGTACCATGCCTTTTGCTTTTGAGTCATCGATAGATATGTTGCTGGAAAAGTATGATTGTAAGTTGGCGGGTATTACCACTTGAAGATCGGATTGACCACCATCTGGCGGCATTGGAATAGAAATTTCCAATCCAGGTATTTCTCGGGCAATCCTATCGTCCACGGCATCGTGAAAGGCGACAACGGGAGGATTGTGTATGGACATCGGATCTCTGTTGTCTTTTGATAGGAGCACAAGTCGTAGCAAAGCTCCCACCCAAGCAATCATGGTGGTGATCATAATCAGCAATACTACCAATCGAGATCTGAAGTGTTGTCTTGAAGTCTTTGGTGGCCATTTCTTCTGTGCAGTATGCCGGATTCCATTGATTCTCTTTCCTTTTGGAGACGTAGAGGCAGAAACGGTAGTCCACGGCCAAACCATATTGGAAATCAAACAGACTGAATCAATCCAAAGACTGATTTTGATTGATGATTCACCTGAGATGATGAGTGTTGGATGATGCGATTTGCTTGAGCTTGTCCAATAAAATGAAGATACTCCAATTCTACTTTCAAATGATCGTGGGCGTCATTGTCTGTAGGATGAGCGGCGTTGTTTTATCTCCATCACTTGGCCAGCATCACAGTGTCATTGTCTGATACAATATCTGTGTATTCTCTTTTATTGCATCACGACGAGTATTGTGCCTCCTGGTACTGTATATTTTATAAAAAATATGTCGTTGAGAGAGATGCGAGCATGCCGGTACCGGTATACGCACCACAGAATTTTTGAAACTGTAGTCGAAGGGATCGAATACCAACCATTTCGCGATATTTTAGTTTCAGTGAGCGCCAGCCGCGCTGCTTTTTTTAAACGAGGTCTCCAAATCCCCAAATATCAAACCACAGAACAAAATTGAAAATTACAGTAATAACGGGAATATACAAGCAATAAGGTCCTCTACCGGTATGAAAGAAAGGTTGTGAATTCTGGATGTTCTGAATATACCACACATAAAGCCAGAGCTTAGAGAAATACAAGAGATAGAATGGAATGCATTGAAAATACAATCATCACAGGTTTCAAGCGGAAACGTTTTGTATCCGAATCTGATGCTGGATCATCGTCGACTCATGACGAATCTTCAGCATCATCATCATCATCACCACCACCACCACTGGGGAACAAGATAACAACAAGAAGTTCGAAACAAAAGCCCCGGAGGCCCTTGCCCTTGAGATCTACCAAAGGCGTCAGTTCGCCTTCACAGGGTTCCGAGAAGCTGGATACAAGCGATGCTTCCAAATCCAAGAGCAAGACGAAGGAAGGAAAGAATGATGTCAACAACATGAACTGTCTCGTGTCTGCCATTGGTATCATAGAGGGACTAGAAAACAAATCATTGTCTCCCACAGTTGTACAAACCAACACGAATGGCGAGGAAGGCAAGGAAAACTCTGATCCAGTCAAGAAGAATAACGCAAAAGGAATTGTCGAATTGGTATCTCAACATGTTGGAATAAGTCGTCACCGTGCTCCACCTGCAATCTTCTCTCCACTCGGCAGTATTCATAATCAAGACCAAACTACAAACCAGGATTCGCTGCAACTTTCACAAGTCGATCATCAAATGGACACTGGACCGACTAAAAACAAGCAGTCACATTCGCCACACCTACTACCTATTCCAGGCGCTAATACCGTGGAACAAATGCTAGTGGCAACCAATGCAGAGCTACGTCGAAAGCATTGCCAATTCGAGCAACAAATGGTACAACAAGCAAATCAGATTCGAGATCTACACGCCAAACTTCAGAATCAGGCCACCGAACATAATGCTGCTGTCATGAAACTAAAGGAGGAGGAATCGAGACGAATGCTGGTCAAAACGACGAATGAGACCAAAGAGCGAATCCAACGTTTGCAGGACGAAAACGATGCCCAAAAAGATGCTCTCAAGAAGAAGTTTGACGAACAAATGAAGAGTATTCTGGAGGAAAAGGATGCCCAACTAGAGACTCTCAAGAAGGAACTTGAAACGGGTCAATCCGAGAGAGCAAAGGATAAGCAAATCATGCAAAGTCTCGTCAAACATTCTGCCGAGCAAGATACTCTCAACAAGAAGTGCGAAGCACGAATGAAGAATATGTTGAAGGAAAAGGATGTCGAACTAGAGACTTTCAAGAAGGAACTTGAAACGGTTCGATCCGAGAGCAAAAAGGAGAAGCAAATGATGGAAAGCAACTCTCAGCGCTCTGCCGCGAAAATCAAGGAGCAATCGGAGGCATTGGACCGTTACCGTTTGGAGCACAATCGAAAGGAAAGCTTGCTTCGGACTGAAAACAACAAGCTCAAGAAAGAGATCTCCAAGATGCTGAAAACTGGGGAGAAAACAACACGCATCATTGATGACAAGGAACGGCTAGTAGAAATCCTTCGCAAGCAAAATTATGATATTGGCCAACGCCTCGGAGAGTCAAAGCAGTATTTTGAACAACAGCTTAACACGGCTCAGCAACAACACAATGACAAAATGAATTCCTTTGAAGCAATGCTACAGAACGCTTTACAGCAGCAACGAAGTTTTTCGTCCGAGAAGCAACAGCTCAATCGCGACAAGCGGGCGATGCAGCAGACTATTGGTTGTCTGGAAACAAGTCTGGAGGAGATGGAACAAGAATTGGAACAATTGAAGTTGAATCATGCCATGCAAATTGGTTTGATGCCAAGTGCCGACGAAGAAGAAGATTGATGAGGGAGACATTGGGCGACGGCTCCTGACAGCTTCAATATTATATGGGGATTTACACTGCATGATTGTGGGGAATGGCTAAATCAAATGTAATATGTACACCATAGAAGAAACTGTTGAAATATAGCTACCTGGTATTAATACCATACTATAGTATCTATAGAAATAGAACTTTTGTAGGCCCAAATTGCAGAATTTCGAACATAATCTCATCACATCATCTTTCTGACGCACTCCACGATTATTGTTGATCAATTGTTTTACTAATACATCTCACCATCCAAGTGTATCATGAGACCAATACCCTGAATACCAAGTGGAAGATTTACCTTATCACACCCAGCACCATGTTGGCAACAATCCGTGGATTCACGAGACTGGCAAGCTTATTTGCCATCCTGCTTATTCTGACTTGCTTGCCATGCGAACGACATTATGCCGAAGCCTTTTCTGTTCAGACGACTACGGCAAAAGTCGAAAACACAGTGAATGAGCTACTTCAGCAAGCTCCCGACTATGAACCTTCTCCAGACGACGACTTCTTTCGAAACTTTCGGACACGGGTCCCACGGCGGATTCAGTATTTTTTGCGAGACTTTGGAATTCTCCGTTTTGTGGTGGACACAATGACTTTGATTGCTGCTGCTCCGGCCGTTCTTGAGGAACAACCAATCGCATTGACGCAGTTCGTACATTCATCAGGCCTACAAGGTTCCCTTCTTTCGAAACTTGTCAACCGCAAGTTGAAATCTGATATTAGTATGAGCCAAGACTTCTTGGAACCCGCCGTCGCCTTTCAGAGACTGCAGTATGGCAAAGATCGCCGACAAATTCTCGATCTGATTCAGTGTAAACGAGAGAACACTACGAGCGGAAGCACAATTAATACTTCAAAACGACTTGTCTTGTTTGTTCATGGTGGAGCATGGGGAAGGTAAGGATATATTGAGCCTTATTTATTTGATGGAAGAACCAACCGCTAACTGAGCTACCGGTAGATATACTCATCCTCATGTCCATTGTTTCCACACAGCGGATTTCCCGCCATCTACAGGCCAATAGCAAGTCCATTCCTGCAAGAAAATATCGATGTTGCCATTGTTGGATATCGAACGTATCCCAACGGGAACGTATCCGATCAAGCTGCTGACATTGTGGCATCCCTCTCGAAACTAAAGCATGAAGGATTGATTGATGCCAAGACCGACATCACCTTAATGGGGCACTCTTCTGGCTCACATATTGCTGCAATGGCCCTTTTGACCGATCCGGAATTTCGACAAAGCATCGACTCCTTTGTCGCTTTGAATGGAGTGTACGACATTCCGAAGCATTATCTCTTCGAACGCGCACGAGGCGTCGAACGAATCTCACCCATGGCAGTTGCTTGTTCTATCCCATTGATAGAAGAATCGGCTGTAGGCAAAGTATCGGGCTCGTTACGGGAAAATTGGAAGAGCCAGTCACCCACATGGCTAATACTGCGACAGCCATCAAAATCAACTTTGATGGACTCGTTTCCAGACACACTCATCGTTCATGGCAAAAATGATACTACAGTTCCAATGGAGTCTTCCATACGATTATGGGAATCTCTAAATAAGTCTGCTGCCACTCAACAGAATAGCCGCCGGATCGATTTAGAGGTCCTCCCAGAGGTTGAACACTTGGATTCCTTGATCCAGATAATGTTTGGTGGGATTACGAGAGATACAGTTTTGAAGTGGATGCAGGAGTCGTCGGAATGATGAAATCTGACGACAAACGATCATCTAAATCTTCTACCGTACAGTAGAATAAATATCTACTGGAAAGCACATTACTAGTATTGGCAAAACCATGCTATCGCTCTATTTTGGGTTATGTCAACTTGTTGCAGCACCCTGACACGTAATCATGGGGAATCCTTCGGATCAGACTATGCCCAGTTGTTTTAGATTTCGGCCGTATGTTCAACGGTGACCTTGGACTGGAGATACCGACTATTGCGGCGTACCAGATAAAGATCGTAATCACCCAAATACCTTCGTTGCCAAGTCGAGGTCTTCTCGTTTTGCACGACGGTGATTCATTCAGTTTCTCCTATACGCTGACATTTGGTCAGCTGATATGCCACTGCAATAAGGAGCATCGATGTTACAATCACGCCCAGAGTACTGGCAAAGTACATTCTGTATTGGCTCCAAGTATGCGTGTAAAGAACTGTTGACACGCGCAAGGCTTGATTCTGGAGGTATCGTGGTGGTTGCTCTGGTTCCAGTATAAAACTGTATAAAGTACGCCAACAGCCTGGAATATATTGTTGAGTCGTTTGCTTCATGATGGTAGTAAACATACTGTAGCTGGGATGAAGGTCAATCAGAACTTACCATCCAGCTTCAAAACACATCCCAACCGTCCAATTCTTGAAATCTTGGTGCGCGTCTGCTGTGGCAAAGCTGTTCATCAAGTCCACCGGAGTCATGCCATCCTTGAATACATCTCTTTCGCCTATTTGAGATTCTGAGATGATACTGCAAAGAGGATTCTTTCGTGTTTCTATCTTATTGCAGTGAATTCGTGTCAAGAGGTCCTCCAATGTCGCCCGATTCAGAAGGATTCCAAAATCAAGATTTGGCACTCGAAAGGATACCTCTTCAGAAATGCCGTATTCTCTCATACATCCACCCACAGCAAGTGGATCCAACGGATGGTAGTGCTTACCAGTAGAGGACTTTACTCCGTTTGCAATATTTCGAAGCATCTCTCGGAATACTTTGACGTTAAAGTAGGTCGTATCGGTCAACAGTAGCAAATAGTCTGGAAGTTTCTTCGTTCGAATGTGTTGTTTGTACTGAAGAAGGAACCGGCTGACTCCTTTGATTAGCCTTCGCTGTTCACAGATCCAACGAGGTAAATCGTCACCGGCATATTGAGCGTAGCGATTTCGTAGTTGATTCATCAGCCACGTTCCAGGACTAAGCAGTTTGTCCGATTTGCATGTCAATACGATGCTGTTGGCGTGAGACAAGTCGATCATGTTTGTGTTGGAACACGAGGAATCATCAGTGTTGGATTGCGATATGTTGAAAAAGGAGCGAACGAATTCGTCTGACCCAATAACTTTCTTCTGTGCATCAATATTGGCCGTGTCATCATCACCACCATTGCGGACTAACGAGATTATGTCAAGTATCGGAGCCTTTTCTTGATAATAGGGTTCATCATCTTCATCGCAGTCTATGCAGTCAATTTCAGGGAGCGTGAACTCCTGAGGATTCTCTCGCCGAACTATATCCGTAATCGCTTTCATTTCGGTTGGATTGCTGTAGTGGCAAGCGACCGAATCGGAATGGCAGTTGCCACTGTGCATATCACATATTTTCCTCCGATGCGGAGCGTCTCCTCCGTTGATTTCTGATTCCATAATGGAGCCAAGTCTGGCCCGAGGCTCATTTGCAAAGTCTGGGTCAGTCACTTGATTGGATAGGTTGTAGAAATTCGTAAAATAGGCAATGAACCTGAAATATCAAAACATGTCAGAAACCAAATCGGAAATCTAAGTTCGACATTCGAATCATTCAAGAGACAAACATACCAGTCACTATGCAAGCAAAAACCAATTGTCCAATTTTCCCTTTGATCAAATGGTTCATAGGTTGAATACGCATACATCAGCTCGGCGACGGTCATTCCATTTTTGAAGACTGCGTGCTCACCAATTTCACTGGCAACTTGAATGGTGTTGCAATAATCGGTATCGCCTGGACAGGAGATTGGTGTTACCATCTTCTCCAGCCACCCCTTGCTGACCGTCGTCCCATAACCACCGAATGGTATAGTAAAATTAAGATGTCGGACGGGACTACGAACACGACACCCAGCGACTACCATTGGCTCGGAACTATCCATTGGTCCAAAGTAATCTGAAAACAGTTTCATGTTGTAGTACGTATCGTCATCAAGGATCATCAAGTCTGGAAAGGGTAGTCAATGAGAGCAGTGATTAGAATATCATCTATCGACAACATAGACAAACAGAGTCGATCCGTTACTTACAATCGGGGAATGATTCATTTTGCTTTCGGTACTTTTCCAAAACGTTAAAGAGAGCTTGGGCTGGTCGTGTTTGGGCACAAACCCATCCCTGAGGATTTTTCTTTTTAAAGAGCCATTTATGAAATGCATAGGAGCCCGACATGTATTCCATGAACCGCTTTCCGTGGCGCCCCCACCGATGACCCCTTCTACAAAAGTTGCTAATGGCCACGACCGTCTGGTTCGACAACTTGCTTTCGCAATGTGGATCAGCATCCTCTTTTTCCGTGGCTGTAAAGAAGTTTCGAACAGTACAGTGCGACGCAAAGGTGTTTTGCTGGGCACTCAGGTAATTTAATCGGTGCACAGATCCAATCTTAAGTGAAAGGGATAACAATGTTCAGCGTAGCCAGAAAATGACACACGGTCAAAATGCCTATTAATTAGACTTACCGATAGAATATCAACGGTCATATTGTGTGGACAAGCTATCACAGATGACTCGGTAAAAAAGGAGACTAGTGCTTTTGACCATCCTGAACTGAAGCGACTGAAAGTAAACACATTCAGCAATGACAAGACGAGAAGAGAGACCGCAAACAGTGTCTTTTTGAAAGCATTATTACTTTTCTTCTTCCTTGCTGGTCGAAGTCTTAATCGGACCTTCATTCCTTGTCAACAGCTTATATGTCTTACTATTGCTGTGAGTAATACCCTGTCGAGTTGTTGGGTCATGGATAACACGTGATGAGCTGCTTCCATTTGAAACAGACGCCCGATAGACGCAACGATATATACCGTAATATATCTACAGTGTGCGTTTCGTTCAACATCATTGAAAACATCTTCTCCAAATCGCCATATTCTACCAATGACGGTGCATCTACCCTTTATTTTATGGAGAGCCTCATTTTGCAATGCAGAAATGATTTTGCCCATCTCAGAGGTGAAGGGTGTGGATAGGCGGACGGACTTGAAAAGCTCGCTTGCGTGCTACTTCTCATTTTCAAATTTCACATTTTGCGGATTCATCGATCCTTTTATATAACTTTCAATACAATATTAATAATTCAAAGATGACTTAGTCAACGCATCAGGACCCTTCTTGACTCCGTGTCAAAACACGATGGGCCCGGCTTGTTGAAATGATTGACCCAACGAATACGAGAACTGAATGAATCCACGAAATGATATCACGTTGATAGAGACTCAACGGAATGGTCGCTTCAAACACTGATGGTATCCCATCATTTCGCCATCGTGGGCAATACTCCATCTTCTCGTCGCATTTAGTTGGAACGCCACAGATTTGTCTACATATCACCACCATGGCGCCCAGTGCGAAAATTCCTGCAAGCCAAAATGCCACTTCAACAGATGATGATTCTAAGACAATGTCAAAGCTCACGCAAACAAGTCAGCGTCATCGGATGTGGACGACCAAGGAGGGTATCCAGCATTTTCAAAACCTGAATCTTAGTTGTGAACAGATGCAAAAGTTGCTTGGCGAGAATGTTATTTCTTTGGAAGGGCTGCCGCTAACTAGGCTGAAAGAAAGGTTCAGGCGTAAGATCGCACCAAATTCAGAAGAATTACTTGCGCTAGGTACTGCAGCTACGTCCCCGCCTGCTGCTGTGGCCCGCAAACGAACAACCTGTAATGTAAAAGGAACAGTGGCTCCATTTTACTACTCTGACGCCAATCAAGTAGTTCCAAAAAATGTGGTTTGGGTGATCATTGTCTCACCTATGAGAGACATCCCACCCAGAACCTTTGCCGAGTGTGTTCACTTGAGATACGTAGATATGCGGAACGGCCTCGCATCGATTGGCAATAATGCATTCTTTGGTTGCACTGCTTTAAAAATGGTTCGAATGGCACGTACGACCAGAAGCATTGGTTCAGGTGCCTTTTCTCAGTGTTCAGCCTTGGTTTGTGTGGTTCTGAATGAAGGACTCGAAGAGATTGGCAAATTCTGTTTCACACAGTGCGTCTCTCTTCAGTTTCTATGCCTTTCATCCACCGTGACGCATTTGGGAGAGGGTGTCTGTGAAGGGTGCAAGTCCTTGGAGGGAGTCGGATTGAACGAAGGTTTATCTATGGTCCAGTCGAATGGATTCCACGATTGCGAAAATTTGAGGGTGATTGGAATTCCCAACTCCATGGAACAACTTGCACCATCTTCTATTCCACGAACTACAAAACGGGAATACAGAAAGCCTAAAGAACTGTGGACATCCATTCGTGACAAGGTTGCAAAGCTAGCTTACAGCATTGAATCTGATATTCAGGAGAGCTACCAAATCATTTCGGACCCAACAAGGGTTGAATTGCCGAGGTTCGAAAGCGTCAGGAAGAAGACCATATTGGACGCTAAAATTTCCAATACCGAAAGCCAAGTCAACCGATCGAAGGAGGAGCTTCCAAAGAATCAAGAAATGAAGAAAAGTCTTAAGGATCCACCACAGACTGGAAAGCCCAATGCCAAATCAGTACCAAGAAAGGCTCAGCTTATGGAAGCACATAAAGCTGCAAAGAAGATGGCATCTTTGGATGAGTCTCCTAGGCATTCCGGTACGAATGGCAAACAATCGAACAAAGAGGAGGAGAAGGCCAAGAAGTTGATTCTTTCGCGGAAATGTGATGCCAAAACCAAAGCCACGGAATCACGCAATTGCACTACTGCAAACAACATTGCAGCTTTTTTGGAACCTGATGTAGGATTTCGACCTTTGGAAGAACGTATGCAAACTCTGGAAGCCAATATGAAATCACAGCTGTCAAGCTTGCGTCATCAACTGCAGGATGGAGAACGCCAGCAATCTGAAATGATTTCAAAGTTGGCGAAGGCTTCCGAGACTCTCGCCGCTGGGTTGGAGTCTTTGAAAAATGCGATGCGGTCCGTCGTTGTGAAACAGAATGAGACTGACTTTGAACTTCAAGAGATTCGAAAAGTGCAGGCTGAATCCGAGACAAGTGTCAGCGAACAAGTGAAGAAAATTGGAAATGACACTTATTGTCTCGACAAACGCACGAGTGCTTTGCACAACACTTTTGCCAAGATTGAAGCGAGTCAAGCTTTGCTTCAGTCGGCTTTAGAAGAACACTGCAAGAAAGAGGCCGAGACCAATTCAAATGTCGATCCTCTGGCTTCAACTGTGACCACACTCTCCCAGAAATTCGATGACCTAATTCAGACATCTGAAGGCAAGTGGGTTGAACTGGAGAATCAAGAGGCATGCCTCGAAGTTATGAAACGAGCCGTTGAACCTCTATTGGAAAACGAAAGAGAATGCAAAGTGACACCAACACTTGATAATGCCAGCTATCTTGCTTTTGGGAGAAAGAGATCCCAGGAAGAGTCCAACGATACAGACTCTAAGATTGGTATTGTTGGAAACTTATGGAATTGGACCAAATCAATGTTGCCGCGAAAGAAGATGAGAGGACAGGATGACGAAGAATAGGAACTTGGGAACGCATCATATTTGGTCGTAGTGATCCTCTTGGAAGTGTAGAACTAGTATTGATTATAACTTTCTAAGCAAACATGGTGGTAATGTTTTGTTGCAAAAAGTAGTAGGTAGCTGCTGGTTTGATGGAGACCCTTCCAAGCAACTGACAAAAGAGTGCCGGGTGAAGACCGTACACGGATTGAGTGTCTTCACCCACCCTTGGGATTGGTGGTGGGTGCAATGGGCCCACATCATCAGTGGATGGCGACGATTCCGCAGTTCCTTCCAATGGCGGCGGTGGCTCAGTCAGAGTGGAATAGGCCCAAAGCAATCGATTGATATCCAAATGCCGATTGAGTCGTTTGCGATTCAATTTTCGGGGATCTACTCCATCCATATCGACCTGTACCAAGCTGAGATTATCTTGCATGCCATGTTTGACAAGAGTCTTGAGGAACATTTCCATTGCCACCAGCGAAGCACCCGTGAGACTTCGATTGTCACTAATATCCAGCACTCTCAAATTGGTCGAGTACTGAATCATCTTGGCCATGTCTTTTGCACAATCGGATTGTAAATCGCAGTCAATCATTTTCAGAGTGTGCAAACCCCCATTGCCAATCTTGAGTTGAGACGACGAGGAGGACGAAGTCGTCGGAGTGGCAGTACAAACTGGAAAGGCAGCCATAATCTTGGTTCCTTCAGCTCCAATTGGATATTGTCTTAGTTCCAGGTATTCTAAATTGGTTGTACTTGGAGCATTGCCTATCCGAATGGTTCGTGTTCGATCCAATGCTTGTTGGGTCTCTCCATGCTGTCCAGTCATGGGATCATAGAATCCCAGATTGTTATTATTGCTGCCATTAGGACCCTCCTCCAAGGGCAATGATTCCAAGTCAATCCCTAACAATCCAGATCGAATGGTCTGTGCTACTAGTGCATGGCGACCCCGTGAGTAGGAAAGATAGCTAGTCAGCGTCAATTGAGTGATATTGCAAGTCCGACAAAGTTTAAAGACTTTGGCAAGTACAGTGGTATCTTGCAAGGAGCATACTTCCAGTGCTTCAATGCGAAAAAGTTGCTTCACCTTTCGATCCTGTCGCTTTTGTTGTTCATGATTGTACAAGAGTGCTTCTTGCAACCACACCAAGCCTTGTATAGAGATCCCACTTCTTAAGACCAATCGTCTGGCCACAATTGGTCGTTGGTCGATTTGTTCTTCAGAATTATTATTGTCATGAAGGAATTGCCCTTCTTATTTAATGGCTTGCGTGACACCCAGTAGAAGCAAATCTCTAGAACTATGCTTGACTTGAACCGTTTCACTGGTGTACAACTGTTCCACAATGCTACTCAAGGTGGCTTGTGCTCGATCGTCCAGGCCGTCCATTATTGTTATGCTTTTGAATTGACGTTCGAGTGAAAAATGGAAGCACCTTCCGAAAGGTGGGCGTTGGGATCGGCAATGGGCACGTCTTAGGCTGGAGTCGCTGAAAGTCTGAGATGCTACACTTCACGACTCCTATTGACCATATGCATGGTAATAACAACAGACATATATTCAATATGCAGACAATACTATACTATACAGAATGCTGTGCGCGGCGGGTTTTGGCAGGTTTGAATGGACTCCTTCGACTAAAGGATTCACAATCTCAAGAAGAAGAATAGTAATGGCATACGGTCATGAATATGATTATGCTGACGGAGCCCTTGATGTCGTTTATGTACTATTCATCGTGGTAAATCTTACTTATGGTTTTGGAATGAGTTTCCTTTCCATTTGAATGCGAGCTTTATTCGTTCATTCATTCATTGTGCAGTCTGTTTGCCGACATTTTCTTTTCCACTTTGTGGCTCGGAAGTATAGGGTGCAGCGAACGCAGCATACTGCACCATGCTAGACAAATTTGTATCAGTCTTCATGTAGGAATCAATTTTATGCCGCAATATCCAACGCAAGTCGTAAACTATCATCCGGCCATTCTTGAGTGGCTCTGGCTTTATCCAGAATTTGTTGCCGTCGTTCCAGACGTTCTAGCAACTTGGTCACAGATTTTTCCAGGGTGGCATCAAGTGCCAAGGCCCGTTCTAGATACCGGCGACTTTCTCCTAGATTCCACAGCTGTATGTATGGACAGCAGTGATAAAATAAACATCAGTCAGTTAGTCTGAAGGAGAATGATACTGAAAGCAATGCCATCATGTACGAACGTACCTCACTGAGCACTTCTGCTGCTCGTAAAAAGGAAGTTGGATATTTGGGAAGGATTTCTGTCCCTCGAAGTGCATCTTTGGCTGCCCGAAGCAAGGCATATTGGTACAGACCATGGTGGTATTGAATTTGCTGCATGGTTTGCTTTTGTTTCATTCCATCGATTTCAATTTGTCTCAGAACCGAGTTGGCTAGGCCAAGACCTCCATTACACGAGGCCAAAAAAAGTTCTTGTTGCTCTTGAACATCTGGAACTACCCAATCTTGTGTGATTTTCGTCAATTTCCTCTTTTTTGCTTGTGCTCGCTTCAAAAAGGCAGATGCCCGCAGCAGTAATATGACACCATCTTGCTTGCCCATCATGCTGGTGCTAGGCTTATTACTCAGTGCTTGATTGTAGGCATCAATAGCTAGATCCAAGTTTCCTTGTTCTAAATAGCTATTCCCCTCGTACTTCCATCTTAGGCAATTACAGGTTGCTTTACTGACATTTTCTACCTTGAGATGTTTGGACAATATCCGATATACCTTGTCCACAGAGTCCACGTTTCCTAGGAAAACAAAGAGTTCATGCATGATTAGCCCATTATATACTTGTATATAGAACATCAGATCACATCTTTCTTTTTTTCTTACCGACATCAATGTTGGTGCTCCCAATCTTGGTCGACATACACCGGACCCATGGAGACCGATGTTTGGATTTTGGTAGTATGGCGGGAATGATTTGGACTCGCTCTGTAGCTAGTCCACAAAAGGCATCCAAGGTCGCCACGGCACCTCTGTCCAGCGATGCTTTGGATTGATCCACATATATTTGCCACTCCTATATAACATTATATAGAATGGCATAATAAACGTTAGACGCTATGATGGGGATTCTGAAGGACACGTTCAAATTGGATCTTCTACTGTCCGACGTACCAAGGTATCCGAAATGTCCTTTCTTCTTTGGGTTTCCTGCACTTCACCGAATAGTCCCGACATTGATAAAGCTTGAAAGGATATTGGGTGCTTTTGAATAGCCCGACGATGCCGCACCATTGCCGGAAAGCATGACACCTCGGATTCATACAGAATCGCAATCAAACTAAAGAGAGCCCATTGTTTTCCTTTGCAGACCATTTTTTCACCTCTGAGTTTCTGATCGATCGATGTGTGCCTAAGTTGTGTATCTTCCAAAGCTTGGATTGAGCTTCTATCCTTGGCCTTATTTGCATATGGGATTGATGTTATATTTTATGATGATACGCTCGTATATATATGCAAACGTGATATGTTTGGGGCTAAAACAGTGTCTTCGATGATTTATTCGATCACCAAAATGACAGGACGGAAGGAAGGACGTTCTGGTCTTGAAATCTCAATACCGGTAGAGGAATATATAAGAAGATATTGCAAAGGGATAGTTTTGGCCTGGTATATTTCCATTATGTGTGATATTTTCTTGGTCATCATTTCGCAGACAGGCTTTTCAGCAGCTAACACGTATCGGTAGGACGAAATTCCCAAAACTCTCTTTTCTTTCTCCGCATGCGTACCGAAGTGCCGAAGTTTGCATATTGTTGTGTTTCCAAATCACGACGTTTCAGATAATACAGCACCATGGAAAACTCTGAGGAAAGCACAACAAAAAACAGCAAGAAGTCAAGGAGCAGTGGAAGTAGATCCTCCAATACAAGGAAATCTCATCGCACTAGCAGCAGTAGTCCAAACAGGAGCAACGAACCACGCCGAACCAAGAAAAGCAAAGAAGAACAAGAGGCCAAGGAAAAAGCTCGTGCTGAACGAGAGAGTGGTACATTTGGGACGAATGCAGTCGATCATACTGGTGCAGTTGTACTAGAAACTATCAAAGGCCGCAGCAACAAGAAATACCGAACTGGTAAAAGAAACAATCAGCAAGATCGACTTGCTAAGGATGATGCTGTCGCCAAGGTCAAGAACCTCATGAATCGATCCAATGAACCCATTGCTGGATCGATGCCTGCTGATGAAGGAAAAGAAAGCAAACGAAACAACGAAGAATACGAGTCCAAGGAACAGGCTCCTTTTGATGCGATCGGCGCAGCAGAACCAATCCAAGGCCGCAACAACAATCGAAGGAGCAAAAGAAAAAGCCAACAAGATCGATACACCAAGGATGCTGTTGCAAAGGCAAATAAAGTCATCAATAGAATAAGTGGTGAACCCGCTACCGGACCGATGCCTGGTGCGCATGCCGATTCTCGTGGAACCCCAGATGCCAAGGAGAAGAATTCTAAAGAAAGACACAGTAGATCTGTCTTTACGGCGGAAGAACGAAAAATACTTGAGGCTGGTAAGGGAGATCAAGGCGATTATGATAAGAGCTTGGATGGACTTGCGATGGCAAATGCTGTGGATGACAACGATGCTGATCTTGCTATGGCGCTACTCAATTCAATGCTGGATCAGAACGAAAACGCAAGTGTTGATGCAAGAGCATCGAAAACATTGAAGAAGTCTTTGGATGGAACTGCGTTTGATAATGACACAAGCGAAAATAACAAAGGGCAGAATGACGAATCCAATGAAACGGACTGGGAACGATTGAAGCGGAGAAAGAGTGTTCGAACCTTTTGCTGCCTACTTTGTCTTGTTGTCATTGTGATTGGCGCTGTTGCAGTATGGCTTGGTATGCGAAACAGTTCATCAGCTTCAAGTGAACCATCACAAATAGACGGTACTCCAATCACGGAGAATATTACGAGTGTGCCAGTCAATACCGTCCCTCCAACTCAGGATGATTCTACGAATACAAATTCTTCAACTGGACCTCCTAGTGGATCACCTATTGATTTCGAGTTTGACCCTCCCTCGGCAGAAGACTGTGCTGCCATCACCAACGGAGAAACTATACAGGGTCAAGACACAATGCCAGTACAAAGTTACAAATTGGACCTAGATGCAACTTCATTTCTTCCCATGGACCTGAGCATCTCAGCTGGCATCACTGAGGATAAGCTTCGCGAGATGCTAGCTCCAGAACTGGCGGGATGCAATCGAGCCCTCCGAAACTTACGATATCATCGCTATCTCAATGGTGCCTTTGAGTATGCTATTGGAAATGTGGCAGTTGATGCTTCAGGAGTGGAGGGAGTACAATGCTTGGATGATTCCAATTCAAGGTGCCATCGAGTCAGTGCCCAACTTGATATTGCAGTGAAAGATGACTCTGTGAAGGTGCTGGATGTGATTCGTGAGCTAAGTGCCTTTTTTGGAAGCGGTGTTTTGGCTGATAAACTTGAATTGGCTGGGCTTTATGAAAGCATTGTTGTCGCAAATTTGGGATCCACGGATCCAACAGCATCCCCAAGCATCAGCGATGTGTCTCCTTCAGCGGAACCAACTACAGCAGCAGCATTCACTCTCCCCACGCTTTTGGAAACCACAAGACCAAGCGGAAGTCCAACACCAGAGCCAACCCGTGTACCCACATTTGCTCCAGTATTAGGTGAAACACCTCGACCAACTCCGCCACCGACTCCTGGACCGACTCCACCACCAACTCCTGGACCAACCCCACCGCCGACTCCGCCGCCGACTCTACCATCAGCACCATTGTCAACCCCTCTGCCTACTCTCGCTCTACTGGGACCAACCACTAGGCAACCTACAGCATTTCCCAGCCCCCGCCCGACGCCCCGCCCTACTCCTTCGCCAACCCCTCGACCTACTGCACCTCCAACACCGTTTCCTACTTTACCACCAACTACTCCGCCAACCCCTCAACCAACGACTCCACAACGTACTCCTTTACCAACCCCTGAACCCACTCCGTCCCCGACACGTCAACCTCTGACTCCAGCACCAACATGGACTTGTTTCGAAGACAGTATTCGACTCAAAAGTGCAGTCACCAGCTGGTTCATCAGTTCTCAATCACAGGCATCCGTCAAGGACAAATATGGACCTATTGAAGATTGGTGTTTTGGCGCAGGTGTCACTAGTATGAAGCAACTTTTCAAAGACAAATCTACTTTCAACGAGGACATTGGTCGCTGGGACGTGTCTTCTATAACGGATATGTCTCAAATGTTCATCCGCGCATCTTCCTTCAACCAAGACATATCGTCATGGGACGTGTCTTCCGTTACTACCATGGACTACATGTTGAACTCGGCACCCGCCTTCAATCAGGACTTGGCATCATGGGATGTCTCCTCTGTCACCAATATGCGCGCAACATTTGCTTGGTCCCCTTCCTTCAATGGAGATATATCATCGTGGGACGTTTCTTCTGTCACTACCCTGTTGCAAATGTTCTACGGAGCATCATCCTTCAATCAAGACCTTTCGTCATGGGACGTTTCTTCCGTCACAGATTTGGGCCAAATGTTCGTGAAAGCAAGATCCTTCGATCAAGATTTGTCATCATGGGACGTTTCTTCTGCCAGAGACATGCGCTTAATGTTTGGGTGGGCATCTTCCTTCAATGGAGACATATCATCCTGGGATGTTTCTTCTGTCACAGATATGGGCGGCATGTTTTTCAAAGCATCTTCCTTCAATGGAGTCATATCATCATGGGACGTTTCCTCTGTTACCGACATGTCATCAATGTTCATGGATGCATCATCCTTCAACCAAGACATATCATCATGGGACGTTTCTTCTGTCACGGATATGTGTGGATTGCTTTACAGAACTCCCTTCAATCATAATCTATGTCCATGGGGCGACCGGATTCTTAGCAATGCCCGTTTCGACTGCTTGGATATTTTGGATCCTAGGACTATTTTTGGCGGCACCTACTGCCCATCGCAATCCAGCCCAAACCTTTCTTTGACTCTGCCAGGCCCCTTTTGCCACGCCTGTATGGCAACAATGCAGTGTTTTCAAACCAACACCGAGCTCTCTGATGCAGTTGACAACTGGTTTGAGTCTTCTGAGTTGAAAGCATCAGTAGAGGCCCAATATGGACGGATCGAAGACTGGTGTTTCGGTGCAGTTGTCACCAGTATGGAGAAACTTTTCCGAAGTCGCTCCACATTTGATGCGGATATTGGAAATTGGGACGTTTCTAGTGTCACAAATATGTTTGGAATGTTCATTGGGGCATCTTCCTTCAATCAGGACTTGTCATCATGGGATGTTGCTTCTGTCCGGAATATGGGATATATGTTCCAGTATACAACTTCTTTTAACGGGGACATATCATCATGGGATGTCTCTTCGGTCACCACCTTTCAGTGGATGTTCGGTGGTGCATCATCCTTCAATCAAGACCTGCCATGGGACGTTTCATCTGTCCGTACCATGAACAGTATGTTCACTGGCGCATCAAATTTCAATGGAGACATATCATCATGGGATGTTTCTTCTGTCGGAGGTATGTATAGGGTGTTCGGGGGCGCATCATCCTTCAATCAAGACATATCATCATGGGACGTTTCTTCTGCCGGCATCATGCAGCAGATGTTCAGCGGTGCATCATCCTTCAACCAAGACCTTCCATGGGATGTATCTCGTGTCCGAGACATGCGTTTCATGTTCTCAGGTGCATCATCCTTCAATGGCGACATATCATCATGGGACGTTTCGTCTGTTACTGATATGGTAAGAATGTTCAATGGAGCAATAGCCTTCAACCAAGACTTGTCATCGTGGGACGTTTCTTCTGCCACCTACATGTCATCGATGTTCCAAGGTGCATCATTATTCAATAGCTACATATCACCATGGAATATTTCTTCTGCCACGGACATCACAAGGATGTTCAATGGAGCATCTTCTTTCAATCAGAATCTTTGTTCGTGGGCCACGAGCGCTCAGAGCAATGTCGGCATCGAGAGTAACTGGGGAACTATGTTTGAAGGTACCAAGTGCCCATTCCTATCCGATCCAGATCTCTCTTCAAATCCGCCGGGTCCCTTTTGCCACGATTGTACATAATACAGAAATAGACATATAGCTGCGTTTTGAACTGTAACAAAAGCATCCTTGGCACTTTCCTTTCATTGATTGTAATCCATCTTGATATGGTGCCAACAAGGATAAGGAACCGAATGACAACTTTTAACAAGAGTACTAATGAAGCCAGGTGTAGTTCTTGCAATGGCTGCGGCTCCTGGATTGAATATTTCATTCTGTAATGTGCGGCGAGATTTGAAGATGAGATTATAAAATTTCTGTCAATTTTTGTCATTGTGGGCCTTTGTTAGGCTCCTCTTTTTTGTATCCATCGCGTATATATATCTTTTATTTTGCCATGTGTACTACTGTAGGCAACGGTGCGGTGCTGTGACCTTGTTTAGCGTGAATGTTTAGCGTGGATTTGGACCTATCAAAGTACTTTCACGCTAAACATGAATTGGACGATCGAAGTGCAGACGACGATATTCAAATAGCCAAACCTCACCACAATGACAATTCAACTCTACACTGGCTTAGAATTAGATCGAATTTTGTAGTCGAATGTTAATATATTGTATTCTACCTTGTTGTGGATGTCATGGGAGGAGGTTGTTGCCTAGATACAACTGGAAACCTGGTCATTCTTATTCCTGGTCACGGTGCAACAAGCAACAATGCACACCAAACATTCAGCCATGATCTGTAGGTTTTCGTCATATTTGATTTGCCAGGCGGGTTGTCACATTCCACAGTACTCTTCCATGTATCATCTTTGAGCGCCATTTTGAGGAAGCATGCTGGCTTGTAGGTATCAATCATTGGAGAATTGTCGCCAAGCAATTGCTGCTGCTACCACTGAAACCTTGTATTGCATCAGCTACAGTCGCAAGTTCCTTCATATGTTGTGCATTCTTGGTATCTCACATAATTCGCCTGAAAGCTCCCCAGTTCTGATTTCTTTCACTCTGCTCAGTTGATGACAGGCAGTGCCCATGCTGATTTGCAAGCCAAATAGAAGATTCACAAAACATCCGCATTCCATTTGCTGGCAAGAGTTTGCCTCCATCCGCTTCGTCGTCTGGAAATCTCAGATATTCTCATTTCTTTTAGTCTGCACAGTGGACGGCAGCGCTCATGCCGATCTTCGAAGCCAATGAGCAAGGAGATAGCAAGACAATATTATTCCCCTTGCGCGCAACACCGACTCCAGTAGTATCCACCTTGTTCGTTTCAGCCCCCACAGCGGTAGATTGTTGGCGAAACGTATGTTTCTTCCTCTGCTTCAGTTCATATCTTGTCTTCTTCTTCATTTGATGGCTCGGTTTTGGGTAACAAGGCTCGCCAGCACTGTGGTTTCACCTCGTTGGATTACAAGAAAAACACATCAAAATTGCCAACTGCCTCCGGCAGCTGTCATCATCAATCTATTCTTTGTCTCCCGTCCTCAGTTTCATTTGTCGTTCGCTATGAGGAAGCTTGTGAAAACAAGTAGCTACTGTATGGTCGTGAATGATTTGGATAATGATTTTGGAGTGTCATCCATCATCTTGTATATCCGGGTTACTTTGGTGCATCTGATCATGGGCCTCGCGACCTTCGGTCGCTCCGCCAAATAGTTTTACGTGCAAGGTCATAGCACCGAATTTTTGCCCTACTGTACCGGTATTCGCATTTTATAATATACATTCAACTGACATCATCATAATACTGTAGCACACAACCATGATACCCGTTATCATTCTTCTTACATTATTCTATCTATCAGAGATACTGGCCTTTTCGGACTGTATATTATTCAATCACCACCGTCGACCGAATAATAAGCGATTGTCATCATCATCATCATCATCAAGGCTCATCGTTCGTCATTCCTTTTTGGACAAGATGATGCACATGAACGATGAGGATCCTTCGTACTCCGACAATTTTCTATTGAACTTTCACAATCAAGCTCAAGATGAAAAGCAGACTGAAACCAATTCACTGAAACTTTGGAACGAAGAACTTGCCAAGGAACAACTATCTGTCAAAGAATGGCAAGATGCCTTTGCCCGCAACGGATTGGCCGACTTTACCCCGCCCATGTCAGCTGGACTCAATTGTTTAATGGTGGGAGCACCTGCGACTGAAGACAATGGGACAAAGTTGCCGTGGGAGGATGAAGCCGAAGCCACGATAACACCATTGAGAATACCCGAGAAGACTAGCACGACAAAAGTGATGGATATGATTGACACTATGCCCATTGAAGATGCCATTGTGCTGTCCGACGATTCATCCAGAAAAGAGAAATCATCCAGCAGTAATATGATTCTTTCCACTGATGAGCCATCCGACATTATCGTTTCGACAAGTCACTCATCACCAAAATCATCAGCATCTTCCAAGAATAACCAAGCCACACTTTCCAAAGCTAGCCAGACACCAGCCGCCAGTTATGATTGCATTGTTGATCATGGACTCTTGGATTCCGTCGTTGCCCTGAGCTCATCGGCTGATGCTGATAAAAAGCAAGGAGTAGTCCAAGAGTTGCTCGTCGAAGCCGCCACGGCCCTTCGAGAATTTGGCATCTATGTCTACGTATCGGCCGAACCTTTGTCAGTGGAAACGAGGCAAACCTTGCAAGAGGCAAGCGAATTGGCTGGATTGGAATGGCAATTTGAATTGGATGGGTTGTTGGAATGTGGAGAAGTTGTCTCTGTGGCAAGACGATACAACAATGGAGTACTTCCATCCGTCGGAAAGCTTTCGAGATTTCAAGTTTGATTGCTAACGTGCGTGACGATGATGCTTATTCATATCTCTTGAACCAGCAATCATCATGACTGCCGCATACGCCACATAAGAAGCTTCGGCGAGATGGAATAAAGGCAGAAGGGTCTGGCGGATTGGAAATTGAGCCATTATGTCTCTTCATCCACTCCATGCTGAGGAGACTTGGCCTTATTTTGTACTTGCCAATCGTGAGTCCATACACATGTACGTGGAACCGAAACTATCCATGTCATTTTACAAAGCTATTGTTTACAAATACTATAGTCTATTTGTTATCATTTTTGTATACATTGACTGGTATGATACAGTGCGCTACGATGTCATGCTAAAGTTTGGAAAATCCAACACATCACAGGTCTTCTTTCTTCCCAACCCCAATATCTTGCTTCTTGGCTTTTGGTTCAGCCGACCAAGGAATGATTCCTCGAAAGATTCTCTTGATGCCGCCCATGACATTCGAATCGACTTGTTGTAGCGTTTCATCACATTCAGAACGAGATCTTTTCTTGGTGGTAGGAGTGTCCAAGGAAGAAGAAGACGATGACGTCTCTTCCACTCCAATCATCATTGGTGGCAACACGTCGGTCGTTTTTTGCAGACTTTGCTGCTTGGCCAGCAATTCGACACCATCTTTCAATACGTATAGGCACTCTTGCATGGCTGCAACTTGTTGCTTGAGGTCGTCACGGTCTTGGCTGGCTTGCCAGAGTTCTTCGACAGTAGCGTCATGTTGTCTCTTCATTGCGTTGAGGTCAGATTTCAGCGATTCGTGACCCTTGGATAGCATTGCCGTCCGGGCCTGTAGCTTGCGGTTGGAATCAAGGATCTCGAGAATGTCAGTATTTAATCCTTGAATTTCCTTCTTGGCCGCTGCCAAATCATAGGTACTACTACTAGTAGTAGCAGCAGCAGCATTGGTGGGAAGAAGGGCAGTTGCTGCTGCCCCTTCTTCCGAAGCACCCTCTTGGGGGCGATCCAATCGCTCCAATTCTTCAATACAATGAAATACATGTTGCCAAACAATTCCTGCATTTTCTCGTTCTTGAATAAGGCAAGTGTTTGGAATCGCCTTGCGACCAATGATCTTGACCGAATTTGGGATACCAATGACTTGCAAGTTGTTGCAATGCTCAAAGACCCAGTCGTCAATTTTGGTGAGACCCTCATGAATGGCCACTTCCTTTAGATTTTGGCATTCGGCGAACGCCCACTTTCCTAGTAGCTCCAAAGTGGACGGCAAGCAAAGATACTGCACCATAGAACAACCCTTGAAACTGCTGGTATGAAGTTCCATCAATCCTTCATTGAGAGAGACAAAACGAGCGGCGACACAATTGGCAAAGGCACCGCATCGAACAATTTTGGTGGTCTTTGCAAGTTTAATCTCTACCAGTGAGACGCAATCCAAAAAGGCAAAGCTCTGGATTTCTTCCAAGCCATTTTGAAACGAAACGTGAGTCAATAGTTTGCATCCTTTGAACGCCATACTTGGAATGATCCGGGCAGAAGCATCAATGGTGGCACGAAAAATGTTCTTGGGAACCTTTTGGTTACCTCCCTTGTAAACAAAGACGCTGTTGTCGAGCGGTGTCATGGTTCTATGATGCAAATAAAGCAATGCAGTTTTGGTTTTCTTTTGCATTCCGCGTTGAACTTCAATTTCAAATCTACGGAATTCTCGAAAAAAAGAACTCGGACACGAAGGAGGTGTCACCTTTTTTGTATGTAGGACATGTCGGACCGTTATTTGTGGCGTTGGATCCATCGTCAATCAATAATCACGCACGTGAAAGGATATATATGCAGTATCTTGGAAGAATAATATTGAATATATTGAAAATGGTCGACAGTTTGCTTAGGTATACCCTTATTATATATATTATGCCTCATCTCTACTCCTGATGGTTCTGCTGAGACCAAGTCAATATCCTCTTTTTAATGCTTCCCATGACTCCCAGAGACTCAACAGGTGAGTCCTCCCAATCATGGCGGGATCTCTTTTTGGTTTGTTCACTTTGATAACTAGTGTCTTGACCGATTTCCTTATGCTTCACTTGGTCTTTTTCAATCAGCAAGTCAAATCCTTTTTTCAATGCCTCCAGACATTGCTTCATTGTAGCGATTTCTTCTTTTAGCTCGTCTCGCTCTGTCGTAGTCTGGTGCAGTGAAGTGATGGCAGTCTTAAGTTCTGATTGCAATGACTCTTTGTCGTTGTCGAATCGTGTCACGCTGGCATTCAATTTCTGCTCCAAAGCATTGACCTTTTGACATAGTGCATCCGATAATGACTCCTTGGCTTGTGTCGGAACGGTATTAAGCTGTGCTTTCAAAACCTTCACATTTTCCTCAGCTACCTCTAGCCTGTTGTTCACATCGTCCCATTCTTCTCGTGAGATTACAAGATTACCACTTGCTGTTGCATTCACCATCTCGGCATGATCATCCTCCTGTGATAAAGTCAAGCTTTTAGAAGCTGACAAAGTCGAAGCTGTAGAATCTTGAGAAGGCTGCCTTGGTGAGACAGGTACCGGGGCCTCCTTCAGGTTTGCGGTGTCATCATTTTGGCTGGATAGGCAATTGCCAGAGTTTGTATTCATCTTGAGGATAGAGACGCTTACTTGAGATACAGCCCACACCCAATGCTTCCGCTCTTGTTTTGTTTCTCTGGGAATTGCATTAGACCCAATCCTTGTCACAGATGGGGGAAGTCCAATCATTTTCAAGGCGGTACAACGTTCGAAAGTGGATTCGTGTATCTTAGTTAGTCCTTTTTCTATCGCGACTTGCTCAAGTCCAGTACACTCGAAAAAAGCTCTTGCTGCCATGTGATCTACGGTTCTCGGGACAAGCGCATATTTCAACCCTCGGCATCCCCGGAAGGAGCTTAATCCAATTTCTTGGAGTCCATGATTCAGAATCAACAGTTTTGCTGACGAACAATTGATAAAGGCGCCACATAAGATTCGTTTGGTAGTCTTGGGAAGCTCAATCAACTCAAGAGATTCACATCCCATAAAAGCAAAGGATCCAATCACTTCGAGACGGCCATCTTTGGCAAAGACTACCTCGCGCAACTCCTTACAACCCTTGAATGCCTTGTTCTTTATCTCATCAACGGAAGGATCAATGTAAACACGAGTGACGTGTCTGGGGACTTCTTGGTAGCCTCCTCTGTAGATAAATACGTTCTCCATGATGATTGAGGTCTATCGTCGGGTGCAAAAGAAAAGATTCAATTCAAAAGTTCTGTTGATGCTATTATTATTCTTTCTCAATATAGTGCGCATGCATACCGGTACAATAAAATTTATAGTGAGGGTCGCAGTCATCATCAATATTTCTGAATGAAATGAAATGAAAGTGAGCCCGCCGGATTAGGACCCACTCGACTAAATGTGTCGAAAACAAAATGTTGATTCGTTTGATTACCATTCGATCTAGTCATTCTCCCCCAATTCTTCATGTAGGTACCAGTACACACATAGCAGCATTGCATTGCTCGCAAAATCTTGTCATTTCTTAGAACATCCGACTTTCTCCAGCGCTTTAGTTGTATACCCTTGGTTATTGGACAGCAATACCCGAAGTCTTGGTTCCTGATCCATACCGGTATTGATGGGCGTTGCATTTAAAAAATCCAATCGGTAGGGAAGTCAGAGTAGTCATTCAATCAAAAAATGGTTTGGGACGGGAGATCCCCAGAAGTTCTTCTGAACCAAAAACAGAAGTGCAGAGGTAGCCCCAATGTATAGAAAGTGAAATAATACATATGTACTGACCGGTATCTCGTATTGACATTTAAACCGCGTGAAACTCCGTTGGCCACGAACACGAACACATGAAAATATGCAGCAAAACGACTTTTGCGGGGTATCCCTGACGTGACTTCACCGCCAGTCGAGGTCGATTACTGCGACTCAATAGGTACTTTCTTAAGGCTAAGTTTGATGGGTACTGATTTAATGTCAATGTCAGGTTCAGACATAAATATTACGCGGTACGAACCTTCGATATGTCATCGTATCATCACAATAACATACTGTATTGAAAACAATATTTCTCTATAGCTGTTGAACAAACAGCAATCGTCGCGACGAGGATGATTGTGAAGCATCACAATGTTATTCAAAGGCAGTCTAGGCGACACATATTCTTCCGAGGATTCACAAAGTTTATATCCTTTGGAGTTATCATATTCACGCTCCTTCCATTTCTAATCGGACCTCCCTTTGTGCAACAATCAAAATCGCAGCACTCCTACTTTCGATCGAAACACAAATCCAGATATGATGATGATGGTGTCAACTTGAATTCAAGGTCAGCATATGGGAACGGACCACACCAAGCTATCAAGAATCAGAAACCGAATAAACCTGCCAAGACACACAGTCGAGTTGGAGATGATGCGATAATAAAAAGCACAAAAAGAGCCGCTTTACGACTCGACAATGGGCAATACATATATATACAGCCCGTGAAAGAATGGCATATAATAAGGGAAGCATCAATACACAGTTGGTCTAATGATCTGGGGATCATTCATGTCGTCTACAGTCGATTCATGCAGTATCAACCAAACCTGGTGGAACTGGGTTTGGCCAGACTCGAACTATTCAAATCAATATGTCTGCCGACTATGAAACAACAAACAAATCAGCAATTTCTTTGGATTATTCGAACGGACCCAGATTTGCATCCAACCTTGAAGGGGCGACTGATCGACGAGCTGCACGGGATGATAAATGTTGTTGTCGTTGGATCCAACGACGTCAAAAAGGGGTCCCTCGATGGCGGGTTTCGTGACAAAGGTGCGATTGACGATGTAACAGAAGACTCTGTGATCTTTGGAAAGCTGCATTTGGTGCAATCCTATCATCGAACCGGCAGAGAGAATACAATTGTGGAAACAAACTTGGATATGGATGATGGTCTTGGGCTTAATTTTATCGAGACACTGCAACAGGCTGTTTCCAAGCGTTTCAAACCCATTACAAACAAAAGAGCGTGGTTAAACTATTGTGTCGGTCGGCATGTGGAATGGCAATACTATGCTCCTTGGGACGAGTCGACGACGGGAGGAGCTCTCACATTTGGATCAACCCATATATGCGTGACTGCTGGACTAAGCTGGGCAACCATGGCCAATTCTGCCCCAAGCTTCACGGAGGCCCATCATTTGATCAAACAAGATACGAAAAGCTGCGAGGTCTTCAAAAAGCCCTATCTTGGTTGCTGGGAGCAGCTTCCCGACGTCGACATGTTAGCGATTAGAGCGAGAACACCGACATCGACAGGAATGGCAAGGGTTCTAACTGCTGAAGATAAATGGACCAAAGAACAGGTGGAAATCGACCGTACCCAGTGGCCACTGCTGGAATCGTCGTTTGGTATATCACCAACAAGCATGCACAGGGCCCATCAATACTTGACAGATCATCTAGGGGTGGTGGTGGAAGAAAATTTGAAGGGCCAGTGTCGGAAGGATCACTCCTGCTCGGAAGGTATCAAGAAGAAGCTGAAACAAATCTTGTACCACTCCAGTATGTGGAAGAACAAATATGATATTGTACATATCATCCAGACTTCAGTGGACTCGGAGATGAGTGCCCATGTTCTTGACCACTTTAGCTTTGATTCACTAGAGTCCCAAACTACATACGAGTTCTTGTGGATCATTCGGTTGCAGGAGTTGGAAGAGTCGGAAGAAATAGAAGAGCTGCTAACTAGCAAGATTGTGGGGAAGAGTCCGCTCAATGTTCTTGTGGTGAAATCAGATCAAACGTCAAATATTGAATTCCGGAACCGACAAGCGATTGGTGACATCACAGAAGAAACTCTGCTATATGGAGATATGGAAATGCTAGAAGATTATTATCGAGCAGTGCAAAATAGAACTCTGCTGGAGACGACACTCGAAGCATTTGATGCTTTGAGCAAGACCTTCGTCGAGGATTTACAAAGCTCGACAGCACGACAAGTAAAGGAAAGTGAAATGATGGACGACTCGAAAAGTTGGTACTATCGATGCAACTCTAGGTATATTGAATGGGATTTTTTCACACCAGAAGGATACGACGCAGACAGCGGATTTCTAAGAATTACAGGATCAGATGATCAAGCCTGTGTTCAAAACCCAGGGGCGACTAGAGTCAGTCTCCCTGATGCCGTAATTCCTTATTACAGCGAAGAGAAAACCGTCCCCGAATGCCAAGTGTTAGTTGTTCGTCGCATCCAAAGTGGATGTTATATTCCTGCATCATCCAATCAAACATCCACCGCCAGGGCCATTATTCCAGAGTCGGTGGAAAAACCAGTTTCTCACAAGATGGACCCATTTGAACTGGAAGAGCTCGTCGCAAATGATGGACACTTGCGTGGAGTGCTTCGAGACACCATGAACATATACCCAGCTACAATAGCTGAGCTACACTCACACATCAGGGAGTCACAATGCAGTGACAGTCTTCTGTGCAATCCGGCGTGGGACAGCGAGTACGGAGTGACTCATGTGATCCAAACGTCGATACGAGACGCTTCCGATTATCTGCACTGGAGGCACTTCGGGCTATCTCTCGAGTCCCAGTCAACGACCAAATTTCTTTGGATTATTCGAATATCGCTCGATCCGAAGCTGTCGGAAGAGCTAGTCAATACCATCCACGGCATTACATTGAACGTTATTGTTGCCCAAGCAACCTCTAGTCCCGTATATGATTTTCGGCACCAGCAAACTTTGACTGACATCAATAACAGTACATTGTTATATGGTGACTTGAATACACTGGAATATTTTCACCGCAGTGCTCAACGTCGACCACTGCTGGAGACGTATCTGGCACCGACAGATAGCTTGTCACTGCGGTTCGTTACAACACTACAAAAACTTACAGCAGCCGAAATCAATGAAAGGAGAGGTGGGGTGCACGGCCTTGGTGCGTGGTACTACCGATGCGGAGTCGACCACGTTGCGTGGAGTTCAACAACCGCAGCAACCCAAGTCGATTCAGGTGTGGTCTACATTGCTGATCGTGACGAAACGAAATGTATGAACCACCCAGGAACGACGCGAATTAGCTTGCCTGGAACGGATATCCCCTCGAGTGACTTGGATGGCGCAGCTGCTCTTTCGTGCGTAGATGGAAAGGGATGGTTTCCAAATGGCTGCTATGGTCCGTTTCAGGATTCCATCAAGGCAGCTCGAGTGATAAAGAGCAAAGATAAAAACGATCGCGGCTTTGGGGGCATTCCAGGAATCTACAATGCGACAGAGGTGCAAGAGTGGTGGTTCCAAATGCTGAGAACAGACTTTGGTTTGCATCGAATCTCTTTGAAAATGATGGATTTCAAAATGAAGCAAACGAAATCTTTGAAGCCCCCAGAATTATGGTCCAATAAAAGAGGTATTGTGCACGTTGTCTACAGTCGGTTTCTGCAACAACAGGGTGCATTGCTCCATCTTGGGCTAGCTCGCTTGAAGTTGTTTCGGGCACTCTGTCTTCCATCATTGTCGGAGCAGACGAACAAAAACTTCTTATGGGTAATTCGCACCGACCCCGAGCTCCGTTCCGAATTGAAGGAGGGGCTAATAGATGCAGTGAAGGAACTTCAAAATGTGGTGGTTGTGGCGTCAGATGTTGGGGTTGATGGATTTCATGATGGCGGCTTTCGCAAAGATGAAGCCATGGATGAGTTCAACAAGGACTCCATTCTTGTTGGAGATATCAAGTTGGTGCAATCATACCATGCGGAATCCAAAACCCACACTCTTGTGGAAACCAACTTGGACACCGATGATGGGATCGCTTTGACGTTTATCAATAGCGTGCAAGACAAAGTTGATGAGCTTTTTGTGACCGACGAACTTGCAGCGGGATGGGTGCAGCTGTGTATTGGCAACCACTTGGAGTGGCACTTCTATTCACCGTGGGAGAAAAAGTCGAACAAAGGTTGTTTGCTCAAGGGACTAACACGAACATGCATCAAGTCTGGACTCAGCTGGGCGACCCGACCCAAGTCGAAGCCTCAGTTCATGAAAGAATTGAACATATTGAAAGAAGAAGCGCCAGAGTGCCCAAATCTTCACAATGTAAGCGGGTATGCACATCAAGGTTGTTGGGTTGAGGTCCCTCTCGTAGATCAAGAGAACGATGTTATGGCAATAAGAGCTATGTCGCCAGCTTCCCGAGGAGTGGCAAGAGGAGAAATCTCAAAATTCGACTGGGGCGTCAAATCTTTGTTCTTTAACAAAGTCGCATGGTCTCTTCTCGATCCCTATTTTTACATCCGCGTAGAGTACATCAAATCAGTTCGAGCACATCTTGTTGAGAACATAAAGGAAGTGTCGGATGACAATGAGCACAGTAAGTGTACACACGAAAAGACATGCTTTGGAAGATGGGCGAATGAACATCGAGTGGTCCATGTTGTATACACCTCGATATACGACCCCAATTTTGCATATACTTGGGAACGTGTCAGTTTGTCGTCGCTTACTCGACAATCGTCCTATGAGTTGCTTTGGATCGTCCGTGTGGCAGATTTTACAGATCATCGTATAATTGATTCGCTCCTGCATCCGATTGAGGAGAGTCCGTTCGCTGACAACATCATTATTGTAAAATCCACTGCTGCGCCACACAATGATTTTCGTTCCTTGGATGCAATCGCGGACATAACGGAGGAGAAACTAATATATGGAAACTTGGATGTCGTCAAGGACTACCACAAGGCTTCTCAGACGAGAACCCTAATCGAGACATTTCTCAGCCCAGAAGAAGGCTTGGTGCGGACATTTATTGATGACCTGCAAGTTTCAGCTTTGACATTGCCCGGTGGAGGTGAAGCCAAGAGTAATACAAGTATATGGTACTATCGCTGCGTTCCGGAGTACCTTGAAAGGAGCTACTATACGCCCAACGGAGAGGTTGAAGAAAATGGATTCTTAAGGATCATGAAGAGCGATGATGCTACGTGCATGGACCAGCCAGGAACGTCAAGAATCAGCTATCCTGCGAGTGTCATTACTTCAAAAGCAATTACTCGCAAGAGATGCTCTATTGATCGCCTGCAAAATGGATGTTTCATTGAATTCGAAGGTGAAGCACCATCTTTTCGAGCTTTATTACCAGGTCAAAAGAGCCAAAGTGCTCCATTGTCTGCTGCCGACTTGACAGCATTAAAATCTCAACAACAGCGCTTCGTTTTCAAGTTGCGACTTGTTTACAGCGCTTTCCCACCGAAGTTAACAGCAATGAAGCAGGTCATGAAAGGCAACGCTCGCAAAATTATCTATATTGTTCACACATGGATTCATGATCCGTCGTCCATCGTAACATGGCGTCATTTCTGTGCCGAGTCGCTTCTGCAGCAGTCCAACACGGCTTTTCTATGGATTATTCGATCAAACGTTACTTCAGATGACCTTCGGAAATCAGTTGGAAACCCACTAAAGTACTATTTCAAAGACCCAACCAACGTGATATTGGTGAAATCAGATGAGACCCCAACTGCCGACTTTCGCAGCCCCGAAGCAGTGGCTGACATTACAGAAGATTCTATAATACGAGGCAACCCAAATTTGGTGAGAACGGTTCAGCAAGCGACTCAGGGTAGGACAGTGATTGAGACTTTTCTACGTCCAGAAGAGAGTGTCAATAAAAACTTTATTGAGGATTTGCATCGCTCGGTGAATTCAGAGATTGAACGAAACCATTGGATTGCACATCAAATAACCTCCACTAACTCGTCAGAGCTGGAAGGGCTGTGGTATTTTCAATGTTCTGAGCAGTACATCGAGTGGAAATTCTTCTCTCCAGTTGGAGAAACCCTCGGTTCTGGCTTTTTGAGCCAGCATATTGCGAATGGACAACCTTGTTCGTCCAGCCCGGGACTGACAAGAATCAGTCTTCCGGGATCTAAACTACCAGAGAGCCAAATTCCGTTGGATATGAAGAAATGCGCAACAACAAGCAATAAGGGCGGGTGTTATGAATTGCCGAGCTCAACCAAACTGGTCGCTGCAAGAGCATTGATTCCGGAAACCATTGACGGAGATGCAGCATCAACACAGAAGGCATCAACGCCTCTACTCGGATCAGAAGAAGCCACAAACAAAGAAGCGAGAAATAAGGAGTTGCTACACCTTTTAGATAATGAATTTGGTGTTTCGGCATCAACATTGAAGATCATGAGAAGTGCCTTGCGAGATGCAGAATGTGAGAAGCAGAATGGATGTACTGGTCAGTGGGAATCAGCAACTGGAGTGGTACACGTTGTCTACACGTCGTTGCATACTCGTCTCATGGTATCAGTCTGGAGATGGTTTTGCTTTGCACTCGAGGCTCAGACAACAAAAGACTTCCTTTGGATCATTCGAGTAGACCCAAAAGACCCTGATCTCTTGAAGGAAGTCATCAAACCGACTGTCAAGACTCCATTGAATCTCATTGTGGTCAAGTCCGACTACATTCCGCATGTTGACTTTCGACAGCCGGAAGCCGTTAAGGATTTGGCGACAGAAAACATTATCAAGTCCCATGGGCATGAGATCGACATGCTGCGGTTTTATCATCAGAAGGCCCAAACCAGTCCACTGCTGGAGACCTTTTTGCAGCCGACCGACGCTCTCGGGAACTCGTTCATCAATGACATTCAAGTGTCGACTGCGGACCAAGTCCTACAGTTACAAAATGACACTTGGTATTACCAATGCGTTGACAAGCACCTTCAGTGGACGTACTTTTCGTCCACAGGAATGGACGCAGAGTTTGGTTCCTTCAAAGTTGTCGGTGAGGAGATTACTCGCCAACTTGATCGCCCGGGCACCACACGAGTGAGTCTACCTGGAGCACAGATTGAGGAGGCCGAAGGTGATCCAAAGACTTGCCCTGCCTCATCGAACGGAGAGAGTAGGCACGGGTGCTATGTTGCGGTTTCGAAAGGCAATGCCACATCAGCAAGAGTGATTGTTCCCAAGGTTGACATGGTGGCACATGTCAAACTTCAAAACGAAGAAGAGAAGAAGGAGGAAGAAAAGTACATGAAAGACTTCTTACATACATTGAAGCATGAATATTCGATCGGTCGAGGAAATTTGATACAAATGAGAAAGCAGATGAAAGAATTTTTGTTGAATCCTCCAAAACCAAAGAAGTGAGAAATATTCGAATAGACTTTCTAATATTAGAAATTGACCGCTACCAGCCTGAAAAAGGCATCGATTGATCATTTCCACTTCACCAATCACACTGACATCATGAATCAGCACCCCTGTCATCCTTTTTGGTCGGTCAATTGACTTGCCATGCATTGCAAGGAAAAGTCGGTCTTGTCCGTATCATTTTAAATCTCGACTACCATGCCGAATCTGTATTGTTCGGTTGTGTATGGATTAGGCAAATTGGAACAATAAATCGTCGAATTGGCGATGCTTCCAAGGGTTCATGCATTATGCAGATCGATGACGATTTTATTATCCATTCATCGATTCATTGATTTTGCTCCTGAGTCCACTTAGCATACGACCATGCCAGACTAACAAAGCAGAGTCCAATTTCGATTGGCTGAGGAGCCGTCCATACTATACTGCCACCTTGTCCATCGTCTGCCATCATAATGGCGGCATGCAAATAGGTCACAACCGGCGTCAATGGCAAGGTTGCCATGGCCACCAATCCTGGTAATCGGGTATCATTGATTTCTTGAGAAGCATTGCTGGCAATGGCTGCAATAGCCGATAGTGCCACAAAGGTAACGACAAAATCTGCGTCTTGGGACAAGATTCCTCCCGTCAAGAAAATTAATCCAAAGGCGTCGTCGTTGTAGCCCACCATTGGCTTCTTCTTGGCTGGCTTGTTGTCATTCGTTCCTTTTGCAGCGCAAAGAGAAATGCTGGACCGTGCTGATATTGAGACGTTCTCCTCCATGCTACTACCAACTTTGGGGTAATTAATCCGAGGCATCAGCTGCCATGTGGAAGATGATTGTTGTCGGGAGGTATGATATGATGATGGCTCTATAATAAAGGATGAATCGACACCACGAGTGGCAATGCTCAAGAAGAAAACAAAGGCTACCACTGTAACTTGAATGAAAGATATTCCCATCATCATTCTTATATCTAAGGTTCCTCTCTGATGAAGAGAAATATAAAATGGATACAGGGGCAAAGATATCCGCCTTGAAGGAGAATCATAAAAAATCCATCAGGCATGTGACGTCACATGCATATAATCTGTTAGTGTGACCGTTTGTGCGACATCGTTTCCGCCAACCAACTGCAAACGTGGGACGTGCTTGCGCTCTAATCCATCGGCTATCATCGACACCTCACCACTGAAAAAGAACACTCTCATCTGCTCAAAGTATGTTTCAAAAGTGCCGAGAATAAATTCCGCCGATCCTACTTAGTATTCATCTTTTAGAGGTAGACTCCCATTGCACCTTTATCTCCTCCAGTCGCAATCCTCAGCGTCAAACCACTGAGCGATATCCCAAGACACTCTCCTTCCATTTTTGTTGTATTTTCATCTATTGAATTGAAATACCGCATAAGTTCCGGAAGAACGAACATCAACGCAATATCATGTGTCAACTCATGGGAATGAACTGCAACACCCCCACGGATTTTACGTTTTCCTTCAAGGGGTTTGCCAAACGAGGTGGTGAGACGGATAAGGTGAGTATTGCACTAGTAAAGGGAATACGATTTATCCAACAATATCATGTCTCACAAAAAACATGTACGCAACCCTTATTATATCTTTTTTTTAAATTATGATAGCATGAACATGGTTGGGGATTGGCCATATACGAAGGACGAGGCCTGCGGACCTTTCACGATCCACTGCCAGCGGCCAAATCACGGATTGCCGAATTTGTTTCTGGATATCCCATTCAGACCCTAAACATGATGGCCCACATTCGGTATGCGACCCAAGGAACCGTCAGTTTGGAAAACGTGCATCCCTTTCAGCGAGAAATGTGGGGAATCCAATGGTGCTTTGCCCACAATGGTGAAGTTCCAAAGTTTACGGGCAAGAAATTTCAGGATTATCCTCGATTGGGACGCTGCAAAGAACTCTTTTACTTTCCAGTGGGAGAGACGGATTCCGAAGCTGTGTTTTGTGCCATTTTGAATGCCTTGCGGGCCGAGTTTGCATCCTTGCCTACCTTGCCGAATCTGTACGAAACCATTCAACGATTGTGTGCGGAAATTGTGGAAGGGGAAGAAGACGAGACTATTCTGAATTTTTTGCTAGGGTGTGGAAAGTTTACACAATTTGCGTACAGTTGGCCTGGAAAACGCCCAGGTTCCAAAGTTTGGAATGGACTCTTTTTCACCATTCGGAGACCTCCATTTGCGACGGCCCAATTGAAGGATGTCGATTATGCAGTAGACTTTACAGTATGCACCAACCCCAACGACCGAGTGGCGGTCATTGCTACGGCACCCTTGACGAGCAACGAACGGTGGAGAGAATTCAAAAAGGGAGAACTGTTAATGTTTGACAATGGTTGGGGATATTCCGAAATACACGATTGCCATGAAGTCGAGCTACAAGGTCGGGGATTGGTATCGAATAACATGCCCAAACAAACCTGTGGTGGATGTCCAGAAGCCCAATCGGGTTTCAATGCTCCCACTCTGCTGCGAAATCAAGTCGACGAATATTTTCGAGAACAACAACAACAACAACAGCAAGCAGATGGCTCATCGTCAATACAGCTGCCCTTTGCCAAGGAGGGAGCCGATTTGGGCTGTGGCAGTGGATGTTCTGGTTTGGCCTTTCGGGATTGCGTCACACGGTTGACAGGAGTCGACATTTCTCCCGAAATGATTGATCGGGCCAAACTCCGAGGTTGTTACGACAACCTTTTGGTGGGAGACATTGAAACTGCCATTCAGGATGCCAATTCCAAATTTGACCTGGTCTTTGCTTCCAATGTATTTGCCTTCATTCAAGACATTCGTGGAGTCTTTGCCAGTGTCCGCACCAGTCTCAATCCCGACGGTATTTTTGCATTTTCGGCCGAGACGATTGATTTTGATGATGCGCCATTGCTGGTTCCGGAAGTTGACCAGGTTGGAGAAGAGAAAAAGGAAGAAGATGGAAGAGGAATAGAAGCAGCAGCTAGCTGTGATGAAAATAAGGAAAAGAAGTTTCGGCTGGTGCTGCAGTCCTGTGCACGATATGCACACGAAGCTGGCTACATTCAAGAGTTGGCTTCCGAATTTGGTTTTGAAATCGTCAAGACGCAAGAATCCGACTTGCGAAAGCATTGTGTGCACATGGTGAAAAATGCAGTCTATGTCATGGCGTGCCGCCGATGAACGGGCTGTGTCATACATATCCTGTATGTTTTTATACAATATTAAAAAGGCCAACACTACTGGCTAGCTAGAACCGCAGAGAAAGCGCGCAAAAGTAATTCAACTGTATTATTATACATATAACATAATTTTATATTGAACAATCGTGACTTGTTGAATGATCCCGTGGTTTAATTAATTTTACAGTTGACAACAATCAAGGTCCCATGACTTGTGCATAGGACTTCGTTGTGCGTCCTCGTCCTCCAAGTATTGGAGCTGACCATTAGCATTGGTGCTATTATTCACATCTATCATAGGATTCGTATTGTTGCCATAATGATTGACGGTCTTTCGGGGCTCCGCCAAGATGGAATCATCGGCGTCTGACCGATTGTGATCAAACGGTGGATAAAAGGTATCTTCCTCCACTGCCTTTGGGAAAAAGGGTGCCTCGTATGGGTTGTAATCGTTGGGCATCTGTTGTTCCATCACGGATCCCTGCATGGAATCTTGGGCACCCAGCGCCACGCTTTTGGGACTACCATAATAGGCTGATGACGAGGATTGCTTCTGATACTGCTCTATTACGCCGACACGACTACCACCACCACCGCCACTACTGCCATTGTCCTGGAGACACGCATTCAATGGCAATAATAACACCAAAATGACAGCCCCCACGGCACCCAAACCCCAATAATATTGCTCCCAATCCAAATCAAAATGTAAGAATTGCCAATCCAATCCCGTTTGACAAGTGTAGTAGGCAACTCCAATGCATACCAAAAACAAGAAGCGACTGAACCATTCCAAGCCACTGGCCTTTTTGGGTGGCTCGTCGTCGTCGTCGTCGTCCAAATCATTGTCATTCCAATTGGAAAATCCATACGGATTGCGTGGATTGTGCGGAGAACCCCCCGGCAGCACCTCCATGTCATTGCCCATGCCCAAAATGACATCTGCGTCGCCGCCGTCGCCGTCGCCGCCCCCTTGCCTTTGGTTGCGGGCTCGTGGTACCGTCGCATCCCGGGAGGCCCGTTTGCGCCCCCGCCGTACGGCCGCCTCCTTTTCGTGTTGGGTCGCCAAGGCCCCAAAGTAGAGTGCCAACAGGCAATACATTAAAAATCCACCAAAGACGCCCACTCCATAATAGGCATGGGATGTCTGCAAATGCGTGGCCCGGTCGTCTAGATAAGTGGCCACGACACCCAACAAAATGCCAGCACAGGTCGTGAGCAGGGTACTGGTGTTGCAAAATTGATTCACCTTTGCCCATTTGGGGCCCTTGCGTTTTAGGAACGTGGTAGCGAGTCCCAGCGGTGCAATGATCCCCCAGGCAATGACTAGAGCAATCCCGTGGACGATCCAGATTCCCCGGTTGGGCTTGTCTCCCAAAAAGCTCCGTCGCGCATTGGTATCGACCAAGCCTCCATTGACGGAAGGATTGGTAATTTCCCAAGGATTCGTAAAACAGGGCGTCAGGGCAATGTTGAATTTCCCCGTAATGGTATGGGCACCAGTCCAGGCATTGTTGGCATTGCCGACGGCAAAGATCCAGGTACTTCGATCCGTGACCACCTGTGGAGGACTGTCAAAGACATCATTGGTCGGCTTGGTAAAGGTCATGACCGTCTTTCCAGAAGTCGTCTGCAAAAACTCGGCATCCTCCAAAGTTTGCGAGCCTCGTGGCATTTCCACCACTCCCGAAGCATCCGGATTGGCATTGTTGAGCAAGTACTTCTTGACACTCGTCCTTCCAGTGGCTTCATCGTCCAATTTCCCAATAACAGCATAAGGAGGTTTTCCAGGCCGTCCATCGTTCTCAAAACTAATCCCAATCCATGCTTCACCCTCGTAGACAATTCGCATTCGAAACAGCAAACTGTCGTTGTCAATCCAATTCTCGACCGTCAAACCGGGCGCGATTTCAATGGGCGGACTCAGAATGCAATTCTTTTGTCCCAAGATGATGGGAGGATCGGTTTGGACCGTGTCTACGGCCACGATGCGACCCCCTCCACACGCACAGCAGGCGGTATTGGCCGATTCCCCCTCAAAGACAAACTCGCCATACAGATCGCACCATTCTTGATTGAAATCGTATTCGTCGCACCCACAGCCATCTTCGTCGATCCAATCCGTGTTTCGGCAGAGCGCTACTTGGGCTTGTACTCTTGTTATTGTTGCTGTTGCTAACAGCAGTAGCATTAGTCGACGGTATATTATTGTCATTGTCGGTGTGTGTATATTTGATATGTTGTCGTATTCGTTCCTATGTATGGGTATGATGAATGAATGCCCCTTTTATTATTATTATCATTGCATTGCGCATTGATTGATCGAACCAAAAGTTGACTGCATGGATTAGATTCCAAAAATTGAAAATCTGGGACCGCCAATTTTTGGAGTAATTTGATTCAAATGACATGTCGTTGAATACCAAATGTATTCAGTAATTAGGACTTTGTAATATTGGCCTGCACGCGCAAAAAGGTGCGACGAAAATTGCACGATTCATTCATCTATATATAACTTCCGAACCAATGCACCTCTCCACTCGGATGAGAGTAAAACCTCAAAACGCATGTGGTTCTCATGAGACAATGGGAGACGCCTTCTACTACTGGTACCTGGTACTCTGGTTTAAAATTTGGGATTGATTGATTGAATAGTTATAGTTGGTTTGAATTATTTTAAAAGCAATTTAGAATATTATTATACATTGTCACTACAACAAATACGATGCATTGCTTTCCTTCTTGAAGGAAGGAATCAATCAAATAATCAGAAGCCATTCTTCATCTATCTTGATTCCAATACATCTTGCATTTTACAGACAACAAGTATCCATAGCCCACGACTTTCGCATGGGACTGCGTTGGGCCTCCTTGTCCTCCAAGTCGTCTTCTTCCATCAATTGCCCTGTATTCAAAGTAGTGGTATCGTCGTAGGAATCCCGACCACTCGGTGTGTAGTAACTATCCTCATCGACTCCCTTGGCAAACGTGATTTTGTCATTGTTGCCATCTTTCGGTGCGCTCTCCCTTTCGGGTGATCCTGGAGCGGATCGGGAATTGGAGGGAGCCACTTTCTTGCTGGAAGCATCCTTCATGCAGCAGCTCAAGAGAATGAGTAGCAACATCATGACAATTCCAAAGGCACCAACTCCCCAATAGTAGTACGACCAATCCAAACCATACAGAAATGTCTGCCAATCAATGCCGGAATGACAAGTATAGTACGCCAAGGCAATCAATGCCAAGAATAGAAAACGGCTGAACCATTCCAAACAACCAGCCTTTTCGGGGGGTGTTGCTTCCTCTTCTTCTTCCAAAGGTGGAGGCTCCACGGGTTCGCTATACAAGGACTGCTTCTTCTTGTTTTTGTTCTTGGGGTTGTGGGGAGAATCTCCCGGCACAATCTCCAAACCATCGCCCATGCCCAGAATGACGTCGGGTTCCCGTACTTTGGGCTTGACCACGCGGGCGGGGGGACCCTTTTTGCGGGCACGGGCTTCGGCCTCTTGCTTCTCCTTTTGGGTCGCCTTGGCGCCAAAGTACAAGGCCATCATGCAGTACACGAGCAATCCGCCAAAGACGCCCACCCCATACAAGGAATGGTCCGTCTGCAAGTGATTGGAGCGATCGTCCAAATAAGTGGCGACCACACCCAACAAAATGCCGGCGCAGGTCAATAGCAGCAAGGTAGTGTTGGCAAATTGGTTCACCTTGCCCCAAAAGGGACCCTTGCGCTTCAGGAATGCGGATGCGAGTCCCAATGGTGCAATAATGCCCCAGGCAATTCCCAGAGAAATCCCGTGGGCAATCCAGACAGTCTTGTTTGGTTTCACTCCAAAAAAGGTTCTTCGGTCCACTGCATTCCCGTCCACCAAACCGCCATTGACGGACGGATTGGTGATTTCCCAAGGATTGGTAAAACAGGGATTCAAAGCAAGATTAAACTTGCCGTGAATCGTATGGGCGCCCGTCCAAGCATTGTCGGGAAGGCCGACAGCATAGATCCAAGTGGACCGATCTGTCACCACTTGTTCGGGAATGTCAAAGATCTCATTCAAGGTCTTGGTAAAGGTCATGACAGTCCTCGTGTTGGTTTGAAAGAACTGGACGTCTTCCAGAGTCTGAGATCCTTGTGGCATTTCCACCACTCCCGAAGCATCCGGGTTGGCGGTGTTGAGCGTGTATTTCTTGACGCTGGATTCATTGTCTTCTTGTCGGCCAATCACGGCAAAGGTGGGCTTTCCAGGACGGCCGTCATTTTCAAAACTAATCCCAATCCACGATTTGCCTTCGTACGTGAGCCGCATGCGAAAGGTGAGTTCGTCATTGTCCACCCAATTCTCTACTGTAAGGCCAGGAGCCACTTCCACAGGTGGACTGAAAATGCAATTCTTTTCTCCAAGCACAATGGGTGGATCCGTTTCGGCGGCATCGATAAAGATCGTTCGACCACCGCCGCAGGCGCAACAGGCGGTATTCGCTGATTCACCCTCAAAGACAAAGTCGCCATACAACTCGCACCATTCTTGATTGAAATCGTATTCTTCGCAACCACAGCCGTCATCGTCCACCCAATCCGTGTTTCGGCAGAGTTCGACTTGCGATTGCGCTACAGAAGCTAGTAGAAGAGTGATGAGGAAGGTGGCATACTGATGCTTCATCATCATCATCATTGTTGTTGTTGTTGTTGTCGTTGTCGCTATGTTGTACTCTTCACAAGGATGAGACAATCAATCAATCAAATGCTGCCTTCTGTCTTCCGTTCCCTGTGTGCACACCAAAGTTTATGGTGTATTGTGTTGGATGCCAATGTTGTGGCGTGCCGGCGCTCGACAATTTTAGGTAGCGAAAATTTTGGGAGTAACGAACTGTCATGTGCCGGTGCAATAGTTAAGTATTTGGACATGGGAGCAGACGACAACGGAAATTTTACAGAGCGTTCTTTGAGTCGTACCAGTATCGTGTCTACCCGTACCACCATGATGATACTGCTTCTGCCATGCTTAACAGAATGATGAATGGTCCATATCATATCATATCATATCATATCATGTCATATATTGTGTTATGTTATGGGTATGTAATTTGATTTCACTTGTAGTGAGTCATCATTTTATGATTCTATTAGATAGTAGTAGTAGTAGTTGGTAAGTGATATACGCATGCTTTCATTTCATCCTTGCATCCATTCTTGCATTCATTCATTCATTCATGACGCGCTCGCGTAGACTCATCCATCGGTACCCGCTGACATTTGTTTCCAAAACTTGTTGCGTCGTGTCGTAGCAGTGCCAGTCACAGCAGCATCCGACGATTCGGTCCGACTTCTTGCTGCTGGTTCATAATTATTGTTGTTGCTACTATTCCCGGTACCAGCACTTCCGGCACTACGACCTCGGTTCCAAATGGGACGACGCATTGGTGGTATCGGTGGTGTCGTTGTTGTTGTTGTTGTCTCATCATTTGTCGTTGTGGTGGTTCCAGACGTCTGATAATGATTCCAAATGCGGGAAACCGGTGGGACAGTACTGGAAGCGGCCGTCGATCCAGTAGCTTCGGTCGCTGCCGTCATGGCCGTGGTGGTGGTGACAACCGAAGTGGCCTCCTCGTCATGGTTCTTGTCTTGACTGCCACCGGAATCACTTGCCATAATGGGAGCGTGTACTTCTTGACTACTCACATTCTTGTTCCAAAGGTTCTTGACCCGACCAAACAAGCCTCCCTGAGGTGGTGCTGCAGCTGTGGTTGCTGAGCCTGGTGACGTTGCCGAAGCCATGCTAATTCTGGGTGCCAACCCTCCTCTCATGCCAAAGGCCATGATGATACTTGGTGGCGGACTGATGGTTTGCAAGGCTTGATGGAGTGAAACTCCGGCTCGTTGACACACGAGCGTGATTTGACTTTCGTAAATGTACAAACTCCGGGAGGTTTCCAAAATGGCATCCACATCTCCGGGTGGATAGGATTGCAACAATCGCAAACATTTTCCAAAGTCACCTTTCAATAAATCGTCCCGAATCATCATGACCATGGTACCACAAGCATATCGCAAAAAGTTTTCCTTGTGTGTACTGGCAAACATGGAATCCCACAATCGAATGGTATCCGGCAATAAAAATTCTCTTGACAATAGCGTAGTCAACCATCGAATGGCAAAGAACGAGGCATCGATACCAACTTCTTGCAAATGTTCAAAGACTTCTGGATCGTGAGTTTTCAACAAGCGTTGCAAATTGGCAATCCGACTTTGAATTCCAGTATGACTGTCGTCCATTTCGGGCACAAAGACGTCTTTCATGTCCATCATTAAAGAATGAAATAGATAATAGGAATCGGCTTCCGCATTGTTGGCCCAGTCCGAATTGTGGTCATTGGCCAAGACGTAGTAAATGGTACCAATAATCTCATTCATTCCCTGCACATATCGGACCTGTGTGGAGATATTAGAATGGTAAGGGAAAGCATATATTGCTTGGTTAGTTTTCTTCATCCAAATCTACGCAAATTCTCATCCATCAAAAGTAATGCGTTTTACTTACCCCCTTGTTCAATTTGGCCCAAATGAATAATATTCGTTCCAGTGCTCCATACCGTCGCATTCCCAAATGATCCTTGGGTTCCAAATAAAAGAACAAATCGGGGTGCGTCCGGGCCACATCCTTGCGGACCTCGCAGAGCAATTGAGCATCTTCCAAAAATGCCTCAAATTCTTCTTGGGTATTCATGGTTGGAGAAATGTTCAATTGATTGATTCCCAAATTGACGGCCTGATTGGTAAATTCGGAATTGCCGACATCCAAATCCAAAATGCCGACCCGTTTCCAAGCATCTTGAAATTGTTTGGGGAGTCGATCGGCAATTTTGGTGGCCGTATCGAATTGCATCGCTGTCATAATGTTGGATTCCATGGTTTGTTCCGACATGACACTGTCCGAGTCATCATTGTCACCACCACCACCACCGCCATCTTGACCGGAAGCATTGGGGTTGTCCCAAGACTCTAATTTGTTGTACTTTTTGCGAAGTCGTCGATCCCGAAGTAATTTGGACAATTGACCTCGCAAATCCTTGCCGCGTTCCAGCGGTCCTTCAAAGTATTGTTGCACTAGACTCTGATAAAGTTCGCGTTTGGCTGGAACCAATTTGGGCCAATTGGTATGGATGTTGTCTTTTTCCAAATAGCCTAGTAACGCACGCCAGGCCACGCCGCGATGAGATCCTTCGTCGGCAATGCCTTGGGAACAGACCCGACGAAGTTTGGCCAAATCAATATTGTGTTCCTTGCCCGTGTCACCCCATCGGCCATTCATGCCATCGTATTGTGCGGAATTATCCGGGCTGGTGGGGTTGTTTTCGCCATCTTTAGCATCAGCATTAGATGGAGGAGACTGAGGCTTGCTAGGACTCGAGTTGGGCGATGATCTGGGTGGTGGTTTCATCTTGGGGCATTTCTTACTCGGTCCAAACAAACATTCTGATATTGACGGCAGTGGGGTGGACGCCGATTGAGCGGAACCTTGTCGGTGATGCATCGTGGGAGTTGTAGTATTTTGATATTGTAACTGTTTGTGGTGATGCTAATGCTAATGCTGATGCGTGATTGATTGATTGATTGATTGATTCAAGTTCAGGCGGGTTCAACTTCAGAAAGACTTCAGGTTCACCTGAGAAGATGTCAAATTCTGTGTCTTTGGTTCTGAATTTTCTTGATTCTGATTGTGTCTCCAAGAACTTGTTTCCGTCTCAGCAAGTTTCGTATTAGTTACCAATCTACAAGAGAAACGCGGGATATGTCGTTATCCTGCAGTCTCTAGACGGATCAACCAATCAATTTTGTCGAATCAGAACACTTTCGACTTATTCCGATGTTGAAGTAAATTCTCTGCTTTCAAAAGTTGTTGATTCTCGATTGGTTCCAATGCAATGCTTTGAAGTCTATTACTGTATCGTTCAGTGTGATAGATTCAGTAGCAGTCTTGGTTTCTAGCAGAAATATAAAATAAGAAGTCTCCCCTTTTCCAATCCCACAGACAACAACAAATCAAATTGGATATCTACAGTATGATGCGATGATTGTGCATTCTCTTCCGTTTTCCGTGTGGAGCCGCAGGTCTAGAGGTGAGTGGCCGGCCAGCGACATTCGGTTAAGTGATTTCCCAAATGACTGGCGGAGTCTCAAGTGGAACGGAAAATACCGAGCCGGCATCGTTAAATCGATTCGATTGACTTTTTTCTAATCAAAAGAGTCGGATATCTTTCCTTGTCAAAATCGATCACAGTGCACAGTGCCACAAGTAATAAAATACAAACAGGCGCTTGACACTCCTACCCTCTAATCGACAGACACAGGTATACCAACCATGGGAAAGAAGCATCGCCGCAGCCGAAAGAACAGCAAGGGCGATGATGACGGAGACGAGGATTACCATGATGATGACAACAACCACAGCAACAATAATAACGAGAATGACAATAACTCACCATCCTTGAAAAACATGTCCTTTGCCGAAAAACGAGAATACCAACGCAAACAGGCAGCCCAAAAACGCAAGGCCAAACAAAAATGTTACCTCTGTGGTCAGTCGGGTCATGTTCGTAGAGAATGTCCTGGTATTGCCGACGATGGACGGGGCATGTCCCGCTTCAAGAGCAAGAGGGATCCAAAAGGAGAAAAACTAAAGCGAGAACAAGAAAAACAACGGGTGCAAAAGCAACAACAAAGTAACGGAGAGGATCGCTCCATGGAAGCGGATTACTTTGATCTGGTTGAGTATCCTGAAGGATTCGTGCATCCACCGGAAGAGGATGACAATAACAACAACGAAGACAATAATGAAGAAGATAATGCTGCTGGTCAACAACAAGAGAAGATAGAAACGGAACACGATGCATCATTATTGGCCATTCCTCATCCCTTTTTAGATCCTCACTGTCGCGTCTTGGAATCTATTGAGTACATGGAATCCCAACGAGATGCCAAAAAGAGCAGCAAGAAGAACAAGAAGCAGAATGCCAACAGTAGCAGTGACGATACGGATGCAACCACACGGGAATATCAAGCCATTTGGAAGCGTGCGATTCAAACGACAGGGTTGGCTGGCATTATTGTTCCCACAGTGGTGCAAATGCATGTGCCTTGGAGCAACCCCATTCCATGGTTGGGTGTTGCCGAAGATGCCGATAATGATGCTGATGATGATGAAGATTTGGAAAATGAAAATAATGATAATGATGGCAATGGAGAAGCACCAGCGGAAGAGCAACCAGAACAACCTCACAGCAAGACGATTCCCATTCTCTTTGCTCTTGGATTGGCATCCACAGTCCCCTGCACTACAGAAGCAGAACAAACCGATGCCAAACAACTCTTACTTCAAACCATCGGAACGGATGCAAACGACGACAACGACAACAAGAAACAAAGTATTGCAGCCCTCTGGGCAGTCTTGGACTACACCAAACCTAATCGAACCCGAGAAGGCCAACAAAAGCAACTAGAATGTCTCTTGCAAGTAGCGAGTGAAACCAATCTGACCCTTCAAGTCCAAGTGTTACCAGGGATTCCTTCCGATTTGGTGGAGGCGGATGCCTCGGTGGCTGGGACGGATTATGCGCAAGCCCTTCTTGATTTTCAAGCAGCCTTGGCCAATCATTTGGCATCCACTGGACGAAATGACGGTAATACTCGATTGAAAATACACTTGGTCGGTTGGCAGGGCCGATCCGATCATACGCTGAGTCTTCTCAAGGCCTTTGCTACTGATGACAACTGTCCCTCCATATTTATTGGTTTGGATCCCACTGTGACCTTTTCCAAGGCGAATCACTTGCACGAATTGGCCTTTGAAGTGCCGTTGCACCAATTGGTCATCGAAACGAGTCAGATCATTCCCTCGTACATTACCAAAAAGTTGGGACGGCAGGCAGCACCGCATGCGGCGTGGTGGCCCTTTGTGGCCCAAGCGGTGGCCAACCACAACAACCAAGGAGAAGAACTGGCAAAGGTTACCCAACAGGTGACGGAGAATATTCAAGCATTGTACCCTGCGTTGGGTTCTGGTGGGGATTAATGGACGCATCATAAGACTAAGCCTATAGAATAAGGACTCATGTTTCGAATATGATAGAACAAATGAGGTGACAAGGCCAAGTTTGATTATAAATGTAGATTTTGAGTAGGATCGTGGTACATATTGCAAGCGAATCTCCATCGGTCTGTACCGCTTCACAGTATATAGATTTTGGTGAAACTGAGGGATCACGCAGAAAAATGATACCACATGGAACAAACATACGTGCTGAGGCTACTAGGTTTGCTAGTCTATTCACACTATAGCTATTCACACTCGTAGCAAAAGGGACCGGGTGGATTGGCAGGCATGACTGTTCGATCCCGTCGAGAGCATCGCGTGTCAGAAAACACAACGATGCTGATACGGTTGTTGAAATCAAAATTACCGCTCGGAATGCGCGAGCCCCATGGACAAAGGTTTTGATTGAACGATGTTGCTCCGTTGAACATGCTGCCGATTGAAGAAAGGCTTCCAAGGGAAGAAACATTCCATGATGAAATATCTTGGTTGAAAGATTCCGCCCTGGAGAACATGTGCCACATATTGGTGACGGAAGAAACGTCCCATGATGATATGTCTCCATTGAAGGATTCTGCCCCAGTGAACATGACATCCATATTCGTGACAGAAGAAACGTCCCATCCTGACAAGTCTTGATTGAAATACCTAGCATTGTGGAACATAGATTGCATAGTAGTGACGGAAGAAACATCCCACGATGACAAGTCTTGATTAAAGGCTGGTGCGCTCTGAAACATTTGCCCCATGTTGGATACGGAAGACACATCCCACGATGAAATGTCTTGGTTGAAGACCGTAGCATGAAACATCCCTGCCATATTGGTGACAGAAGAAACATCCCATGATGCCAAGCCTTGCCTGAAAGCATTGGTGACAGAAGAAACATCCCATAATGCCAAGCCTTGCCTGAAAGCAGATGCTTTCCAGAACATTCCGTGCATATCAGTTACAGAAGAAACATCCCATGATGATATGTCTTGATTGAAGGAGCCTGCATTGCGGAACATCCAATGCATGTCCTTGACGGAAGAGACGTCCCATGATGATATGTCTTGGTTAAACGAAAGTGCCCCATCAAACATCGCATTCATTTTTGTGACGGATGAAACGTCCCATGATGACAAGTCTTGATTGAAGGAATACGCGAGGTGGAACATGTACCCCATATTCGTAACAGAAGAAACATCCCAGGATGATAAGTCTGGATTGATGCCCGTTGCTTCCCTGAACATGTACCCCATATCAGTGACGGAAGAAACATCCCAGGATGACAAATCTTGTTCGTAGAAAGTGGCTTGCCAGAACATCCCATACATGTCAGTTACCGAAGAAACATCCCAGTTTTCAATAACAACCTCCTCATCATATCTATTATAATCGTCATTGTAAGCAGAGCGGCCCTGGAAAAGTAGTCGCATGCTGGTGACACGTGCACCGAAGCACCAATCTCCCATGGGTCCATATTGGGCCTTGACTGATGCCTTTATGTGCTGAGCCTCAAACCAGCTGCGAACTGCACCTGCGAGCTCTTCGCTGGTTTGAAAACATGGCATTGTTGGTGATAGCGGCGTGGTCGTCGTAGTTGTCGGCAAAGGAGTTTTGCCTGGCATGGGAGCGAACGATGGTGCTGGTGTTGGTGCCAGAGTGGGGTCTACGATCGGCGCCATGCTCGGGATCCATGATGGACTTGAAGTTGGCTGAAGGGTTTCGGGAGTTGAAGTTGGTGCCGGAGTAGGAGTTGGCCCCGCCACCGGTGCTTGTGTTGGGACCCATAATGGACTTGAAGATGGCTGAAGGGTTTCGAAAGCGAACGGAGGTGTCGATGGGGCTATGTGGGCTGGTGTTGGCGAAGGGGTTGGCCTCGGGGTTTGAGGTCGAGTTGGTAGTGGAGTTGGAATAGAAGGCGGCCAAGGAGTTTCTTCTACCGTCGGAGAGAATGTGTGTAGATGAGTTGGCTCTGGGGTTACCTTTGCTGTTGGAGAAGCAACTGTTGGTGGGAATGTCGGTTCCGAAGGAGACGCATCGCTGGTACTCGGAGATTCTGTTATATCCATGGGTCCCAAATTCACAACAACAATGCTTTCATAAAGTCCAGTCAATTCAAGTTTTTCGGCAATAACACCGTCGCCAAAAAAGGAGCTGAGTTCACCAATCACATCCACGACCTTCACTGATGAATCCTTTGTAAAGATATCAAGTACGACACTGACTCGATGACACCGCAGATCAGAGTCACCCATGCAATAAGGCGCCCCCTCGACGCCGATCGCATCAATCGCCACATTTCCGATTGCATACGAGAATGATAAATCATTATCATCAAGATGGCGGGGATAATGCACCAACTGCTCATGGCGCAAGCTTCTTCGGACAACTCGGTTGCATCCTGTGAGCACAGGAGTAAGAATCTCGCTGAGTTTATCCTCAATAATGCCAGCTGAGAAACTCGAAACCATAGGAACAAAAGGAGTAGCATCCAGGTTCAGCTGGTAGCTTTGTATGGGCATCATTTCCTGTCCTCGTATCGTCTCTCCTTTCGCAATGGCAGCACAATCGTCTACCGAGGGCGGGTGAAACGGAGATGAAGTAATCGTCATGTTCCCATTTGCATCTGCTGAAGCGTCCTCGCTTCTTCTCAAAGCAAAATACGATCCAAAGGCTGCTAAAGCAATCAACGCCATACAGAGCAGACATTGATATGCCCGAACAACATCTTTCTGCTTGAATCGTTCCCGGCCAGGATCCCTTTCATTCGATACGCCATTCGGTGCTTTGCTAGTGTTTTCACTCGGAACGCTGTTAGGCGCAGGTCCGTCCGATGTTGCATCATTTTCTTCAGTATGAGGATTCTCAGCACCATTATTATTGCCAGGGGCGCCATCGTTGATATCGTCTTCCTTATCTTCATTTCGGGTAGGTGGAGGTTCCAAGCTGCTGGACGATAATGATCCAATTTCATTCCATTCCATTTCCATCTTTTCTTATTATTGTGTTATTATGATCCAATGTGGTACTGTTACGACGAGGTTTTCCAAAATTGTTCGACGATAAAATACCTGCCGTACTGAAATTCGTCCATGCAGTCATCATCAATAAATCCAAACTTGTGCGGTTTTTGTGGATGAATTCAGCACAGCGACCAGCACTCATGTGAAATACTTAGGGGCATGCATCCTAGTATGTTCGACGTTGTTCCTTCTTCGGATTTAGCAAGACCAAAACGGGGAGAAACATTGGATCAAGCGACCCGAACGGCGGTTCAAAAACACATGGATCGAGTTGGTACTGAATAAGGCGGACAATACTGTAGGAAAAGGAAGAGGAAAACGGATCATTCTGGTAACGGTATGATCGGTACCTGGTACAACGATATGTTACAAACAATGTGTGCATCGCAGATACCGGTACGCTACTGTATTTATTGCGTCTTTAGTAAATTTCTTCTGTCCCATATTCCCGAACCAAAACTGTTTCAGCTCCATCCATTTTTTTTGCGTCCTTCCTTCAGTGCGATGACATTGTGTTTTTAAATAAAAAGGAAGCTGTTTCAGTTCCACCAAACGCATTGTGCGCATCGCATGATCGGAGATATCGGAATCATCATCATCATCGAATATCAAAGTCCAATACAAGTACCAGGTACCGGTACCGTAATATATTATGTCGACCAGCCATACAATTCTATACTGACTTGATATTGAAGGACCAGATACGCCTATACCGGTAGACTGATTGACTGCTATTGACGCTGCTACCACAGAACTCGACTCACAAGAATGGCGACTCCCAATCGCAGTAGCACTAGTAGTAATAGGTTTCAACAAAAGCCACAACGGAAAATCCAGTCATTGCCTTGGGTCGTCATGATGGCCTTCCTCTTTGGACTTTATTTCCTCAAGGACGCAGCATTTTCCAGCTTTGAAGCATCGTCTATTTCGGATCTTTCCAGCGTCCTAATCGGTCCCAAAAAACATGAAGAATCTCTCAAAGTATGGGATTGGAAGACGCCGGAATTAGGGGACATGAAGCAACACATGGAATTTGTGCGGATTGCGTCCGAACTTGTGCCTCGAAAAAACAACAATAACAACATCAACAACAAGTATTATGGAATCCAACATGTCCATCGCGATGGTTTATTACATAGTGGAATGGGAGTGGCTGTCCTGGATACCAACATCACCATGGTGGATGCCAAAATTCTATTGCTCAAGCGTGCACGACATCTGGTCACCTGTCCCAACGCTTGGAGTTTGGTCGGGGAACATACTCATCAGGAGGAAACTCCCAGAGATACTGTCCTTCGAGGAATCAAAGAAGAATTGGGAGATGCATTTCATCAGCAGTTTGTGCGAAAGGGGAGTAAGACCATGGAATTGCTCAAGCACCCTGTCTACGCCAATGTGGACTATAACAGCGACAATAATGGAAGTCCCATTTACGATCGACAAATTACCTACTTGCATGCCATAGAAATGAATACACCATTGGAAGAATTGCAAAACATGCTGGAATTGGACGACGAGGTTGCCGAAACAAGATGGATGACCCGACAAGAGATCCAAGATGGCTGGATGAACTCCAATCCTGGTGAAATGTTTTGTTCCCATGAACTAGCCTTGCTCCTTCAGCTGGTATTGCACAGATTGGAGGACTTGGAACGAGAAGCCAATAAGATGCATGCCTAATCAAATGTGAGGCAGTAATACTCGACGCGTTTGCAAAAAGGCTGCCGCGTTGCCGAAGCAGAGATTAGATGGGGAAGAGAAGCTATGATGAAGAATCTGATTCGGAATAGTTTTGTTTTGGGCTTGCACATGTTTGACCCAAGATCGTCCGAGACTGCTACTGTAGTCTCTATACTGTAAGACGACGTCACACGAGTGCTACCATGCTCTTCCAACCGCTAAAAGCACTTGTTTCGTTAAAGCTTCGCGTAATACTAGATAAATAGTATAGTCAATATAAGGTACCACATTATGCTAGGACACGACAATTTTCGATTATTGGTATTACTCAATGTCCACACTCATTATTCGGATTTCATCCAGTGGCTTGTCCATCGTATCCGTCTTGACATTTTCGATCATTGTGCAAACGTCCATGCCTTGCGTGACTCGACCAAACACGGTATGTTTGTTGTCTAACCAAGGAGTTGGGACTGTGGTTATAAAGACTGTATATACAAATAGTAGCAGTCATAGTAGTAGGTAGTAGTATATTGAAGGTGGCGTGAGATTTTTGGCACTTTGAAAAAGAATAATGGAAGCGAACAAAAGTACTTACATTGTGACCCGTTCGTATTTGGCCCAGCATTCGCCATCGATACTGTAAAAGGACGGTCATGACGAAGTCTATATGAATGGAAGAATAAAAGTTAGTTTCTGAATATACAGCCATCATATATACATACACAGTATACAGTCTACACATTCAATCAGTATGGACGTACTCTCGTACAAACTCATCCTCAAATTCACCACCCCAAATGCTTTCGCCACCCGTACCATCACCCAAAGGATCCCCTGTTTGAATCATGAACTCCTTGATGCACCTATGATAAATATTATATATATATTCATAAGTGAGATTGCGGTTATTAGCAAGAATTCGCACAAAGAAACATGCACGGCACAACAATCAAATAAGACAGGATGAAAAACTCACCTGTGAAAGATCACATTGTCATAATACCCGGATCGAGCATGAGTACAAAAATTCTCGAGTGTCTTTGGTATACCACCAAATAGCTTGATATGAATGTCCCCCATGGTAGTTCGCAATATTGCTTTCGAATAGGCGGCTGCATTATTGGCCCCTGTTATATTGGATACTTCGGATCCGAGCAGTCGATCTTGAGATGTTGGAGCTTCGTTCCAAACATCGCGGGACACTTCTTCTTGGTCCTGATCTTTGAGTGGATCAATATGAGAAAATACATAGAATCGTCGTTGTTTGTAGCTTAGAGCAACAATGAGGGAATCATTGGAAGCCTTTCGGTCACCAACCGCGACAGAGCCCCCTTGTCCTCTTGATAGCTGCATCTGCTGATTGACTTTTGCATCCCCAAGACAGAGACAAAACGACAAGAATCGTAACTGACTAGCATCCGCCTTGCCAACAATCTTCAAGACTTTGTTCCGTTTCCAGTCGATCAATTTGATACCGACCATGGTCGAAATCATCAAAATCCGTTCCGAGGGGTCCAACTGCACCAATTGCTGCAGAGGAATATCGGTCTGCTCTTGCATTTCTCGTTCCACGGACGCCCGCTTGCCAAAGGTGATATCGTCCATACCAAACTTGGCACTATTTGCTTCATACACGCTGAGTCGTTCGTCGTAACGAACGGCAATCTTGCCAGAACCAAGTTCAAAGACTCGGACTTTGTGATCCGCACCTAGCATTAAAATGCAATGGGAGGAATGACGATATAAAGATCAGTCAGAATAAATCAAGAAATCAAATTCCATAAACCGCAACATCATGCAATAATTGCATGATACTTACCAAAAATAACAAAGTAATTCTGGCCCATGTACATTGACACTGCATATGTCTTCTTCTTTGTCAAGCTATACAGATCCGTCTTCATTTTGTTGTTGATCTCTAATTGATTGCTTGTCATGGAACAGGATGAGCCGACCGCTTCGCTCTCCTTGGATCCACGAGTGCAATCCCATAGTTCGATGGTACCTTGCTTGTCACAACTGACGCAACACTTGTGTTTCGTATTGTAGGCCAATGCCGTCACTGGTCCCGAATGGAATTGCAAGGTTTGGATGAGCTGTAAGGTCCCCAAGGAATAAATGTGTATACTTCCATCATTGGCATCACTAATTGCCAGTAGCAGATCCTTGGCCGCATCCTGCAGAAAGGATGCTGCATTTCCAAAGGTATGAGACGTCTTGATCATGGACGTGGCATCAAAGGTGGACACATCGTATATCTTGATGAGACCATCGGCTCCGATGGATGCTGCTGTTCCTTCCGATGGATCCAGACACAGTGCCATAATAGGACCCACATGAGCCGTGTAAGACTTGCAAAACTCGAGACATGGGTACGATTCCTCCTCCTTCATTTTATTATTAGAGGTCTTCTTGTCGTTGCTGGCTTCGAGTGGAATGGAAGGGGTTCGTTTCCAAAACTTGACAATTCCTTGATCACAAGCCGTCACAACATATCCATGTCTTGCTGATGAAATAGCATGGGTGACATTGGATTTGTGCATGAAGGAGACATGATAATGGGAGGATGTGGGGATCTCATCTAACGGCACTACTCCGGAACTTATTCTTGTGCGAGCAAGCTTTCTTGATTTCTGATTTTCATCACCAGCTGCAGCAGTCTCTTGTTTTCTCTTTTCAACGCCCATTGATGATAACTCTCTTACTCCGCTACGTGAGCAATACGCTGCTGTGAGATGATAGGTGCGATTGCGATGATGATCGATTAATAGGTATGATAGGTGATATAATGCGATGAATAATAAATCTGCGAGAATGGTGCTGAAACAGCTTCCTTTTTTGAACGCACTGGAGGAAGGACACTGAGAGCTGAAACAGCTTCTTTTCACAATAGATTTCGCCATCATCATCATCATCATGATCATATAATATACGGTCGTATCAGAATCACCAGTTATCCATCATCGCCATGATGAAATGAGAGCAAATAATAAATGCCATTCTTCCAATAAGTCCTTGACGAGGTTTCTGTTGCTGCTGAACGCAGTCCTGTTCTTGGCCATTAATCATCAGCAGATAATCAACTTTCACGTGATTCCGATGCAATCATCCTCCTCTATAATGATGGGGGAAGGCAGTGCTCTAGCAGAAAGTCTTTCCTCCTTTCATCAAGGCAAACCCCGCAATGGAACGGATTCCGTGGTTACATCATCACCACCAATAGTAATAACAGAGCGACAGCAAACGCCAACAACACAACTTCGTCCATCGAGAACCCTCATGGGCATCTTTTCCTCAGCCGACTCGTCCAGTGTCCTCATGCGAAACCGTCACCGGACTCTGATTGGACTATGGAATGACACTCGATTGTGCTCTTGGACCAAAATTACAGAGGATTGTCAGCTCGTCTATGCCTTTATCATTGGTGCTGGGGATGCTGCGTCGGCTCCGACTCAATTGGTCAATGAAACGAATGGAAAGACCAATGAAAAGTGGCCCTTATTGGTGGAGAAACCAATTGTCACCGAGTTCCCAGACCTAAATGAAGATGACACGGTCTTGTTGAATATTCGGTAAGTCAATGTGATGTGTAATATCTATCGCGTGTCCTATTTTGGCCATGCGGGGTGACGTATTGTTCTCACGCATGGCATATATATTTACAACACTATTTGTTCCTTGTCAGGGAGAATATGAATGATGGCAAATCCGAATCCTTCTTTTATTTTGCTTCTACTCTCATGGAGCAGCACGATATTGATTATGCCATGAAATTTGATGCGGATGCCTCCCTTTTGTTTCACAAATTCTTGGTCTTTGCCAAGAAGGAACTTCCGCCAGCTCCCTATTACAAGCGTATCCTCGCTGGCATTTTGCGGGACAAGGATCGTTGGAAGACACCCCAAGATCCTGCTGTGTACCAACAAAAGGAAGGTTATTGGATTCAAGAATACGATAAGGTCCATGTCTATTTGGCGGGGCAATGTTACCTGTTGAGCCGTGATTTGGTGGAATTCGTAGTACAAGAGGCACCACGATCCAGTGCCTACCAAGAAGGTCACGAGGACCATGATTTGTCCGCCATGGCATTTCATTCTCCGAAACCTTTGACATTACTCATCATTCCAAAGAAGCATCGGTTTTGGGAACATCCGGTCAAGGGGAAACCAAGATGGTTGGGAATTTTGAAACGAGAAACCGCACGCATGAAGGGTGAAATCTACAAGGGCAAGAAGCTACGAATCCACTAGAAGAAGTGAGACTTGACGCTGGTGCAATGCTATTGAAAATCTGTTGGAGTCATAGCTCCGTTACCAATCATGACTTCCGAATCCACATGGTTCTCTGCCAGGGATGGCCACTCCCCATCAGATGACTACTATTACATGCAGCCACATGTCCAAAACAGTTTGTATAGCGACATTCGTAGTGCGACAGACCCCTTTGAATCATCATATGACTACTATGTCATACAGTCACACGTCCAAGACAGTTCGTAGTGCGACAGATGCCTTTGGATCAGTACTATCCCAAATATAGGACTTTGGCACAAATCGCGGAAGCGATGACATTATTGCACTGAAATGAAGCCTTGGAAATATTTTTCGAAAGATGATTTCAAAAGTTGGGATGTGTTATTGTTAGTCTAGTATTTGTGCACTGTGCAGAAAGCTATACTGGAAACAAGTGCCTGTGATCTTCAATCTGGGGTACTCGGAATATTAACATCTCCTAGTATCTAAATCCAGATGCGACTCTTGATGGCATCACGCATGGAATGCATAATGGAATTCACCAATCTTCTATCGTTGTTGATCTCGATATATCCTTGATGAACTTTACTGTATTCGATGAACTGATAGCCAGCATCGCGCAAACGATCCAAGATCTCCCTGGCAAGTACTCTCTTTCGGCCATTATGAGCACTTCTGTACCTCTCATCATAAGCACGAAGGAAGCGGTGCAAAAAGTCGAAATTCCCGATATGATGGCGGGCAACTCCTGATCTGCCGCGGACGATTTGGTGTATCGCTGGTGCCAGAAACACTTCTGGTGGGGACTGAAAGATCGGAGATTCTAAGAAGAGGCTCAGTTCCGCTAGGAATTCGTCGTCTTCGTACATGATGTTGTTTTGATCACCGTTCATCAGCTTCCTAATGAGTTATGCCTCTGCTCTTGTTTCAACGAAGAGCTGATGCTGTAGAGCTTTCCTGAATAAATGAGTTCTGTGTCGGCATTCAGTTTTGGGCGCGACTATAACCTCCCGTACGAATAAGCCAAAAGAAGACCCAGCCCGTTGAAATTGCGTAGAAATGTACTGTTTGTCAAAAATCGTTGGAAATATTACAATTGACGTATAAATATCGTAGGACCCTACCATTTTGCACCATGCATTCTTCACAAGATGCATGTATCATATGTATTATTGGCTTTTTGGGTTGGGGAGTTCACATCCGCGCAGAAGGGGAAAATACTATACATATATGTGTCTGCCCATAGAGCAAGCCAAAAGCTTCGAATAAGCTCGACGGGGCCTTTTGCTTTTTGCATTCATATGGCAGGGTACACCATCCTGTAATTCTAGCCACCCATTCACACACGCGTGTGAAGATTCTAGCACGTACGCAAAACAGTGTAGAAAAGTTTTTTTCCTTTTCAAACGCGTCTGCGGAATCCCAAACATGCACATCTGATGTGCAAATTCGCAACCTCACAAAAATATTGCATCACGATGTCGGAAACACTTGGACCTCATGATGTGCCCTGTGGGACAAATCAAATCAAAGAATCATCATTGTTTTACAAAGAGTGCGAGCAAGCTGCTCGTTTACTCGCCGTAGTAACCAAAAAGGAGAAAAAACATGCTATGAACGAAGCCATTCTCAAAATCATTGGAAATGTTCGTTGTCGAGGTGGAGAGTTCAAGAAGAAGAAGTTCAAAGGGTTAAAGGCGTGGTTTCCCGAAAATGAGACAGCCATAAAGGCCAAGATCAAAAGACGAATTGAAAGTGATCTGAAGAAAATCGAAATCGAAATGTCAGAGCAGAACAACAAAGTAAAGCCTGCAAGCAATCGTGTTTCATCTGGACGCAAAAGTCAAGGTGAAGGTGAAGAGAGCCTCGGTCGAGTCCTAGAGATGCCCTACCATAAAATTTCCAAGAAAATAGGAGAGCTTGGACCATACGATGTTCCGTGTGGAAGCAATGCATCAGGTCAAGGTGCGGAGGGCTTTCATAGCGACTGTAGTTATTTTGCGCTTATCTTTCCCCGTCTATCGAAAGAGGAGAAGGATGATGCAGTACAACGAATCATTAATAGCTTAGAGAAAAGAGGGGGGAAATTCAAGAAGAAGATGAAGGATGTAGGATGGGTCGAAGAGTCTGGATCTGATACGGTCGTTAAAAGAGTGCTTACATGCATCGCTAACTATGGAAGAAAGAATGGGGTAATATCAACCGAAACGATGAATCTGATTCGGCAGGAAGTATTGTGCAACAGAAAGGGGAAAGAATATGCAGTTGTGTCCATGCAAAGAGCGCAAGGTTTCGAAAAGGATGCCAATTTCGATGACTCCTACTACTTTTTGCGTACAGCATGCTACGTCTATAAGACGATGCTAGTGGAGAATGTTGAAAGCAATAAGAACGAAACAAAATGGAACCTGGCGCGAACTTATCGAAGGCTTGCCGAAGTCCTTGTGGATAACGGTCAGAAGCAAGGACAAGCGCTACCATACTTTGAAATGGCAGCCCGAGCATGTGAAGAGTTGAAACATTGGGACACTCTTGGAGCCATCAAATGCCAGATTGCGCATTGTTATAAGCGAAAGGGAGACCGATCCACCGCGGATCGGATGCTCCAAGAGGCTCATGATTATTTGTTCAGCGCCAGGTGGCCACTACCGCTTGAGTTCGAGATGTCGGACCCAACAGCTAAACTCTTCTACTACCAGTATTCGGCGAATTTGCTCCGTGGCGATGGCAAGCATGAGGCTTCCTTGGATCACTATGAAAGGTCGTGCCTCCTGCAGCCAACTGAGGACAGGCAATTCTCCCAGGATGATCATGATAACTTTCTCAACATCAGCGGTAAGGCATATCATGGAATTGGCATGGCATATACTGAACAAGGGAAATACGATGAAGCGGACACATACTTGAGACGATCCATGAGCCAGCTGTTGAAGCGATATGGACCAAACCATCCAGAATATACAGACAACTACTTGATCCTCGCAAAAGGTCAGATGATGCGTGGAAAGATCGGAAATGCACGTTATTTGCTTGAGAACTACTTGAATCTCTACCGAGACAAACCGGCACACCCATCCTACCCCTTTGGTCTAGGCCATCTCGGGAAGACGTGGGAGAAAGAGAAGAACTACAGAGAAGCGTTGAATGTTTATATCCGAGCATTGGAACTCAACGAAGCGAGAATTGGCAAAGGCATTGCTCACTTGGACGTTGCTTATACTCTGAACAGCATTGCTAATTGCTTGCGAAAGGACGAAAAATTCGATGACGCTTCCGATACTTGCAAAAGAGCCTATGAGACTCTAAGGAAGTTGGGATATGAAGATGACGGAGACCACCCAACAATGGTCTACAACCGAAATTTGCATGGTCGAATTTGCTCCAGAGACATCTCGAGTACTTATGACGAGACGTTGCTCTGCACCTAGAGACATGTGCTGTAGATGCATTTAGAACTATGAAAGAAACTGTTTTTAAGACTGGATTCTAGTATCCAATTTTTACTCTAGAGCAATCGTGCTGAATATAGACTACGAGTATACTGATTATCCCAGAATGGCATCACTCATGCTCAACGCCATGAGATCCTGGAATAAGACACTGCTTCCTTAATGATGGCAGTGATTGCAGTCAGACATCCACGACACATCGTATGGGAACATGGATAGTGCTACAGATGTCATTGGATTGACATTATTCTCATCCCAAAGGTAGGCAAGGACGTTTGCTTTGACAACGTTTGCGCCGCAGAGCAAGCGACAGTTGCGTCGATCGATTGGTTCCATGCTACTGACCGAGTCGTCGTCGTCCATTAGTTTGGACTTCCATACAGTAAGCTCCAACAAGGATTTCATTTCAACTCTTGCATAAGATTCTAGGCGTTGGATGACTTGCTGCAATGCTTGCATTTTTGTTTTCTGTGCTGTACCCCACGATCGTGATTCGATCAAGGTTCGGAGGGATGCTTGCCAACACTCATTACCCCAGGATGCCATTCCATCCACCAATGTCTTGTGTAGGACCATTCGGATCAGCAGAATCGACGTAGACAGTCGATTTTGCAACAAATAGTCCATCATGGTATTGCCATTGCAATCCTTTTGGGACAAGACACCAAAAGGAATGTGATCCAATAGTACTTGAAACATATCAATGGGCTGTGTTGCTGAAGCGGCGATAATGTGAAAGGGCGTGGCACCAAATGGACCTGCCCAGTCGTTAGACGAGGCCTGTTGGTGAATGCTGGCCATGAGATCTTCCACAGAAGTGGAGGACGAATGGTAGCATGCCTCATGGACTGGTAGCTCTGCGAATCGATCCTGCAAGAGAGCAAGGTCGTCAGTATTCTCGTCTTTGTCATCATCATCATTCACTTGCAGTCTTGGGCATCCAAAGAATAGATCGTCTGGAATGTCCTTGGCAGAGGACAGTTCAATGCTGACAAGACTTGGACAGTTGGCAAATGCCTCAGCACCAAATTGGATATGGTCCGCGCAAAGCTCCACTCCCAAAAGGCTGGTGCAACCACCAAAGGCCTTTTGACCAATAATAATGGTGCTGGAGGGGATCACAATGGCACACAAGGATTGACATCCGAAAAAGGCCTTGGCGTCAATTTGTGTCAATCCCTCTGGTAGTTCCACGGAAAGCAACATGATGCATTCACAAAAGCAATCATTTGCAATCACCTCGACACCCATGGGCACCGATAGATTGGAAAGCGCGTGGCACTGGGCAAATGTACCAGCTTCGAGGATCTTTATAGAAGCCCCTAACTGAACCTTGGACAAGGAGGTGCAAGACTGAAAGCACCATCCACCAATCGTGTCGACAGTGGAGGGGATGGAAATGTTGGTCAAAGCTGTGCAGCCATAAAATGCCAGCCGACCAATACTTTGCAGTCCTTTGGGGAGACAAATATCCACCAACGCGGTGCAGTTCGAAAAGGCCCAATCCTCAATCTTCTCGAGGGTAAAAGGCAATTGAACCTTGCGCAAGAATCGGCAGTATCCAAAGGCAGCATAGCCAATCGATCGGAATCCATGTTTCAGCTCGACGGTGATGAGAGAAGTCCAATAGAAGGACCGATAACCAACACGTTCCAATGTAGAGGGCAGTGATACTCGTTCAAGCTTGGTACAGTCCTTAAATGCCTTGTCTCCAACGCATTGAACTCCTTCTGAAATGAGGATTTCCTGAAGCTTTGACTTGCCTTCAAACTCTTTGGGAAAGACTTCCTTCACGGACGAATGAACGAGGAGATGAGTGGTATCTTGGTTGGGCCGATCATGGGTTTCGGAGGTGAGCACAAACAGACTGAACGGAAGCTCCGTTCCCCCTGCCACTGTGGAAGCAAACATTTTTATGATAGCATATACTGTATAGTCTGTGGTATTTTTTATGTCGAAATCAGAAGACTGAAAATCAAAAGTAAAAATGAACCTCGTGCTTTGCACGCCGGCGCGCACGCGCAAGCGGGACGGACCGACTGGATCGACTCCTATTGCCGAAATTTTAATCGATCGGGGGACGAGGGACGATACTGTACTGTAGGTATATATTCGTACCGAAGATAGTATGAGTCTGAGACAAGCAGGAGATGCTGCTGTTGTGGCTAACGAAACACTGCCCAAAAATAAAAGGCACTATCTTTACCTCTGAGAAGGAGGAAGAAAATAAATAAATCACCAATTGAGAATCTGCGTCCAATCCCATTAGCATGGATACAGTAGAACACGGTGAAATGCTCGTAGTAGTATCATCAATCAATCGTCATTGAGAAAGAGTACAATTTCATTGCTAGTTGTAGGCACAGTTACTGCTCGAACCGGAGTACAATACTGAAGATTGGTGACTGAGAGGATGGATGGATTCAAACATTCTACATCCACTATATTACAGTTCCTCGCCCAATTCAGATACTTTTTCTGGTTCCACCCAACCCAATCGTTTGGCAATCAATTTCGCCACTGCCTTTGCTCCCATGGCACTCAATTCGATACAAGCAAAGGACAATTCGAGCGAATTTGGATAATACAGACCTCCGGAAGTCGTATGCCCCGAGAATCCAGTCGCACCATCGTACAATAAGAATTCGGTCGAGTCGCCGGTCCCTTGATAGTCGGGTGTGGCGCCCCCATGTTCTCCACCCCAGATCTTTTCGTATTCGATTGTCACGGAGGATCCAAAGATTTTTTGGAATAGGTCAAGTGTCAGTGGTTCGGATGAGAAAATCTTGTACAGACCATCCTTTGGCGAAATTTGGGCAATCGAAGTAATATTGTGTTCGGCTGCCTTGCCCTTTTCGGTAAAGACAATCACTCGAGGAATGTGATCTGGATCAATGGAAAAGTAATCATGTTGGAGTTCTCCATGACGGACCAACGTGGTGACGACTTGTGTGTAGGTCCGAGTGGCGGCCTTGGACAAGTGATGGGGCAACGGATTGTGACCTTCGTGATCTTGGCCATATCTAGTATCTTCATGATTTTCCACGAGGCCACCCATGGGCATGGGTTGCAATACCGAACTATCAATTTGACTGTTGATGAGGAATTCCACTTTGGAGAAAGCCAAGGGCGCTGCCAAGACCATGATATCGTAGTGACCCAACAGCGAGCCATCGGACGCAAAGACTTCGAAACCATCCAGGCTCCCGACAACCGTCGATACTCGTTGCTGGGAATGAGAAACAACAACATCTGGAGTATCTGGACACTTTGTAGAATGTGTCTTTTGGGCTTGCGCAAAGGCGCTGCTAATGAGCTGAGCGTTGCCTCCAACAATGCTGTGCATCTTGGAATGGGAAGATGCCGAAAAGGACCCAAGTCCAGTGACCGCATTGATTTGCGAATTGCCTTGATTGTAATTCACCAATAACATGGATTCCAATAGTTCACTTCGTATCGAACCTTGTCCCGGTAGTAGTTTCCGCCACCATGGCAAGACTTGTGGAATCCACAAATAATCGCACAAGTCAGCAATGGACATGTCGACGAATGGTCCTAGATGTGCTTCGTCCCACATTTCTTTTGGTGATTCAAAGAAATACTTTTTAGTTTCGAGCAACATATCTTGCATGGCATCAAATCGCTCAATCATCTTGGAGGTGATCCGATACAGCTTGAGCAGATCCATGTTGTATCTCCACGCCATGGCTCGCATGGTGGATATCGTAGAGTTTGCAGTATTGAACATGGTCTCTCCGTTTCCATTGTAAATTGCCATGCCGTCACGTTTCGTTTCGTTCTCACCAGTGAAAAAGGGAGGTCCCACTGTAACGTTTGCCTCCTTGGCCATTTCCAAAATGAGTTTGAATTGATCCGTCAAAACGCTGGCACCAAGCTCCACGATTCTACCATCGTCCAATCGATAGGAACTGACTCGACTCCCTTGCCAATCATTATCGTTGTTGCTGCTTGCCTTCTTGTCTGTCAATTCACCGATTGGATTCGGGTCAAAAATGGTGAGTTCTTGCAAGGAGGAGCAATCGTCATCATTGTTCAGGAAATCCACGAGGTATTTGGAAACAAAGGTACCAGAGATTCCCCCGCCTATTACACCGATTCGTACACAGTGACATGATTGGAGAATTGAGGAAAGGAGGATCAGAATGAATGAGGGAAAAGTCATGAAATGAAACATCATAGGCTTCATGGTTCTCATCGTATCATAAAATATAGACATCATCGCATCCTTTCGTGTTTTTGTTGCAATTTTCGTAAAGCGATGTCTTTTCCGTATGCGCAAATTGATCGCGCAGAAAGGCAATGTCGACTAGATAGACTAAATTCTTGCATCGTTGCATCATCGCACATATTCATTGTGGCAAAATGAATCACCGCATATTGAATATTCTATATGCAGTGCCGTATTTTTTTATCCACTTGCGAAGGCAGTTTTGTCAGGCAGTCTTGAAAACCAAACGAGTGATGACGATATATATAAGTAAAGATTGGTATTGCTTGGATATACATTGATATGTACATTACCGGCGGGGCTATGGTGATACCGTGTGCGATGAATGACGTATTATTGGGGTGATGGGTTCTTCAATTTTTTCATTTGGAATTGCAAGCGAGAGGGAATGGTATGGCGAAACGCTACTCAATAAAGAGAGGCTCTATGTGAGCGCAACTTGTATAATGTCACTTAGACGCACTTTTCTTGTTTCTGGCCACTGACATTACAGCCTGCTGAAACACCATTGGTCGTGTCGTCAAAGCAATTTTGATCTGCGGTTGGCAAAACAAGAATGAGGTCCATATCTTGAGGATGGGTTATCATAACATCACTGCTACTTACAAAGCCAACAATACCCAGTAATTTGAGGGATATTGGGTACTGTGCCTGTTAGTTTGTTTTGAGCTGTAGAAATGTGAATGTATGCTGAGTGAGGAAGTGCTGCGTACAAGAATCTTCTGTCTCACATGGACTGACTTACCAAGCAATAGTCTTCCCATTTCTCTAATTCTGCCAATCTCCGTTGGGACAGTACCTTCAAGACTGTTGGTATCTGCCAACAAATGGGAGAGGGGAGAGAAGGCATGAGTAACGAAACGGAATAATAGCTTGAAGCATTATGAAGCAACATACTCATATTTAGATCCAACAATTTGCTCAAGTTTCCAATTTCCGATGGAATGGTTCCTCTAATATTATTTCCTGCTGCGAACGGATGGCGGCAATGGGAACAGAATTGAGTATACCAGCATTCCAAATAGCACAATATTGTCGAACAACGTACCAAGACCCAGAGTAATGATTTGGCCCAAGTTTCCAATTTCCGTTGGGATAGTGCCTTCAATATTTCCGCCTATCAACATATTTGCAAGGAAGCAGCAATGAGTGGTGACAACAATATTACAATGACATCGCATGCCATCGTACCAATTCCCAGATAACGCAGCTGACCCATGTTCCCAATTTCTGTCGGGATAGTTCCTTCCAGCAGAGAGCCTGTCAAACGACAAATTGCAAGCAGTGAGCAAGTCACTAACATTTTAGAGGCTAGACATCGCCATGCAACATACCAAGATTGAAAGTTTCCATTTGGCTCAAATTCCCAATTTCGGTTGGAATTGATCCCACCAGCTTGTTGCCGCCTGTCAAAGATGTGGAAGAAAATGAGTGGCAATCACTTCAGTGGAAAGCATCATTACGGAACGTACCAACATTGAAAGTAACCATTTTGGTCATTCTACCAATTTCTGTCGGAATCGTTCCTTCAAGACTGTTGGTACCTGCGTGTGAGTCTGTCAAGAGATTGTGGGGAAGGGAGAAAAGATGAGAAGCAAGCATGGAATTTGCAAGACATAGCTCACCCCCGAGAACCTACGAAGTAGCAATGTAACCATCTGGCTCAAGGCTCCAATCTCCGTTGGTAGAGTTCCTTGGATGGCATTTCCGTCTAGAAAGAGAATGAAGGAGAAATGAGCGAATGAGATACGAAAGCCTCCAATAGTTGGACGCTTAATGCAATCTAGGACATACAGAGCTGAAAGCTAGCCATTTGACTCATTTTTCCAATTTCAGAAGGGATGGTTCCGTCAATCTTATTGTCGGCTGCCCACCAGTTGGAAAGGAAGCAGCAATGAGACGTGAAGTAGTGATAACAAAACATTACAGAGCTTTCAACTTACAAAGTGACATATAACTCATGTTGCTCAAATTTCCAATTTCTGTAGGAATGTCTCCTTCGATATGATTGTGACCTGCCAACGGAAGGAAGCATCAATAAGAACACAATTAAAATAATCATAGATGATTCCAAAGCATCATACCAAGATGAACACCAGTCAATTTGCTCAAATTTCCAATTTCGGATGGGATAGGTCCTTCAAGTTTGCTACGCACTGTAAAAATATGAATGAGAGTTGAAGGTCTCAATAGCAGTTTATTGTAAACAACGTACAGAGATCAAGCTGAGTCAAAAGGGACAAATTGCCAATTTCCGTTGGGACTGTTCCCCAGAGTCTCGAATACGCTATCAATGGATAGGGAAACTGGGATGAGTTGCGAGAGTACGGATGAAACCAACCCATGCGGTAACGCAACATACCAAGAGAAATTCGCCTCATTTGAGTTAAATTCCCTATCTCAGAAGGGAGTGTACCCCCAAGTACAGTATAATCTAAAAAAGCGTAATGAACGATTCAGCATCTCAATAGATGGAGTTTCAATTGGTGTCTCTTGGCGCTTACCTCCAGACAAGGTATGGAGCTTTGTGAGGGCACCTACTTCGCTTGGAAGGCTGGTTTCAATTAATGGAGTGTCTTCACTCGACACTACTCTTGCTGCGTGGAAAGGCGAACATCTAGTGTCGGCGTTTTTTTGTTCTACAAAATGAGAAAAGTAAATGCAAAGGGAACTTACGAAAACTTAAGGATTGCAGGTCTGTGAGGAGCCCAATTTCAGTGGGCAACCCTTTGTCTGTGTGCCCTGTGGAGTGAATGGTTAGCAGCAACACTGGGGTTAGCTTCAACTCTCAAAAATCAAGTTCATGCTTCAGTTGATATCTCACCCAACCTCAACCATGTTAAGCTTGTCAGAAAACCAATTGCCGTTGGGAGATACCCAGATTGACTGCCAAGAACGCTGCCTGTTGCCAGTGGTGAGAAAAGCAACTATTGATAACCATATAAATACCAAGTAGCTTACCACCGTTGATTGATGTTATTTTGGAGTCTTTGCTGCTTTGTGAACAACCGAGGAAAGTATATTCAGTAGAAGACCAACTGCATGTTGGTTGTGTCGACGCTGCAGCAAGATCACTGTGATTAAATGTTTCAGGATTGTCATTATTTGCAGCGTATAGCAATGCTGCAACAGCATACCGGTCAAGCCATTGCTCTGGATAACTCTTGTCTTCACTTGGCTCCCATGTATCCGTTTCGCACATCCATTGAATTGCGAGTTGGTGCAAAGAAGCTCTGTCTCCAAGTTTTGACTCCAGGTAAGCACATCGATTAGTTGACAAGGATATTGGTGCAAGCGAAGGGGTTTCGGTGGGTTCAAATGTAGGCACCAATGATGGCATTGGTGTTGGTCCCAAGGTCAGTTCCATGGATGGACTGAGCGAAGGGACAAAAGATGGATTCAAAGACAGTTCTTGAGTTGGATTCTGAGTGGGACGTAGAGTTGGATTCTGAGTGGGACGTAGAGTTGGAGTAATTGTGGGTGCCACAGATGTCACTTCTGTTGGAGACACAGTAGGCAATGCTGTCGGTTGCGAGGTTGGGGGAGGACTTGGTCCAGGAGTCGGCTCTGTACTCGGGGCACGACTTTCATCAACCATTGGAGCAAATGTGGGTAGCTGTGTTGGCTCTGACGTTGGAATTGCTGGCACTGGCGTTGGTTCCGCATCGTTGGCACTAGGAGATGCTGTTGAATCAAGTGGACCTAGATTCACAATGATCATGCTTTGATAAAGAGTAGTCACCTCAAGTTTCTCGATAAGGGAGCCACCCCCCAGAACAGCGCTGAGTTCGCCAAATACATCGAAGATTTTGACCGCCGCGTCCTTCACCACAATGTCAAGCTTCACACTGACTCGATGGCACCCTGTGTATGAATCATCCATGCATTGTGCCCCCTCGACTCCGATCGCACCGACCACCACATTCCCAATTGCATACGAAAAAATGGCGTCACCGATGAGATGGCGATGATGCACAAACTGACCACCGCGTAGTTTTCGGACAACTCGATCGCATCCGGTGAGCACTGGAACCAGCAGCTCTGAAAGTTTGTTCTCAATGATGTCGGCTGAGAAACTCAAAACCATTGGAATAAGAGGAGTAGCATCCAGGTTCAGCTGGTAGCTTTGAACGGGCAGTATGTCTTGTCCTTGGATCGCATCCCCTTTTGCAATGGCATCACAGTCTTCTACCGACGGCGGAAAGAACTGGACATCAAGACTACTAGGTACTCCACTGGGTGCGGTAGATGTACTGTTTGTAGTCGTGAAAGTACTTTCAGTCGGAGACTCACTACTAACTGGAAGATCCGAGAGATCATTGGTGGCATTCCCGATGACTTGGGATGGTTCAGTTGCAACTAAAGTGTTGTTGCCCAAACCGAGCCATGACCCAACGGCAACTCCAACAATCACAACAATACAAAGTAAACCTTGGCAGACCCTGACACTTTTTTGCTGCTGCATTCGTTCCCAATCTCGTCCATTGGATCTATCATTCTGTGCTCTAAATTTAATTTTTCTCGAACCACGAGGAGAAGTAGCTCCATTCAAGAAGTTGTTCGCCTTCCTGTATGCGGCGACTTTTTCAGCATTTGTGCTCTCTTTGCCAAGCTTCGAATTTGTCGCTGGGTCGGCATCAGCACTTTCCACAGCACTAGCCGTCACCATTCCATGGTCTTCTTCCTTTTCTTCCTCAGCTACCTCCTCACGTTCGTCAACCGCAATGATGGATTGCGTTCCCAATTGTCGACTGAATCTTCCTTTCCCGACCTTTTTATCAGCATCGTCACCCCGGGAGTCCGCGTGGGCACCAGGAGATGGTCCAGTGGCGGAAGCGATGGATTGATTGATGAGGTTCTGGGCCTTGGCGGTAGAGTCCTTGGACGCTCGGTCTTTTTCGTTTTGGCTGTGTCGTTTCTTGCTGGCCAGATTCTTTCTGCGACCTTCGATTGGTTCTACGATGCCAGTTTGATCGATGGCAGTTGCTCCTGCTGCATCATTGGTCCGCTCAGAACGAGCCTTTTCCTTGGCAGCATGCTCTTCTTTGCTTCGTTTTGTTCGACGAGGCTCGTTGTTGTTGCTCTTTGGACTGCTATTTCTGGCAGTTTTGCTACTTCGATGAGATTTTCTCGTAGGGGATCTCCTACTGCCGTTCTTTGATTTCCTGCTGCTTTTAATGATGCTGTCTTCAGAGTCCATGGTGCAATTTGAATGTATACGCGATTTCGGCAAACTATGAAACTTCCGCCCGGGGAAAAAATATATAAAAAAGAGAGAGTTTGGGACTTTTGAAAGTCATTTTCTATAGGGATCCACGCGGGTACCAAGCCTACGCGGTTTACGTAGCTGCATTTCCTCTTGTGACCACAGAAAGAAGTCTCAACTATTGAGCTACTTAATGCGCAATACCCGGCGAAACCGTCCCTATGCGATATCAGCTATTTCATAGTTCGACTTTGTTTCTCATCCCTCAAGACTGCTCATCAGTCGCGTTGTCGTTATATCAGGAAATGACGAAGCCAGGATTACGTTGCATGTTGCCATCGTATGACGGGGCAGATTGAATATTTAAAATGAATTAACTAAAAGTAATCCAATATGCATCCAATTACCCTACCAATCTCCGCCATAGCCTTCTCCAGTTGCCAAGGCATCCTTTCGGCCACTCGCCATCTGTCGGGAATTCTTGTCAATCTTGGGACAATTCACCACCGTATGACCCAAACCACCACAGTACGAGCAACCCAGTCCACCATTTTGATCTCGAGGATCTTCCAACATCATGAGAACGGGAGGAATTCTTTGGCGGGCTTCTCTGAGAAGATGCTTCAAATCCAATAGACAAGTTTCATCGCAGCTCTTGTTGATAAATGTAGTGGCGACTCCAGTCTTGCCACAACGCCCGGTACGACCGATTCGATGGACATAGTTTTCAATTTCATCCGGCATGTCAAAGTTAATAACATGCTGAATGTTGGAGAAATCCAAACCCTTGGCCGCCACATCCGTGGCCACTAGCACATCCTTTTCTCCCGCCTTGTACATGTCAATGGCAGCGTTACGTTCCACTTGATCCTTTCCACCATGGATACTGACAGCGTCCACTCCTTTCAGTAGCAAATATTCTTGAATGTCATCCACTTCTCCCTTCTTTTCGCTAAAGATGACAACTGGCGGAGCCGTCTTTTGAAGACAATGCAATAAGTACACCATCTTGGCTTCTTGCTTGACGTATTCCACCTCTTGAATGATATCCAAACTGGCGGCTCCCGCTCGGCCTACATTAACCACAATGGGTTGGACCAAGGTATCACGGGCAAAGTCTTGAAACTTTTTGGGAAAGGTGGCCGAGAAGAGCAATGTCTGACGTTGATGCGGAAAGTGATTCATAATGTGTCCAACTTCTTCATCAAATCCAAGCTGAAGCAAGAAAGTGAAAAAGGAAAGGGTCAGTCTAGGGTTTATAGGTAATGCCATTATCATGCCAGGATTGGCATTCAAACAAATATAGAAGACGTACATCCAACATGCGGTCAGCCTCGTCTAGACAGATATACCGACAGATATCCAATCGCATATTCTTTCTCTTTAGAATATCTCGCAATCGACCAGGAGTGGCCACCAAACAATGCAAACCTTTGGTTTCCAAAGTTTCCAATTGCGATCGAACGGGCTCTCCTCCAATAATGAGCTGGGATCGCAATTCGGGATAGTCTGGATGCTTTGAAATCTGAGTGCAATACTCTTCGACCACTTGAAAGGTTTGTCTCGCCAATTCACGGGAGGGTGCCAGAATGATTCCAACGGGACCCTCTCCGGGCATGAGTGGCATTCGGAACTCTTCCTCGAGAGCGGCCATGACGAGTGGTAAGGAAAACGTCAAGGTCTTTCCAGAACCAGTGAACGCTATGATATTCGATAATTTTTAAGGAATTGAGAGAATGTAAGATGAAAACGACAGGGATTCTACAATGAAGAATGCATGTATGTATTACTTACCAATCCCAATCATATCACGACCTGCTAATGCCACTGGCAATCCTTGAATCTGAATGGGTGTCGGCTTCTTGATACCCTTGGCCGACAGCGCTTCCAAAATGGGCGATGGAAATTTCAAATCTTCAAATCGTTTCACGGGCGGTGGAATGTCCTTGCCCTCTAGCTCAATGTGCCACTCCTTGCGAATCTTTTCCCAACCTTCTTCTCCCTGTTGCAGAATCCATTTGGGAGCCGTCCACGTGGAAGGCAATGGGTCGGAAAAAATCACGCCCGAAGCCAATTCCGAGGCCGCTTGGAGTGCGTTACTATAATATGAATATAGAGAATGAATAATAGGTTAGATCACAAGGCATCATCGATAGAGAGTTCAATCCAACCAACAATAATAAATGGTATCGACTTACTTTTGCACTTTGGAAGCCTCTTTCATGATTCGTGCTTCCTCCGTGTCCTTGACATTCTGGTCCTTTTGTTCTTGAGTCAAACTTTGTTGCAAGGCTGCTGCCGATTCCAATAAAGATTCGACTTGCTGTTGTTCTTCAGTGTCTTCTTTTTTGTTCTTCTTCTTGCCGTTGTTGTCGCCTTCAGCATCACTGTCGTTTTCATCATCCCCGTCATCTTTTCCCAGCTTTTGTCGGAAGCGTCTTCGATGTTTTTGAACCGTTTCAGTTTCCATCTTTTTACGTTTGGAAAGTGGAACGTATTGAGCATCAGCTTCCTCATTTTCATCCCCCATATTGTTGATAGTGCTGGCTTCCATCAATAGACTGGAGAAGTCATCCTCGTCCTTATTTTGGGCAGTAGTAGTTGGAGAGCCATCATCACCATCATCGGTTGGCTCTCGTTGACGTTTCAATTTGCGGGCTTCTCGTCGCTTTTTCCACGCCAAGACTCGCTCTTTTTCTTCTTCCAAGTCTTCTTTCTTTTCCACCATGATGCAATTGGATTTTGGAATAAGAATTGGAATTGAAACGAAGGTGTCAGGTATACTATATTGAATATGCTATGATGCGGTGTTGTGTTGTCCCAGCAAGCAAATACATGGAAGATGATACAGTATATTGGTAGCAGCAGCAACGCGCGGTAAGTCTTGAGGATGATGAGCTTACCGGCATGATGATTTGACAAAGGGACGAATACCGCGGTATATTCTGCACCTTTTGGCAAATTTGCACCATGTGTCACCATTCCATTGAGTCGAATATTCGATTCCCGTTTCCAATCAAATAATCCGGTCCCTATATATCTACCGGTATACTGTAGGTACTTGTATTATTTACAGTGCTTTTTTATGCGTACAGTATTGTTCTACTTTGCGAATCTATAATATCGATTCGAAAATCCTGCTCTCTTTCAGTTGATTGATGGCAGCGAGAAAATCGTTTCATCCCGCTGGATTGATGGCCAAGCCAAAGCAAGTATTATTTTAATAGACCATTGCATACTACACATGTGCTAGTATAGTCGTCACCAAAGGAGCCCTTTTGTCTGCAAGAAGTTTATGCCATTCGTTTCACTGAGGTGCACTTCTTAATGAAAGGACGACTGGAGATGTTGGTGTGGCGCGCTTGCCGTGTGTGTAATGTGCCGTTCATGAAGATGAAGAAGAAAACGATCAGATGTGGCGCCTGATAAGATAATCATCCCAAAAACGACCAAAACTTAAAGTTTCCTACAACCTTCCTATCAGGTTCTTATTTTCTTATATGTTCCTTGATCGACGGCATGTGTCACCCACCAGAAGACCATGAAAAAGAATGACGGGAATCGCCTGCATAAAAGTTCAACTTTCAACTTTTTTCTCCTCGGGTATACGCACCCGCCTTTTATGTAAAGAATAATAAGTGCGGATGATACCAGTACAAAATGACCCAATACTTGAAAAGTCGATCCAAAGTAGCCAAGACGACTCTAGGAATGTGGTGGATAATCTGAACCCTCTATGGATCCTATTAATCACATCATATGCGTTGTATAATATCACCACCTTCCCAAGATCATCTCACGTGTAATAAAGCTTGTTCGAGGTTATATTCTCGAGTTCGACAAGAGATCATTTTGCCATGGACTCTTCAGCTAGAAAAGCAGAGTTGTAGGGACAAATGAGGGTGAATATGACTTTTGGGACTATTCTTGAGCCCTCTATACCATCACCGGCATATCATCTCACATCACATGATAATAATCTTTTGAGGGGGTCACCATTCTCGAGTTCGACAATCATTAAAATACTTCTTCACCTTGAAAAGCAGATGTGACAAACGAGGTTGAACCATTCCAAACTCGAGGAAGCTATAAAAAAATAACAGCCAGCTCGTCATCGTGCGTATTTCGAACATCATATGACAGAACAAGAGATTGGGCGCTAGGAGTGACTATGGTCTTGCTCCGTGCATTGGAGATGATATTGCCTACCACTGTCCTTCTTTGTCCAGCACAGTGCACGTGATATGGCAATGACTGTGGCAATGGCGTTGGTCACCATCTCAGTGTTCATCACGAAGCGGGCTCAAAATCGAGTATACCTCTACCACGAATGAATGTTTGGTGCAACCCCCTGTCGTGTCGGGAATTTAAAGGAGCGAGACGGATATAGACATCATGTCATAAAAGTAACAAGAAGAACAGAAGTAGATTCCCAACTTTACATGTTGCTATCAGTATAGGCACATGGTAGGATGGGTACCGCAATCCAGGCGATAGTGGTCTAATTAAGATTGCAACGCTTGCATCACAGTGGTAGTCAAATGTCGTGTATGATCTAATGCTAATTGTATGAAGTTAGCTATTTCTTTATGTATGTTCTATGTATAAATGCATTTGAGTCGCCAATAATACAATTTACTGTCTTTGAAATCGATCACCCCCATCTTGTTCGGGAGACGGCGTCGACATGAAGAGATCATTGGAAGGAAAGAACAAAGCGTCTTCTGTGACAAGTTTGATGGCCCCATCAAGGATGCGAACCATATCTTGGTGCATGGAACGGTTTGAAGTTTGGGGTAGTTCTTCTTGAGCTGCGCTTGAAGAGGACGAACTTGTTGCGGTGTCGTCACTGGTACCTTGCAGCATCGACTGAAGAAGCGAGTGATCGCCCGCGTTCGAAGTCACTGTAGGCTCGCAGCTTGTGTTGTTTGTTGGAGTATTCTTAGAGACCATGTCGCCGGGTTGTTGTTTGTTCAGCTCGAGCTTGATTTTATGGCTGAACTGTACATGCACTGTAACTTTTGGAAATGTGAATGGCGTTAGAACAACGGAAGATCCGCAGGTGTTCGTTCGGCTTCTTTGTCGGCACTGTTTCAAAAAATGTTGCGAAGGAAAATAATCCGCAATTTGATCAAAAGACTGTATCAGTAGTCAAGACTAACCAAAGAACAGAGATTGTTGCAACCAAAGAACAGAGATTGTTGCAACCAAAGAACAGCAAACGAAGAGAGGCGTTTCGTAATTTGCGGAATCCACAGCAGAAATATGACCACAAATTAGCGACTTCGCCTACAAATACTACACCAACTGTATACCATGTTCAATATTTCCGACATTTGATATATCGGTATTTATTGAACCAAATCATGAATATAAGTTCAATCACGAGCAGAAATACGTCGATACGATGGAGGTAAGAATTAAAGTATTAGCAGTACAATATCTTCCAAAATCATGTGATCAGGGTACAAGGTCATTCTCGAGTTCGACGCAAGCAATAACAATTCTACAATGAATTCTTTAGCTCCTCGAAAAGCAGAGTTGTGGTGATAAATGAGCCAACAAAAAAGCCAGCTCGTCATGAATACTCAAACATGACAGAGTAAGAGATTTTGCGTTACGGGTGACTGATCTTGCTTCGTGCTATGGAGGTGATATTGCCTACCACAGTTGTTCTTGTTTGTCCAGGGCGGTGAATGTGCCGTGGCAGTGACGCTGGCCACCTCTCAGTGTTGAGTACGAAGCGTGCTCAAAATCCAGGATACCTCTACGAATGATATTTGGTGCAATTTCCTGTCGTGTCGGGAAAGGATCGATACAGCTGCTGTAGACATCATGGCATACAAAAGTAACAAGAAGTACGATGGGTATACGTCTCTCGTGTACAGCTATCTGGACGATAGTAGGCTAATGAAAGTTGCAACGCTTGCATCACAGTGGTAGTCAAATGTCGTGTATGATCTAATGCTAGTTGCATGAAGTTATCTATTTCTTTCTGTTGCTCTGTGTGTAGATGCTTTTGAGTCGTCAAGAATGTAATTTACTGTCTTGGATGTCGATTACGCCCATTTTCTTCGGGAGACGGCGTCGACATGAAGAGATCATTGGAAGGAAAGAACAAATCGTCTTCTGTGACAAGGTCTATGGCCTCATCAAGGATGCGAATCATATTTTGGTGCATGGAATGGTTTGAAGTTTGGGGCAGTTCTTCTTGTGCTGCGCTTGAAGAGGATGAGATTGTTGCGGTGTCGTCACTGGTGCCTTGCAGCATCAACTGAAGAAGCGAGTCATCGCCCGTGTTCGAAGTCACTGTAAGCTCGCAGCTTGTGTTGTTTGTTGGAGTATTCTTAGAGACCATGTCGCCGGGTTGTTGTTTGTTCAGCTCGAGCTTGATTTTATGGCTGAACTGTACATGCACTGTAACTTTTGGAAATGTGAATGGCGTTAGAACAACGGAAGATCCGCAGGTGTTCGGCTTCTTCGTCGTCACACTTTGTTAATGTCGCAGTTGGAAATTGCGAAGGAAAATAATCCGCAATAGGAGCAAAATACTGTACTCAATGGCCAAGAGCAACCAACGAATAGAGATTGGTGCAACCAACGAACAGAGAACGAAGCGAGGCGTTTCGAGAATTACAGAATCCACAGTTGCCGACAGTACGATAGCGCCTTCGTCGTCCAAAAATACTCGAAAACTCTGCGAAGTTCTTCTATAATACTCGGTATTTGAACCAAATCACGAATGAATATGGTGCTTAAAAATCACGAGCAGAAATACGTTTCGAGACGATGGGGTCGGAAGAAGTACGGATCTATGACCCCACAAGTATGAGGAGTAAGGATGAGCCGAGAGCGTATGGCTGAACAGAGATCGGTTGCTGATGTGACTTCTATGACTGACCTTCGATGCTATGCCACAGTATAGGTATGATCGTGGAGGTCATTACAAGACCATATCCATCATGATCGTTAGAATGCTAGACTAGTGAGATTAGAACTGATCTGAAAGTACATTTTATCAAAGTTCGTTTTATAGTCCCAAACCTTTTTTATAAGTCCTATCAATTACTGTTTAGATTTTCCAAATAACGAATGTGACGACTTCGAGGACTCGAGGAACTGTACAAAAGCAACTCACGCGATGGTAGTAGTAGAGGAGAGGACGAATCAATCGAAAATAGCAAGAACCTGTTCCATCAATGTACTCCAATACGCAAGGACGGACGCGAAGCAGAATAAATAGTTTTATACTTCATACAATCTGGCTAAGGTATATATAGACCGACCTTATAACCAGAAAATGCCGAGATACAGCATAAAATATCACAATTTAGAGTCCTACTGTACAGCACTCTATAGCTATCGCCTGTAGTTCGTCCTTAACGTCTGTCGGTCGCACGTAATCGGGCGAAACACAAAATCGATCCCTGCTCCCGGAACGGCCGGGAAATAGAAATTTAGCATACAATTCTTGGGAGTAAATGTTGATTTTCCCGGCCGTCCCCGCACTATTTTGCGCCTAATAAAATAGAATAACCTTTTCAAACATTCCATCATTAGATCCGCGCACGCAATAAGATTATCAACAACAGCATGCCAACATCTCCAGTCCTTTCACCAAGAATTAACTCCACCATAACGACGACACCCCTAGAGTGTCGTTGTTAAACGGGTTCTTTTGGTGAATCCAGCAGTGCCTCGAAAACAAAGCGTCGTCTGTGACCAAAGAAGACGATGAAACGAAGAATGAAGCAATCAACAATCCTTGCCACCATCAAGCAAGTGAACGACTGCAGGATTTTCGGACCGCAGCCACATCAATACAGTTTGAAACATTTCATCCGTTGAAGGGGATTTCGGAGGAGCAACGGCTCTGATGAAAGTAGTAGAGGGAGTAAATAGTTGAAACAATTGAGAGTATCATACTGTAGACTTGTGGGAAAAGCTGAGTTGTCGGAAAACCAAGGAACAGAGAACGAAGAGAAACGTTTCGAGATTTTTAGGATCCACAATTGCCAGCTGGTACCGTAGGGAGTACGAATGCAAATTGCCTTCGTCCACAATTGCTCGAAAACACGCACTTACGACGACGATTTCAATATTATTCGTCGGTTTTTGAGCCAAATCATGAATGCGCGCTTTTTAATCACGAGCAGAAGCAAGATGGTACGGAGAATAGAGTATCTCTGACCCCACAACCATGAGGAGCAAGGACGAGTGCTTCTGAACAAGAATCCGCTGTTGACATGGACTCTATGATTGACCCTAGATGCTATGCAACAGTACAGTACAGGTATGATCATGGAGGTCATTGCAACACCCCCCTCCATTATGATCAGAATGCTCGCTAGGCCAGAGTAAGATTAAAACTGATCTTAGCGTACACATGTCTCGGATCCCACAAACTAATGTCCCAAAGCCTTTTTTTAAAATAAGTCATATCCGTTTCTGTAGGTTTTCCAAAAAACGAATGTGACTACTTTGATGGCTCACTCAAACAGCGACGACGATGGCGAGGAACTTGAAACTGTCCAAAAGCAACTCTTCAAAACAGAAAGAATTTCCATCAATCTACTCCTTTACGTATTGATAGCCGTGATGTAGAATCAATAGGTTCATACAATTAATCTGGCATAGGTTTATACGAGCCCTATATAACCAGAAAGTGCCGAGATGCAGTATAAAATATCACATTCTAGAGTCCTACAAACTTCGTTCTTATCATCAATTTCATATTATAGCAACAGTCGTTGCGATACTAGATTAGTAATAGCAATCGCGTTTGTCGATCTACCTTTTCATCGGTTCACGAAAAGTTGTTCCATCAATTCCACCAGTTCTGGACTGAATGGTGGACCACCACTAGGTGCTTGTTCCTCTCCGATCCTACGAACGGCTCTGGCAGCCCCCGTGTTCAGTTCAAACTCCATTAGACAATCAAAATATACGTGTCGTGTTGCTCGGCCAGGTGGAGTCTGTTTTGGAAACGGCGCAAATTGTTCCATGCCTTCACTATCGTGGTCGTTGGGGCGATATATATGTAGGCGGGTGAGCCTAGATCCCGTAGACATTCGATCGAATAGGATATCAGTGGAGGATACTTTTTCCAAACCCGTTTCGTGGGATCCAGTTCGTCCACTCCGTGGTATTCCCAGGCATATTCATAATCGAAACGGTCTCTGCCATTCGCTGGAACTTGATTCATTTGATTCTTGGACTCATCAAAGTCCTCCACAAAACCGGTTTGTTCGACAAGAGGATAGGGGACAAGTTTCCGTTTGCCAGATCCAAGTACGAGATCGACTCCCCGTTTCAATTTCTTACAACACTTTTTGTGTGCCTTCCAATCAGCTTTTTGGCAGTTCAAGTCGCAATACCATGCCATGGTACATTTATTGCGAGCAAACCGTTTTCGATTCATCACCGACTGGTTCACGGCAATAGCAGCATGTCTTGCTAACAAACGAGTATGTAGTCTTGTACAAGGCCCATGCCTCTGGAAATTATTTTGGATCTGGATGAGTGTAGACGCATTTTTCTTCATTGAAGGGGTTCTGGTCCCAAGCTGCATAAAAGCTGTTGCGCAAATCTCCTGCCGCTCTCGTGCCATGATGCCATTAATTTCGGTCCGTCGTCGGCACATTGCGACTTGAGTAGCCGTCTGATCATTCATATTAATAGTCAACAGCATTTCTTTGAGTTGTCCAGTCTTTTTGGCGGCATTGACCAGCAACGCCACAATTTCAATCGAATTGTTCTGAATGGCGACATTGATGGGGGTCGAAATAAACCTTATTTCTTGACGTATACTCGCACACAAGTTCGATAAACTGATCGGACTTGGTGTTGCTGAGCAATGCTGTTGTGACGGTCGTTCGACCGTCGTCAGTATGATGAAAGGAATCCAATGATTGATTCGTTCTCGAGCTTTTTCGTCTACGTTAGATGATGTCCCATATATTGAAAAATAATAAGAACGACATAACGTGATCAATACAACAACAAAGAACCGAGCTATATATTAACAAGAAAGTACACGTTTCAATTCCTTCCAAACCAGAACATATCATACAGTATCACCCGCATTGTATGAAAAAAGGAAGTACCAAAGCAAAAGGTGCATCCAATCGATCGTTTCTCATCATCGCATATAGTCCAATCAATCAGAATGTCTTATTATTGTCAGCAGTGTATGCTATTGACGGCATTATTGCTTTGTCCTATATCATTCCAGAACAATAATAATCAATATGTGGTAGCAATGGATAATGGACTTGGTTTGACACCTCCCATGGGATGGAATTCTTGGAATCGCTTTGCTTGTAACATTCAAGAAGATTTGATTAAGGATACCGTCCAAGCGGCCAAATCATTGGGATTGGACAGGTTGGGCTATGTCTACATCAATCTCGATGACTGTTGGCAAAAATCTCGGAATAAATATGGATATATTGTGGAAGACAAGAAGGCATTTCCTTCCGGGATCCCTGCCTTGGCCGAATACATCCATGATCAGGGCATGAAGTTTGGTTTGTACAGCGATGCTGGATTGTTCACCTGTCAAAAGCGGCCGGGATCTTTGAAATACGAAGCTCAAGATGCTGCAACCTACAAGGAATGGAAGATTGATTATTTGAAATATGATAATTGTTGGTCGACTCTGGAACCAGTCCAGCACCGATATCAGACGGTACGTTATACAGTTGAGTTATATGTCACGGTGGAAAACATCAGCACTTTATGCTCACTTTTTCCTCTTCGTATATATATATATACCCATGAATACTACGGGTCCACCAAACAAAACACCAAACGATATATGTAGATGCACGATGCCCTCAACAAGACTGGCCATTCAATCTTTTTTAGCATGTGCGAATGGGGTGTCCAAGATCCCGCCACTTGGGCACCATCGATTGGCAATTCTTGGAGGACGACCGGAGACATCAATCCCACTTGGAAGTCCTGGACTTCTATTTTGGATGCCAATGACAAATGGTGGCAACAAGCAGGTCCCGGGGGATGGAACGATCCGGACATGTTGGAGGTGGACAATGGCAGAATGACTTTTGCGGAACAAAAGGCTCACTTTACCATGTGGTGTCTCATCAAGGCGCCCCTTTTATTGGGAATGGATTTGAGGAAAATTTCCAAAGCTGGATTGGAAATCATTTCCAATGAAGGGCTCATTCAATGGAATCAAGACACCTTGGGAGTCCAGGGGCATCGAGTCTATCAAGAGAAAGTGGAAAGTACAGCAGTATCACCATCATCATCCCCTTTGTTGAGACAGAGGCGATTGGATGGATCGATGGTACAGACAATAACTGAATCAGAATCAGAACTGGAAGGAGGAGGAGGAGATGGACTCATTGAAGTCTGGGCTGGCCCATTGGCAAATGGAAACTATGCAGTGGTCTTGTTCAATCGAGGACGCAAACCACATTCCATTACTGCCGATTGGAAGGATATTGGACTTCCTTCGGCCCAAGCCATGAAGGCGACAGACGTTTGGAAAAAACAGAGTATTGGTACCTTTGCTTCCAACTATACGGCAATGGTGGAACCACACGATGTCATTGCCATTCAACTCGAACCAGCCTTTTTAGAATAATTTTTAAAATATATAGGTATTACATACAAATCGTAAAATATTAAGCTACAGTAGTATTGTTGAGCGCAATAAGAAGGAACATTATTCAAGCAGTAGCAAAATAAATCCTAATAATATTATATATGCATATATGCATGCATGCATGTGTGCGCATCTTTCAAAGGCTATCGTATTATTTTCAATGTGTGATAGTCGCAGTGTCGTGTGTATGTGTGTAGATGTGTGTGTACATATCTCGCATATATAATCAATGGAGTTCGTTTTTTCCCCCGTTCCACAGTTGTTGATCGAATCGAATCGAATATCGTATTATAGTTCCAATGAAAGTGTATTTGTGTGATGTGGTAGTAGCAGCAACAAGTGTGGAACCCCCTGTATATATATATATATATATATGTATGTCATAAGTGTATGTGCATCTGTCTTTTTTTGGTGTATATGTCTTTCCCCCTCATCATGGCCGCTATATGGTATAGTATCATATCATGATGACAATGATGAAAATGATCATAGTCGTCTCAGAATGGGATCCTTGAGGTAGCTAGTCAACTCCATCCCATCCCGGACATCATCCTCTTCGTCACAGTATTCCAAGGACACTTGAACCATTTTAGTTTTCGTAACATTGCGGCGTTGCAATTTGATCATGTGTTTGCGATACCCATCCAAGCGATGGAACAACACATTGTCGGCCGCCACATACGATCCCTTTTGAATGATTCCATTCGCTTCAAATTGAATCAGATGATCCAAGTATCGTTCCTTGTCGTGATCAAAAAAGACAAAGTCTGCAGCTGGAGCCTCGCCGGCACTGGCAATGCTGGGGGTGGGACTCGAGGTTCCACTGATGTGGCTGTTGCTGCTAGTATTATTATTATTGTTGTTGTTGCTGTTGTTGGGATGAGGTGGACAACAATAACAATGCTTCAGTTTGCGTTTCACCAAACTGGCCAGGGATTCATTGGCTGGTTGGTGGTGCAAGATGGTAATGTATTCGTGAAACTTGCTCATCAATATCATACTGCTGGCCACCATGATGTTTTGGCTGCTGGTCTCGACCGTGTAAATGTGAAACTTTAACTCGGAATCCAATTCACGCAACGATTTGGCCAAGAGAATGGCCGAATAGCCACAATAGGTTCCGACTTCCACGAGAATCAAAGGTGGTTGTTCTTCTGGACCAATCGGTTCATCGCCTTCCTCCATGCTACTGTTTCTAGACAGTTTGTGTTGTTCCTTTTTGTGTGCAATGCACTCCTTTAGGAATTCTTTTAAGAGTAGTCCCTTGTCTTGTCCAATGTGATACATCCATTGTTCTTCGTGACAATAGACATCGACTGTCTTTAATATGAGATTGGAAGATTCCAGTGGAGACAATCGATTAAAGTTGGGTGGGAGTCCACGTTGGACGTGCATCATGAGTTCGTATTCTCCATTTTCGGAAAAGGTAAAGGCACCCTTTTCGGCATGACGTTTGCGCACTCGACGTGCCGGATGTTGTTGGCCTTCTTCTTCTTCTTCTTCTTCTCCTCCTTGTTCTCCTTCATACTCTTGGTGTGGTTGTTGCTGTTGTTGTGGCGCAGTTTGTTGTTCCTCGTCTTTGGTTAGATTGTGCCGGGAACGCTTCTTTTCTGGACTCGGATCAAGGTAGAGAGTATTGCTGCTAATGATGGCATTGGTCAAGTTTTTGTTTTTTCTTGTGACATGATTGCTAGCAGCAGATGCCGCACTTGCGGCGGCAGCAGCTGTAATGATCGAGGTAGAATCTCCACTCAAGGTAGCCCATGGATCATGTGCCGAAGCCACAAAGGATGGAGCCGAAGCAATGAAGGATGGATTGGAGGTCGGTGGTGCCTGTGGTAAATTATTATTCATGGATTCCATGGTTCCCTCCGAGGAGCCGGATCGAAGGGCAGCAACAACCGAAGATCCGTTGGTAGTATTGGACTTGTGGCTCTGGCGACTTTGTGCATCACTGTTATCTTCTCCCTCACTGATGCAGGCCATGTTCGTTTGTTGTTGAGATGGGAGCGGCTCTACAGTATACGATTCAAACAAGTTGCAGTAGCTGACTGTGGTATTGAGCGGTGGTGGTTGGAATAAGGAGGGTGGTGCCACACTTGCCACAGGAGCATTATTGTGCATGATGTTCCCACCATCAGTGGCATGATTGTCTCCATCCATCGTCATCATCATTACGTTGCTGCTGAACTGAAAGGGTTTGAGAACAATGGATGGCTTTTCCATGTCCATGTACTCTTGTGAGAATAATCCACCCATGTCGGCTGCTGAGGATGATGACGCTGCTGCTGGAGCATGGTGGTGGTGGAGTGGGGAAGGTTGGTGGATGGGAACCAATGACTCCTCCATTTCGTTTCCATCATGATCCAATAAAGACATGGCAGACGAGTTCATGGAAGCGTTCCCCTGATCGATGATGCTGAGATGAGAGAGTCGTTGTTGCTGCTGGGAGGTAGACATCATCCAGTATATCGTTGGTGTGTGTGTTTGTGTTGTGAAATGCTGCAGTTGGATTGGATTGGATTGGACTGGATTGGATTGTTGCTGACGTGAGTTGACGTCACTTTTCCTTGTGGACACTAGAAAGAGAACAAGAGTGCCGGATTCAATTAGGCGTGGATTGAGCGAAAGGCTTTGATTGAATGGTACCACAGGATAGAGTACAGTATCCGCCTTTCTGAGAACGATGATGATGTTACCGGCAGATCAAGTTCTTTGTTTTGACAGTAAATATGAATGAATGTAACAAGAGTAGGACAAGAGGGTATGGCTCTGTTTGTTGACAATGGTTGAGGATTGATGACTGATGAATCCGACAAAGAAATAGTGTTGGGTGAGACAGAACAGCTGAGAAGGGAAGATGAGCATTCCTCACATAGAAAAGCTCAAACTTCAAGAAAAGGTTTTTTGGCTCCCGCAGCATCTTTACGACGAAACGACGTGTCCGTCTGGCCGGTTATGATTGGCAAACGCATGATTTGGGTTGTCACCGGTTGGGGACACGTCAGTTTTCATTGTACAGTATCTTACTTGGGGATTGACTGCTTGGAATCAATCAATCAAACAACAATGAAACGAAATCAATCATCTCTCCGTTTGACTGATTCGAGTGAATCAATCATCATTCAAATCGATCTGAAATCAACCAATCAAGAATCGATTCATTCAGTCAAGAAGATCATAAACGCGGGAAGATTTGCGAAACCCGAGGCAGGCGTCTAAATTGTCCGTTCTCGAGCGGGTGCGGCTAGTAGAAACTTCTTTTTTCAAACTCACATGATAGACACATCACTGGAATGCGAAACGTCCGTACACACGCCAATCCTAAAAATCAAAATTTGAAACCTATACATACGGTACACATATATTGAACATAATGTACTTATTACGACTGCGGTTTGATTTTCGATAGAGAACCATACTGTACCGGTAGGTACGGTATACGAAGGTATCATATCTTTGCGGCCATCAAACATCTCCATTCCAAACATCTCGTAATCTCCAAACGACAAACATACTCACTTACTGTATTAGAACAACAACAGACAATTCAACAACAGACAATTCAACAACAGACAATTCAACAACAGACAATTCAACAACTGCAACCACAACAACAATAATGTCCACGGCCAACACCAATGCCATTTCGGCACTCGCGGCTGGTTGGAGAACGACCTGTGGTGTCTTTAACGATCAACTCCAATGCTTTGGATGGAATCAATACGGTCAAATCGGCATTGGCCCCGATGGCAATCAGTTTTTGCCAGTCCCCATTCAAGTGAGCGACGGAGTGTCACTGGTCGACTTTGATTTGTTGTCGTTGGGAGTCGTCCATACTTGCGCGACGACCAAAGCAACCAAGGAATTGTACTGCTGGGGTTCCAACGATTCCGTGGATTTGTTGCTCAAACGACCGGTATCCTATCATACACCCCAACACATTGACTTGGGAGGACAAGGAATCTTTCAAAATAATGCCGACATTGACATTTTGCAAATCACGTCGGGACGATCTCACAATTGTGCCGTGGTGGCCTATCCTTCATTCAACTTGGAACGATTTGTCTGTTGGGGGTCCAATGAATTTGGACAATTGGGGATTGGTTCCACCGAGGATGGATTCGAGAGTCCGGTCCAAGTGGCATCCACCTTGGATATAGATTTGTTGCCACAACAAATATCTGCTGGATACTCTCATCAATGCGCCATTCAAGCGGCGGACAATTCCTTGTGGTGAGTACTTTTATTGTGCTGTGTTTGGTTCTCATGTATATCGTTACATACAAAACATCAAAACTCAATCTACCTTGCTTGCATTCTTCTTTTGATTTTTTTGCAGGTGCTGGGGACTCAACTCGAATGGACAAATCGGTGTGGGTACCACCAATACAAACGTATTGACACCCACCAAGATTGCACAACTTGGTTCCGTCAGTACCGTATCGGCCGGATCCTATCATACCTGTGCGATTAGTACCACACTGCCAGAGTCGATCTTCCTCGATGCCCGCGAAGACGAAGATGGACGAAAGGAGGGAAATGTCTATTGTTTTGGATACAATTCCTTTGGACAATTGGGGATTGGAAACTTGGAAGATCAACAGCTGCCACAAAAGGTGGATCTGGGAGGATTCGCCAAGGATATCAAGACGGGACGTGATCATACGTGTGCATTGATGGAAGATGAAACCGTCAAGGTACGTTGTTATATATAGGGTTGGTTGGCTGGCTGGCATTGCAAACAGCAATATCTCAAACGAGGCCTCTTGCTCTAACGTCCATCTTTGTTTTCTGTTATCTGCGAATGATAGTGCTGGGGTAGCAATTTTTCGGGTCAATTGGGAGTTGGCAACAATCGAGAATCATCGATGACACCAGTTACAGTGCCCGATCTGAGAGATGTGGAAAAGCTGGCACTGGGACGAGAACACACTTGTGTTTCCAAAAGTGATCAAACTCTTTGGTGTTGGGGAACCAATTTACATGGACAATTGGGATTGGGTGAAAACGTTTCCATTCAATACTTTCCACAACAGGTCAATATTCAATTTCCACAGAATCTCAACAGTCCACCGCCGACGAAATCTCCCACCGAACCGCCCTCCAAGGCACCAATCATGGCACCAGCAAATCCAGGACCCTCCAAAACACCCCCTCCGCCTACACCACGGCCCACCACATTATCTCCGACTACGTTATCTCCGACCAAATTGCCAACGCAAAGGCCTACGGTTTCTCCGACGCGACGTCCGACCAATGCCCCTAGTATACCAGATCCCACCATGGCTCCAACTCGAAGGGCCATTATCATTCCCACTTTTTCTCCAGTGGCAGTCCCAACAACCTTTCCAGTGGCCGTGTTGGAACCCACCGTGAATCCACCCGTTATTGACCCGCCAGTGCCCCAAACCATCCAACCGACACCCAATCGATTGATTGCCTTTCCAACGCCAGCTCCAACCGTTATTGTGGAGGACAAGGCGGACGACGTGCCATCCAGAGGAGGGCAGTCCATTATCATTATTGTACCAACCACCGATTCGACATTTGTGGAAGTCGATAGTGATAGCGCTACCATGACAAGAGGACATTTAGTAATGATGGCAGTCACATTGCCACTTTTGGTTTCTTGGTGTACTACCTTATTATTGTAAGAGTCTCATATCTTATATACATGAGTTGAAAAATCACACAAAACGCAAGATTCTCATTGACAAATACACACAAATAGTTTATAAAAAAGCAATACCATCCATGTATCCATACTTAAAAACAAATGTATAATCAAATATGTAAACAAGTTAAAGTGATACAAGACCAATCTTACATTTGCAACGTCAGTGCAACTCTTTAGCTTCGTGTTTTTGGAATGAGTACTACCTGGGGTTCTCTGTTTTCATCGTCATGGCGGTGCAAGAAGATCCACCATGCCAGGCTTCGTCCGTCGGGTGAAGATAAGGGACAAAATAATCCCATCTGGCTATTGCTTTCGTTCATCGGATGAAGAGGGGAGACCAAAGATCGCCTTAATTATTTGGAGAAACGCACTTGGCAGCTCTGGCTCTCTTCCGGTTGGGACAAAGTCTTTTTGGGCAATCCGATGATCCTCTTCTCCTAGGAATATCAAGCTGCGCGTCTTCCGTTTCCAATCCATCCCAAACAAACAAAGGATGCTCACTTTTCATGCCGAGCCCTTCTCAAGGTTATTTGCATGGTCATCAATATATTTGTGTGTGATAAAAAGAACTTATTGTTTCGCTTGAAAGGTGACCAAGATCAATTTTGGACTTTTGCTTCCGAAACCTTTCCCGGGAATTTTTCTTGTTTAATTGTGTGGCTCGGCCGGTGCGGGATGTTTCGAAGGTCTCGTTTCTCTTTTTGTCGTGTCGGTCTTGCGTATTCGTCGTTTCGCAAACGTCCGCAGTATGGTATCTTTTTGAAATCTCCTCACAAAATCAAAAGCGCCAAAGTAGCAACGAAAAGAAACCGATCGAAAAGATGAAATATTCAAGTCTCCTTGTTGGAGCTCTACTACAAACTACAGCCTATGCTGCCGACCAGAATCTCCGCCGCACTGATGTGGAAAGCAAACCTCTTGAGAAACCAAACAAGGAGGCTCCTCACAAACATCAGCCTCGGGGGGCAAAGTCATCAGATACGGTGACATACTTTACCATGGAAGGAAAGACCAATATGAAAGTAAAGAAAGAAAAGAAGGAAGGTACTCATGATGAGGGCGATGGAAGAGAAAGCCGCATTGTCGGTGGTAGCCAATCTGATCCTGGAGAATTCCCCTATTATGGTAAGTGGAACAAATTGTGGCCTGTGTTGACCACTGTTCTATCCGGTTGCATGGAAGCTCATCAGTATATCTCTTCAACGCTATAGTGGATCTGGGAGGCTGCGGTGGCTCCTTGATTGCCCCCAACGTTGTCTTGACTGCCGCACATTGTGGTAGCTACCAAGGGGAGAGTGTTGTTGTTGGAGCGTACCGTTACGATTCCACTGCCAACAACGCCGTTCGCGTATCCGTCTCTGCCGACGTCCAACACCCGAACTACGATGACTTTACCGAAGCCAATGACTTTCGATTGCTACGCCTGGCACAAGATGTTACCATTGGTGGGTCAAGCGTCGTCCTTTCCATCAACGAACAATCCTCCCGTCCTTCCAATGGCGAAGACTTGACTGTTTTGGGGCTCGGAATAACCTCCGAAAATGGTAGCGAGGCAAACATCCTGAGAGATGTCGTAGTTCAAGCCATTCCCACCAGTACTTGCAACCAGCCAATCAGCTACGGTGGAGATATCGAGGACAATATGTTCTGTGCTGGAGTGAATGGAGGGGGCAAGGACAGTTGTCATGGAGATTCGGGTGGCCCAATTGTCATTCGCAATGGCAACCAACACGTCCAAGTCGGTGTTGTATCTTGGGGAGATGGATGCGCCCGACCCAACAAGCCAGGGGTGTATGCTCGAGTGAGCAGCGCGTTCGGATGGATTGAACAAGTCGTGTGTGATCAGTGGAACGTCAATGCCGACTTTTGCGGTGGAGGTACTACTCCAACGCCACCCAGCCCCACTCCTCCAAATCCACCACCACCTACTCCAACATCGCCTGGTCCTACTCCGCCACCACCCTCTCCAACTCCACCATCAAGCCCCACACCCCCGTCTGGTGGTGGTGATTGTCCAACGGGCGAGATGGAGTTTGATTTCACCATTCGCACCGATGAATGGGGATGGGAGACTTCTTGGGAAGCCACACGCTCCAGCGGTAGCAAGGTCGCAAGTGGATTGAACTATCAGTCGAATCGAACCTACCGCAAGAACAAATGCATCCCAGAGGGATGTTACACATTGACTATCTTTGACGACTACGGTGACGGACTCAGCTCGGATGGTAACTACGAGTTGAAAGTCAATGGTCAAGTTGTTGAGTCCAAGAGCGGTTTCGATTTCGGATACGAACGGTCTATTGATTTTGGATCCTGCAGTGGTAGTGGCGGCGGCGGTGGCTCTGGTGGGGGCGGTGGGGGTGGATCATCCTCTTGCTTACCAATCACTTTGAACCTTCGAACCGATGATTATGGCTACGAAACCGACCTATTCCTGCTCACGGATAGGGGAAATCTCGTGTGGAATGCCAATGGTTTCGCCGACAACAAGGATTATCAATTCAGCACGTGCCTGGACAACAGTGAGTGCGCAACTTTGGATATCTTTGACGAGTGGGGAGATGGTATTGCATCTCCAGGGTACATCAAGCTGGTCGTGGACGGCACGACCTACTTCAATGGTGGTGACATTGGCGGAGGCATAGTCTTTCGCATCGGTGGAAATTGCTAACAAGCTCTGGCAGGACTCACGTTAGAATGTATGGTGGTAAAGAGTACGGTAGGAGAATAACATTGTGAAGGAAGATATATAAGTATTTAACGAACTGTATTGTGTATTGCAACCGTTCAAATTCATTTATGGATGTATGTATCAAGACCGTCCTTTTCCTGGATAACAACATAAAAGTTCATTTTATACACTACGAGAAGTATATATAGTAGCCCAATGTATATCGCGTTGATTTCGCAGAAGTTGTCACAATGTTCCATAGTATTCTCCAATCTTTTTAAAACCCAACTCGTCTCCACAAGATTACAGTAGGTAGGTTACAAGTGTTCAAATTCATTTATGTATATCTGCGTTGCACCGATCGATTGGAAGAAGGAGTAGGAGCCCAATGTGTATCGTGTTGATTACGCAGACCTTGCACTTTTCATTTCAAATGCTCCATCGTATTCTCCAATCTTTTATTACATGTCGGTTATAATGATAGTATCCCTGAGCCACAACAAAGTCCGACCCAAGACTATCCTTAGCATGAGAAGCATCTACTAATTGAGTGGAATGCCGAACTCACTAAAATCATCGCCTGCAGGAACAGCCTCAAATCTCCCCATTGATAGTAAGGCGAAACTGTTGCCCTTCTCAAGGTTTGCATTGCATGGTCAACGATATTGGTGTGAAAAACAACCTGTTTCGCTTGAAAGGTGATCAAGACCAGTTTCAGATTTTTGGTTCCGAACCTTTCCAGGGAATTTTTCTTGGTCTAATTGCCTGGCTCGGCCGGTGCGGGTGGTGCAGAACACTTATCCGCTGGTAAAGTTTCGCGTTTCTCGTTTTGCTGGTCTTGATCTTGGGGCGGATTATTTGCAAACGTCAGGAATATTATCTTTCTGAAATTGAAAATCTCCTCACAAAATCAAAAGCGCCAAAGTAGAAAACGAAAAGCAACCAATCGAAAAGATGAGGTATTCAAGTCTCCTTGTGGTAGCTTTACTCCAAACAACAGCATATGCTGCCGATACAAGCGAGAAGCAGAATCTCCGCCGCACTGCTGTAGAAAGCAAACCTCTCGAGAAACCACCAAACAACAAGGAGGAGCAGGAGGCTCCTCACAAGAAACACCAGCCTCGAGGGGCAAAGTCATCGGATACGGTGAAATACTTTACCATGGACGGAAGAACTAACATGAAAGAAAAGAAAGAGAAGAAAGGAAGTTATCATGATGGTGACGATGGAAGAGACAATCGTATCGTCGGTGGTAGCCAATCTGCTCCTGGTGAATTCCCCTACTACGGTAAGAAGACATTGTCGCTTGTGTTGACCACTGCTCCATCCTTGATGCTAATAAATACATCTTTTTCACGCTTTAGTGGATTTGGGAGGCTGCGGTGGTTCCTTGATTGCCCCCAACGTTGTCTTGACTGCCGCACATTGTGGTAGCTACCAAGGGGAGAGTGTTGTTGTTGGAGCGTACCGTTACGATTCCACTGCCAACAACGCCGTTCGCGTATCCGTCTCTGCCGACGTCCAACACCCGAACTACGATGACTTTACTACAGCCAACGACTTTCGATTGCTGCGCTTAGCACAAGATGTCACCGTCGGTGGTTCGAACGTCGTCCTCTCCATCAACGAGCAGTTTTCCCGTCCTTCCAATGGTGAAGACTTGACTGTTTTGGGGCTCGGAACGACCTCAGAAGATGGCAGCGGAGCAGATATTCTCAGAGATGTCTTGGTTCAAGCCATTCCCACCAGTACTTGCAACCAGCCAATCAGCTACGGTGGAGATATCGAGGACAATATGTTCTGTGCCGGAGTCAATGGAGGAGGCAAGGACAGTTGTCAAGGCGACTCTGGTGGCCCAATTGTCATTCGCAATGGCAACCAACACGTCCAAGTCGGTGTTGTATCTTGGGGAGATGGATGCGCCCGACCCAACAAGCCAGGGGTGTATGCTCGAGTGAGCAGCGCGTTCGGATGGATTGAACAAGTCGTGTGTGATCAGTGGAACGTCAATGCCGACTTTTGCGGTGGAGGTACTACTCCAACGCCACCCAGCCCCACTCCGCCAAGTCCGCCACCACCTACTCCAACTCCACCAAGCCCAACTCCGCCTTCTGGTGGTGGTGGTGGTTGCCCAGCGGGAGAGATGGAGTTTGCCTTCACCCTTCACACCGACGATTATGGATACGAGACTTCTTGGGAAGCCACACGCTCCAGCGGTGCCAAGATTGCCAGTGGATCCAACCTTCAGTCAGATAGCACCTACGTCACCAACAAATGCGTCCCCGAGGCATGTTACACATTGGCCATCTTTGATGACTACGGCGATGGGCTCAGCTCTGTCGGTAGCTATGAGTTGAAAGTCAATGGTCAAGTTGTTGAGTCCAAGAGCGGCATCGATTTCGGATACGAACGGTCTATTGATTTTGGATCCTGCAGTGGTAGTGGCGGCGGCGGTGGCTCTGGTGGGGGCGGTGGGGGTGGATCATCCTCTTGCTTACCAATCACTTTGAACCTTCGAACCGATGATTATGGCTACGAAACCGACCTATTCCTGCTCACTGATAGGGGAGAACTGGTGTGGAATGCCAATGGGTTCGCCGACAACAAGGATTATCAATTCAGCACGTGCCTGGACAACAGTGAGTGCGCAACTTTGGATATCTTTGACGAGTGGGGAGATGGTATTGCATCTCCAGGATACATCAAGCTGGTCGTGGACGGCACGACCTACTTCAATGGTGGTGACATTGGCGGAGGCATTGTCTTTCGCATCGGTGGAAATTGCTAACAAGCTTTGGCAGGACTCTTGATAGTCTGTACTATATACAATAATAATGACATAAGAAGAAAGGTAGACAATGAATTGTATTATTTATTACAAGCGTTGAAATTCATGTACGTATGCGTTGAACCGATCGATTGGAAGGAGAAGTAGCCTAATATATTGCGTTGATAACGTAGAACTTGCACTGTCATTTCAAAATGTTCCATCGTATTCTCCAATCTTTTAAAAATCCAAATCGTTTCCGCAGCATTACAGGTAGGGTATATATATATAATAGTATCCGTGAGCCACAAGGTCTGACCCATCACTATCCTTAGCATGAAAAGCGTTCATTAATTGGGTGGACCGCCGACCTCACTCAATCATCGTCTACAGGGAACAACCTCGAATTTCCCCATTAAGAGTGTTGACAAAGCTGTTGGCCGATAGATCGCATTCATCAAGTTCCGGCAAGACTGGAATAGATCCAGTGAGCTGGTTGTTTCCAAGCTTCAGTGAGGTAAGACTTGCTGGAAGTTCCGGGATGGATCCCGTGATCATTTGGTCTTCCAGGTTTAGGTAGCCAAGGTTACTCAATAGATTAATTTCGGTGGGAATGGTACCGTCCATGGCATTGTTTCCAAGTTCCATGTAAATGACGGAGTCTTCCGAACACCACACTCCTAGCCACTTGTTCATGCGCGTGGAGCAATGAGAATTGATGGGTGACAACCAACCAAAGGTGGTTTCCCAGGCAGTGTCTCCATTGGTGGAATAATAAAGGACTGCAAGAGCGTATCGCTCCAACCATTGTCGTTCTCTGGCAGTCTTCTCAGGCGACCCTTCGTCCTCTTCCAGGTAGTCTTCAGGAGTGGACTCGGGCTTCCATTCATCGAATTCGGTGAGATAATGAAAGGCCTGCTCGTTGAGTGGTTCGTGTTCTTGGAGTACAACCTTGAGGTAGTCGGTTCGCATACGAATCGCTTCCGAAGAATCTTCACTCATCATGATCACTTTCTCGTCCTTCATACCCAAGAGTGTTCCCGCAGCAATGCCAGCCAGAAACAATACAACACAAACCATCATGATCAGATAGGTCTTTCGTCGGCTGGTGTCGTCGGCTTTGGTCACTTCTATCGCTGGTTGTACCTTTTGTGGAGTGTAAGAAGCAGTACGAGCCATGCTAAAGTTTTCGCTATCCTCAACGTCTCCACTGACTACAGTCACATCAGCCGATGGCGCTGCAGCAATTTGTTTCACTTCTGCTCGTGCCTTTCGTTCGTTTTCCAAAGCCTCTTGCATCTGCCTTTGCAAGGCTTCGTTGTGTTCTCGCAATTCACGGATTCGTTCAGCTTCATCGTCTGCGGGAACCGCTTCAGCAGTCAATGGTGGACAGGTAAACTCAGCGCCCAGCGACATGACTTCATCATCGTCGTCATCATCGTCGCTAGTGGTATTCGTGTGCATGCTTTGCGCATAAGTCGCAGGAGATGGTGGGATGGAGTAGCTCACACGGACGGCTCCTGGAGCAGTCTCTTCATCCTCACTCAAATCATCACCATCATTGTCATCGCTAAATTCATCTAGAGTTCTTGTGGGAACCCTCGGTGGTCCATTCTTCATCATGCTTCGGGTTGGTGACAATAGTTGATCAGTGAGCGAACGGCTGGTTCGTTGGGAGGATCCGCCGGTACTTCTTCGGGTACCGGTACTGGGTGCCGGAGAAAGAGGAGTCTGAACCGCTCCTGGTGCAGTTGCAGCCACCGCCCTCAAAGTTCGTTCCTTTGCTTTCTCATCTTGCTTCTCGATATCTGCCGTTTGGTTGGTGGTGTTGACAGCAGATTGTTTGTCATCACTGCTAGAACCGTTCTTTTCGTGGCCCATCTTGATGTCTGTTAGTATTAGCTTAGATGTGATTGTTTATAGTGTCGAACAAAAAGAAGAAAGGTAAAACTGATTTTAAAAATGGTGAATTCCTCTACTAGAGCAGAAAAGTGAAACTATTACGTCCTGCGTCAATCTGATCGGAAGAAAATTTTCAAAAATTCTTCCGGTTTTCTTACAATTAATCTTGAGCAGATCGAAAGGTCAAATCAGGCTCTTTTCACCTCATTCGAACAGTATCGAAACGATCGTGTACGGTCAAACGAAGCCCACCCTACAAAAGCTTTCGTGATGACTATGACCGATGTTAGATGAACATTTAACAAAACAAGGTTCACTATTCGTTTTTGTCCAATCGGAATGTGTTGCGCTTGCCGTTTACGATATATTGCGAAACACCTGGGAATTCATCCAAGCGCGACGCGAATCGTGAGTCACCAACGCCCAATAACCTTTCATTCCTTTAATTGGAATTGAAACCGGTCCCACAGAAAGAAAAATAGGTTTTGGAGGCAGAAACAAAAGTGGCACAATGTCTATCATCTACTTATATCGTATCCACAACCAACTCCAGAGGGATAGAGAAAGGTTTCACCGCGAACAATGATTCATTGATTCCACTTGTATTGAAGGTACGTATATCCACAACCAAAAAAATGAGAAACGGAAGAGGTAGACTGCGAGCAGTATCGGTGAGTAGTCAGCGATGGAGAAAGGTTTCACCGCTAACAATGATACCTTCTCGATTCATTCATTGCCGATTCCATGCTCTGAGCAAATGATGAACCCCAGGACCCCGAAAGTCTGTGTTTCAAGGTCTATGGTCGGCTCCTTGCCTTCCTCGCTGCATGTGATATGTGAATGATGGCGAACTAATATACGGTACCACAAGAGACTTGCCATCACTTTCTCCCTTCTGATTCTGTAAATCTGCGAGAGAACCTCTTTGATATCGTGAATGATGAATGAAAGATTTCATTGATTCATCATACATGATGCCGGTTTTATCTTGTGCAAGAGACGTGCAATCACACTACACGTGATGGAAGACGATTTCACTTGTTCATGTCAAAAAGCACACAGTAGTATACAGACACACCGAGCTTAGCTTTCGATGGATGTGGTTGGAACTTTTTATTTCATTGTAGGTAATATACAAGCTACCACAACGAGAAAGAATGTTCCTTTTAATCTCCAGTTCCTTGTTATCTTCTGTGAATGAATGGTGTTAATAAGGATCGAGGTGGACCAAATCCACCGCCTACAGCATTACAATATTATAAAGTCCTTACATACTGTAGTGGTCCAATTCAGAGGAACCCTAATTTTACTTTGGGGTCGAATCGAAACTATACAAAAGGAGTCGAAAGTAGGCAAAGTCAATCCGAAAGTAGGCAACGAAATTTGAAACTATACAAGGTCGATCTGAAAGTAGGCAAAATAATTTTTGAAATTTGAAACTATACAAGGTCGATCTGAAAGTAATAGGCAAAACTATATATCCAAATCTGAAACTACAGTAAACAAATTTCGATCAGAAACTATACAGTAGGCAAATTGCTGTGACGAGGAGAACTAGCCAAAGGCGCGAAGGATTCTAGTTGAAGATGTGAAGAAAGGTGCTAGTATTAAAGTTGATGACGACAATAAGCTTTGGTTTCACGGCCACGACAGCTCTGCAATCGTTTCCTTGCATCCAGAATATTCAGAGTATCTGCTAGATAAATTTGAAGATGACTGTTGAGAATCTACAAGAAATTGGTAGAGGAGTGCAACAGACCTGGGATTTCTGGATCAGTACATGGAACATAATCCAGTTTCGTATTTCAACAAGGCCTTCGGCAAGCAACTCCTGCCATGCAGGAGCACCAGAGCTGCAGATATGTTTTGGAATAGATAGATTGTAGATTCTAACTAACTAGGACTCCGAGTCGCACATAGGTACACACGGGCGCCTTATAGCTACCTAGCTATTCGTAGAGTGGAATCTCCCCTAGGATGCAACATTGTGCCAGAACGCAACAAGCTTCAAACGCATCTCTGAACTCGTTGTGACGGAAAAGGGGTATCCAAAATGTTATTTTGCTTCAAAAAAATGTTGTAGTTGTCCTTATATGTCTCTTGAGAGCTTGGCTCTTGAAGAGCTGCTTGACTCCAGCATTACTTGCGATTTGTAGGTGCTGACATCATTTTTAGGTTCACCATGATTGTAGCTAGCCTTCATTGCCAATGGCGGATTGTTTTCATCGTTGAAGTTCCGCAACAGCCTTTCTCCCCACAGCAGAGTAATATTATTAGTCCGCGCCGGAAAGGGACCACGCATCCACAACAGCCGATCGTCCAATAGTAGCGAAATTTCCAATTGATTGTCAAGACTGGCTTTGCTGTATTTGTGAGAGTAGTGTTGGAACGTGTATTAGATACTTAGATTGGACTAGTCAGATTAAGGTAGCCTGGTAGGCGCAGCGGTTCGATTCCGTAATACCTTATATTTGACATGGTAAGGTTATGGGATCTTGGAAATGAATGCCGACTGTCTGCATCGACAGGATAAAGATGGACGTGCGAGGGTTTCGACACTTGAATCATCGTTGAATTCGAAAATAGAAAACTCGATTCGAAACTATACAAGTCGATCCGAAAGTAGTCAAACTCGAAAGTAGTCAAACTCGATCCGAAAATAGTCAAATTAATTTTGCCGAAAGAAAAATCCCCGTGTTTACACCGTCCCCCTATCTTGTAAAAATGTTCCCCTTTCAAGAAAAACAACACAATCGCCCTAAAACGGACGAATGAAGGACAGTGTCGCGGGGTCCTGTACGCAGACTTCCAATCAAAATTGGACATCCACCCAGATGACATGCAAGTTTCTACGAAGCCTCTGATTTTGGCTCTTACATTATGCAGGTGCAATTTTTAGTGGGTTTTCAGCCAATGAGAGTTAGTCAAATCACTAAAAATCAACCCATTTTTAGTGGTCTGAACCAATCACAGCGGGCCATTCTCTAAAAATAGACAATGTCCACTAAGTTAGTACTCGTCATTACTTGCAAATGATGATTATACTGTAGAGGGATGGTACCTGGTACCGTAGGCCCAGGCTAGATACGGCCCTGCCACTCTGCCATTGTATTATAAAGCACTGTCGCACCTTTTTTAATGAGTCACCTTACCACTGGATTACGAGCTAGCGATACAGTTACCCTATGATCACTTCTAGCTGCTCTGAAGAACGGGTGTGGCAGCCACAAAACCGAATTGACAAGCGCTACAGCATGAGGTGACGGATACGCCCATCTGTAGAAACTTCGTTTTCAATCTTCTATTTATATTATAGATTAATTTCTATCGTTTCAGTGTCACTTATGGTAGCATGCCCCTGTAAGAAACTGATAACAACTGCCATAGTTGCTAGTAGTAGGTGTCACTTCACCTTTGGAATCTAATCATTGTCTCAATTCCGTGCACCAAGGCCTTGTTGATTGTTTTCTCGTCAGAATAAACCCATCCCCTGTGACCATACGGTAGTAAACTGTCGTAGCGCGGCCTTATGGTGGAAACTTGGCCATCAAGGAACCCAGCAAGAGTTTGCCTCTGTTTTCGCCTTTGCATCTTACTCAAAAAACGGTTGATTATTGCATTTCTTCAATCATGTAATACACATGTAGTCTCTTTGGCGGCGAGCTTGTGCCTGGATTTGGTCCTTCCTCACCTTGCTTGATTCCCAAAATATTGAGTCCATTGACGACGCAAAATCTGACTACCATCATCAATGACGTCAACTTCTGCGCTGCATATCTGGAAATGTTCGTGACCTCAAATTCAGAGTGCGATAAATCTCCGATTTCTGATTGGATCTGCGATATGAAGGCACAGATGATGTTATTAGAGGTGCTCGAACGTCATTTCAAAAGTTTCAGAGGCATCGGTCAACATACATCAAACAATCATTGTTACCTTGTTCAAAATCCGTCAAAATCCTGGCTAGAGCCAGGGTCATAGAGCATATATTCTTGCGACGGTATGCATGAGGCCAGTGCTGTGTTGTAAAGACACTTTATTGCAATCCTGTTGCTTTCTCCTCTTTTCTTTTCTTTCCTCTTCGTTTTCTTTTCTTTCCTTTTTCTTCCTCTTCCCCCTTCTTTTTCCCCGGGGGATTTAGTATAAATAGTTGCACCAGCATAGTATAAAAGCCCTGATTTTATGGCCTGCTGATGCTTGACTCGAAGGGATCAAACGCCAACAATTGTTTTCACCTACCCACGCTATTTGAGGGGTCATGTTCGAGTGGTCCTGTGGATATATGGCATCGTAAAGTGATTTCTGAGTTGTCAATGGGATTTCCCGCGAACAGTATCAACAGTACCGCAATGCTTGGATGGCGGATTAGATGGCTCTAGTACATCCCGGTACTGCGGCACAATAACTTGTCATCTTACTGCTACCGGTAGGAGTACTGTCTGCTGTACAGTATCACGGACTAGAAAAGCAGTTTCACTTCAGTAGCATTCCTGAGGAAAACAGTGTAAGCGGCGATGACGCTTCACTGTGTTGTTTGGCTGGTATCAGGTATTAGATACATACTACTGTTGAGAATATTACAACATTGCAGTTCAAGTAATTATATTGAATGAATTTCAATAAAATCTATGATTCGGTCATTCGAAGGAGTCGTCAGTCGAATACGACAAGACGATCACGAATGGTGTTTGTGATCATGAACGAACCATATAGTAAATCGCGTTTTGGGAGTTTCTTTCGCGAGCACTAAGAGCTGTACCGTTGTGCTTGGATAGCGGATGAGACCGCTTTTATATACATTCGGTTCCTGGTAACAATGTCTGTACAGATACGGTAGTACTATCTAGCTTTGCTTTCTGCTGCTTGTGTTTCTATTGTTCTCCTTCTAGTAACCTGGCTCTGATTCTTACTACTTTACCAGTTCGTCAAAGGTGGAGAGATGAATAGACCGCCAAGTAGCATTCCGAAACAAGAATGTAAAATTGCAAATGTTCTTTATGATTACCGGTACAGACTTGGCCGTTTGTGGTTTAGCTGCCGTTGACTAACTAATGAATGCTGCCCTCGTTCCACCCGTCCTAAGGTAATTTAGTAGGCTTAAGAGAGCTCGAAGGATCCCGTACCGGTACCAGTACCGTGCCATGCACGTTCGTTCATCAATTGCAATCACTCTTGTTGCGATGTATCGCATGGTTGTCTTTCCGCTTTGAAGAACCACACAGAATCGAGCGCCAAATGAGTTTTCTCCGTTGCACTCGCACTTCGCACTTGATTCGTTCGTCGCCTGCAATAGGGTCGACGGGATCGCATCATGTTCTTTGCATGGGTTACTACCACACACCAGCCAGCAGCAGCAGGAGGCAGGGCGTCAAATGGATTCTCTCAAAGAGCTGAACACTGAACGCAATCAATCATTGGATAGCGGATGGGATGGCTCTTGCTCATTTGGTCATTGGTACAAGCAGTGCCTGATATTCCTTCTTCTTGGTGTTCTTCTAGCTGCTGCTGTCGCTGGCTGGTGGTGTCTTCGTTCTCATTGCTGCTCTTTCTGGCGAGTCGTGATGATATTGCAAAGAACATGAAGATCTACTCTGTTGTTTGTGGTCTTGCTTCCATCGACTATTAATAATTACTGTAGTCCACATGGACTCGAAAAAGTCGACTGCATTCTCGGCGTTCATTCATCACCATGCACAACCGGTATAATGGCCGTCTCGTTTTCTTCAACTTTTATTGCAAGACAAACCATTTTATTTTAATGTAACATAGTCTCGACTGTAGTCGCGGTGACTGTACCGTAGACTGTACTATAAATGCGGCGGTTTCACATGTTCGTTTTGTCTTGCTTCCATGCGCACGGAGAACTATATGCAGAGGGGCGTAAAATGGATTTCCCCTTCGTCGAGCTGAACAAGGAACGCAAACTCTGCTTGGTTAGCGGATGGGATGGCTTTTGCGCCTTCGGTTCCTAGAGGGATAGCGTTTGTACTACTCTATATTCCTGGCTGCTCCTTGGTCTTCTGGCTGTTACTGGCAGCACCAACAAGCGACGTGGTCGTTCATCCTTGCTGCTGGTCTTTGTGATAGCACTGAGCAGATGAAGCTTGGCAGATCACTAGACTGGCAACCATCATTAGGAAACAATAGCGTGGCACTTTCTGTATGGGTGATCGACTTTGCTGTCGCTGTCCTTGACTGGCTGGTGGCTAGTGTGCTGGAACATTGCATTTCTTGTTGGCAAGAAGTTAATTTTTCAAATTTGAAAGATTGCACCAGCTGTTAATAGTGTATGTCTCATAAAACCGTATACCGGTATAAATGATGAGAGATTCAATGGCATTCCTGATCGGAGCTGCGAACACTTTGAACTTGCGAAACCAAAAACCCGTTTCCGAAAAATGATATGGAATCACATATTTTAAAATATAGATATATATTATAATATAGTACCGGCTGACTGCGCATATAATATGGACGCGACGTCAACAATAATCGACCCATCTGAATACAAGCTATTAATAGGACCCTACAGTATCGTCTCCTACTGTATTCTCTTGGAATGCAGATAATATATTTAGGACAATACAGGGAGAGGTACTGTAGTCATGTTCGAGTATCAATTAATGAAGAGAAGTGCTGTACAAAATCGCATATTTAATTGTTTTACAACCTTCACCGTGCACGTTCAAGTCAATCAAAATCTCCAGTTCCTGCTGCAAGGCTGCTGGCTGCTTGTCTAAGCAGTTGCCGCAGCGGGTGGATTTGTTTTTTGCAGGCAATACAAATTGTATCCCGCAATGACCAATCGATCAGATGATGTTTCATCACCGTTTTCTCTGGGAGCTTCGTTCAGTCGTGAAGCTTCCATGTAGCACTCCATCATTTCTGGAACTTGGTTCAACTGTAGGTACACGTTGCCGAGGAGATTCAATGCCTTGGACAAGGATCTTGTATTTGGAACGACTTCTCTTTTTCGCTCGATGGCAACAACTTGTTGGAAATATTTGGCAGCTTCCTCAAGCTTGCCAAGCTGTTGGTGAACCTGTCCCAAATGCCTGATCGTCAGGCTAACATCTGGGTGGTCCGTTCCAAGGTGCATCTCCTCGACTCGCAAGGTTTCCTTGTACATCTTGACGGCTGTCTCTTCTTGCCTACGCTCGAAATATACAGTTGCAAGATTATACCACAGAATCGCCACATCTCGATGATTGGGACCAAGAAGTTTGGTTCGTATCCTCAGACTTTCCGAAAAGCACCTGTTGGGAAGCTCGTAGACTTGTTTCTTAAAAAATACTAGTCCAATTGAATTCAATGTGGAAGCAATGGTTGAGTTATCGTTGTTTGACGAGTGCTCTCGGTAGATTCGAAGAGCAAATTGATAGGCTTCGAGGGACGACGCGTAGTCACCCAGGTGATATTGCATCAAGGCGATGAATGAGAGTGTCTCTGCCAAAACCAAGGCAATACTCGATCGTAAGCCTCCAGAGCTTTATCATATTGATCCAATTGCTTGTAAATGTGAGCTATATTTGTCTGTGTAATAATCGTGTAGGGGTGGTCTGGTGGAAGGATTGAGCATTCAATCGTGAGCCCTTCTGTGTATGACGCCATGGCGGTTTCATATTCCTTCATTTCGTAGCAAAGATTGCCAATCTTGTTCAAAAGTGTGGCAACATCCGTGCTAAGTCTCCCACTTGCCGCCGTCTGAGCTTGCAAAGCTTGATGAAAGAATTCTAAAGCCGTATCGAACTTCCCTTGTACTTGATGAATCTCGGCAATTCCTTTCAGCGCCAGAGCGGCATCCTTCGAGTTCTCACCGAAGACGGACTTGGCAACGCTGAGAAATGACTTGTAATGATTGATCGATTCTTCGAACTTTTTGAGTTGCTGACAGGCTTGACCTGCATTGTACAAGGTAGCAGCCACATCAATGGATTCTTCACCAAGGAGGTGCCTCCGAATCTTGAGCGATTCTTGGTAGCTCTGAAGGGCCTGGACGTAGTCAGCTCGGAGATAATGCAGTCTTCCAATATTATTCTGAACCGTTGCGACTTCCAAAGGATCAACGCTTGTGCACGATCGGTACATCTGTAGACTTTCTTCAAACGATTGGAGTGAGTTGTCGATGTTGCATGTATGATCCATGCTGAAGTGAAGAACCCCGATGCAATTCAGGGAGGCTGCAAGGCATTGCCTACCAAGTTTGAAGTGTGTGCTTGCATTGAATGCTTGCTGATAATACTCCGTTCCCATGTCGGCCTCACCAGTGACATATCTGCAATATCCGAGGCAGTGGAGAATCTTTACCACCAATGTCTGGGAAAAACGATCGGTTGACTTGGTCCAGTAGAGTGCTTGATGCAGCCAGTGCTCAGCATGATTCCTCTTTCCGCACTTGATCTTGACTTGTGCCATATTGTAGGCGACAACCGCGGCAGTGGTGTACTGAAAGCCGTCTTTTTCTTTGCCGTCACAATCACGTGGTAGGTTCAATGGCGTATTGTATACGTTCATACCTTCATCATACCGATTGAGGTTTACGACTAGCCCATCGTCTCGGGAATCAATCATGATCACGTCGTCGTTTTGGTGTGAAGAGCGGGCGAGGCCTTTAGAAGCAAGATTCGAACCAATCCCAAGTTCGGAGGCAGCTTGACAGAAACACATTTCTGAAGTCTCGAAGTGACCTGAGTGAAACTCGGAAGCCCCCATTTCGTTGAATATAGATATTCTATCGACCAAAGATTGATCTCTGAGTATTTGGTGATGCTTTGCTGAGAGCATCGGGATGTGTTCAACCATTTTCTTGTTCGTTCACTATAAAACGAGAAATTGTTGCGTTCATCATCTCGTTTTCTTTGTGGTTTCGATTTTGGGAACGGAACGCGTTCGATCTCAAAATATAGATCACACGTAATATATATACGCGGTAAACATGTACCACAGTATATGGTACTGTAGGTTCGTCCTTCTGCTTCCTATAATATTAAGCGCCAAACGACAAACTGCGATTTTCTCAAGAGCTGAACGATCGAACAGCAATCCTGCTTGGATGCGGGATCGCTTTTGCTCTTTTGGTTCCAATTGAGAGCAGAGCAGCACAGTACAATGTTTGTAGGTACTCAATATTCATTGGCTGCAAAAAAAGAATTACAAAAAAATTGAGCGAGATGGTTCTTCTTTTATCAATAGTCGGCTTGGCGGTTCGTGGTTTTCCTTCCTGACAGCAGTGCCTGGTAGTGAACAGTACCAGGTACCAGGTATAGTCTTCACATTTACAGCAGTCTACTAGAGCGTTATGGTTTTATATACATGTTGGTCACTCGGAGGAGTCAGTCAGTCGACCCAAGTCGCTGAATAACAGCACTAAATAGATGAATCATCGTATGTTCTTCGTTTTGCTTGAAGTACAAGGAGAACCATATAAAGCATCGAATGTGTACGAGATCGATTGCAATCACTTGGGCGGGGGATAAGATGGTTTCTGTACATTTCGCTCTTGAGATGTCTGGGCCAATAGAAACTAATGATGGTCATGGCGCTGGCGGGAAGGTGGAGATGGGCAGATGACTAGACTGTCAACTACCTCCATTCAGAGAACATCACGGGTTCTGGTCAAAAACAAGACATCCTTGAGCAGCACCATTGGCAGTGTCGGAAAATTTGTTGCTCGCTGTTTGACAGATACACCAAATAGTTGTTAGTCAAGCAGAACAGGCAATCAGAATGGCGACGACGAAAATCGAAAGATCACAACTTACAAAGATCACACGACGTGACATTTGGAAGCACAGGAACAGCCCCAGTAAATTGGTTCCCAACTAACTCCAGGGTCCGTAGATCAGACAACTGAAAGATCTTGTTAGGGATAGCACCGCTAAGTTCATTTTCGTCTGTGCGGCAGTGGTGCATGCGATATGCGATATGCGTGTGTGAGTGTGTGTGAAATAGAGCTTTGAGAAAAATGACAATGCAAACGTACACAATCGAAGACTCGTCAATCCAGAGAGCTCATATAATTGATCTGGCAAACTTCCAGTCAGTCTCATATTCCACAGCCAAAGCTGCGTGAGATTTTGAGGCATAGTTGGTACGGTACCAATCAGCTTGCTATCAGATCCATCGCCCGTTATCCAAATGGAGCGTAAATTCGATAATACCCGAATTCCTCGTGGAAAACTACCATCAAGATTGTTTGCCTCTGTGTCATAAAATGGGCAATAAGTTGGCATTTGTCATATTAGTAGGAGAATACGGATCATCACCGCAGTTCTCCATCCAAACGTCTATCACATCAGGCCACATACCTAATTCGATCGAAACGACAGAATCATTCTCGCATTCGATTCCAAACCACTTTTTGGCCCCTTCTGCACAGTGCGAACTAGTCTCGGATAGCCATCCAAAGTTTTGTATCCAGTTATCTCCGTTGGTCGAAAAGTAGAGTACAGCAAGGTAATACCGTTCGACCAACATCCATTTCCTCTCACCTGTACCGACAGTAGACCCCTTGCTGGCATTAGTGATACGACCTACGAAGGTACCAATATCATCAATGGTACCGCCCTGATCGGATGGTGCCTCTGTCGCATTGTTGATTTGATCGGGAGGTTGCCATTGGTCAGTTTCTACCAACCAATTAAAGGCTTCTTCATGTAAGGGTTCCATCGGCTGCAAAAGTACTTTCAGGTTGCTTCGCCTAGTCGCTACCTCAATTCCATCTCCAGCACCATTCATAGAATCGGCAATAAGCTCGTCCAGACCAGCCGCGAATATTACCACCACCGCAAGTACAAGGCAAAAGATGCAACAACACCCTGTCATGAATACGGTTCCTTTGCAGATATTCCAACAGCACTTTTGCGACTGGTCAGCTGTCGTGGACGGAAACCGAGACGATGATTCGGGTGGTGGTGGTGGTGGGCCTTCCGCTATTACCGCAGTGGCAGCGACATGATCCCCCATGATGACCATTGGAGAAACACTGGCAGGCGGTGCTTGTGCCATGGTTTGCATTTCTTCCAAGGCCCTTTGTTCGCCTTGCAATGCCAATTCGACTTGTTTCCGCAAGGCCTCGTTACTTTCTCGCAACTGGCGAATGCGATTCTCCTCCTCCTCATCATCATCGACCGCCTCAGCCGTAAGAGCAATGGCCTCGATATCATTATGTTTCGCTTCTTCGTCTACATCGTCGTAGTCGTAGTCGGTCGTGTCCAGTGACGAATTGGTAGCGGTCGCCACTCGAATGGCACCCGGTCCAGAAGTACTAGGTTGTTGTTGTTGCTGTTGGCTTTGTCGAGCCTTGGCATGTTTGGCAGCATGATGATCGGTGGAATATCGCAAGGGAGATCGGTCTTCTTGGGATGACTGAGTAGTGTTTCTGGACGACGAGGTTATTTTTCCACCACCACCAACAACAACTGCGGCCTTATTTCGTTTGCTCTTGGCATCAGAATGAATATTGGAAAGTCGACCATCACTGGATTGGATAGATGATGATTTCAGTTCACGAGTATTATTGCTGCTCGATGTCGTTGTCAGGGAAGAATTGCTTATGGAAGGAGGAGGTGGAGCGACAGCTTCGGCAAGCTTCAAATTCTTCTCCCGGGCCTTGATATCCTTGTCGGATTCCATTGATGATTGAACAGCAGGCTTATTCTCTTGATCAGCAGATGCAGTCGATTCTCCTGCCTGGTGGTGTCTTTGCGAATCTGCTTGTTGGATGGTACTTTCTGGTGGTGCATGCTTGCCAGCATGATGTCGTGATGACGATGAGTCTTCTCCAGCAATACTATCCTCTTGGTTCGAAATGTTCAGGCTTCGATCATCCGTCATGATAATAATACTTTAGTTAGTGTATACGGTACGATATGATCAAATACCGGCGATGCGGTGCGTATAATAACGGCAATATGTCTCAATTGAGTGCCGGTTGCACGGGTCTATTCATCGCATTCCTCTTTGTTCTTCAGCCTCTCTTGTCAAGTCACGCAGAAAGATCGAGTGAGTCGACCGGTTTGATTCCAAATTGGATCCTTAAAACTTCGAATGCTTCGACTAGCTAGAGTGAGTCAGTCTGGTCCTCGACCGGGACGCCGTACGTCAGTCATCGTCAGACTCACTACTGTATTTCTTCCATTTCATCGCATATACTATCATCATCTGCTGTGCACGCAACTGTCATTTATTTTATTATAGTCACCTGAGAATATTATAATACAAAATCAACAATATTGAATATATACCTTCAACTTTATTGCGTATCATCGCCAACCACCAACGTTACCAACGCATAGCTTCAGCTTGTCATTCAGGAGAGCAAAGCATACAAGAAGACAAGAAGACTGTATAAATATAATCATACATATTGCAATATAACAAACCCCTACCAAAAGATGAACATGTCGGACAATGCTGGTTACATCTGTGCCTTTGTGGGTGCCTTGGCGCATGGATCGTATGGTGTTCCCGTCAAGGCTACCAAAGATGTTGACGTCCATCCACTCATCTTGCAATCCTACAAAACGGCCGTCCTGGCCTTTATGAGTTGTGTGGTGATTCCACTCGTCACTGTTTGGTTGGAACAAGGCAAAGAATATGACGCAAACAATAGGCTTCGGTTCACTCCCTTTGGAATACTCTCGGGATTTTTATGGGTAACGGGTGGTGCTTGTGGAATTTATGGAATCCGGAAAGCAGGAATGGCCATTGCTGTGGGAACTTGGGCCAGTCTGATGGTCTGCGTCAATTTTACTTGGGGGATTCTCATTTTCAGAGAACCCGTCCATTCCTTTTTGGAATCCTGCATGGCCTTTGGCTTGTTGCTTGTAGGGTTGGTAGGAATGAGCAAATATTCGGCCAAGCCTTCTGGTGATATCAAAGACGAAACTTCCAAGAAATCGAGGCCGGAAGACAATGGCAGCGAGGAGGAGCCCCTCTTCAACAGTACGAACAGCCTCGAAATGGAAGACGGTGTTCGTCCTGCTTCATCATCGTCGTCATCCAATTGGGGCGATGTAGAAATGAGAAACAAGTCCGACGGTACCTCTGCCACCAACATTGGTGGTTCGACACGGCGATTGGCCAATCGGGGTCCTTCGAACAGCAGTAACGTGAACTATGCCAATGGGTCCAGTAGCAATGCCATTGGAGAAGAAGAATCAGAAGATACATCACTGGCGATGGGTCTCTTCCAAAAGATGAATGCGGTTATATATGGGGATGTTGATCGTCACAAAAAGCATGCCAATTTGAATCTCATTGCCATTTGGTACCGGTTCATGGCCTTGATCTCAACGGCCTTTGCTTCCTTGACTCCACGACAAGCCGGTATTCTCATGGCGGCCACGAACGGAATTTTGGGCGGATGTGCGTTGGTGCCCCTGCATTATGCCAAGAAAGAAGGCTTTCAGGGGTTGACCTACATTCCAAGTTTTGGTTTGGGATCCTTCATTGCCAATATTGTCTTGTGGTCCCTCTATTTTGCTTGGACGTATCAACAACAACGACAACAATATCATTCGCAAGCACCTGAAAAAGAGGTGCCGCGAACATCGATTTGGAAATCGAGCGTCGAACTCATGCCATCCTTTTATTGGGCCAAACTGTGGAAGCGTGGACTACTGGCTGGATTTCTGTTGAGCATTGGTATGATTTGTTCCATCTTGGCGACGGGTGCCTTGGGCCAAGGCGTCGGTAATTCCTTGGTCCAGTTGAAGATTCTTATCAGTGGTTTATGGGGTATCTTTTATTACAAGGAGATCCAGAACAAGCGCTCCATCAAGTTCTGGTTCTTGTCGGCATCCATCTGTATTTCTGGTATCTTGGGACTCACCTATCAACGGCTCATGGCCACTCAGGACGCAGCAATGTCAGCCGCAGCAGCTTTGCCACTGGACATAGCCTCATTGGAAGTGACAGTCCCGCCTACCGAAGGGATGATTATTACCTCTCCACCACTTGACTCTTCTGCAATAATGGACACTCCGGTCGGGGATTTGCCAAATTTTCAAGTTGCAGAGGCTGCCTTGGCTGCAGGAAACAATAACTGAAATCTGCCTTAGAGGACCGGGAATCTACTGCGAAGATCAAACTGAACTGAATGGTCGACTAGAGACTATGCAGAGAATTAAGCTTGACGAAACATCCGCCTTCATTGGCAACTTCATTGGCGACGGACGAGATCTGGTACCGCGGCTGCGTGGAGTAACAGTTCTTTCGTTTTTGAAAGGCCCATTTGTAAAAGGATTGTCTCCGATATGCGAATGAATCAATCCTCTGAGGAATATATCAGTCGATCACCTGACGACATTCACATTCAGAAATCCTCGACGGCTACAAATAACGATTTTTCCTTTTTAAATGATATACACTCAATGCAAGCAGCAATAACTCAAAGTTCGCCAATACATTTGGAATAAAGGAAGAAAGGTATTAGGAGACCTAGAAACTGCATGTTATACCCATTATACATGTTGTCATGCCTTCGCTAGCGACATGCCAATTCCAATGCCCAGCGCCATTCCACCTAGAACGAACAATCCACTCTGCATCAAGTCCATCCCAATGGCGCCCTTCCTTCTTGCACCAACTGGAGATGAAAAAAAGGACGATTTTCTCCATTCCGATGATCGTCGGGGCAACACCTTTGGGTTGTGAGATGCCCTCTTGGCTGCATTCTTGGCCGCCTCTGCTTCGCACCATTCCACAGCTTCCTTTACATTGGCCGCAAAATGAACAATTTGGGCTGGCGGCAGTTTGATCAACTTGTCTTTGTGAGCCCGGTCCAACATTTTCTGAAAGGGCTCATAATAATTGTCGACATTGATGCACACAATTGGCAAATCGACCAAACCCAAGTGACGGGCACAGGCCATTTCCCATAATTCTACACGCATATAAGTGAATCATACAAAAAAAGATGATTGATGAGTTATGAGGTATGAGTACAACACTAGACGTCGATATCAGATGAGAGAATATGAATAATATATTCTTACCATCCCAAGTTCCTGGTCCTCCTGGCAACACGACCAATGCATCCGCATTTTCCACCAACAATTTCTTGCGTTCTTGCAAATCATCTCCACCTGCCACGATAATTTCCCGAATCAAGCCAGTTTCTTTATTTTTCGACTGAAAAGCCTTGTGGGTTCCAATGTCATCAAAGTTTGCCTTTTCGTTAGGGCCCAAAAAGTAACCACTGTCCACCAAAAACATTTCATGAATGATTCCAACAATATGTCCATTTCCCAAGACAGCACCATCGTTCATAGCCGCCATGCAACCATGAGGTCCAGCACCATTGATGCATACGTGACCTCTCTTCGCTAACGTATATCCCAGCGAACGTGCTTCTTGAATATATGACGTTGGTGTTAGGTTGCTCGAGCTGCCATAACAGGTAATGTGCAAGGATTTGGGAGCTTGTGTTTGACAAAAGTCGCTCTGGATGACAGCAGGATCCATATCCTCCAAAGTAAGGTTGTAGTGTTCCTTGTCAGCCGTAGAAGAGGACATGGTAACGTTGGTTTGATGCAGCCGCTGTTGTTGAATGGTTCGTGGTTAAGTTATGTTTTATGATGCGGTCTTGTTGAATACAATAAGTTATTGTGATGAGATATATATACGTGCAGGTTTCAATTTTCAATGCGATTTTCGACCCATCCGATCCAGCAGTTTTGGCGACAGCAAAATCATGCAAAAAGTCGCGATTCCACTCACTATACTCCAGGCTCCAGGGTACTCGCTTCGTTTAGTCTCACTTGTATAATATACTGTAAGCTGTTGGTTTGTCAATTTTTTGCGGTGCACCGACACGCTATGCAAAAAGAGGATTACTACAACAATCGCAACTCCAAAAACGAACATCAGGTTCTAGGTAGATGAACGCACACGGCACAAATACTGACGATATCGATACTATTATATATTCTTAATTATGTACACAAGTGGCAAAACGGACCCGGGGGACTCGAAGACCAGCTTGGAAACATTTGTGATGGGCAGTTGGTGTCGGAAAACGAATTGTAAATCCCATCGTATTCGTGGTCTTTTTTTGGCATGCGTTCACCCCATGAACAAAGATTTTGGTTGAAGGATGTTGCGCCTTCAAACATTCGCGTCATGTTGTCGACAGAGGCAAGATTCCATGATGATATGTCTTGGTTGAAGCTTGTTGCACCCTGGAACATCAAATCTGTTCTTGTTGCAGAGGAAACATCCCATGATGAAATATCTCGGTTGAAGGATGTTGCTCTTTGAAAAACTTGAAACATAAACTCGCAGGAAGAAACATCCCATGTTGATATGTCTCCATTGAAGGATGTTGCACCCATGAACATTGCATACATACTTGTGACAGAAGAGACATCCCATGCGGTCAAGTCTTGATTGAATGAAGTTGCGCTGAAAAACATACTCCCCATATGGGTGACGGACGACACATTCCAACTCGACAAATCTTGGTTGAATGATTGCGCGTTGCCGAACATAACACGCATAGTCCAGACAGAAGAAACGTCCCATGATGAGATGTCTTGGTTGAAGGACACTGCATTGTAGAACATCATTTCCATGGTCCAGACAGAAGAAACATCCCACGATGACAAGTCTTGATTAAAGGATGATGCTCCATAAAACATGTGACGCATGTTTGTTACAGATGAGACATCCCAATTTCCAATATCCTCGTTGAAAGTAGAACGTTCCTTGAAAAGCTCATTCATGCTGGTGACGCCTGCACCAAAGCACCAGTTTCCGATCGGTCCATATTGGGCCTCGATTGATGTCTTTGACTGAGCTGACTCAAACCAGTCGCCAACTGCGTCAGAGAGCTCGGTGTCTGATTGAAAACATGCTTGTAAAATACACTCATGGCAAAATGGACCTGGTGGATTCGAAGAGAGGTTTGGGCTGGATTGTGATGGACAGGAGTTGGTCTGAAAAAAAACATATTCGTCAACGTTGGCAGTGCTAGGAATCCGCGAGCCCCATGCACAAAGACTCTTATTGAAAGAAGACGCCCACTTAAACATGCCATTTATCCTCTCGACTGAAGATATATCCCAGGACGATATGTCTTGATTGAATGAGGATGCACTGAGGAACATTCCCTCCATGAAGGTGACTTTTGAAACATCCCATGATGACAAGTCTTGATTGAAGGCTGATGCATAAGCGAACATTAAGCGCATTTCGACAACAGAAGAAACGTCCCATGACGAGATGTCTCGATTGAAGGAGCTTGCACTAGAGAACATGCGTCTCATGGTGGTAACAGAAGAAACGTCCCAAGCTGACAAGGCTTGATTGAAAGATGTTGCATAAGCAAACATTTCAATCATTTCAGTTACAGAAGACACATTCCAATGTGACAAGTCTTGATTGAAGGATGATGCATAATTGAACATGTACCTAGTGGTAGTGACAGAGGAAACATCCCATGATGACAAATCTTGATTGAAATCTGAGGCTCTCCAGAACATGGAATCCATGTTGGCAACAGAAGAGACGTCCCAATTTGTAATATCCTCATTGAAACGATGACGACTCCCGAAGAGGTTGTACATACTGGTGACACCTGCACCAAAACACCAGTCTCCAATTGGTCCATATTGGGCCTCGACGGATGCCTTTAACTGAGAAGACCGAAACCACTCGCCGACTCTGTCAGAGAGCTCAGAGCTTGTTTGAAAACATGGCATTGTTGGTGGCGGAGTAGGTCGAAGTGTGTGAGACTGTGTGGGTCCTGGAGTTGAGAGTGCAGTTGGTAGCGGTGTTGGTAGCAAAGTAGGTCCAGGTGTCGGGGGTACAGTGGGTCCAGGGGTGGGAAAAGGCGTAGGTTGGGGCGTTGGCAAAAAGGTGGGAAATGCTGTAGGTAGTGGAGCTGGAACCACTGGAGCAAACGTTGGCAGAGGAGATGGACTGGCCGTTGGAGGTGGAGTTGGTCCAGGAGTTGGAGGAGAAGTTGGCGGCTGTGTTGGTCCAGGAGTTAGTGCTATAGTTGGCCCAGGGGTTATGCCTATCACGGGAGCGAAAGTCGGCAGATGGGATGGCTCCAATGTTGGACTTGTACTTGGCATTATTGTCTCCGGCAGCGTGGGAGAAGCGACAACTGGTGCTGTGGTTGGTGCTTCTGGTGGTAACGTATTCTCAGTAGTGCTTGGAGATGTTGTTTCATCAATGGGTCTCAAGGTCACAGCAACAATGCTTTCGTAGGTGTCAGCCAAATCAAGTTTCTCCGCAAGAACGCCGCCTCCAAAGAAGACGCTGAGCTCACCAATCACAGTAGTAATTTTAACAGTGTCATTTTTCACCACAATATCAAGCTTCACACTGACTCGGTGGCACTGTTTAGAATCATCAAGACATTGAACCCCTTCGACTCCGCTCGCATCAACGATCACGTTTCCAATCTCATAAGAGAACCCATCATTCAAATGACGATGATGGCGCAAGTTTTGGACGGCTCGGTTGCATCCAGTAAGCTCAGGGGTGACAATTTCTCTGATCTTATCCCTAATCATGCTGGATGAAAAATCCAAATTCATTGAAATGTAAGGAGTCGAATCCAGGTTAAGCTCGTAGCTTTGTACGGGCATCGAGTCCTGACCTTGAATGGCCTCTCCTTTTGCAATGGCATCGCAGTCTTCTGTCGACGGCGGGTCAAAGGCAGAATTAAAGTCGGGATTGGGCGTTCCACTAGGTGCGCTCGTTGAAGAATTCGTCAGCGTAGACGGACCCAGAGTTGGTGATGTTTCAATCGCTGGAGCATCCGTGACATTCGTCTCTGTTCTTCCAACACCATCTACTTGCAATGCTTCCTTTGAAGAGCCACGCGTACCAAACCATGATCCAGCACCGGCAATTGCAACCACAATGAAAAAAAGTAGGCAGCAAACGCCCTTCTTCTTCTTCAATCGTACCCACTTACTTCCATGCGATTCGTCCTGCTTCTTCTCTTTGTTCTTCTTTTCACTAGAGTCGTCATCAGACGTGGTTCCATCCAAAGACTTGTCCTTCTTTGATATTTTATCTTCCTTCTGGTCCAACATTATATTGAGTAGTTCCAAAGCTTGGTCACCATCAGTACTTTCCACGGCATTAGCGGTGACGAGTCCATCCTTGTTGTTACCACGACCTCGTCCTCGTTGATCTCCCTTGTCAGCTTCAAGTCTTGCTCGCCTTTCTGCTCGTTTTTCCTCGGCTAAGACAGATTGAGTCCCCAAGGGTCTACTGAATCTCCCTTTCTTGGTATTTTTGTCCATCTTGTCACCACGAGAGTCCGCATGGGCACCAGCAGGCATCGGCGGTCCAGTATTGGGCCCACCTGATCGATTGATCCGGTTCTTAAACTTGGCAGCTGAATCCTTGGCAGCTCGATCTTTGATAGCTTGGTTTCCACGAGAGGCCGCATGCGCACCTGGCATGGGTCCAGTAATGGGTTCATTCGTCGATCCATTGATGAGGTTCTTTGCCTTGGCGGCTTTATCTTTGGCCGCTTGGTCTTGTTGGCTTCGTCTGTTGTTTTTGCCAATTCGAAACTTGCCGCGGCCTTCAACTGGCTCTATTCCATCTGTAGGAGCACCAGTACTGCCTCGCTCAGCACGGGCCTTTTCCTTGGCCTCGTGTTCTTCTTTGCTTCTCTTGGTTCGTCGAGGTTCACTGCTCTTTTTGCTCTTATTGTTGGTGCTAGGCCAGTACGACGAGATTTGCTGCCACTGCTTCTCGATTTCTTGCTGCTTTTGGCGATGCTATCCTCAGAGTCCATGGTACAACAATCTCAAACAATATCAACAACTCGAGTGACAATATAAAATGTAAACTTCCGTGTGGGGTATATAACGGCGGATGAAGGAGAGAGAGTTTGAATAAGTTTTGGGACTTTTGGAAAGTCATTGATAGGAAATCAAGCGGAAATCAAACCTACCGGTACGCGGTTCTCGTAGCTCAAACTAAAGCTTGCAGTGACCATTTATCCGTCGTACTTATTGCTGATGCCAGATTATAATTAAAATCATCCCTTAGCGTTTCAGGTTTGTTCGATGTTGTTCATCACAATAATAATTTCAGGACAGATTTCCATAGACCAGAAGCTCAAAGCCTGCGGTACGCGTGCGTAAAGTGAAAAAGTGGTTCTCGCTCTCCCCGCGCATCTCGCCGCGCGATACAGAAATCATTATCGCACACACGGCAGACATCAATAAAATATATCTGTTTTTTTTTTTAAAGTTCGTCAACACAATAAATTGTGATCCTTATTCACCTATGTGGAAAACTTCATGACTGACCTGGCCTTGTTCGATCTGAGATGTTATCCTACTGAGATCCTGTCCACAATTCTGGCTAATTATTGCAGTCGAAGGGATATCTTGAGTTTGTGGTTGGCCGCCATTGGAAGCGACGAATACGTCGAACTGTTGTGGCCATTGCTGGTAAACTACACCGACACAGCACTTAGAACATTGCTTGATGGCCAGTTTGGTGATCAGTATCATGAAGAACACGAAGTCCATTATCATCATCAAGAGTCAGTAAGGAAAAGGAGACGGGTGCCAGCTTGCCTTCAGACATTGATCCACGACGAGTTGAACAGTGCAATGACTCCTCGTCTGGAAGAAGAATCGTCCAAAAGCTCCAACTTCGAAACCCAAAGGACTCGGACAGGACAGCTCTATACACGCTTGCAACTTATAGCCTATCATGAAACCTTACATGGTGTGCTGTGGTCTGGTCGAATGGAGTTTTCCATACCGAGAAACATGCGATCTTATCAAGAAGAACGGTTGACCGCCTCGGTCAAGCTTTGCTGTTTTGGAGGTACCGTTGGTGATAATAGTAATAATAATAATAATGGTAAGCAACATGGCCGAACATCTTTCCAAGGCAAACCGACTCCAGATGCTGGTGGTTGTGAAAAAGAAATGCAAGCCTGGTCCTTTGTCAATCTGCGAGCTTGGAACACTTGTTTTCCTGAGTGGCTGAGCGTGGTGCAGTTGCGATCGCAAAGGTACAATTTTGTTCCCATTCCCCCATATGGGCGATTGCAGGGAATCAGTGACCAAGACAAGGCTATTATACAACGAGTTCGCTTGACCTTGGAAGAGAGTGATCACGTCATGACATTGATTGTCCGCAACAATCGAATGATTCTACGAATCATCAGTCCCAACCAAGCCCGTCGACGGCTCCAAGCATTTCCTTCTTTGTCGAATAAATTTCAGCAATTGGCAGCTACGGAAGGATTATTGTGTTGTTGGGAACGGACGGAATTATGGGAAGACGAGCTCAAGTTGGGATACATCTCCAAGGAGGAGAGGCTCGAAGCTGTGACGTCGATACTCACCCGATACCATTCACGCCATTCTATAGTAGATAATAAGAATTTTTAATAGCATTGCAAAACAATATTGATTAGAATCGTATAATAAGGAGTCTATTATTTTCCTTTCTTCTTTTTCAGTTTGGACTGTATTTTAGCAAATGCAGCATCATCCAACGGATCATCATCGCCCATGTCCACCCCATATCTAGCACCCAAGGAAGCGAACAAATTTTCGCTTCCCCCACTATTCCTACTATTTTGTCGTCCCCGAATGGCGGCAATCAACCCGTCTGATGGTCCGCATCCGCCCATTACCTGACGCCGACGCTTTGTAACTGTTGGCTTGGCCTTTTTTGCGGCAGGTTTAGCTGCCTTCTTTTTTTTGGATTTTCGTTTGTCGTCCTCGGAGTCTTCAGATTCCGTTTCATCCTCATCAATGGCAACTTCTTCTTCGTCGTCCTCTTCGCCTTCTTCGTCCTCTTCTACCTTAGTTTTGGTTTTCTTCTGTTTGGATTGATTCTTCTTTTGTTCTCTGGCTAATTTCTTGTCAATCTTGCCAATACTCGATTTCAGATTCGCTTCATAGTTGGTTACTTTGCCTTCGTCAATGGCAGGTTGGATATAATCTTCCATCCATCTCTTGACGTCCCGGTCCTGACTCAGCATGACAAATTCCAAGCATTTGACTAGGTTGCCTTGAAACTGTTCGTAGTATTTCAAAACATCCGCTTCTTCTTCTAGACTCATTTTGTATTTGAGCTCAAAGTCATCTATTTTCTTGGTGGACGACAATTTTCCAAATATCATATCGAAATATGCCTTCCAGTCGTTTGGTTTGTCATTGTCGTCATCACCATTGTCACCCATATCATTTTCATCTGGTAAGATTCCTTCTTCATCGTAATCCTTTCGACGTTCCGGATCTTTTAGATAATTGTACGCAAAGGAAATGGCTTGAAATTGGAGCTTGGCAGATTCTTCCTGCCAAATACAAAATATAAAAAAGTGGGAATGCGAAAATGAAGAAAATAGGATGGATGGATGGTGTCAGCGATGAATGATATATGTAATGAATAAGTGTCATCAGGTGATCAAGTTGCTGAGATTGCGATTGACATTGCGAAAGGTGAAAATTTTCCCAGTGACCAATGCATATATTCATTCAAGCTCACCTTATTCTTATCTGGATGAAAGTCTCTTGCTCGCTTGTAATAGGCTTTGCGAAGTTGAGCATTGGAAGCGTCCTTGGGGCATTGTAAAACATCCTTGTACAAGTCTATGCTGGTATTGTTGCTACCAAAGGCTTCTTCTACTAATTGACGGGTCATGACTTATAATAGTTTTATGCGTTTTGTAGAGGTGTGCCACTCTTGCGGATGAGCCTTGGCAAGGTGTAGCTGATGATTGATTCGTCTCGGATTTGATGTCAGCTACGGTTTTGAATTATTCTCATGCAATCGATGAATAAAATAATAATTTAGAAATATAATAGTCCAAATCGAGGAGAAATGATATAAAAATTCGAGACCGCAGCAGTACTCTAGTACCCGAATATGAGCACTACGCCAGTACCTCGTTGTAGTTTCATTTTTGAAAACATTGCACAGTTCGCTTTGATGATAATAATAAGTTCCAGTGAAAGCATTGACTGTAGCTTCTGCAAGCGAGAAATTGGTGGAAGTCGCAGCTTGCACATAAGTGATTTCGCAGGCTGTGCCGATGCCTCTCCCTATAATACGGTACCAGGTACTGAGGCATAGTGGGAATTCCCCCACTTCTTGCAATGCGAACACATAAACAGCTTCAATACAAAGAAATCATCGTTCCATAATACAAACCCTGATTGCGGACCTACTAGCACCCAAAGAATACCATGAAAGAGAACGTAATAGATTCAGATGCAGCTTCAATCACAGCCTCATCGCTCAGGACATCCGTCACCCAACGATCGAATGAAACTCCAATGGTTCGGAGGCCGAGTAGAATGTCAAAGTTAGCCCAAGCAAGGCTCTCGGAGCTTACCATTAACAAGCTGAAGATACATTCGGTCGGTATGATTGGAAGAGAAAAGGAAACCGAACTTTTGAGAATACGCCTTCGCACTCTGATTCAACAAGCCAATGATGCAACTGATGACGGTGAGAATGCACAATCACATAACAATGGCATACAGACATCCAAGGTGAAAAAGGAACTTGTCCTCATTAGAGGTTTTGCGGGGGTGGGCAAGACCACCTTAGCCAGAACCATCAGTAAAGATGTGAATTCGACTGCGAATGGATTCTTCGCCGAGGGTAAATTCGATTTGGATGATGATAGGGATCAACCATATTCGGGAATAGCAAAAGCATACAGCGGTCTCATCCAGGAACTATGGAGAACCGACCGTGATATGCTGCTGAAAATTGGAAAACAGTTGTCCGAGGATCTTGGTAGTGAAGTGGAGCCCTTGACTTTTATGATTCCGGAGCTTGAGGACGCTGTCATTCAGCAGTCGACTTCGAGCTTCTCAGAAGGCGGCATGGAAGGATTGCAAGATAGATGGAAGTATAGCTTTCGTCTACTGACGCGGCTTCTATCAGCCCAGATGAAACCTTTGGTACTTTTGATTGACGATTTGCAATGGGCGGATCCTGCTTCCTTAGATCTTATTGAATGCTTGATCACCGATACTCAGAATGTCAACCCTTTGATGGTGATTGGCTGTTACCGTTCAAATGAAGTCAATGAAGACAGTAATCTTTCAAAGACAATGGAGTCTCTAATGGACAGGAAGCTGGACTTTGGTTTTGATATTTCAGAAGTCGCTGTAGAAAGCTTTGGGGGCAACGAAGTAAATCAAATGGTCATGAAAATGATGGACATCGACGACGAGGAGAGTACCAGAGATCTTGCTGAACTATGCTTCCAAAGAACGTTGGGGAATCCATTCTTTGTCATTGAATTCATGAGTATGCTCCAACGCGAGGATCTCGTCACATTCAATCTCGGCACTATGAAGTGGTCATATGACATTCGCACCATCGCAGACACGACAGTATCGACTGCCAATGTGGTGGAGCTACTTGAGTCTAGGATGCAGAAAATGCCAGCAGATGTACGGTTGCTACTTCAGCTTGTTGCTTGTCTCGGCCCCACATGGAGAGTCCCGATCGTGGAAACACTGTGGAAGAATCTGGCAATCGTACAGTCGAAAGGTTTTGAAGTTGTCGCAGTTTCAACTCTGATAGAATACATAGAAGGCGAAATGCTGGTAGAAGGATGTGGCGGAGTCAAATACAGATGGGTACATGACAAAGTCCAAGAAGCCGCAATTTCGCTGGTAGAGACGGATGAAAGGACGATGAAGTTTGAGATGGGAAAGCTTCTGTATCTCAACCTCCAGGGGAAGGAGCTCGACGATGGGTTGTTTGATGTCACCGATCTCATCAGTAATGGAGTAGGGGGCCAGTCGCCAGATTTTGCTTCTTTGTGCTTGAAAGCTGGAAAGAGGGCCATGCGTCTCTCTGCGTTCCTATCGTCCACGAGATATGTGAAAAATGGAATTGGAATGCTCCCGGATAACTGTTGGACAACGTTACAGTCTCTGACACTCGAGCTGTATACACTTGGCGCTGAAGTAGAACTTGCACTTGGGCATGTAGAGGAGTCTAAGAACTATTGTTCAGCTGTTCTCAGTCAAGACGACATTGAACTGAGTGCAAAGATCCCATTGAGAATAATAGAGATAAGGAGGCTGTCGACGGTCGAAATCAAGTATTCGGAGACTGTAAAGACATGCCTCGCACTTTTGAAAGACATGAAGTATAAGTTCATTTGGAGTCGACGGTTGATCACTTTACAGGCTGTCTCAACGTTGTCGAGCACAATCAAGGCAGTAAAGAAGCAACCAAAAGATTTCTACTTGAATCCCAAAAGGATGGATGATAGGTACAAAACGATTGTTGAAATACTGAATCGGCTGCAGTATTCATCTTTTCATACCCAAAACATTATGCAATTGATACTCTGCTCTTGTCACATTGTCCAGCTCACATTGAAACATGGTTTGTGCGAATACTCTGCCAAAGAGATAGCAACACTTGGGAATCTAGAGATCCTTGTGTTCCAAAGACGTAACAATGCTGCGATGTTTCGTGAGCTGGCATTATCCACTCAATCTCATTTTGGAAGACCTCGTGCTTGTCAGGCAATCTTCAATGTACACGCATACTCAATGGTATGGTTGGTGCCCATGCAACAGTGCAAAGAAATCTACTACGAAGCTTACATCAAGGGTATGCGGAATGGCGAAGTGGATTATGCAATGTGGTGCTTAGCTTATGTGAGCTGATACGGAAAACTTTCCCTGTTTTGTATTCACTGTGTTGCGGTAAACCATGTATGCTAACGGACCTTCGTTTTTCTGTTCTTTCTAAGCATTTTGGTTATCTTCCTTACGTTTTGGGGAAGCCTATCGATCAAATTGTAGGAGAGTGTCCTAACGTCACCATGGCCATGGAGGAAGTATCGCAAACTAGCCAGGTATGTATCGCTTGTCAAAACAGCACGATAGCATGAGCGAGTTTCTTACGCCATCCATTTTGTATCACTGTAGGCAAATGCGGCGAAGTGCTATTGGCAAATGTGGATTATTCTCCAGAACCCGCAACCGAATGGGTATGCGATTAGTCTGAAAGGCGAAATCCACAGTATCGAAGCATGTGCCGGAGATCCGTTCCTTCTGGCAGTGCATGATTATATCGAATGTCAGCTTCTTCTTTTTTATGACGACCCATCAGCGGCAGATAGGGCAATCAGCGGAGCTAAAGTGTTTTCAAAGATATCACCGGGTGTCCCTGACGTCATGATTGAGACATTTCACAGAGGCATATGTTTGTATGTCGCTGCTCGTCGGACAATGAAACGGAAGTACAAACAGCATGCTATAAAGATCCGAAAGCAAATTCACAAATGGAAGAAAGATGGAGTAGTCAATGTCGTCGACTACTGCATTTTTCTTGATGCGGAGCACGCGGCACTGGAAGGCAAGTACGAAGAGGCAGAATCACATTACAAGAAAGCCATACAGTTTGTGGCTCGTTCTGGTCATCTGCACCATGCAGGATTGTTCAACGAGTTGTATAGTGATTTTCTGTGGCGTGAAAGGAATGACAAAGAGGAGGCTAGATACCACCTTCAAGAGGCCATGCGGTACTACAACGATTGGGGTGCGTATGGGGTTGTCGAGCGACTAAGGAAGTCACGTCTGTTGGAGTAGGTACAGCTACAGACTCTGAGTAGTTCACTCGTTCGATTGAATAATTGCGTCACAATAATCCGTGTCAAGAACTGCTGGTCTTCGGATTTTAATTTTTAAAAGAAACTGTTTGATGGTGAGCGTTGCGATGTACAAAACATGAATTTTGTTGCCTGACCAAAAAAATAAGATTACTGTAGCATCCTCTAGAGGGTACTGTACGATTACCGGTATTTTATATGGACAGTCCCTGTTTTTGAATTATTTTTTTATTGTTGACAAATCCGGCAACGTCTGCTCCTCCATCTGCATACTTCACGATGCGCGATGTGTCACAGGATTGGCCGGCGCACAAGTCGCTCCTTTCATTTAGACGCTCGACAAAAACACAAACACACGTAAGGTCACAATTTTGGAATCAAACGGTCCACAACCAAGAAACCCAACATTTGGCAACAAGTTGAAGTCATCGTCTTATTTACAAAGACCCAGGGTAACAAGCAAAAACATCAATTGGTTTATCAGCAGATACCAAGATGATGCATCCTTACAATGAAACAGATCCCGAGATTGTTCGGCGGCGTGCCATTCAACAAATCTACTTTGACAACACTCTGACACCGTCCCAAAAGCACGAACGCATCCTTGCCATTCAAGAAAGGGCCCATGATTCGGATAGTGATAATATGTCCATCTTTACGGAAGGTACTGGAGTCAAATCGCCCAAAGGATCAGTAACTTCCAACAATTCTGGTAGAGGACGCAGTCGTCATGATGATACCCCAAAGAGCACCAATAGCAGCGTAAAGAGCTCCAAAAGCAACAAAAGCACGAAGACGAACTCCAACAAAACGAGCAAAAAGGTTACTAGAAGTGCAAAGCCAGAGAGCAAATTGAGCAAGAAGGAGGAGGAGACCACACCAACTACCGCTACTGCTACAAGTATTATAACGCCGCAAACACCACAGAAAGCCACTTCTTTCAACTCCTTGTCGAAATTTGATGCTTCCCCTGACTTTAAACAACGACAGCAAGATGTATACGATGGTGACTTGTATCAACAACATATCGCTCCACCCATGGAAGACGTCGAAAGTGTAGTTGTCCACAGTCAGAACGGGGAAGAGGAGGAAGCAGAAGAAGACGGAATGAAGATAATTCCACTGGACGGTGATGACGAGGAAACACCATTGCAACAACAGAAATATGTTCCAAGTGAGAATATTGCGCATCCAGCTACCGAGTTGACCGAGCCCGAAGATTTGAATAAAACCAGAAGCAACGGAACGAAAACTCAAAGCTCTGATACGGAACCAGCCTCTTACAATGATTCCGCTTCCATGGATAGCAGCATTGACACACAAGAACAAAACAAGGATATGATGAACAATGAGGCAATCGACGATAAAATGGTCAAAAGCTTTACGTATCGCAAAAAGAGAGCTTGTGCGTTTTTTGTTTGCAGTATGTTCCTACTCGCTGCCTTGATTGCGCCATTGGTCTACTTTAACCGTGACTGGTTTGCAGAAAACCTCAAGCCACTTTCAGGTTCTACACCCAATCAAGGAGAAAGCAATGATGGCAGTGCACTCTCTAGCAATCCACCCAACGAGAAGACCGACATGCCAACCTCATCTCCCACCAAGGAATATTTATATGATCCACCGAATGCGCAAGACTGTCAAGACATTGCCAATGGAAACTTCCCACTACAAAACGGTTGGATCCTTCGACGATTCCAGGTTCCGATGGATGTGAATCTACAATATGAGACTACTGATGTGGACACCATGGCAACCATGCTTGTTTCCCACTTGCAATCCGATCTTGCTCCCATCTTGGCCGGTTGCGACGCTGTTGTGGGCGAGTCCTTTTTGCGACGTAGATTGGTGGCAAACACAAGATTTGTCATTGGTAATGCCATCATGTCAGCATGGCACGAATCGGATGATGTTTGCGCTACACAAAAACGCACCTGCTACCGCGTCATGGTCGAAATATCACTCTTTGTCCAGGGAACAAAGACCAACACTTCGTTTCAGAATCTTGTCACTGATGTTTTGGAAGCTGGCGGCGATGGGTCCCTGGTGAGCCAATTGGACTTGCCATCTCCCTTTGATGACATCAAAGTGCGGGGCGTCTTTCCTACCTTTACCACCGAGTCTCCCACCACCAGACCATCCATGGCACCAACTGTACCGATCACGCCGTCGCCGACTACAGCACCAGTAGTACCAGCCACCCCCAATCCAACCATTGAAGCCTCTGCACAACCTACCGTCACGCCAACACCACGACCTACCGCCCAACCAACTCTTTCTCCAACCGCAGAAGCCGTGGACTGCAAATCGACTCTTCAACAAGTCTTGGCGAACAGCGGCGTTACCCAACTAGATGACAATGCCTTTCAATGGATGCAAGTGGATCAATGGCGGTGCAATGGAAACCAGAATAGCATTGTGGATCGATATGCATTAGCATCTCTCTATTTGAGTCTCGGAGGTGAACAATGGTCGCGCAAGACCCAGTGGATGAGTGCTACGAGTGTCTGCCAGTGGCAAGGAGTCGGTTGTGATGCCAACTCGATTGCTGTCACTTCGTTGCAACTTGGAGACAATCAATTGTCCGGAGCCATGCCTATAGAACTGAGTCTACTTACCAAGCTGACCAACTTGGACTTAGACACCAACGGACTAGGCTCGCGAATCTTGCCCGAATTGGCAAATCTGGTGGAACTCACGAACCTGAACTTGGCCAACAATGCCTTGACCGGACAAGTACCCGATACCTTTAGCAGCTTGGTGAAGTTGGAATCTTTGAAGGCAGACTCGAACCAAATGCAGGGACGTCTCACAACACAGATCGGGCAAATGACGAGACTTTTGGAACTGTCTCTGTGTAAGTTTCTGTGCTTCGAATGAATTACGTTTCCAATTTCTTTCAAGACTGACGTCTCCTTTCTCTACAGCTGCAAACAAGCTTAGTGGGAACATTCCTACGGAAATTGGCATGCTTTCGATTCTCCAACGACTGAATCTCTGTAAGTTTACAAGAAACAACTTGCTTGATGACAACTTCTGGTTTCGATTCTAACACTCCTCGCCATATCTCCAGCTTCCAACAAATTCTCATCGATGCCTGATGAAATCTCCCAACTGACATCATTGAGATCGTTTGAAATCAGTTCGAACAAGATGAAAGGTGAAATTCCCGAATTGGTGAGTAAAACTGTTGTGCCTGCTATTTCGTGCTTTCGTCGTCGTCTCTCTCTCTTTCTCACAGTGTCGTGCTCTACTTCATCATCAGTCATCAATGGCCCAATTGACTCTGCTGCGACTGGACAACAACAAATTAAGTGGAGATATTCCTCCATTGCCATCGTCGCTTTCGACTTGTAACTTGACCAAGAATAAGTTTAAAGGGAACACCAAGAATGGAGAAGGTGTTTGCATTCTGAACTAAGAACTCGGAAGGAGGAATCAATCATAAAGTCGATGGAGTGCTACCTTTCTTCCAATGATATCACCACCATCGTAGTCACAACTGTTGTAACTTAAATTATCATTGTCATTTGTTTTCGAAGGCATATATAATTACACGTTCTCGCTATGTATTTCGTTTGGTTGGCAGACGCCCATATGCCACATACCGATATATTGATAGTCAGTCAGTCTTGCCATGTCGATTACGAACGAATGATGATGGCTTTTATTAGTCATGATATGGTACACGTATGTTCCACGTAGAAACCTACTTGACTCTCAGTACCTAAGTTGAGAACATTGCGGTTCGCTTCTTTTTTTCGAATATATTGGTCTCTTCAATGTCCGAAGGACAACTTGGGAAAGGGTGAAGGCGCTGCAGTCCCGCAGGCAGCTATATTTGAATATTAAAATACCTGATACACATCATAAAATACTGTGAATAATAGCAACGGCTACACTGCATCAAATGATTTGGGGATTGCACCAGCTAAAATAGAAGACAATTCCTGAAGAGAGCACCATGGTGAAATCTGAGAATGATGACGATCCAGGGCTGTCATCAATCGATCAGGCAGCCACCACATCATCATCAGGGAGGCTCCTGTCATCAGTTCCTGAGGACTCGGAACATCAAGATGAAGTCCCATCACTACGGCAAAAACATAAGCATCGACATAGCGAAGATTCTACGAGCTCAAAGGGAAAAAAGAAACACAAGAAGCATAAGCACAAAAAGAAATCTAAGGATTCGTCAACTAAACCTCCCATGGCACGACCTGGAATGGTTCGTGCCATGAGCTGGGTTCGACAGCCATCAAAACGGCAGCTGATGGAATTGGAAGAAATGGTGGAGGAGGATGAAGGAAAAGAAGAGGAAGCTAGTCATGATAAAAATGGCGAGTCTGCTAAAGCTGAAAAGCACGACAAGTCTTCAAAGTCGTCTCATAAGTCTCACAAGAAAGACAAGAAGAAGAAGAAGAAGAAAAGTGACAAAGCTAGTGCACCTCGACCGCGTGCACAAATGGTGCGGGCCATGAGTTGGGTCCGCCAACCATCGCAAATGCAATTAATGGCCAAAGATATTGAAAAAGCCGTATTTGAAGCGACAGCAGAAGAATCAGAGGAATCTAATACACCTGATGCCGTTTTTGAAACGAACGCCAACACGGAAGAGGAATCTAGAGAAGCCGAAGATCCTTCCCCGGGCGCATCAAGCATGGAGGTCCCCAAGGTAAAAGACAAGGCACGTAGGCCACGAGCCCAAATGATTCGAGCCATGAGCTGGGTGCGTCAACCGTCACAAGCCCAACTATTGGTCAAAAAGAAGAAAAAGAAGCATACGCACCATAGGTCATCCAAGCACCGTCAGAAGAAAGCCAGCAAGACAAAGTCTGAAATGGAAGCAATGTCGGAGGAAGATGAAGAGGAATCTTTGGAATTGACGGCGGTGATGGGTGGTGATAATGACGCAACCGAAGAACCGTCCCGGCAGTCTCTTTCCGACGGCCCCGATTCGACTGCCTTGGAGGAAAGTACCAGTTCTATAGGAAAACAAAAGGCTAGCAAGCGAGGACAAGGACCCAAGCGTACCAAATCTTCCAAATCTTCAAAGAAACATGGGGGATCTCAAAACTTAGGTTCCTTTCTGAATGACGCAGAGAATAAACAAAACCCGAATGACAGCTATCATAATGATGACGTCTCGCTCACAGTGTCGGAGGCGGTGAAACAACCATCCAGACCTTCCCGATCAAATGGAGCTTCAAAGTCAAAGAACACACTGAATGATGCAATTATGGAGTCCTACGATTCCTTTTTTGATTTCTCGGCTGACATTGACGACAATTTGGAACGACAATTTGGAGCCTACGATCCTGGTGGCCGTACGATATACGACGTGGCGCACGAGACGAGTCAGGAAATCAGGCATGACGAGATTGGGGATACTAGAGGTCGGCCAAGGCAATCGGAAGTGAAACAAGAGCGAAAAGCGTCAAAGAGCAGATCCAAGTCTCGACCAAAGAATCGATCCAAATCACCGAGACAAAGGTCGAAATCTAGAAATCGGTCGAAGTCAAGAACTAGGTCCAAATCACCAAAGCGAAACAACAAAGCGTTACCAACGCCGGAAGCCGGCTTGGATGATGATAACAGCTCGCTCGACCTAGGCGAATCGAAACAACCTGCAGAAGCACCACTGCATGACAAGGGTGGGAAGAAGAAAAGTCGATGGTCATTGAGTCGAGGTGACAGCGATAGTAGTCTATCCAAGAAGAAGAAGAAGAAAAAACGAGGCTCGAATGGCCACAACAGCACATCCATCATCGATATGGGGGGAAGCTTGTCATCTCTAAGGACTTCGATCACAAACAAATTTGGGTTCAAGAAGAAAAGAGAAAGCAGCTCAAGTATCGGGATTGTTGAAAGCCCATCCACACAAGGCAAAGAAATGGTCTCTATCGAGGAGCTACCAACCGATGACCCCTGTCCACTGCCTCCACCTATCATTGATCTTGAGGATAGCCCAGCTGCTAGTGTCAAGAGTACCGTTAGCAATAGATTGCAGAATATTGACAAGGGAGAAGATGAAAACGAATGGCGAAAAGCTGACAGAGATATGACGCTTCCACAGAAGGAGGAGAGAGGCTCCTCTCTGAAACGATATGTTGGAAAATCCGTCGCAGAAATGCCACCCAAGTCGCCTTCCGAGACGAAGGCATCTCCACAAAGAGAATCAGAAGATTCTCCGAACAGGAGGCAACTGACACGGACATCGTCAAACAATAAAGGGAAGAAGTCAGAAGAGAATTCTGATTTTCCAGGCAAGGCTCAGTTGAAGAGGATGTCAGCCGCTGCTTCGGACAGTGCTTCTACTTCTGGGGGGAATAATGAGTTGCCACAAAGACGGCAGTTAAGAAAGACATCGTCATACAGCCGACCAAAATCACCTTCTACAGCGAAATCTGAACTTCGACTGAGTAGCATTCGAAGACCCCCACTTGATGACGGAGATGATGATTCAATCGAACCTGAGTTTGTTGAAAAAAGGAAGTCACTCCTTGCATTTGGTGATGGAGCGGTGTGTGACGATGATTCAATCGAGCCTGAGTTCGTTGAAAAAAGGAAGTCGCTCAGGGTTACAGGGCAGAAAGCGTTGGCGTCTTCAGCGAAGAGCATTGGTGACGGCGGCAGCGTCTCTTCTCCAAACCATGATCCATCCTCGTCGTCGTCAGATGATGATGCCAGCATCTCATCTCATGAAGATGATTCCCATCCCGCAACGATACCTGAATCCATGCGAACACCAGTTTTGTCACCTATCGACGACAGTGAGGTCAACTTCAAATCAAAGGCCACACGACGGCTTCGAGCAAGTCTTGGGGGCTTGCCGGCACCCCCCAATGAGGATCGTGAAAAGACGACTATCCCGCGATCGGAAAGCTTTGGTAGTCCAAAACTTGTCCCAAAACAGAAGGAAGAACAACTAAAGAGGTCGAATTCATTCAACGGCGAAGAGAGCCCAAGGATTGGAATACGCAAAGGAGGACGAAAGTCTGGAACCTTTGGTAGATCCAATGCCTTGAGTGATGGGACTGCCCCAAATCTGACGAAGCCTTCGTTGCGAAGGTCTCTGACATCCCCAGAAGGATCGCATCGCCAGAGGCGCTCGGTTGAGTTTTCAACGACACTCCCATCCAAGTCACCAGGACGAAGAAGATCGCCAGCCACCAGCAAATCACCCCGCACAAGCAAGTCACCGTTGGGTAGGGAAGTCAAGGTTGGTCAAAAGCTGAATGGTGCAACTGTGAACAATGTGTCTCTAGACTTTCTCGTTAGCCCCAGAGCAGTTCAGGTTCAACGCAGAATCAGCCTGTCAAATGGTGCCGTTATGAATGATACATATACAAAGGAGAGAAGTCCTCAGAAAGACGATCTGGAAGTCTCGGCTGCAGCCATCCAATCAAACTCTCAGGAACAATCCGACGATGAGCAAATTGCCAAACTCAAGTCGTTCTTGTATGAGGAACATGATAGCGAGAGTGAAAACTCGGCGGAATTGGAATCAGCTGGACCTAATGTCGACGAAATTCGAGCCGAAGCCAAGGCAATCATGGAAAAGAGAAGGCAAGAGAAGGGAATTAAATCCCCCCCTCATGCTTCACAGGGAACCGCCAGCATCCTCGGAAGGTTATCCGAACCAGTTCATAAAGGCGAGATGGCAAATTTGGAAGTAGATGGGCACTCTACTCCACCAAAACGGCGCATCGAACCGCCAAAGAAAGTCCGATCCCTTGATTCTGTTGATTCTAATGTTGGATTAGATGAGGGAGAGGAATCATTGAAGACCCCTGCACCCAACAAAAAGAGGGAACCTGTGAGAGGAATTGCAAAGTCGCTGTCATCTGGTGCCCCCAGCAGACTTCAGCCAAAGCGTCATTCGCAACGAGACAAAGTGTTGAGTGCTCTTGGCGCATACGATTCTGATGAAGAAGATTACACACTTCCAACGAAGTCAGAGAGAGAGCCTACCAGGGGCATTGGAAAGTCAAAATCCTATAGTGCGCCACAAAGACCTGCCAAGCGAAGCCAGTCGCCTCGTCGCGAGTCACGGGCGGAAAGGAGGCTTCAAGTCTTCGGCGCAATTGGTTTGGACTTCAATCTAGATGAGGATAACTTCCCGGTTATAAAGAAGAAGCCAGCTCCGCAGCCGCCATCCAATTTGGAATCTGAAACCTTACCTAATTTGGAGCTGGACCCATTTGAATCAAAATCAGATATGGTTCAAAGAACACCAAATCAACCGAAGAAAGAAGACAAACCGAATCCAGAAGATATTACGACTACGAAGCCTGCTGAGAAACATTGGTTCGACAGCCCAAGTGCAGATAGCCCACACAAGAAAATGATAATACCAGTTCGAGGTGTAGGAAGATCAAAATCGGCAGGTCCATCCCAATCTCGCAACCCAGCGGATTTACCCTTTGATATTGGAGAGTCAGTGAACGACAAGTCTACAACTCAGACGAATGCTGAACCAGAAGTCGATGTGAAGTCAGAGTTACCGAAGGAAGAAACGGAATCTGAACCAGCAGAAGCAAAGAAACCAGAGCCTCCGCCCGTCAAACATTGGTTTGATAGCCCAAGTGCTTTTTCTCCGAAACCAAAAGTTAAAGTACCGATTCTACTTCGCAAGAAAGATTCTGAAATAGAACTAGAATCAGCTACATGTGATGCTGACAAAGACGAACAAAACCCAGTCAGTGCTGGTGATTCTGCACCAGAAAATGAAAAGACATCCGAGTTACCAACAGAAGAAGCCAATCCTGGACCAGAAGAAGTGGAGAAACCAGAGCCTCCGCCGGTCAAGCATTGGTTTGACAGCCCAAGTGCTGTTTCTCCGAAACCAAAAGTTAAACCACCAATTCTACTTCGCAGGAAAGATTCCGAAACAGAAGAAGAAGCAGCGACATCTGATGCTGACAAGGAAGAAAAAGATCCAGTCAGTGGTGACATTTCTGAGGATGTCAGTGTCGCATCGGAGACGCTACTTGATGAAGAAAGCTCTGTTGAAATCACAGTCAGCGATTCGGATCCAGACAAGGAATCAATTGAAGAAGAGACTGTGGAAGATTCTGACGACGATATGACATTGGAAACAGTTGAGTCTGAGAACGAATTCGTTGAGGGAGAAAGCAGCGGTGATTTTTCCTATGATGAAGAATCAGTTGACGACGACGATGAGGCATCAGTCCAGCACTACGAAGGTGTTTTGGTGGACGATGTATCTGAAGAGTCCGAATATGATGAGGTTATTGAAGGAGATTCAATGGACGAATACAGCAGCTACTCTGAAGAATCAATCGAAGACAACATGGAGGAAGATAGCGAAGATGACTTTGTTGAAGAAGAAGTCATCGACGATGCTTCAGTTTCTGATTCTAATGACGACGCCAGTTATGAAGAAGACGTTCTGAGCACAGAGGATGAAATTGATGATGATGCAAGTTTTGACGAGTTGTCAGTAATTGATGAAGATGTTGAATATGAGTCTGGGCCAGAAGTCGAAGAAGTATCTGATGACGAAGGCAGTTTTGAGGAAATGGCTATCGATTCAGGCAGTGATGACGATGACGATGAAATATTTGAAGAAATTCTCGAAGACTCATCTCTCGATGACATTATCGAAGAATCAAGCCTTGAAGACATTTTGGAAGAGTCGTCTTCAGATGCGGACGACATCATTGAAGAAGAGATGCTCGAGGATATTATTGAGGAGTCATCGTTGGAGGACATTATGGAAGAGACTTCTTCACTTGAAGACATCGCTTTGGACGAGTACGAAGAGTTTGATGAGGATATGGAAAAAATCGCTGATACAGATGTCATGCACCAACCACTCTCAAGTATCGCCGAAGAGTTTAATGATATCGAGGAAACAGTAATCGAGGAAGAGATTGAAGGCGAGGGAGAATCCTTTTACAGTGCTGTTGAATATGAGGATGAGGACGGGACCATCATTGAAGAGATAATGACAGTGGATCCTGCAGAAGATGGAGCTGATGATATCACTGAAATCATCGAAGTGTATGAAAGCGACTACGATGACATGCCGACTGAGCTGGTTCCGATCAGTGACGATGATGAAAGCGTGGAGGAAGAAATTTTGTATTCTGAAACGGAACATGATACGCCCTTTGATTCCAAAGTTTCCTTTGATCACTCTTTATTCCCCATTGGAGAGGACGAAGAACTTATTGAAGAGGACGAGGAAATGGTTATTGCCGATGATGAAGAACTCCTTTTTGAAGAGGAAAGCTTAAAAGATGACGGGGACTTTGTTGGTGATATGAACCGATCAATGTACTCATCGGACGATAGCGACTTCAGGTCATTCGACTCGTCGTATGGTAGCAACTATAGTGACGAAGAAGAAGTAGAACCAGAATTACCAGTCCCGCAAGTACCACCAACAGAACAGCTTCGGAAATGGCAAGAGGACCAAGAAAATCTTATTCAAGAACTGGGAGATGGTCCAGAGATGTATCCTCGAACACCAAAACACATACTGAACGCTATTCTTTTAGAAGCGGAATCAGATTATCAGTTCTCCAAGGGCGTGCAGGCTCCGGACTATCATATGATTGAATTTTTGGCTGTGGTGGAAGAGGCTGTCGAAATTGGCAAGTTCACCAAGAAAACCGAGGTGATCGTTGAGAAGGTTGCAAAAGAGCCTCTGCCTGAACCACCGCCACCACCAGAAGAGCCCGAAGATGGTTTGGACAAGCCTCGAAAATGGAAGTTTGAAGTCCCAACACTTCCAGTCTTGAATACCTATCAAGAGGAAGAAAAGAAAAAAGTGACAAAAGAATTGGATAAGGAACTTGAAGAGCATGGATACGTGCGAGAAGAGTTCGTTGTGGGTCCAGAAGTAGCCGCACCTACTCCAAAGAACGTTATGATGGCCATTCTTTCTGCTGCTGCTTTAGATTTCAAGCTTCGAAAGGTACCCGAACAACACAAGAAAGAGTTTGAATCTATATCAGATGCTGCTTCCAGCATTGCTCGTTTAACCAAGTTGAAAGAGAATGTGATCGAATCTGTGTCAGTGGGCGAAGCGGCGCTGAAGAAGCAAGATGATTGGGCTCCAGCTGGAAAACCAATCGAATTTGAGCGATCCGTCGACGTGCTTCTAGCCACAGAAGCTGCAATGATGGGTAAGATGATGAGGCGCCGGGAGAAAGAAGTGGTTTCGAATTTTGATTTCAAAGCTCGATTCAAAGTGTTTGAGGACAAATTTGATGTCGATGAAGCATTTGATGAAAAGGGCCGCAAGATTTTCCGTACCGATCTTCTGCTTGACCAATACATCAAGGATCGAAGGGAAGAGAAAGCAGATGTCGACTATGGAATGTCACTCGTCGAGCAAGTGCAAGAACATGAAAAGCTCAAGACGAATATTTCCCTTCCTACCAAGGCACTTCCAAAGTTTGGCCGCAAGGCTGGCAAGCAAATGACACAAGCTGAATGGACGAAGATCTTATCCAAGGCTGTTGCTGAACGAGCTTGGGACCGTCGCTATCGACTACACCGTCCCAAGGTGACTTTGAAAATCAAGAAGCAGTGCATGTGCCCATACTGTACCAATCCCAACGCGTATCAGACTCATGAGTACAAGCGATTGCAAGAAAGTCACAAACCAGCACCATAGACAGCAGTTCGTAGGTGAACGTACGCTGCTTGATCATGTAGTGCAAGGGGGGGGAAGCTGCGATAATGCAAAAAGTTTTGAAAACTACCTCGTCATCGCTTGAACATTTAGTTTTGTTCTAAATCGTGACCATAAATCCCATTGATCCAAATACTTCTCCTCTGGCGAGTTTGCGGACAAACGTTTTCAATACTTTTCTCCGCCTCAATTTATGGCTCGCTGTCTCTAAGTATTCTGTTTATCGAAAAACAAATACGTTAATTAGTCCAACAATCTCTCTCCAAAATTGTGAAAGGCTTTTTTGCTCAAATGCACGAGACTTTCCCTCTTTGGCTCTCGTGTTGATGCTGAACTTTTAGCCACGGTTCACAATTTCCGACTTGAAAGTGCGTGTCTTATTATTAGCAATAAGGCATACTTCAATCTTAGTAACCCTTTCAACAGACAGACAGAGACACAACCCAACAATAGGCTAGCATTCATTCATTCATTCGTTGATTAATCTGCAACCACAATGAATACTAATATTGCTAGGATTGTTCAATCCAGCAACAGTGGTTGCCTTTACATGATGAATGGCAACTATGAGGAAGCCATTGCGCTCTTTCGGAACTCTGTTCGTATGACCAAGGAAGTCTTGAATCAGTCACGGCTTATGAATATTCCAAGACCTCATCACCACGAGATCCTGTTTGAGTTTCGAGACACTTTGAAACCGTTGCCTACCGTGACTTCTTGGGCTTCTTCAGGTGATAATAACAATATATCAGCGGACAAGAACAATACTTTCATTTCGCGAGGAGTGATTGTCATTGTACAATCCAATCCTTTGGATCTATCTGTCTTAAATCTATGCAAGCTATCCATCGTCACCATCTACAACATGGCAGTTGCCAATCACATGGCAGGCTTGCAAAATCGAGATATCAAAAAGCTTAAGCATGCATTGGAATACTATGAAGTTGCCTACAAACTTCAGTGCCAAGAACCCTTATCCACAACCAGCAACAACAGGCATTCTCATATCTTGTCGATACTGAATAATGCGGGTGCCATCTATCGATTACTGAATGAACATGACAAGAGTAACATGTTCTTCCGAGACTTGCTTTCCAAACTTTCATTCCTGAAGGAAACTGGACATGTGGAAGAAAGCTGGGATCGATGGAATGGCATGTGGGGTAACATTCTCCTACTGGTCAACTATGTGTAATTTTTGAGCACTAGTAGATTGGCCTGCTACATACTACCGTTGCTGGCCGATCACGTGTCCAAGTACAACGCAGTACTGTATTTTAGTTTTTAAAAAAGGGAAGAGATAGAAGAATATGTAAAATATCAGATGAATATATTTATTGATGATTCTAATGTAATTTGTTATGAGATATGCAAATAGAATGAAATGAAAGGATGGTTTGCATATGCGTGTTATACTCGCGATGTGAGTGTAGTGATGAAAATACCGTTTTGCTCGCTCATGCTGTGATTCCTGAAAAATTTCCAACGGTATGTGATGTGGTTGTTGTCTGCCTTGTCTGCCTGTATTTTTCCCGTTCTGTTGATCTTGTCCAAAGACTTGCTGTACTTACTCTATAAACAAGTCCACTGGACTTACGGTTCGTGACATGGTCAGATCCATCCCAATCACATAGGATAACACCCCGAGTGAAAAGACAAGGGTATCTGAAGGTGACTTCAGATTGCTGGTAGCTGACATGTAGAAAAGGGTCACCAATGGCACGACTAGCAAAAGTAGTGGGTAATGATGATAGAGTTGATGCTGTCCATCTGAGGAGTGTTCTTCAGGAAGAAAGCAGGAGGAACAATCAGATGCCTTTGAGGCATATCGGTGTTTTCTTTGGTCGTGATCATCTCCTCGCGATACGTGAGGTGGGCCACGTGATAGTTCTTCAATAAAGACCATTGTTGATTCGAAGGTGTGCGTTTGTATTATATTGTGGTTGATTGAGTTGAGTGAGTGTTGTTTTTATGTTGCTTCGCATCAAAAGGAAATCGCATCAACAATCATCGTTTTGGGACTGGAATGAGAACCCGCCAATCACGCCAACCAAACAAGTTCAAAGTAATAGAGACGAAAGAAGCACCCATCATGCAACGCCTTTTTCCTCACCATACTGTACAGTATTTCTATTTAGTAGGCAGGCAGGCAGGCAGGCGCATTGGTAGAGAATAAATTATCATCCAGTCCTACACATATTGAATAAAATAGTATGAGAATGAAGGAAGGAATCGCAATCAATCAATCAATCAATAAAAGTAGCCGGGGGCTAGAGAGCGCGTCAGCAGGGGAAAACGAAAGCTAATGTATGCGAAGCATAATGTTGGGCTTGGAGAGAAACCAGAATCCTTGACATAATGGTAACCACCAGAGAGTAGTAGTATTTCGTCTGCATATGCCAATTTAGATAGTATATTTTGTTTCTATACAAGTTCCGATAGGTTTGCAGACGAGTTCCCCTTTTATGCCGTCTGATGGTGGTTCATCTCTTCTTTCTTCCGTTTTTTCACAAGACTCGACTCACTCGTTTTGATCCTTGCGCAGAGTTCCGAAACCATTGACATGCAATTGCATATCGATGGTGCATTGTGACCTACCAATAGCCTTGTTGGAAAATCGTATATTCTATTCTGTTATATTTTATATCCAAGTAAAGATTCCAGGATTATTGCAGCAAGATTCGTCATATTGAGCTTATTTGAGCAGAAGGTCGATTTTGCAGTTTTCGTGATCGGCCAAAGAATGGATTGCGGAGAAGCCTACACTACCTTTCAAGCAAAAGTGTTCACTACCAATCTACATTAGATGCATTATATCCAAATTAAGTGTGCTGCGGTACCCTAGAGGCTACTAAAAAAGACAGTATATGAACAAAACTGGAACACCATCGATTTTTGGAACCACAAAATTGCTATTTTCGTAACCTCAAGGCATATTTCGCCACTTCTTTTTGCCTTACCATTTTCCACCAACCCATAGGATTAGTTTCCAGGATTATCTCAACAGGTTTACACAGATTTGAGCTTATTTGAGCACGCGATAACCATCCTCAAATTGCGTTGCCATGGAAAATCAATGCAAAATTCATTTGGGAAAATGTTCGCCGCTTAGGGGGAGACTGCGTTCTTCAGCTCCCCATTTTGAGGACAAGCGCATGCGACATCGAAAATTTCACAACCGCAACCATGCGCGTCACTTTGGAGCTGCTATGATATTTATTTTTATATAAGTACATCTTTCAACGGCTAGATGGGACGGAAGGCATATATAAGATCGAGGAGTGGCCAGCGCTCCAAATGCTATGACAGTTTTTAAAAATTATATCGATGTGAAAATTTGCACCACCACCGATAATTTCATAACCTGCTTCCACAACACATAACTGTGAACAATTTTACGTATCTTCAGAAGACATACCACCGCTCGTTAGAAATAGAAAGTAATGACACAGTGCGAGCACACTAACATGACAGGATCGAAGCCCCGACCCTGCAACGAGAAAATGGACAAATTCGATAGTTTTCATTCCTTTTACTCTGTTGTCGTTCGCAAACAGCACTCATATGCGAACCCTGTGGGCAAAAACAAGACTCTTTCCGCCGATGATACAGCAACCGCATCGTCCTCCACATGTGATGCTTCGTTCACCACGACTTCTTCTACCCCCGCTGGAGTATCTTTTAAATACGATAATGATGGGTCGTATGAAGTGGAATACTGCCTAGCAGAATTCGAAAGCAAACTGTATTTGGAAGATATAAATGGTCGAATGGAAGAACCAATCATTGAAGAATTGTATGATGATGATAGCCGGGATGAATTTGAGGAGGAGAATGATACAGGTGACGAAGATGAAGAGCAGGAGGATTCTATTGTTTCTTTGAATTCACTAGAAAAGGAAGGACTTGATGATAAGTTTGTCACGGAAAACTGCAAGCTTCTCGCACCACCCACCACCATGATGGGGTGCTTGGGATTGGTTGAGCAAAGTATGGGTATATTCGGAAGACAGGATGATGACGAAGTTAATGAAGCCTATTGCAATGGCGACTTTGATATGATGCGTTCTACTACCACGGAAAAATCTTGTACATCTGATGGAGTGGAGGAATCCAAAGAGGAACAACCTCCTTGTTCTGATGATGAAGTTAATGAAGCCTATTGCAATGGCCACTTTCATATCATGCATCCTACTACCAAGGAACAATCTTGTATATCTGTTGGAGTGGAGGAGTCTAAAGAGGAACCACCTTGTTCTGCTCATGGAACGTTCGAAGTCCGTGAGATCTCCTTCGCCAAGCATCATGATGATGGCATCAACTTGACTGACGACGAAGCCCTTTTGGTGGATCCTTACAAGTATGAAAATGAGGATAGTGATGACGACGACGATTATAATGATGATGATGATGATGATGATGATGATGATCGTTATAAGCTTGAACCACTGATAATTCTGGAGACTGAAAGTATCTTTTCGGACGATGGCTGGGGCGAGGACGACGACAAAAAAGTGGAGGCCGATGATCATGATTCCAGCGACTCCTCGTCAGATGATGAAAATACTAATGCTTCGCTGATTCTCACTTGCGAGTTGAACTTTGTTGACGATGACGAGGAAGCTAGTAACTAACTACAGTGCCGCGTGGGATGGTGTCAAGATGGTGCGCTCGAGCAATCGTGGAAATGTCAACCGATGGCGAATCTCAATTGCTGGACTATTTAAAATTTTGTGGAAGAGATCTTTATCTCAAGCCAATAACAAGGAAGAGAATGAGATGACAAATCTCATTCGCACCAATACCACAGGCGAATAAATGATCTGTTTGTCTGTCATTATGATAAATATGCTGCTAATGATGCATCGTCCGTTCATTCAGCATAGCAGTACATTCAAGTTTATTAAAGTCTTGTAGAACTTAGTTTGGTATATTTTTAGAGTATTATTGTCTGTATCGCTCTATTTGAATCATCGGATTGATTGAATTGATTGAATTGATCGAATCATCATCATCCCTCTCTCTCATCTTCCTTTCATGCTTGCTGTAATGCATATAACTCCATTATTATTCTGAGCCAAGACCCTGTGCTGCGGACTCGATTACTGTCCCTTGTTGAACAGCGACTACAGGAGCCTTGCTCTAATGCTTCGTTACTAACTCTTTCATCAATTGATCATCTGCTTTACGCGTGTCGAACAAGAGAAGAATATTCTTCTCGGGTGCTTGCCTGGAATCGTCTTACTGTAGGTCATTGCCTTGATGCATTTTGTCTTGATACTGTTTGTCTTGAGAGAGATATTTTCTTGCCCCAATCCATTCCATTCAGTGGAATCGAGAAAGTTCAAATAGTCATGGCAGAAGCCGTGGATTGAGAAGAGAATGTTCGAAACAATCTTCGGTTGATGGGCCCTCTCTTAGGAGAGCAAGGTATAGACGTCAACAATTGTTGGCTACTACTACGAGTACTCAGAGGCGTGGGCATGAGATCGGCACGAACAAAGGGTTTCTTCATGTTAGGCGTAGCAGCGCTCATATTGTTGGTAGACGGCAACGATGAAAAGGAGTGCCTCGTTTCCTCCTGTGCGGAAGCAGGTGAAAAATGCTGTCGGTGATGATGATGATGATGATGATGATAAATGGGTGTTGGTTGATGATGTTTCGAGACGGCCACTTCACTGTCAAATGAAAGACCACTGGAAATGCTGCAGCAATCCGAGTCCATGGTGGCGGTGGAGTTCGTCGAGGAACTGACAGGACTAAGCTGTTTGGCACAAGCCCGGTTGCTGACCGTGAGAGTCAGGTCGGAATCTATTGAGCAGGCATCGTCATAACACTGGTTATCCCCATCAGAATCGTAATCTTCGAGATAATCATTGTCTTCGTCCCATTCATAGTCGCTGACATAGTCCAATCGCACCCTTCGCTTCATCAGAGGTCTTGGTTCTACAAAGGAAAGGTCTTCCAAATCCTCATCACTATGGAAGTCATTGCAGTCGTAGTCATTGACATACGAATATGCGGATTGTAAGGCCGACGCCTGAAGGGGACTCATCTGCAAATAAGATGGACCTGCGGACGCTAAAGCCGAATTTAGCGTCGTTTTGGATGACCCGCAGAGCCATAATGGTTGTCGAATTACATTCATGTCTGTGTGTGGAATGTGGAATATATATCCTTTCGTTGTTGGTTATGCTTGTGACGTATAATGCCTGAGGTTGCGATCTGAATGTTGAATGCAAGCAATGCTTTATTCAGTGATGTCTGAATACGATCCGTTCCTCAGCTTTCTAGCTTCACTTTATTCAGTGATCTGATGCGGTACCGTACTATTATCTAATCTAATGCAGTCCACTCAATTGCCGATTGAAATTCGGATTGATCTTGGACGGTGAGAATGTTCGGATTGCTGCAATCGTAACAATCAATAACAGCCAAGACAGACGAAGCGCACGGATGGGGGAAAGAGAAAGAGACGAAAAAGGAGAAAATTCTGATCGATGGCAAAAAGATGATGATTGGTATTTTGTGCCGTTACCAATAAGTAGAATTCAACGTAGGCATGTACTAGTCCCAACGTTTCATCAGTACGGCATTTCTAGACCCAATCAAATTTGGGAAGAAACAGCGTAAAAAACAACGGAAACCTTCTCTTTCGGTTGGAACAAGTTGGAGCAGCTTGTTTTTGGTTCTGAATTGCACGGTTTGCATTGCTGGAGGTTCGCCACACGGACGGGCGAAGCATTCACTCCGAAAGTTCCGCGTACTGCATATATTCCATATGCACACGCGGGCGAAGTACACACTCGCTATCCGCCAGTGACAATCGGATCGATCGATATATACCGGTACACGGTACATATCGGAAGTATTTGACTTGTGTGATTCATTTTATTGGAGCAGAGGAGAAAGGAGACTTTAGTATGGTAGAGGCACAAACATTGTTATTGAAACATAGATTGCTTGTTGTATGTATATAGCTTAGACGAATTGAAGTCCAAAATAGATGGAATTATGATTCATTCCTTGATTCATTCCACTCAAGAAGTCAAGAATGACAGAACTGCTGTGCTGGGAAATAAGGGGGTCGAACGAGCGAAACAGTACTCCAACGTTTAATTTCCGCCGGAATATTCCAACGTATTGCCCAAAGGAAAGTACTATAGCTGGGACCAAATGCTGCCGGTGCCTCTCTAGGTTTAAAACTGCGGTTTCATCACCTCGTCCTTACCTCTCATTATGCAACTGCTGAGGAGTCATACCTCATGAGCTAGCAGATTTAAGAAGAATGCTTGATGGTAGCTACACGCATCATTGTTCTTCTGATCGTGTGTTTTGTAGTTGCTAGTGTCTCATGACAAGGTATATAGAGCGAAGTATTTTGCGTAAGAGTAGTAGCTGTACACCGTGGTCACCAAAATCAGATCGGAACTTTGCTTGGGTTTCCAATAAGCAAGGGTTTCAGCCGTGAAGAGCTAAATATTCGTCATGTACTGTAAAGCGAGGAGTTCACAGGAATATCAAAGCCATCCACCCTCAAAAAAGTTCGTTTTGCATCACTGGATTCAGAGGCTTCGTGAGAAGACGATCCTTCAGGATGATCGGCAGCCGATGAGAAATTATTGCTCAGCTTCAGATCACTCGAACACGACATGGATGTAGCAGTTATATCTTCCCCCGAGGATGCTGTGCTTCTTCGGTGACTAGCCCCACTCAAGATTGAGATGATCGACCTTCGTGCTGCAGGAGATGATGTTTGGGTCGATGTACCGGCAGTAGTATCCACCCGACTTGACACAGATGGCATGACCGAATCGACGCTGCTACTGTCGGACATTTCTGATAGTCGTGTTACACCAGCTTCGCCAGCATCCACATCCGCTACTTCTTGATTCTCGTCGACTGCCTTTAGAACATTATCAGTGCCGCGTCGGTTGTGTTTTGGAGGTTCCTGGATCACCAAGACCCGTTTCTTCTCCACTTTCATTGCACTGATGGCGGCCCAAAATCGAGATCTGTCGGGTTGCATCTTCCGATTCTGCAAATACTTGGGGCGAAAAAAGATGATGCAGAAGAATGTTCCCTGTGAAGGTAAAAGGATGCCCTGAATGAATAGCAAGGGAAGAAAGATCTTCCTCGCACCTTCCGTCTTTTCGACGCCTCTTCCATCCAGCATTTGCCTAATAACAGTCGGCCCAAAGCAGAGAATGTAGGAACTGACATATAGAAAGGACTGGATACCCACTTGTCGCACCCTTTCCCATAGTCTGTCCGAAGACCGCATAATACTCTTTGGTTTGCGAGTACCCCTGAAGGAAGCAAACATTGGTTTTTCACTCCCGTTTTCCTTGTTTTGAGGACTCGGCGCATCCTGTTTGCTTACTGGACTCAAAGACTCTTTCATATCGGCCATTGATAAATCCCTTTGGCTGAATTCCTTTGACATTCTATCCTCCGCTAGTCTGGCATTCCTCTGGCTAGTAACAATAGTTCTCCGGACATAACGGTACAATAGGATGTTGTTGATGGTGACTGATGTTGAGATATATGGTACAAGCGTGAGCCACTTCTTGGGGAGACAGAGCAAAATATCTGGCTTTCTCTTGCTCTGACACTTACCAGACAGGAAACAGAATACGTTCGGAATGCCTCCAAAGATCCAAGCAAGTCTCTCGGCACCACAACTATCATTCCAACAGTCTTCGCCTGGCTTGGCTGACACCCAACAGCTTGGACTGGTTTCACTTTCATGATACGCATCCATCACTATTCCGCTGATAGTAGTGGAGAATGACCATGTCATAACGACAGCGTGAATCCAAGGTTCCAATTTCCTGGCGAAAACTTCATCTCTCACGCCATATCGGACGGTCAGCACAAAATAATACGACAGAGATGCTAAAGTATTGTATATATTACCGGTGGAAAAATTCAGAGAAGTTTACAAGACAACAAACTAGCCAAATGCAACTTACCAGTATATAGGTGTGTCGACCAAGAAAACTGACCAAGTGCACCGAGTACAGTGCATGTTGCATCGTTCCCCACAAAATATACCCACGCCCTGATGCTATCAGCAGGTCCTAGAAAAGGATGAAACGCAAAATTCGATGTAGATATCATGTCGCAGATTGAAATGGACAGCATCAGTCTCCTGTAAGCTGATTTCTTCTTGTCTTTCAGCACATAACGAACAATAGCTGCCGACCCCAAAAATGATAACAAGCAAAACGGCAAGACCAGAAAACTGATCGCCTTCTGTTGAGGTACTGTTGGCATGTAGATATCATCGTAATCCCTACCACTTGCTTCACTCATTGTGAACGCAAGTTACAACCTTCAGCCAACACTATAAGAGGAGGTCCACCACAATTGCTGATTTCAGACTCGGAGAGCCGGGATCCTGCGGTTGGTGAGTGATTGTGTGATCAGAAGTTGAAGCAAAAAATGGTTTAGGGACGGCTTAAAAGTGACCATAGCAACGTGGCAGAGACCTGATTTAGTTGGTGAGTTTTATTGCGTGATCAGAAGTTTTAAAAAAATAGCGGTTTTGGAACGGAAAAAAAGAAAGTGCGGAAGCGATATATATATATCATATCTTTATACCACCTTTCGACCCACGCTATTTAGCCATAGGCATGTGAATAAGGCAAGACGAGAAGTAGACGAGCTGCATATTGATGTACCAGCTGCTGTCGGGTTGGTGATTGATTGATTCATTCGCCCGTTACGTGTGACGTGTGACCGCAGCGAAAGCCGTAACAGACGAACCATAGATGGTGGCGTTTTAAAAATGAATCACATGAACGAATAGGGAAACGCTCGGTATGACCTAACCTCAAACTCATTTACCCCCAATAGTATCCCCGACTTCTCTCTCGTTAGCCTGCATATACTTTCCGAGGTCTGAGATTTGATCGAATCGACTGAATGTCTGAGTGATCGAGTGAGTCGGATTCGGTGAGAAAACTCAACACGAATCCAACTCCAAATAAGTGATCAGATCAGAGGAAGTTGTCAGCGTAGAAGCTACGGCTATCACGCTACATCTCCAACATTCTATAACTAACAATCCAGCGGGATTGGTTGGAGTTGGTTCAGATCAGATCAGACGAATGTAGCACGACTAAAAGAAGTTTGAGTCTTCAAACTGCTCACAATATTTTAAAATCGATTTTCAAACAAATCTATATTCAATCCCAAATTGACAACGCCCCAAAACCTAGTTTGAGCCTTATCAACGTGGTTTTGTTACAATCACACCACCACAAAGTAAAAGTGCTGTACATTTTTAAAAAATTGCCATGATTACGTACAGTGTACGTGTACACCAGTAAGTGCACGAATAACACCACAATAGATCTCTCCCCAATCTCAAGTCGAGATCAGAATTTGACTTGCTTTGATGTGAAAAAATGAGTGCTAAAGTATCATGCAAATGTCTCAAAAGGTATTGCATAGTAAAGGGCTTCATAGTTGGAGGCATGCGGGGCAAGTGGGCAAGAAAGGTAATCCTAGCGGTATTTTCGGGGGATGGGGGGTAACCCTCATGAAAAGCACCGCCAACATGGTACTGTAGTATCGTATAGTACCTGTCAGTCACTGCTGACGCCAGCATCTATGTAAGTACTTTATATATCTACTCTTTTGATTTATGCACTTTTGAATTGCGAGTTGTAGTCTATAATACGAATGCTTGATAGTAGCTACTACCTTGTTTTTCTGATCGTGTGTTTTGCGATTGCTTGCGAGAGCTTTCTTGTAAAGAAGCTAACCAGCCAAGTATTTCTTTGCGTCAGAGTGCTAGTTGTACACCGTAGTCACCTAATCCAGATCTGAAGCGAGAGTTAGGCAACAGCGTTTTAGCAACCGTTAAGTGCTCAATATTCGTTGTCATGCACTGTAAAGCAAGGAATTCACAGGGATATCAAAGCCATCCACCCTCACATCACTGGCTTCAGAAGCTTGGTGAGACGACGATCCTTCATAATGGTCGGCAGCCAAGGTCACTTGAACATGACATTGATGTAGCAGTTCTTTCCTCAAACGAGGATGCCTGAAGACGTTGTTCCAGGATCAGCGAGTCCCAGATCAACGGTTCGGAAAGGGAGAGATCAATGGACTGGTGCTACTTCTTGAATGATGCGAAGTCTTCCTTTGATCGCATCCTTCACTGGGTAGGGAAGACGGCCTTGCGGAGATTTGGCCTGCCTGTCACTGTCACCAACCTAATAATTGATATCTTGGCAAAGGCCAAACAACACAGGGTCCGAACTGGTTTTGGCGGCTCGGACTGGATCTTTGGGCCCACTGGCGACGTTCCTTTCCAAGGCTGCGGCCAAGGCAATGGCGCAGGCCCATGCATCTGGGTCGCAAACAGTGCCATCGACGCAATGGAGGCGGAGGGATGTACAAGAGCCACACTGCCCTCACCAACGAGGAGTTGCGGATGACACTGATGTCATGGAATTGAACGACGATGTGGAGGTGACTGGCAAAGACCTCCTTCCTTTGGTACAGTTGGCATTGGACCTTTGGTCGGGTGGCATCAGTGCCACCGGTGGAGCTATCAATCCGGCAAAGTCCTTCTGGTGGCTGATTGATTTCAAATGGCGGCGGTCCTCTGGCACGTGGGTGTTTCAAAGGAAGGCTGAAATGCCTGGGAAACTGACCATCCAAGAACCTACGGGGCTTTGGGCGACACTACGACGCCTCCAACTAGATGAAGCTGAACGGACCCTGGGTGTCATGATGGCCCCACTTGAGACAGGCACAGCACCGCATCTTCCGCTGCAGGAGAATGCCAAGAACTGGGCAGCCAAGTTCTGTCCCCAACATCTGCTTCCCGACGATGTTCTTCCCTTGATCAAACATGATGCCCCGTCCCTGATTCTACAAGTGAGCTTGCACAAAACTGGGGTTTGCCATTCATTTCCCCGTGTTGGGGTATTTGCAACTCTGAAGTACCAGGGAGTCTTCCACCATCTCAGTGTTCTGATGCGCCATTCAGCCAGTACTTGGAGGCCAACCTACAGTCCCACCAACTCGAAACGGGCACCTCCTTTCCCTTGCTTCAACAAGAACCCACCAACACAGGGATTCTTGCCTCTGAAAAATGGATCAAACAGGTTTGGATCAAGCTTGACTCTCTTAGCATCTAATCCTCCCTTCCTTGTCCCTTCACCACTGTATCAATGATCCTCTCTTGATGGACACCTTCATCGAAGCCTGTGTCGACAAAGAGGACTTGTTGTGGCTCAACTGGTGCCGCCAATACCTTCAAGTCACCACCCTCTCAGAACTCACCACCGCTGACGGTTGTTCCTTAACGGCAGCTGCTCTTGCCGGTCAACCCTCTGGTCACTTTGTGACTAGCTACAATTGGCCCGAACCAGATGCCCTGGCCCCTCACATTAGGACCTATGGCGACACGTCCTCTCTCAAGCCGTTCTCTGTCCCTAAAGCCGCCGTCGCTGTCTGTTGCAGCCCCTCGGACCATGATCCGCTGGATTGATGGACCTGGCTCCTCTCTTGCACCTCTTCGATCCTCTTCCATCGGGCGGCCTCAAACCTGGCAATCTACCGACCCATCAACTCCTGATCCCATAAGACCTTCCGCAGGGATCTTCACCAAACCTGGACGGGACCCCTTCCCAAGGACGTCCAAAGGGCCTCTGTCAACCTTCACCCACGGACAGCCTATGTCACTGGCACTGGCACAGCCCCAGTAGATCCACCAGATCCGGAGTCCTTACTGGCCTCGCTCCTCCACATCTGGAAGAAGTTGACAGTGGACATGGACAACCATTGGGTATGGGTCCCGGAATACATCTACATTGAAGACAAGGAACAAGGTCTACTGGAGGCACTGGAGCAGGGAAAGCTACAGGTGATCAGCAATGGCTCCTTCAAGCAACAAGTGGGCACAGCCGCAGTCCAGCTCCGGACTTGACAGGGAGGGCTCATCATCTGGATCAAATACTGCACACCTGGCAAACGCGAGGATCAGAGTACGTATCTGAGTGAACTTATTGGTCTTTTAGCTGGTATCTTGGTGGCTTCTTGGCTCCGCCTCCGCCTACAATCCCTTGCCAAGCCCCGCGTCTGTGTGGCTTGTGGCAGGATCACCGGCGCTCTTTACAAGGCGTTCTCTACTTGGCTGTTGTCCCCAACTGCCCCACACTTTGATCTCTTGTCCTCCATCCGCGAGGCCCTCCGAGTTTCCAACATATCCTGGGCTGAGCAACATGTGGGGGGCCACGCCGACCACACCAAGACATGGCGACAGATGTCTTGGTGGGAACGATGGAGCCCGGAAGTGGATGACATTGCCCAAGGCTATGCTCTTTGCTGTGTTTCCAGTTTGTGCTGTTTGGCGAGCATTTTGATTGGTTGGAAATGTGAAGCTGGCTGGAGAGGTGCGTTCATAGTGTACCAGGTACAAATAGAACCACAGTATATTACAACAGTGTACGGGTAACAGACAAGTGAAAAGCGCGCCAAAAAATGAAAGTACTGCATTAGGCTAAATACCAGTCGTACGTCGTTCGAAATTTTGAAAATTTGGGATCATTTTATCATTTAATCTCCTGTGTTTTGTGGTTGCTATCATTAATCGTCCAACGAGAGCTTTATTGTATCAATGCACGGCGAAGCTATCATTCAGTCATATCTTGCATCGGAGTATCAGTTGCATACCATAGTCACTAAAACCAGTTGGAAATTTAGTTCGACAGTTGGCCTCCAAGCAATTGCTGGGTTTCGATGGTGAAGTGCTCAAGCCTATTTATGTACTGTAAAGTGAGGAATTCACAGTATCAAAGCCATCCACCCTAAAAAACGTTCCTTTTGTATCACTAGACTCAGAAGCTTCATGAGAAGACGATCCTTCAGGATGATCGGCAGCCGATGAGAAATTGCTCAGCTTCAGGTCACCAGAACATGACATTGATGTAGCAGTTCTTTCTTCAAACGAGGATGCTGTGCTTCTTCGGTGACTAGCCCCACTCAAGATTGAGATGATCGATCTTCGACCTGTTGGAGATGATGTTTGGTTTGATGCAGTATCCACCCGACTTGACAGAGATGGCATGACGGAATCAACGCTGCTACTGTCGGACACTTCAGAGAGACGCAATCCAGCACCTGCAATAACATCCGCATCCGCCACTTCTTGGTTCTCGTCCACTGCCTTTGGACCGTGATCAGTGCCACGTCGGTGGGGTTTGGGAGGTTCCCGGATCACCAAGGCCCTTTTTTTCTCCACTTTCATTGCACTGCTGGCGGCCCAAAATCGAGATCTGTCGGGTTGCATCTTCCGATTCTGCAAATACTTGGGGCGAAAAAAGATGATGCAGAAGAATATACCCTGTGAAGGTAAGAGTACGCCTTGAATGAATAGCATGGGAAGAAAGATCTTTCCCGCTCCCTCCGTCTTCTCGACGCCTCTTCCGTCCAACATTTGCCTGATAACAGTCGGTCCAAAGCAGAGAATGTAGGAACTGACATATAGGAAGGACTGGATACCCACTTGTCGCACCCTTTCCCATAGTCGGTCGGAAGACCGCAGAATGCTCTTTGGTTTACGAGTGCCCCTGAAGGAAGCAAACATTGGCTTTTCAATCCTGTTTTCCTTGTTTTCGGGACTCGGCGCAACCTGTTTGGTCAATGAACTCAAAGACTCCTTTATTGTATCGGCAGTTGATAAATCCCTTTGGCCGAATTCCCTTAACATTCTATCTTCCAGCAGTCTGGCATTTCTCTGACTAGTGACAATAGTTCTTCGGACATAACGATACAATAGGATGTTGTTGATGGTGACTGATGTTCGATTGTTGGATGAGACAAGGTACACAAAGCGTCAGCAACTTCTTGGGGTGACGGAGCAAAACATCTGATTTTCTCATTATTTGACACTTACCAGACAGCAAGCAGAATACATTCGGAGTGCCTCCAAAGATCCAAGCTAGTCTCTCGGTACCACAGCTATCATTCCAACACTCTTCGCCTGGTTTGGTTGACACCCAGCAGCTTGGACTGGTTTCAGTTTCGTGATACGCGTCCATCACCACTCCACTGATGGTAGTCGAGAATGACCATGTCATAATGACAGCGTGAATCCAAGGTTCCAATTTCCTTGCGAAGACTTCATCTCTCATGCCATATCGGACGGTCAGAAGAAAATAATACGACAGGGATGCTGAAGCATTGTATATATTAGAGAATTTTTAAAGTTTAATGCGTGCGGAAGATAATAAACTAGCCAAATGCAGCTTACCGGTATATAGGTGCGTCGACCAGGAAAACTGACCAACCGCACCAAGAACGGTGCATGTTGCATCGTTCCCCACAAAATATACCCACGCCCTGATGCTATCAGCAGGTCCTAGAAAAGGTTGAAAAGCAAAATTCGATGTAGATATCATATCGCAGATTGAGATGGATAGCATCAGCCTTCTGTAAGCTGATTTCTTCTTGTCCTTCAGCACATAACGAACGATGGTTGCCGACCCCAATAATGATAACAAGCAAAACGGCAAGACCAGAAAACTGATCGCTTTCTGTTGAGGTATTGTTGGCATGTAAATATCATTGTAGTCCCTACCGCTTGCTTCACTCATTGTGAACGCAAATTTCCGCCTGTAGGCAAGACAAGAGGCTACCCCCAGTCGCTTTGTTGTGTGTGTAGATCGGAGAAGAAGTTGAAGCACATCCTCCTTGTTGAAAAAAATGCGAACCCCTCTGGAGATATACAGAACAAGAGGGCAAAAATGAAAGTACTGGCTTAGGCTAAATACCAATCGTGTGTAATTTTGAAATTATTTTGCGCGCTCAGTTTATAACCAACAAAGTAGGTAGTAAGGTAGGTGGAAGCAAATGCCGGTACGCCGCTTTTAGATGCAGTTTTATCACTTTCTTAGCTCTCATTATGAAACTAAGTTGTATCAGCCAGCCGGTTTGCGTCCGAGAGGCGTTTTCCGCTGTTCCGACGCAGATTCATGAAATTTGACGTATCCCACAGAAGGTGCGTACATTACCTTAGTAAAAGGATTGTTACCACGACCTTAACGCGGTATTTAATGTTGTCTTGTTAGTCGTGTGTGCTGATACACGGCAAAATTTGATGGTAGTAGACGGATCATTGTTTTTCCGATCGTGTGTTTTGCGATGGCTTGCAAGTAAAACGTCCGATGAGAACTTTATTGCACCATGCCATCGAATCAAACCTTGCGTAAGAGTAGTAGCTGTACACCGTGGTCACCAAAATCAGATCGGAACTTTGCTTGGGTTTCCAATAAGCAAGGGTTTCAGCCGTGAAGAGCTAAATATTCGTCATGTACTGTAAAGCGAGGAGTTCACAGGAATATCAAAGCCATCCACCCTCAAAAAAGTTCCTTTTGTATCACTAGACTCAGAAGCTTCATGAGAAGACGATCCTTCAGGATGATCGGCAGCCGATGATAAATTGCTCAGCTTCAGGTCACTAGAACATGACATTGATGTAGCAGTTCTTTCTTCAAACGAGGATGCTGTGCTTCTTCGATTACTAGCCCCACTCAAGATTGAGATGATCGATCTTCGAGCTGCTGGAGATGATGTTTGGTTTGATGTAGTATCCACCCGACTTGACACAGATGGCATGACAGAATCGACGCTGCTACTGTCGGACACTTCAGAGAGACGCAATCCAGCACCTGCTATAACATCCGCATCCGCCATTTCTTGGTTCTCGTCCACTGCCTTTAGACCGTGATCAGTGCCACGTCGGTGGGGTTTGGGGGGTTCCCGGATCACCAAGGCCCTTTTTTTCTCCACTTTCATTGCACTGATGGCGGCCCAAAGTCGAGATCTGTCGGGTTGCATCTTCCGATTCTGCAAATACTTGGGGCGAAAAAAGATGATGCAGAAGAATATACCCTGTGAAGGTAAGAGTACGCCCTGAATAAATAGCAAAGGAAGAAAGATCTTTCCCGCTCCTTCCGTCTTCTCGACGCCTCTTCCATCCAGCAATTGCCTAATAACAGTCGGTCCAAAACATAGAATGTAGGAACTGACATATAGAAAGGACTGGATACCCACTTGTCGCACCCTTTCCCATAGTCTGTCCGAAGACCGCAGAATACTCTTTGGTTTACGAGTACCCCTAAGGGAAGCAAACATTGGCTTTTTCCCCCCGCTTTCCTTGTTTTGGGGACTCGGCGCATCCTGTTTGCTTACTGGACTCAAAGACTCTTTCATATCGGCCATTGATAAATCCCTTTGGCTGAATTCCTTTGACATTCTATCCTCCGCTAGTCTGGCATTCCTCTGGCTAGTAACAATAGTTCTCCGGACATAACGGTACAATAGGATGTTGTTGATGGTGACTGATGTTCGATTGTTGGATGAGATACGGTGGATGAGATGCGGTACAAGCTTGAGCCACTTCTTGGAGAGATGGAGCAAAATATCTGACTTTCTCTTACACTTACCAGACAGCAAGCAGAATACATTCGGAATGCCTCCAAAGATCCAAGCTAGTCTCTCGGCACCACAGCTATCATTCCAACAGTCTTCGCCTGGCTTGGCTGATACCCAACAGTTCGGACTGGTTTCACTTTCATGATACGCATCTATCACCACTCCACTGCTGGCAGTCGAGAATGACCACATCATAATGGCAGCGTGGATCCAGGGTTCTAATTTCCTTGCGAAGACTTCATCTCTCATGCCATATCGGACAGTCAGAAGAAAATAATACGACAGGGATGCTGAAGAATCGAATTGAGAGATATTTTGTCAGAGAAAGAATCCAGTACAGAAGACAACAAACTAGCCAAATCAATTAATGGCGCTTACCAGTATAAAGGTGTGTCGACCAAGAAAACTGACCAATTGCACCAAGAACGGTGCATGTTGCATCGTTCCCCACAAAATACACCCACGCCCTGATGCTATCAGAAGGTCCCAGAAAAGGATGAACAGCAATATTGCACGTAGATATCATATCGCAGATTGAAATGGAGAACATCAGCCTTCTGTAAGCTGATTTCTTCTTGTCCTTCAGCACATAACGAACAATAGCTGCCGACCCCAAAAAGGATAACAAGCAAAACGGCAAGCTTAGAAAGCTGATCGCTTTCTGTTGAGGTCTTGTTGGCATGTATATATCATCATAATCCCTACTTCCACTTGCTTCACTCATTGTGAGCGTAAGGTGCTACAGTACATGCAGACAAGACAAGAGGAGGTCCACAATTCCTCAGCGTGCATAGGTCGGAGAGCCGAGATCCTGTGGTTGTCGACTGATTCTGTGATCAGAAGTTGAATAGTAAGCGAAGATGGTCTTCGAACAGCAAATATCGAGATATTTTACGAGAATAGGAATAGTGCGCCGCAACGGCATCGGTCGCTCCACCAAACATAGTTTTACGTGCAAGTAGGTCATAGCACCGAATTTTTGCTGCCGCAACGCCATTTTTAAAATTGAAAAAGTCCTTTGTTCGACACGCACAGCTGTAGGTCCTATACTTTTCTTCTACTTCTAAAAATCCTTATTCGGGATTCCTAATGATGAAAAATGTAAGCTGCTCATAACCTGATTGAAAAGTTGCTCGCGAGAGTGAAACTGTTTCGGTAACGCACGGTACGATCGTACAGTACAGTATGATACCGAAGAGTTTTATACTTACACGTGAACTGTCCTAACTTGTATGCACTATAGCAATACCATGGAAAAGGGAAAAACTACAATGATGGGTTTTCAGTTTCAAATAATGATGGCGTTCCTGGCATTCCTAGACATGATTGATTCATTCCAAACTCGAATATATTTCGGAGGAGTGCTGGTATATGCCGTCGTGTTTGAGAGACGATGAATACTTCGAATACTTCGCGCACCAACGTGCGTTTCAACGCAAGATTTTGAAATTTCTCATCGCACATCGCATTATCTTCAACTTCAAAATCGTTTTCTCTTATCGTTCCATTTTCGCTTTCGGTGCAATCTTAACCATGACTACCTTGACGAACATTGACAATGAACACCTTATCAACCATGAGTTTCCTAAGAGTTCCATGGATATGCAATTCGCAAACTCTTGGAATTACACAGAAGTCTTCCTCAACGAAATTGTTTCTAGCGTCATCGAAAACTTGGATGATGTTCGCTGCGACAGTGATGTCTTTTGCCCATCTAGGCATAGCTTTCGGCGCCAAGACAATCAAGACACTTTTGAAATACTGGATGATCTCAAGAAAAGCGAAAGCCGCCAAGAATCTCCTGCGTCTCCTGAGTCCGAGAAGAACAAGATCAGTGAATTGTACTCTTTGGGTTCCATCAATTCCATTTTGGACGACTCCTGCGACGAGCTTGATGAAGTGAAGCTATCTCTCAGTGAGTTTGAGGACTTCGAGGAAGAGACAGCACAGTCTCATGAAAGTTCCAAAATTGAAGCTGTAGAAGGTTCTGACGTGTATCAGGAAGAGAAAGTTCTTTCCGATGACGAAGAATCTGATGACGGCATATCCCCGTTTGTTCAAAGTCTTACTGCTATATCTGAAGAAGCAACCGCGGATTTTTCTGAGTCTAGTGTAGTAGAATTATCAACGGCAACGAAAGCACAGCAAGACCAGCTAGAAGACACATTGGAAGATATTCTAAGGGTAAATGCGGAAATAAGATATTCAGACGTTGTGTCGTTGATCGATGACTCATTCCTGCCAAGGAAATCTGTAGCCAAAGCTGCTCATGGCGTAAACAGTGCATACTTTGACGAAAACATATTTGAGCAACAAATAGGAAAAGAAAACAACCGATGTGCATTCCTTTCCCCATTCCTATGCTAGATAACGGGCTGGCGATGCACTTGCAATTTTATCTCTTTTTAATTCTATGTCATAGTGATGATTCAATTTTTATCTTTCTTTCGGACTGTGCGGTAGCATTGAGAAACTTTCTTGTAGATTTCCTTATCATTGACTTCGGTCCAGATGTCGTCCCCTCTCTGATTTCGTTCCAGTTTCAAGAATCTTCGACCAGAACCTTTCAAATCAGCGACGATGTTTTTTGTCATGTTTACCTTGTCGGATCTGCTTGCCCCGTTGTACTCGGCATCCCTCTCTTCCAAAAACTCACGAAACAATATGTTCCCTGGAAAATACTGGAACCATCGCCCCCTTCCAAATACAACGTCTGTAATAACTGGTTGGAGCGCAGATCTTGGAGCCATTTGAGCAGCTCGAGCCAGGGTTGCCTCATCAGACGCTGGTTCTTGGGAACTATCCGCTACCATCTGATCGTCTGAATCATCAGCAACATCCATGCCATATCCTGGTTTGTAGTTTTCTTGTGGAGCGGGGAAGGACTGTTCTGTGCTGCGAGTCCTTCTGCGATGAGCGGTATTATCAATATTTTCCTTCTGTTCTTGTACCCATTTAAAATGAGCATCAATATTCATAGCTCCCTCCGAGTTGATCGGGAAACATGAAACGGGGATACCAAAGCCTTGCAATTTCAGCCGGCACTCTTTGTCATCACCGTAGTGCGAGATCCCTTTAACGATATCCTCCTTTTTCGATATAGCATGGCCGATTGAATGGTACCCAGATCGATCGCGTAGGCAAATGTGATATGCCGCGTAGCGTACCGGCATCGAGGCTTTGTGGGTTTTAGCAAACGATACCATCGCAGCATCCGGGGCACTCAGACCACTGCTATATGGCTTGGTATCGTAATAAATGTAAACCACACCTCTCTTTTGTACGTCAATATCTTGAAGGAGTGACATCTCCAGCAAGTAGCTTGCCCGCATCTGTGTAAATGTTCAACCGACTTGATGTGAGATACGGTTAAGTTTGAAAGCGAACTAGGGTTACAAATCCAGTACTCACCCTGTTTTCGGGGGTATGCTGGTGGTTCCACAATGATGGTAACACGGCGACAACAGCTCTTCCGGAACGATCTTTCTCAGGCAGAACTTGGATTGCGCCAGTTTCTAATGATGATTTGTCATCCTCCGATAAATCAAGGAAATTGATGTGTTTGGTTATTCTCTCTTCTCCAAAGTACTTCTGCTTCAATTTCAAATACTGCATCATTCGGATGGAAGCCGCGCTGGCAACAAAGCCTTCGCTTCGTAAAAACATTAATTGGAAGCCAGAATCTTCTACAAAAACTCGATTTTGTGTCAGTGCAATCTCATAGGCATCGTTCTTCTTAATAGAGATCTCAGATTCCAATGCAGCAAGCTTCTGTGAAACAAAGTCAGCAGTTTCTTCGATAGGTTTAGAAACTCCGTGGACTTCTTCGATGATCTTGTCTCTCTCGGCAGTCGGAAGACTGCTCATCGCTTGTGCTAGCACACGATCCGACTCATCAATCCTTAGAGGAACATACTGCTCTCTGGAAGCCTTATTCTGACCTGGTTCATTGCTTGTTACGAATACGCTTGTAGTTTCCTGCTTATCCCTGTTCATTTGCATCCCATGGAGCGATTATATTCACAATCCTGCTATCGTTCTAACGTTGTGGTTGTTACTACTATTATGGAACTGAATAATCCAGTGTTGTTGAAAATAGTGGAGATGAGAGTGAATGCAATAATACTCGTACTCAAAGTTTCCCCAGGTATTTTGCGTGGACATAATAATATATGATCCATTCGCACATGGCAATGCTGGCTCTCTAGTCGCCGCGCATCACTTATATAAGACATGCTTCGCGCGGCATAAATCTTTTCAGAAACAGAATTCGAATGATCCGAAACCGGGACTGGGTCATAGAAATAAAAAAAATTATTTATTGAAGGGTATCAATGGAATACGACATTGGTCATCGGTAACAGACGAAGGAAGTTCTATTGGCTTCTAAAGAATCGCCGTCAAGGGAGGACTCATACTTCAAGCAATGTTCTGGATCGCCATCTTTGTTCCAATGATTCCCATCACGGTTCCTAAACAAGCAGACAACAAGCTGACAGCGACTGCACCATTCTCCTCAGTTCTTCCCTGTTGTCGAACTACGGCTCGGTACATGAGGGCGGGGTAAACATATGTCAAAAGGTTACCAAGAGTAGCCCCACCAAAGGCAAGAACGAAACTGACATCCTTCAGAATGATTGCTCCGACGGTGAAGAGACTCAAAAGGGCGACAGTCAGAAGGTTTTGAATTGATGCACTTCGCTTTTCAGCTGGAATTTTCAAAATATCCATGGTGCCATCACGGCAACCAGTAAAGGCAAGTGGGTAGCTGCATTGATGAGATAACAAAAGGGGAAAAGGTGAGACGGACAGAACAAAAGGCGGTGCTTCAGTTGAAATACAGTGGTAGCACACGACGAAGGACACCACAACTGGTGGTCCTGCAATCGAGGGTATTGTTTGTCACCATAGGAGTAGTAAGTACTTACGAAAAGACAAGAGAAACGGCCACTGCAATACGGCTTCCGCTCATGAAGACATCCTTGGTGGAATAGTTATTTAGAACCAATCCAGAGCAGCTCTTTCCAAAAGTAAGGAATCCCAACATTGTAATTCCACTCATCAGTAGAATCGAGATACCAAAACTCAAACTGACAACCGAATTATATCGCTTTAGAGTATTTTCCTTCAACTCTCGGTAGAACTTGGGTGCGTTGAAATGAGCCATGAAAGCTGTGCTTAGCATGCATACCAAGATGAGGGACTTGCTGGTCAAAACGCCATTGTAGCTTCCAAAGGCGGGTTGCAACTTCTCGGCTACATCGCCGACCAAAGAACCTTCAGGCTTGTAAGATCCATCAAAGTATCGAATTCCCATGGCAACAGCAGTGTACCCCATTCCCAAAACTCCAAGTAGAGAGAATGGAGCAAGTGCACTGAGGTTTTTCAACAGACATAGAGGCAACAAAACGGCTGCTGTCAATGCCAAAAGGGTAGGATTTCTAGCTGTTCCTAGGAGTGCTGCAAAGGTATCACCCAAAACCATGCTGAAAGCTAAACAGGCCAACATTGTTTTGATGGTACATGAAGCTGCTGGAATCCAGCTGCTGCTTTCACCGACTGATTTGCTCCAGGCATCGCGATAAGATACCGCTCCAGTGTAAGCGCAGACCTTCCCAATCAAAAAGAATCCAAATCCACTGAGGATACCAATCACACTGATGAGAGCGGTTGCTGGGATTACAGCCTTTGGATCGTCAGCAAAAGCAGCAATTCCAGCTGGAAGACTCAAGACTCCCACACCTACGATGGCTTTTACTAGATTGAAAACATGGCTGGGGATGGAGGCTCCTTCGGTGGTGACCTGAATCTTTGGTTGGCGTCGCCCACCTCCTCTTGGGATTTGAGATAGCTTGTCAAGGGTCTCCTCTTGAGGGGATGAGATTGCCGCCAAGGGCTTGACTTTGTGCAAGGCATCTACTGTAGAGCCAAGGAGAACTAAAAGAAGACAAATCCGATGGAAAGAAATCATATTTTCGTCAAATAGCCAATCACTAATTGTTTGTCGTTGTGGTGATGTAGTTATTATTTGATGTGCGCGTGTCACCGTCTGGCAGCAGATGTGAGGTGGTGCTGCAGGCAGCAGTTTTTAGGATCTTTCCGAAAAAGTTCCCTGAAAATACCCGGGAAGTTCCCTAAGTTCCCTTTTGTAAACGGGTCATGTGATAAACCCTTCATCTCACCTGCGCGAAAACTGGTAGGCCACGTGACGCATTTAGCCTAAAACAGTACTTTCACATTTCCCCCGTGCCTGCAGTATGTACCGCGACCGGTACACGTGGTGTTGTACAACAAATCTTCATACTTCCACCGTCAACCTTCCGACCCCTTGTTAACATCAACAAAACATCGAGCATCTCCACTTTTTTGCACAGTTCACTTCTAAACACATCAAACTAGCGAACATAAGATGAAAAAGGTAGAAATGCGAGATGAGTGAGTCCAAACGGTCAACATCCACCAAAAAGGCTGATGAATTTGATTTCACCACGAATAGAAGCTTTGAGGTACTGTACTTGAATTCATCACCGACTACAGTACAAGAAAATTGACACGCAGCTAAACAGTAGCTGTATTTTCATATCAACTATCCTGTTTCGACGAAGTGATCTGGCCTCGTTGGTTTCTTTGGTCCCCAAAATGATCGCTGAAGCCCGCCATCAACATCCACAACGAAGAATTATTCGCTTGGTTTTGGGACCCCACGAAAGTCTCCAGGCACCAAGTACTTAAAAATTCTAGCGAAGGTTGCTTCTGTCGTTATATGGAAGGCCTTGGAATCATCTGATGATCGATATCAGGGTTTCTTTGTGCAGATTCTCCATCGAGTCCATCGAGTGGTATAATTCGTCAAAAACACATGTACCTTTTGCATGGCATGGGCCCCACAAGAAGAATTGGTGGAATCAGATGCTACAGCAGGTGTTTTTTATTTGTTTTCTACCACGTTATGAGCCCTGATTCAAATTTTTTGTTTGACGTCAATCATGCCACAATCAACAAGCGTTGTTAGAACCGTTTCGGTCAGCTTGCCCTTTGGGGTCCACAGAGGGCCCCACATGCAGAGTTCGCTGAGCGCCAAGATACATTATGCTTTATTAGTATCTGATACAACGGCGGAAGATTATTTGCAGACTTTATTCCTTTGATTTGCAAAAGGTTTTGCGATTTCCTTCTTCAGTGCTGTCGATTCTCTCCCGCTCTGAGCGTCCCCGTCGCCGCCATTCAGACAGCTATCCATTCAACAGCACACCAGGGTCTCTCTTGGATGCCTATAGTCTTAGATGTTTTGGGACTGAGACAATGATTCGGCCTAGATCAAGAACCATGAGGCCAAAATGGGGTTTAAAAAGGCAAGTTTGTTGAAAATTCTGGACTTGTCGAATTGATGGCCTAGTTTCCTCAAACCTTCTTTATTCTATCACATTTTATTCGCCCATGGGTATATCTAACAAGGTTTGGCAGCTTGGAATGGGAGATTTCAAGGTAGACGTGATTGAACTGCACCTACTTGACCTGGGTGTTCAATTCCGCATTCATCCAGAAGTTGCCAAGAATCTATCCTAGTCCCTGTGTTGGTATCCAGACACGGTAGGACCCCGACAAAAGTTATCAATATACCTATATGTATTGACTTTGGGTGCTGTTTTGCAATGCTGCGGCAGAAATGAGATCCACCGCTCTGGTTTCCTGTTGACCCCTTCCCAACATTTCAGGTGACAGGATTGAATGTTTCGAAATTCCATGGATTCTAGACCAACATTTGCAATTCAAAGCTCATACACCTCTCATCTATGTACATTAAGCAAATAATAGATGTTCAAATAACAAGATTTGTAAGTCTCATCGAATAAGATGGAACTCTTGCCTCTTGTTGCAGAATTTTGGTCAAAGGTGTAGTCGATCAAGTCAAAACCACATCCGACTCTATCGAATCGATATATCGATCTGAACACGATTGTAGGTACAGTACCGGTATGGTACGGTATAGATATCTTTGCCTTTCCCACAGACCGCTCATCTAGTGGGCTGTTGTCTGACACAAAGAGACTGGAGATGTTTCGCTGATTTGGAGACTAAGAAAGTCCGCAAGACGATATAGTTACAGCAAGAGTACAGACTAAAAGCAGAGCTTTACTCAAAGCAAGGATGCGTGATCACTAAAGAACCTAAACGTGACCCCCGGCTGAAGGACGTACACCACGTCTTTTTAAATTTAAAAAACAGTTACCTCTTCCAGAATGTTGATTGATTCTCCTATGTAAATCCAAATGATTTGGATTCGCTCAAAAGAACAAGGAATTTGGACATGCAAATTGATTATGATACCTTTTTTAACTCAATGAAGAATTTTGAAGAATTCAAAACGCTCTCCGGCACAATTTTGGCGAATTTGTGACGCGTTCGGTTAAATGGGGTTCCGCACGGTTTGTCCCCGGTTGAGCTCAGAAACCAACAACATCGACCCGACCATGTGGTCTCGTTTGGCTTGCATAATAAGTATAGTTGCGGTGCGATCCATCGACCAATTACACCGGAGGATAACACCACCACAAAATCATAATCTCCCGCAGACCAGGAAGTGATGGGAGGACAACTATTGACAATGGAAAATAGCAGTAATGTGAACTTGTTTCGAACTGCTAGCCCAGTCAGCAACGACGAGAGGTTCAACCCAAACATCAAGCTAAACGAATTGTCCATGAAAGAGCGAGAGGCTGCCATAGAAGAACTACATGGTGTATCTAATGCTTTTAAGGAAGACCCTGCTATCATTCAGAGCTCTCTGAATAACATACGTCGGCAGCTGAGCCTCCGTGGTATTTCTGTTTTTGAAGACGCCGAACTCCTGAAGTTCCTCCGAGCGGAGACCTTTGATGTTGAAAAGGCTGCTGCCCGATTCAATCGGTCCGCAGACGCTCACCGAAAGCTTTTCGGAAAGCAAGGTCCGATCCAATACTCTGATCTGAGCGATGAAGACAAGGGGTACCTGCAAAGTGGATTCATGCAACTGCTTCCGAAACGGGATAGAGCAGGGCGAGCCATTCTGCTTTGTATCGGATCCATCAAGCAACAGTTGAAAACTCCAGTCGAAGCGGATGTAAGTGCCCCCAAAGAGCATTACGCCTTCGGTGTCTTTGTTTGATTGCTCATATCGTACTCTCTGCAAATTACAGTTGAGATGTCTGTCATTCTTGGCATCCAAAGCGGCTGAAGATGAGGAAACTCAAAAACGAGGAATTGTCATGATATGCTACGCCCTTGCTCAAAAGACTTATGATAGTCGGAACAACCGCCCACTGCATTTGCTCAAAGCCTTGGGGGACTTTCCTTCACGAGTGGTTGCCACCCACTTTTGCTATGACAACGCAATCATGAAGTCATTGGTAGACTTTTTGGGCGAACACATGGAAAGCATGATGTTATGCCGCTTCCGAAGTCATTCTGGCGAACATGTGGAGTGTCAGAGCAAGCTGATTTCTTTTGGCATCCCAAACGAGTGCCTTCCTATTGACGCCACTGGTCAGGTCGACCTTACCAACCACAAGATCTTCTTGAAAAAAACTGAATTGAAGGAACAACGAATGGGTGCCATCCAAAATGGCCAGGTCACTTTCCACGTGGACGAAGAGCTAGCGGCTGCAACACATACTGAAGGCGAGAAGTTCCTTATCCCTGGACATTTGGATATCATTTTGGGAAGGGGTCAACACGCAAAGAATACGCCGGGACATCAGCTATTCACACAAGCTCTTGAACAACATCAAAAGCGCTATGAAGCAGCACAAAAGTCACAAAAGACAAACGTTGCAGGCTTGATTCTGCAACAGCTAAAGGCTGGTGGTTGCAGGTTTTTGAAAGCCCGTCCTGGAGGCGGCTGGGTAGAAGTAGCTGATGAGGTTGGTAGAGAAAAGATCAACCACGCCTTTCGCAATCTACGAAGTGTGGCAAAAAAGAACGAGCCGTCGAAGGCAATCGCTGCTTCGTCACAGTCACCGATACCAAGCCTTCCTACTTCCTCTTCTTTGTCCAGGAAACGAACACTGAATGAAGCTATAGACTCAGGAGTGTACCCAGGGGATGGAAAGGTCACAAAGAATTTCTATTCCATATGAGAAAGGTCTTGTTTGTTCTGGCTGGCGGAGCAATTCTAGTATCCAATTTTAGAACAATAAACGCGCTATAGACACAATTTTGAACCATTGTACTGCAAGATATAGTGCTGTGCTATAAGAAGCAGTAATGTTGATCGAACTTCGAATGATGCAATGCATGATTCCGTATCGGTAATACCCATGTGCCCATGTGATAAAAACGAGTACTCGGAATTAACTTGAGACTAATTGTTGGCGTCGACTCGACGGGATGTCGGAGTTCCGGGGTTCGCTCACGCAGTGCGGGTTCTGTCTCCCGAAATGGGAGTCGCGACTATATGGCGACATGGGTTATAATGAGTTATGAGTACCACACGGTACTCACATTGAAATCAGGTACACGTATGGCATTACTGTACCTCCTTAGAGGCGCAACCCAAAAAGAGGCTCGAGTATAACCCAATAATGAGCAATTTTCTACTGTACCTCTAATTGTGTATTGGGTATCGTGTTTTATTGCATGCATGAGGCGCAACCCCAAAAAAGTCTCGAAAGTAAACTTGATTGGTTCTCATTTGGAATATTTTCTGCGGGTCATGTACAAGTGAAGCAAGTGCTCACTGTGTAATAGCATATGGCCCTTTGGAGTGGAGTGGATCTAGTACAATATCATACTCTCAATCACAGCAACCTAGAAAGCAAGGGGTTCGATGTCATATAAAGTAGTAGGGTCCAAATTTCAGCTTTGTGTTCTATTATTATGTGCGTGTACGATTGTATCTTTCTTCTTTTTCTTTCAAAAATCATGAGTTCCATGATTTAGGAATCAACTCGACCCTGCGCCTACTCTAGAGAGCAAAGGCCTCGGTGGACAACAAAAGGTCCAAAGCGAATCCTGAATCGGAATCATCGTTCACTCTTCGCTTCTTGGTGGCAGGGGAATAGGATGATGGAAGCAATGGAATCGGTGCAAGGGTATCCGAAGGCACGCTCCAAGAATCCACAATATCATTCAAGGCTCTCTTTTTGGATCGAGAAGAAGATGAGGATTGCGATGACGCCCTTGACGTTGAAGTAGCCTTCTTTGCATTACTCCTTAGATTGCGAAAGGCATGGTTGATCTTCTCTCGACCGGCATCGTCTGAAACTTCCAGCCATCCACCCTCCACACGTGGTTTGAGGAAGCGGCATCCGTACAAGTTGAGCTCCTTCAAGATCGTATCGGCAACTCGAGTCTTTTGAGATTTCTCAGCAGACTCATATCGACCTTGATGGGCTTCCAAGAGTTGGGTGAAACATGAGTGCCCTGGAGTGTTCTTGGCATGTTGTCCTCTTCCCAAGATGATGTCCATTTGACCTGGGATCAAGAACTTCTCACCAGCAATGGTAGCTACTTGTGCCATTAGCTGCGTTGGAGCCATGCTGGCGTTGAGCAGTTGGTTTTCCTTTTGCTGTTCTTCAAGTTCGATTGTCGTGAGCAACATCTGGTGGTTGGTAAGATCGACTTGACCGAAGGCATCAATGGGAAGACACTCTTTGGGTATGCCAAACGACATGAGGCTGTATTGGCATTCAGCATGTTGGCCAGAGTGACTTCGGAAACGGCACAGCATCTTGGTATCCATATGGTTGGAAAGTAGATTTAATAGTGGCTTCATGGCCGAATTGTCATAACAAAAGTGGGTGGCAACAACTCGTGTTGGCAACGCTTCAAAGGCTTTGAGCCATTGGACGGGTCGGTTGTTGCGACCATCGTATGCCTTTTGTGCCAGGGCATAGTAGATTACAACGACGCCACGCTTTTGAGTGTCCTCATCTTCAGCGGCCTTGGACGCAAGGAATGACAAACATCGGAGCTGCGGTTGGTTCGAAAGGAGAAGATAGATTTGAGAAAAAGAAATCCAACATTGCGTTCCATCAATTCTGCCTCTTTCCACTTACATCTGATTCAAGTGATGTCTTCAACTGTTGCTTCAGAGATCCAAGACACATAATGATGGCTCTTCCAGCACGGTCTCTTTGTGGGAGTAGCTGCATGAATCCACTTTGCAGAAATTTGACATCTTCATCGGTCAAATCCGAATATTTGGTTCTGTCTTGCTTGCCAAAGAGCTTTCGTTGAAAGGCGGAAAAGCGATTGAATCTCGCTGCAGCCTTGAGAATGTCGAATGAGTCAGCTCTGAGAAATTTGACAAGCTCTTCATCGTCAGCAGCGACGGAATCTTGGAGGTCCAGTTCCCCTCGAAGTTCTCTGAGGGCATTCTGAATAGAAACTTCATCTTCATTGGGGATGTCAGAGACTCCATGCAAATCTTGAAGCGCCATTTCACGTTCTTTCATCGACAAGTCGTTGATCTTGAGACTGGGAGGAGTTTGACGACCAGCCTCTCGTGGTGGAGTGACTAGTCTAAAGTGATGATGGGTCATCATATTATTGCTGGATTGCAAAAGCACTGGTCCTTCGATCATTTTTTTTAAAAGTTTTTACCTTGATTATTTTTTATGTTCGGAGATTTGTGAACTTTTCGAAAATACTGTATGCCGGCGGCGAAATCGCATGTCCAGCTTGTGCATGATCGAACGGGTACTTTCGCCTTGATATTGGATTTCCTAATTCAATGTCGACCCCATTTTTCGAGCCCCAACGTGACCATCGATCAGAGCACCAACTGACGCACAGGAAATCGGCTCGCTCTTCTTCGATGTAAAAACACATATGAAAAATTGAGCGGAGGGAAACCAGAGCCACCAGGAGAAAACCATGGTCAATAAATGCGACAGTTCTTACTCGTGTTTCTTCGCGGTTACTAAGTCTGATCAAAATATCTAAGCCCTATCAGACATTCCTAATTCAATGTTCGGCTAAGTCTTTTCCTCGTTTGGATCGCAAGTTCACTTCATTTATGCCCCACCTGCCAACTCAGAAACGACAATAACTTATTTGCCCCTCAGAAAGCGAAGGGTATGGGCATCGCGGGAGACTGTGTAATATCGGAATGTGCTGGGTAATCGTACCATCCTCGTAGCTATCCTTGGTACCACAAGCACGTCTGGTGGCATATGTGATTGCATTGCGTGTCTTCGCAAACTGACAAAATTGCTAAAAGGCCTTTTTATTTTTTTAAATACTTCTGAGCGCATAAAATGCGCACCTAAGTAAGTGGGACATACTATCCACGTTCTTTTGTTGGTCTCGGTGCACTTAATATTACACATTCGGTTGAGTGACCGGAGAGCGAGGATCTTTCGTTGGAGCTCACATTCCGATACAAAACAACCATGTGATGATGTCGAATCAGCATCAACATTTATATATCGTTGGTGGTATTATAACTGTACCAGTGTCTAGTCTGGGTTCGAATCAATTTATTTTGAGCTGAACGAACGCGGTACCGGTACTGTAGTATAATTATAGATCAGACTTCACAGATCTGTGAAGGTTTTTCCGTCCCGAGTACTGGTAGTGGCGGGCCTACAGTTAGTCTATATAATCAGTAGCTGTGGTTGCTTCAAAAGTAAGCAGCAGTGTGATGAACTTCTTTCCACCTGATAGTCCTCCACCATCATCATCAGACATGAATAAGCCTCACCCAAACCCAAAGTTGAATAATCTATCCATGAAGGAACGAGAGAATGGAATTCACGACTTGCATGGTGTGGCCGATATCCCTCAGGAGAATGGGGCTCTTGTTCGAAGCACTCTTGAGCAACTACGCAAGCAGCTCAGCCTAAATGACTCCGTTGCAATTGACGACTCTGAACTTATAAAATTTCTGAGAGCAGAAAACTTTGATACTCCCAAGGCCTGTGGTAGGCTTAATCGGTTCTCGACCTTTCAAACGAAGCTCTTTGGCAAGCATGGCAGGATGAGGGTCTCCGAGCTGGATGAGGAGGATTCCAAGATTCTACAAAGTGGATCCATGCAGCTGCTTCCAGAAAGAGACAATGCTGGTAGAGCCATCATTATGTGTCTTGGAGCGATGAAGCAACAGTTGAAGACATCACTTGAATCAGATGTAAGTACTGCATATGCTATGTATTTACATTACTGTGATCAACAGCAAAGCATCTTGACCAGAACTGAACAAGCATTTCTCATACATTCATCTTCTCCCTTCGAAACAATCCACAGCTTCGATGTTTGTCCCTCCTCGTGTCCAAGGCCGCCAAAGATGAAGAGACTCAAAAGCGTGGAGTAGTTGTAGTCTATTACGCCCTGGCACAAAGGGCATACGATGGTCGCAACAACCGCCCGGTCCAATTACTCAAAGCCTTTGAATCGCTACCAGCGCGAGTGGTCGCGACACACTTTTGCTATGACAATTCAGCCATGAAGCCTTTATTGAATCTACTTTCCAACCACATGGAAACCAAAATGCTGTGCCGCTTCCGAAGTCACTATGGCCAACATGCTGAATGCCAATACAGCCTCATGTCATTTGGCATCCCCAAAGAGTGTCTTCCCATTGATGCCTTCGGCCAAGTCGATCTTACCAACCACCAGATGTTGCTCAAGAGAATCAAACTTGAAGAAGAACAACACCCGCCGGGTACCACCGACAGCGGGCACAATCCCGTGGCGGAAGGAAAGATAAAAGCAGAGAAATTTTTAATCCCCGGATATTTGGATATCATTCTTGGACGAGGACAACACGCTAAGAACACACCAGGTCATCAACGGTTCAAGCAACTAATAGAAGCTCAACAACCTCGTTACGAAGCGGCTGAGAAATCTCTAAAAACAGTCGTAGCGGATGCTATTTTAAAGGAGCTCAAGGAGGCAGGATGCCGATTCTTGAAACCTCGCCCACAAGGTGGCTGGGTGCAAGTTAATGACGACGCTGGCAGGGAAAAAATCAACCATGCATTCCGTAACCTACGAAATAACTCCAGGAGAGCAGCAGCAGCAGCAGCTTCCACCACTCAGTCATGTTCGAGGAAACGAGCCTTTGAGGATGATTTGGATTCTGAAATGTATCGCCCTTTCAAACTGACAGCAGACTTTTCGGCTTCGGATTTCTTTCCTCTTTAGTAAGCCAGTGCATAGATTCCGCACCAACGGTATCGCCACGCTAGTAGACATATTTTTCCGGTTTCACACACACACACGCACACACACACACAAATACGTGTTGACTGACTCAATAGCATTGGGTACAACAGTCAGGTTTGCATTCGACGTCTCCATTAGTGCAATCGCTTGTAAGGGACTTGGCTTCGTAGGTGACCCTTGTAAAGACATCACACAGTCCCTTTGGCATCTTTCCAGCCATATTGTTGTTGTGCAGTTCCAAAACTTCCAACTCGTTCAAACCCTCCAAAGACTTTGGGATTTCACCTGTGAGCTCGTTGTTGTTTAGCCACACTCGCTGTAGACTAGGGAGATTACCGAGTTGATCAGGAATCCGTCCGCTTAAACGATTCTTGGTCAGAGAGAGGGAACCAAGTTCGTCGAGAGTTCCAATACTGGCGGGTATGGCTCCACTGATTTGATTTCCGTCTAACCACATCGTGACTAAAAGTACAAACCAGCAAACAATTGTCAGAGTATTGAATACTATTGGTCCAGATCACAAAATATCCCAGAGAAACTTACATAGACTTTTCATTTGGCCAGCATTGAGAAAGGACAAATCGCCAGTGAGTTCGTTGTTGCGCATGTACAGATACACCAAGTTTTCCATGTTTCCAAAATAGTATGGAATCGAGCTAGAGAAGAAATTGGACTCCAGTTCTAGCAATGATAGCAATGGCATAAATTGGAGGACCGAATTGCTAGACAAGTCACCGCTTAACAAGTTGAAAGACAAAGAAAGTGCTTCGAGCTTGACCAAGGAGGCCATTTGGGATGGTAGACCGTTGTCGGACTCCAAGTAGTTGTTGTCAGCATACAATTCTTCCAGGTTCACAAGGTTCAAAAATACATCATAGTCCGACCCGGACATTGCAATGGCGTTATCCGTGATATCAATGAGGTACAGAGTCTCCTCCAACATACGCAGCTCGATATTTAAGGATCCAGTCAAGTAGTTTTCGGGCAATTCAATGGATTCCACACGGCCTTGGAGATCACAAAAGATTCCATACCACGTACAGTAGCTTGCCTGCGTCAACCATCCGTCAACAATTTGCCACGAGTCTGGATCCATATCAAAGGCAGTTGGTACTGCATTTGTAGAATAGTAAAAGACAGCAAGAGCGTACCGTGTCATTTGGGTGGAGTCATCCAGGTTTTGATTGTCCTGGACCAACCAGGAAAAGGCACGACGTTGCGGAGTGTTGTTCCCAGCAGAAGGATCTAAAGAAGTGGGGTCCAATCCATATTGATTATACATTGATTGAATTCTGGCCATCAATGGGTTAGCCATAGAAGGATCCGATGTTGATGGATCAACGGTGATCACAGGATTGGTGTAGTCATCATCTGTGGCGACTGGTTGGGTGGGAATATCAGGCTGACTGGATCCTCCCTCATCATCTGGCTGGGTCGATCCGTCTGCGCCATCGTCAAGTGGGTTGGATGCATTCTCACCAACCTCATTGGATCCAGTCTCATTAAAGCGACTGAGTCTTGCGGTTGAATCTTCGTTATCCGAGCTTACATTAAGGATTGTAATTATTATTACGATAACAGCAACCAGCAATATTACAAGCTTGCATATTCGTTTCTTGGTAGCCTTGATACGTTCATCGACTTGCTCTTCTTCGGTTGCTTTGAGCGCCACGGCTCCCGATTCTGCATCCTCGTCAGCTTGACCTCGGAGTTTCTCTTTGGTAACCGGATTGGAAGCGTTTACATTTGCCTGTTTCATTGCAGCTTTCTCTTTCTTTTCGGCCGTATCTAGTGACAATCCATCTTCTTTGTCCGTTGTATCTAGTGATGACCTTGTGCACGAAGACATTGTGTCATCAAGACGTTGTCGTGCGTCATAGCTTCTATGATGATTGTCCCCAGTAGCGATTGTCGAATTTTCGCAAACCATGATTTCATCATCTTCTTTTTCTTCGATCGGTTCTGGCAGTGGCTTTGAAACTCCCATTTCCATGCTGCTCAGAAAGCTATCGATTTCGTTGATTCCGGACCAACCTTTTGTCATTCTGTATGCTTTTGGTGGTGAATTCTGAGTTCGTTCCTTTGTTACTTCGAACGTATCATCTTCATCAGTCTCATCACTATCCGTATCCAGTAAGGACCTTTTGGATCCTTTCCCTCTTCGTGGCGATCCATAGACGTTTCCGCATTGATCCAGGGATGCCCATCTAGCAGTCGATATTACTTCAACTTCGTTTATTCCTTCTGTCTGTTCAATCTCCACTTCATGATCAGGTTTGTGGCCATCCTTGTAGCCACGAAATGTCATCACCATCTTGGATTGTAGTTTTAAAGAGGCGCCTATCGGGCCGTTTGCTCAGTTTCGCCGTGAGATCTTTGATGATTCAATCTAAAGAGATCCTTTTGACCTTGTTATTATAAATCAGTTTCGCAAATGCTTTTGAAATGGAGTTTCCATCCCTGGTGGGAAATTTCAGCGGGAACGCGACCTAAATAAGTCGACATCTCTTCTCCAACAGAAAATCAGAATGAATCTTTAGGTTTTGGGGGACCGCCTACTCCCACAAAACTGAGACTACGCGCATGTTAGGTGAGGCATGTGCTGATTCATTGGCTTTTCCCCTAGAACTCGTGCCACATTTTGACTTTGTAACCGTCATCGTTAGTTCCAGCAATAATACCCGGTGCATACTACCAAGACTGCAATCTTCAGATTTATCGGTCCCATCCTATAGGTCAGAAAAATGATCTGCGCATCATCATTGGATTATTGAATAGTATGCAGTCTATAGAAAAATATTAACAATGAACAATAACCACAACAGCCCAAGAACAAACTACTCTTCACATTCCTTGTCCCGCCCACCGTCGCCAAAAAAGGGGAATGAAATTTCAATGCAGATTTGTTGCATGGTCCAACAATCAAAAGGAATAGAAATATGTTGAACAGTCAAAATTAACACTAGCGGAAGGACAAAGGAAGCAAAATTTCATGGCGAGCTGTACCGGTATGCCACCGAGATCCTCCACTCTCGGCATCTTCGAGATCCTCTGATTCACCAAAAGCTTTGGAAAACGGAATTTCTCGAAGTGGGGCACCAGTCTTCCATCGATCTTGAACTCGAAAGCTCACTTGGCGCACAAACTTGAACCCACCCTGAATGGACCGGTGGGCCGAATGCGAGAGCTCGCTCAATGGAACCGTTGTAGCGGTATGGAGACTTTGAGCTAGGTCGTCAACTCCCTTCTTAAAATCTTCCGCGACCCCACTGACTACAGTGGAAGCCTGGGTCATCATTTCATCCTCCTCGTCGATTGTCTGTTCGTCCTCATCCCGAACCACTCGTCGGCACCTTATTTTGTGCATGGATCCTTGCATCAGCTTTTGTACATTTAGCAAGAAAGCATTCTTCTTTCTCTTTTCAATGCGAGTGAGCATTCCTCGCGTGAGAGCTTGTATCTTGATGGCAGATATGGATCTCTTCGCCGCTCGAAACGTTTGCAAGTACTGGTCGAAACCCACTTGGTCTGGGGACAGTGGAAGGCACTCAAGACTGGAGAAGAGTGTTGCTCGCGAGTGCTTTAGTCCTTCTTCGACACTCATTTCCAAAGATGTAATCGTGCCACTACCATTCTCTAACGATGAGAGCAAGGCTTCCTTTTCGTAGTCTCCTTGATGAATCTGATACTGTAGGAGAAGATGATTGGTGAAGTCAACAATCAATTCTAGTTCTCGTTCCTTCTTGGTACAGATATCGAGATCCGCGACAGTATAGTTCAGTTGGACACGAAAGCATGCGGCCTTTTCAATTTGCCGTTTGATGTCCCGCTCTTCTTCTTTCAGGCGTGCAATTCCCACTGAGTCACGCTTGGTATAACGCGGATGGCTGCAGCATTCTCGAAGACCTTTCGATACGCCATCAAATTTGATCCACAATTCGGTCATAGACGGGACCTCCTGGAGGACCAATGGCATCGTATCAAGTCGGTCTTGGAGGTCTCGTGCTTCTTCGTGTCGATTCTTGTCAAGCGCATCGTAGATGGAAGACTGTAACTTGTGACAGTACTTTAAGAGTAGATACCGCGAGTGCAGTGCATCCAAAGACCGACAGTATCCCAGATTGACATACTGCAAGAACTCGTCTTGCGACATGGTTCGAGCAGAATTCACCACATTGTTCAGCTTCCCCTTGCCAAATCCCTTGTACAATACACGGTAGCGAGAGTACGACAGTAGACTACTGTCACCATCTTCGCCTAGCTGCATCCCTCGAACCATTTCATTCCACAGACTGGTGGCACACTTTATACCAGGTGCTCGTTCTTGCTTAACGTGTCGACATAGTCGACCAAAGATCTTGACTGTAGATTCCAAGCCTAGGGCAGGAATGGAAATGTGGCGGTCTTCACAGTTCCAGGTCAGATGTAGCGGTTCCGAATTAATAATGATAAACTTGATGTGCTCTGTGGTTTCGATTAGAGTCGAAATCTTGTCCACCAACAATGGTACTGACTGGTATCCCAATCGGGTGGCATCCAGTACCAAGATCACATTTCGATCTTGGACTTGAGTCTTGATTCGGTGCGTCACTTCGTTCAAGGGCACTTGATAGCTTCCATTGCACAGCAGCTGGTGCGCTCGGAGCTCCATCCAAACAATGCCTTCAATCGAGTTGGTTTCGAGCCGTTGCTCCAAACATTGGCAAGCATTTTGTATAGTGCACCTCGTTCCAAGTTCGTCTTCCCCTGTGACCCAAATAATGCGAGCGTTTTCATCTTGAGTATCCTTGACTAGCTGGAGAACCTTCCATACTTCTGTATCATGTCTTGAAAAGTAACTGGGAAGTTTTGGAAAGTTTGTATTTGTAGTTCGTTTCCCTGGGATGGGTAACCTCCCATGGCTACCTCTGTAGGTCGCACAATCTTGGCTATCTCTATCTGATAGCAGACATAACTGGGGTGGTAAGTGCCTGTATATGGGATACAGTGAAACTTCGTTCATTGCCCGATCGTAGGCTTCCTTCACAGATACGGATTCACTTGAAAGAAAAGTAGAGTACATAACCTTGGAGAACTCGAGCACATAGGATACATTGATGTTGGTTCGATCCGAATGAGCACAGATGATATGGGCGGCACCTGCATTTCTCAGAGCTTCTCCAATGGACCGAGACTTGCAGGCAGCAATAAAGATTAGCTGAAAGACTGAAGCAAAGCTTTCGCAATCAGATCGATGACTTTGCAGTAGTGCTTCGAGATGAGTTACGGTGATGGGCAAGGCCGTACCCCATCCATCTTCAAAAGCCAGGTATTGTGGTCTAGCATGGCATGAAATGTGCAGACTCATGCACTGATTGGGCTGGTTTCGTACCAATTGCAAGAAAGATCCAAGCTGTCTCGGAGTTCCAATTTCAAAATGAACTCGTTGTCTTCTTCGTTTTTGCTTGGGTGCCTCATCAAAAACTCTTTGAATGACGTCTTGTTCTTGTTGAATGTCCAGCGGAGGCAGGTAGTTAGCACCCCCGCTGCCATTTTCAAACGCTAGAGGTGAGGCCTGAAACCAGACGAAACACGATTCAACTTCAGAAGCATCGTCATGGTCTTCATTGGTCGACATTTGGCTTGTTTCTTGCATGATTCGATATCCTATGAGGAGTGCTATCAGAATCTGATAGTCGAATGGACCCAAAATGAGCAAGACGACAAGCGTTGTCGCATTTCCTGTATGGATTGAGGTTGTGAGAGCGCAGTAGAGTAGATGCGTATAAAATATTTTCTGAAAATAGTTTTGGAACTTCAGAAATGAAAAACTTCTTCGATTTGTTCCAAGATTTCGTATTTATGGGTTACACAGGACTTTGTCTTTTGTCTAGTCTAAAATATCTTCCGTTAATTAACGAAGAATAACATACATAACAGCGAAATTGGCAAAAGACCAAGTGCACGTCTGAAATTTGACATCAAGCTTCTCTTTGCCGTCACTCTAGAACAACGTCACTTTTATATATTATACAAACAGTCAATCTAGAAGTTTGAAACTGATCGTACATAGTGATGAAGCTAGGATACATTATTGCATGCAGTAAAGATTGTTTCTCAAATGGTGAATTCATATTCCCATGACTTTACCAGCACCGTAGGAATCATCATGTCTTTGGTAGCCACGAGGTCCTGCTGTTGTAGTTCCATCCAATTTTTTCCCCGAAGCGATCAACAAGTGACACACGAAAACCAAGATACTGGTATAGCACTGACACAACAATACTGTGGACAATGGAAATGTCAAGCATCATCCCAAAAAGTGGTAAAAAAGTGATCAAGATCGGAACTTTGCGGATACCGAATTCCGATCAAACGAGTAGTCCAAGTTGGCCAAAACAGATTCCTTGTTCTCTGGATCCCTTGCGTACGGAGCCATCATGGCAGCAACTTCGGTCTTTTGGTACTGACACGTATTCATGACTGCCAAAATATGCTGACAAGTCAAGTTGTTGGACCCTTCAAACGCCGCCAAGAGTTCGCCTACAACAGATGGCTGATCCAAGGAAAAGGTGACCTTGGACAAGATGGATCCGAAATCAATCGGTGACAACAAGTGAGCTTGGGATGGATGTTCTCGGACCCAAATGCCTACTGTCATTCTCTTGTCGAATTCATTGTCCAACTTGTCCAGTAAGGATTCCACTGCCGATGAGCCCTGAGGAGCCATGGGTTCCGCTGGGACCATTGGAATTGTTTCCTGGTACGACGACGAGGTACTGGTAGTATGAGCGGCGGGTCCAGAAAAGGTAGTCACCATTGGTTGATACGTCAGACTATTCTGATCCCCGACATTTTGGTTGTCTTCCGGGCCCTCCCATGTATTCACTGGCATGCCGACAGCGACCATTTGCCCTCCATCTTCTGGGCCCGTAATCGTAGGAGCCGTGGTACAAGCGGAATCAGGACCGACTACCGCATGATTGAAAATGTCCCACATTCCAATAGATATAGTTTTGTGGGGCATGTTTTGATACTCCATCAAAGCTTCTTGGTATGGGGGAGCCGATGAAATCAAGACGGGCAAGAAGGCTTGGACCGAGGTGGCACACCCTTCCCCACCAACCTTGATGCCAATGGTATAGGTCCATTTGAGGCACGAATATAGAAAGCGGTCTCGTTTCTTGACGGCACCATAAAAGGATGGAAAGACTGGTGGTATATGAAAGGTCATGTTGCTGTTTGCTAGATTGGTTTCCATGTTGGGAATCAGCGGGATGGTCCCCAAAATGAACTCCCGCGTACTCGTATGAGTACTGTAGTAGGTAGACAGTTGGTAGTATCCCGTGAGAACAACGTATGCTTTCATGTCGTTCTTGCCTCCTTCGTACAATATGGTGGATCGACCCATGTTGACAGTTTCGCCAGGTGCGTATGCGATCCGACTCGTTTCAAACTTGACCGTGGCCACCCCACTCTTGCCGCATTTGCAACAGGACGAATAGAGAGGAGCTGGTCCCACAGAGGCCACGTGTGGCTGTATCAGTAGAGGCATTGGAATGGGTCGATTAGGAATGACAGTAATGGTTCGTTTCGCAAATGGGTCCTTCCAATTGGCCAAATCAATGTAGGCTCGGACCTTGTAGCGAATGTAGCTATAGTCACCCATTCTAAGTTCGGCCGAGGGAGGTGCATCGTGCCTGAGAGTAAAGGCGAAGGGGGCTGTAATTTCAGTTCCAGCCGGAATGGTGATTTTCTTTTGGGGACCTGGGAGCTTCTTTCCTGCTTTTATTTCTGTGCTCTTGGCGTCTTCCGGCCGATAGGCCTGAATGTAAACATCATTGCGTCCAAACATGTCTGCCTTGCGAAGCCCGGTAGCCTGATGCGCCTTGAGTACCAGACAGTATTCATCTTGGACATCTCGACTAATGGCAATCCCAGCAGACGTCCTCATTGGAAAGATGGCTTCGTATGGCAAAAACTTGGCCGACAAGGTCATTTCTCCCTTTCCTGGTTTCCCATTTCTCATCAAAGGAAAGCTTCTCTTTTCACCGGATTGCGCGAGTGCTGCCACATCCAATAGAATTTCACCCAGCAGATCGTCCTTCTTTCCCCAATCATAATCCATGGCTCGTACAATGATTTGCATATTCTGTGTTTCATTGGAGGAGCACGGTATTTGCAAAACTCCCAAATTATGAATCATGTCAAAGAAGGCATCTTCGCCAGCCTCATCAAAGACGCCAGTCTTGAAAAAGTTGCCTTGGACTGTAAATCGTTGATCTTGAAACATCGTAGAGCCAGAATAATCGGTCCGATTGTCTCCCGAACCTGTGTGCCAATGAACTCTGGCCTGTCCTTTGAGTTGAATGTTAAAGGCCCGACATTTCACGGAAGACTTGCAAGTGAGCTTGACCGTGCCTCGAACGACTTCGCCAGCGTAATAGATTCCATTGTCTCGTTCGAGATCAATGGATATTTTGGTCATTGTTAGTGGGTTGATTGATTGATTGATTAATTGATTGATTGATTGCTCACTGGTAGGTGCTGTACTGTAGCGCTATGGCAAGAAGAAACGTGATTGTGCTGATGATGATATTGATGATAGTTCTCACATTGATGAATAACGGTACACATACCGGTAGGTATATCCGCCAACCATATTTTCATTTTGAATTGAATTTCCAAATTGTCTGGCCGGCGCGCTTATAGTCCAAGGGACCGATTGATGATTTGAGCAACCTCTTACCAACATACAATAGGTACCAGTACTGTACGGTAGATCTTACAGTATATCTCCCCCATCTGTCCATCCCCTGGCTCTAAGTATGTATTGTAGGGAATGAATGAATGACTGAATCAATCAATCAATCAATCTCATTCCATTCATAAGTTTCTCCGGCCTGGAATTATCAGCCACCAGGGTCCTTCTTCTTGGAATGAGGCACAATGAGGAGATACAGTAGCGACGGGGTGCTTCAATATTTAGACAGAAACATGCTCGAATATGAGAGGATATTGTTCCGAACTGCGTCTATCAAGCGCATTCTCTAGTATGACTATTGGAAGCATCCTGCTTGAATCAATCAATCAATCATCAATTTGTTCCTTGTTGGTGTCCCATTCTTGCTTCCCCTCCCCTTTTGGAGAATGTTGGCCCCGTCGACGGTCGCGCGCTCGCTGCATGTCTGTGATGATGGAGGAGCTCCAACTATTTCATGATCGCACATTTTAGTTTCCGTGCGTTCTCTGACTTTTAATTTTCCGTTCGATGGACGCATTTGGAGTAATTTCACGATTACACATTATGTAGAAATGAGTTCCAATATTCGATTTCTGTTGTTTCAATAGTGCATAGGTGGTGCAATCACTAATCAGATGGCATTCTGACAAATATGCCCATAGATTAACCTTACCATAGATCATCCCTATTTATGTGCAAGGCGCTTTTGCAACACAGTCCTGGAAACGTATTAAGTGCGACATACGAATTTCAAGAATCCCACAAACGGCCCGCTTTCGGAAACTGACCAAAAAAAAAGGTGCATTTGTTAATCACGGGTTCATCTCATTTCATTCTTTTCCTTGTGAAAAAGCACACACAAACTTAGCGACTGTGCAATCATTGTGCTGTTTTAGAACTGACCCTTACTTGAGAGAGAGAGCGAGAACTGCTTCCGTATCACCATTCAAATCAGAAAAAGAACCCATCACTTTATACAGTCCAGCAGCTTCAAGTTCATCGTTCATTCATTCATTCAGCAACAAAGCGAAACGAGGCGAAACGAAACGAACTTTGAATCTCTCAGATCAATCTAATCAAGCTTATTGATTCATTCCTGCATTCACACATTCACACATTCACAAATTTTCAGTCTCTCAACATGATGGACAACCGAGATGAGAGTCGGAATACTGTCACGGCCAGCAGTACGGCAGGCAATGCTAATGCTCTTTCCATATTCATGAAGGACTTGCAGATTTCGCCATCCTTTAGGATTGTGATGGACAATCCCAGAACCCGAAGCTCTCCGCAAATGCTCTTTTCCAAATCCAAATCAGAAGGCAAGGGAAGTACGAGATGGCACGCGACGACAGATAAGGTGGATATTACCAGCATGGTCAGCCTCAGCAGTGGCAGTAGTATTAGCAAGACTAGTACTAGTAGCAACTCGAGCAACCCTTCTGGTAGTGGCAAGAACAAGAAGCTGCGGAGAAAGCTAAAGAGTTCTGTTAAAAACAAGAGTAACAACTTTGAAGACGAAGAAGAACCCTCCAGAGCACCTCCTCGGTCCTCTTCCTTTGATGCAAGTTCCATCGCCTGTCAACGACGAAATAACCCACTCAATCGGAGTTATTCGGATCACTTGACTCCCACCAAACATAATAATACTCCTCACGCCCCCACATTGCCCAAACGCCGATTGTCCCGCGATTTGGACAAGGCTCCCCAAATGGTCGTCCGAAAAGTAGGAGCAGCCCCCAATGTGAGCACGGCCAATGCTCGGATTCCAAGGCGACGCAATACTTCTCGAAGTCCCACAAGGCATGATGCTACTAATACTAATAGTAGTAGCAGCAGCAGCAGGAGTCCCTCCCGAACCACCAAGGACTTGTTGTTGGATCAAGTGATTGTGAGTTAGTAGGCACTCTGCTGAACTTCACTGAACTCGACACTGTACTCAATGAACAGAACATGCTGTCGCCTACTATCCAAATGATACAAGACATCCATATTGCTTGCGGCCTTGTGAAGAATGAACGAATCAAAGTCCTAATCCTATGTATCCACCACCGAGTGTGTGAAGCAAGGTGGATCATGAAACGATTGTTTCTTCCAGCAAACAATCAGGCCATTCTGATTCTGATCATATAGTATCATTGCGGATCTTCTACTGTGGGCAATGTCGCCACGTGTACCTACGATATTTCCTGCCTGACGAATCCAGCAAACGCATGCTGCATTCGTTTTTTTTCCGGAATAGAATAGAATCGAATGAAATGAAATGACCCAAAAGAGCAGGGTTCAGACTCTGATACACTCGTACGCATCAAACACCTAACTGTGCTAATAGAGTGCTGCCCACGATACCGGCACATTGTTCTAATTCTAAATATATACTATAATATGATATTTAGCTATGAGATAGGAGATAGGTATACTACTGTAACAAGAAGGATGCATTGTAGCAACACATGTATAATAAATATTCCTACGGACTCCATGCCCCAACGAACAGATGATCATCACAATGTGATGATGATGAACGAATGAATGAATGAATGCATCATTCCTATGATACATAACGATACCTACTTGGACTGCGCAATTTCATATTTGGCCTTATTTTCGCCGCCCCATTCGTGCCACTCACCAGTGCCGTCTTCCTTGTTGTAGATGATCGTCATTTTCTCAATTTTAATCTTGTTGGCATTGTCCAACCAGGACTTTTGGGGAACGGAATGAATTCTGGGAACCACATCATTGAAACCTTCTACCACATCACCAAAGTTCGCATCGGCTTCGTGTGGGTTGTGATGCTGTTGGGATCCTGGTCCATGATTGATGGAATTGTCCATGATGCTAATGTAAAAGCCTGGCCCACTCGGTCGTCCGGCATATCCCGCGGTTCCCTTTTTGTGGGGATGCTCGGGAGAATATTCTTGAAAGGGCATGCTTTTGGTGACTTCGGATCGAGCGGCGGCTTGCAACACATGATTGGCATTCCGATGAAAGGCGCCCCCCTTCCAGGTGCGAGCAATTTCCAAAAAGTTGAAGACACTGCAGGGAATGAGACTGGCGGATGCCATTTGGATCGTCACTTGACCGGTGGGTCCCTTTTCTTTGTAGTCCGGAATGGACTCGGGGAATACCAAATCCAAAATGACACGAAACTTGTAAGGTCCATAACGCTGCTTGAAGAGTTCGTAGGTCCAATGTTGGAGTTCTTTGGTCAACTTCAAACCTTCCGGATCCGTTTCCATGATCATGTTTGGTTTTTTCTTGTGTTCTCGTACTTTGGCATCCAAGGAGCGTACTTTTCGGACCAGTTTGTTGTCGGCCATGAGTTCGTCCAAGGCCCTTCTGCCACCATGGTCACCAGAACTATCACTGTCGCTGCTCACGTCATCCGCTGGTGTTTTGCCTTTTCGAATGTTATTGGAGCCATCGCTGATGCTATTGCTATTACTACTGCTACTGCCGCCAGTCATGGTAATACTAGTAGTACCCCACAACTTTCCCCAAGGAATCTTTTTCGTGGCATTCAAATGAAACAAGACCGTACTCAAACCAATAACAAGAAAAAGGAGACATCGGAACTGTCGTTTCTCCTTTCGTCGGGTCCTGGATGCCTTTTCATTCTTCTCATCATAGGATCTGGCGGTGGATAATAAGAGAGCGCTGACATCGCCCTTTCTTCCTGAGGAAAAGCGAGGTTTGAGTTCTGACGGCATTGTGGGGTTATTGTCTTTATCAATGTATTATTCTTCAGACTGTAGAAGGGATTATTATAGAGTGTGAGGTTGCTGATGGGTGACGAGAAGCTTGTTTTCAGGTTGGTTATCCTATATCATAATCGCAGCATGTATATAATGCTCATCATCATCACTGCTCAACCGCGGTATTCAAAATGCCTTTGTTTAGAGCTAAATCTGTCCCGATTTTCCTGAATTCTCCTGTCATGTTCACTGAGTATATTATACCGGTATACCGGTACCGGTAGGTAAGTCGCATGTTGCATGCTTCAGATACGGCAAGTAACAGTATCTCTATCAAATCTATTTCATTTACAGTACACATGATCAAATAAGCAATCCACCAATCCACCAAACCGATCCCCAAAAATCTATGATGGTGTAACAATCGAACTGTCCTTCCATTCCTTCCATTCATTGTTATCATAATGATCCTTCTCCTTGTACAAGATGGTCATGCTGGTAATCTTGACGTAATTGGATCTGTCCAAAAATTCTTTTTGTGGAATACTATGAATTCTAGGCACCACATCGTCCATTCCTTCCACCACGTCACCAAAATTGGAATCCGCTTCATAAGGATTGGCTTTTTGTTGGGTGCCCGGTCCATGGGCATTGGTATTGTCCAATATGGAAATATAAAATTGAGGTCCACTCGGTCGTCCAGCATATCCGGTGGAACCCTTCTTGTGTGGATGTTCGGGAGAATATTCTTGAAAGGGCATGTTCTTTTGGACTTTGGAAATGGCATTGGCCTGAAGGACATGGGCGGCATTCCGAATAAAGGAACCCTTGTGAAAGGTCCGCGCAATCTCTAAAAAGTAAAAGACACTGCAGGGTATCAGATCTATGGATGCCATTTCAAAGACCACTCTTCCGGTCTTTGATTCGTCGTTGTAGTCCGGAATGCTGGGTGGAAATTCCAAATCCAACGCCACTCGAAAGGTATTATGATTTCCATATCTGGACAGAATCAGGGCTCGTGTCCAATGTTGTAGTTCCGATATCATTTTCTGAGCAGTTGGATCGTTTTCCATAAACATTCCTTCCATTGGCGTGTACGATCGGACCTCCTTTTCCAATGTGGCAACTTTTTCGGCCAATCCTTTTTCATCTTCCACTGATGGTCCTACTGCTACTGGTACTGCCATTTGTTGCTGTTGTTGCTGTTGCTGTTGCTGTTGTTGTTTCATCATTCCAAAGGCGTGATTGTTGGAAATGTCCTTCATGACAGACCCGGACCGATATTTGGCAGAATACATGCTGTAAAAAGCAAAGAGCACCAATCCAACAATCATGAACGGCAAATACTGGACATTCAAACCCTTGGACCTGCGAATTTTGCTTGATTTTTCCGTCGCATCCCGGCTGTGCGAAGGATTCAAATTGGAACTTCCATAGCCAGTGAGATCGATTTTGTTGCTTCTTTCACCACTTGGTGGAGCGCGGACTTTGAACAATGGTGCCATGTTAGTATCCTATTAATATTACTTGACAAAGGAAGCAGGATTATTGAAATGATATTCTTCTGCGGCTTCGACCAAAATAAGTTAGTTGTCGAAAAAGCAATGGCAGACGGCATTGCCAATGTCCGTTGGGATTGGACGCTACAGCAGTACTACTATTGTGTGATAACAATGAAGATTTTGACTGATACGAGTAATACCGGTATACCCCTGGTACCAATACCTACCGTACAGTATGATCTATGATGATGTCATGTTACTAAATGGTATTTATGTTTTCTAAAAGTTGTCACTCTTGCTTTTATGTGGAGGCAATATCGGGAGTAACATTGCGAGCCTCTTCCGCTTCCTTTACCAACTTGATAAAGACTTGCTCCAAAGAACATTGAGCAATGGAATAATTCTCGACGATTCCTCGGCTTTCCTTGAGCTCCTGGAGGCGCCCAAAGGTAGTTCCCAAACCAATGGTCGAGACCTTGTTCACGTCGAATTTCAAGAAACGGCCATGGCGTTCTGAAATGACGCTACCAGGAATGATCCGCGTGCAGATTTCTTCCACCACGGAATCGATCATTGCTTCGGAAGAGTTGGGAGCCAGAGAAATGTCAATTGCGTACCCATCCAAATGCTTGGTCTTTAGGTGCTGAACTGTGCCCAAGGCAACAAATTGCCCTCGAGCCATGATACCAATGCGGGAACAAAGCGCTTCTGCTTCTTCCATGGAATGCGTTGTAATCACCACGGATCGTTCCAAGGCCAGCTTCTCAATAAGCCCCCAAAGTTTCTTTCGGGCCAAAGGATCCAGTCCACTGCTGCATTCGTCAATCAACAGAACGCCGCCATCGGCCACCAAGGCAGCAATACCAAGACTCAACTTTCGCTTGTTTCCGCCAGAATAACTGTCGGCCGTCTTGTCCGCATGAGGTGTCAAGGTCAACTTTTCCAACAAGGCAGTCACAACCTCCTCAATCCTGTTGGCTTGAATGCCACGGAGTCGGGCAAACATGCGCAAGGTTTCTCGACCAGTCATCAACCCAAGTAGAGGATCAATTTGTGGGCAGAAACCAATGTTCTTGCGGGCCTCTTGGACGCCTCCGGGAGTGGCGCCTGTGATATCGTGCCCAGCAACGTAGGCTTCTCCTCCAGTAGCGGCAATGTCACCGGTCAACATGCCCAAAGTGGTGGTCTTTCCAGCACCATTGGCGCCCAATCTATAATGCAATGGAGCAAATAACAACAAGTCGTCGTAGTGAGAAGAGTGAATCAATCTATCGACATTTTTCTTTTCACAAGAACAAGAACAAGTTGTTGCAGTAAGAAACTTACAATCCAAAGGTTTCTCCTCGTTGAACAGCAGCAGTAAGACCACGGACAGCGCGACGAGGTCCAGAGTGGTCGCTATTTGATTCGTCTTCTTGATTTGATCCCTTTCCAAGACCACAACAGCAGAGCAACCATTTGATTCGATTGATGAGGCCACCAAGTAATCCAATGGAAGGAGGGAATACTTTCCACAAATCACGCAAGACAATTGGAGCCGATTTGTGCAACTCTGGCTTGCGATTGACAAAGTCTGCCTCTTTTTTGACATCGTCGTTTGGAGCAAGGTCGACAAGTCCATCATCCAATGTCAACTTGTTGCCGACCTTCTTCACCCCGTGGACCGCAAGCACGGTTCGTTCGTAGCTGCCCCTCACGTAACGAACGATGCGACCAGCCATACCACCAGAGCCACCATCGTCAGCATATTCCAGAAATAGAAGAATCATAAAGTAGGCAGGTGCCAATCCATAAAGCAAGGTAATCGATCTACCGGCGACCTCCCAATCAAATGGACGCTTCTCCGAGGCTAAAACTTCCCTTTCCCAGTAAGCGCTGGAGAGTTCAATAAAGCCTTCTCCGACGTTAAAAGCTGGCCACAGTCGAAATAATGGGAGCAGGCTCGCAGCCAAAGCTTGTGTGTCCTCGAGTGCGGTCATTAAGAAATATGCATTCACGGCAACAAAGCCGGTGAGAAAGACCAGTCCAATGACAGAAATCTGTGCTGTGGAAGGATTGTCAAAGTTTCGTGCCAACAAGTACGAGAACGGCAAAATCGAGAAGCCGTATCCCAGAGTAATGAGAGCAGTGGCAAAGAATGCTTCGATATCTCCAATGAAGACTGCCGCTGACTCGGTTCCATATGCCAAAAAGACAAGCATGATGAACACAGTGAGCAAAAAGAACAAGCTCATGTCCCAGAGATAGGTCGAGAACCAGTAAGATGTCATGTTCACTCCGCTGACCAATTGAAGATGTTTGGACTTGCTAATCTTTTCCTTCACAATGAACACACTGAATGCACCAGGAATGTAGCAATATGGGATGAGGAGGAAAAGAGCTGCGACAACACTCAAAATTGTCTTGATTTCGATCGTTTCCTGTGCTGTGATAGGCAACGGGGCATTGATAGACTTGAGCGTGACAGTGTCGCTTGCTTTGCACTGGCCGTATTTGTATTCCATGTAGGCTTGATTGAAAGCAGCAACTGCATGGGGCGAGGAAGAATTGTGCAGAATACTTGTTTGAGCTTCGATTGGCATAACAAATTCTTCCGGAATCATCGGTCCAAGACTATCCAGTGCGACATCGAGCAAATCAAAGGATGCAAACGGCAACAATACCGGTAAGTCCTCATCTGCAATCAGTGTTAGATTGTAAATGTTGAGAGCGAATGACGGCAATTCCAACGTGATGCTCGATGCTTGCAGCCGGATATCGAACAAGTCGTCACCATCAATCGGCAATCCAAGCGAGTCAAGAGTTCCATTATATCCGACTGAGGAAAGAAGGCCACTGAATATCTCCGAGAAGTCAAAGGTCGTGTTGGTATACTGAGAATCAAAGCGAAGCGAAACAAGTGTGAGTCTTTTGTTCAACAGAATGCCTACGACCAAATAAGAGAACTTACTGCCACTTCGCTCAAAGACTCTCGCAATATGACTGTAGCAGCAATGGCGATTGCATTGGACAGCTGCTCACTGTCTGTCGCATTTAGCTGTTCGAAGTATCCAGTTCCTGGAATTTCACCAATCGTTGTTCCGTTAAGAGTGATATTGGTGCCCAATGTGGTGCCGTTGAAGAGGCCAATGTCGCCCAGCAAAGTATCATTGAAGAAACTGTTGTCCCCGAAGAAAGTGTCATTGCCAAACAAGTTATCGTCGACAAAGTCAGTGTCGGTCAACTGTGCTGTGACATTATCAAGCAAGCGGAAGAAGCTCGAACCACTTGGAATCATGGTGGCATTGGTTTGAACTCCCAGTGATTCATAGACAAAAGGTAACAGGGAGTCAATGGCTCTAATCAGAGTGGATCGGTTGTATGGGCCAGAAGACTGAATGAAGCTGACAAGGTCAAAAGGATCGATTTGCAAAATCTTGCTATCAAATACAGAAGCAAGTGGATCATCAACTGTCATATTGTCTTCAACCATTTTCGTGGAATTTTCATTTCCTGTTGTATTGCTGTTTGCAATGGAAGTGGTCTGGTTAAGATTTCCAATGCCTGGAAGCTGCAATTCAATATCTGGAGAGAAATAGTAGGTCCGGTTCAAATAGTCCTCCAAAAATCCAAGTGATAGGTCTGTCATATTGCTAGCCGACAGCATCGAGCCTAGACTTGTATCCACTAGCTCTGTAAGCTCGGGCTGAACAAAGATGAGGGAGAGCCTGGAATTTGCAACGAAAAACGGGTCGATGATGATTCAACTTACAACGTCTATTGTCACACTTGGCAGCGTGATTCCAAAACTCGATATCATTGCAGGCAAATCAGTTAAGTTGACGGCCACATTCAGGGTTCCATTTTCATCACCGAGTCCAAACAGCGAAATGAGTTCAATTTCAGTCTGCTCAATTCCAGCAGTCAAGCTCTGGAGACCTCCTGCTGTATCAATCAATGACTGGATCGCGGATACATCCAAACCAAAAGTAAAGTTCACCATGTCGTTCAAGACAAAAGCACCAAATCGTGTAGCGTGGTCTCGATTGTTGTAATTGTCCAGCAAAAATTGCGAAAGACCCATTGAGGAGTCAGTGTTTGTATCCAAAGTGAACTCGGCATTGCTGTATCTTGTCTTGATACTTTCCATGAACAAGTCAGTTGCTTCTGACGCGTCTTCCAGTGCTGAGCTCGAAGATAGCCTGTCGGAAATTACAATATTCGTTGCTGAATTTCTCTTGCCTCCATTCGATGTTTGGAACATGGCAGGATTCATTTCTAGTCTCCCATAAACATTTGGGGGCCTGACCGTCAAGATTACGAGCACGACAGCAATGACCAATATGGGGACAATGATGGTAAAGCAAGCTCCTTTCTTATCACGGCGTTGGATCGAGAGTCGCTTTCCATAAAGTAGACCGATTTGCCCCAATGGCGAAAGATGCGAATACTCGCCATCGTAAATGACTTCGTCGGGAGTCTCGCTAGGACTTGACGCTTCTTCCAATTCGTCAGATTTGGATTCGGCCAACTGCAGAAAGACTTCTTCAAGTGAGCTGTTCTGAATTCCATACGCGCCAATGCCAAGGTCGTCCTTGTTTATTTCAATGTCGTCAAAGGCGCCAGGAAAAGACACTTCGGAACCTTGTGGGAAACGGAATGTCACTTCCTTTCCCGATGTGCGAACGATGGTTGTGTTTGCGATTCGCTCGTTGAGGAAGCCCAAGACGTTTTCTCTTTTCTTTAGAAAGACGTTCTCGGATGGTCTGGCAGGCCCGCCTTCTTCATCACCCTCGACTGCTGGAGGTTCCAAAACAACCGTCATGCTGTATCCCAAGCCGAAGCGCTCCTTCAAGAAGATTGGCGAACCGCAACACTTCAGCTTGCCTTCCTTCATTACCGCAACCCTGTCGGACAAAAGTTCTGCCTCATCCATGAAATGAGTGGTCAAGAGAGTAACACGTCCTTTTTTCTTTGCGCGAAGAAGTTCCCAAACTGCTCTTCGACTATGCGGATCCATTGCAGAAGTTGGCTCATCCAAAATCAATACATCGGGGTCACCGGACAAAGCAATTGCAACCGATAGCTTTCTCTTGTTTCCTCCAGATAGAGCCTTCGAGGCAGTGCCGAGGTAGTCTGTGAGCCCAATCTCCTCAGCGTGTCCAAGAATCTTATTCCTCTCTGGATGAAGGCCCTTGATGCGCATGAAAAATGCCAAATGCTCGTACACGGTAAGCTCGTCGAAAAGAATGTTGTGCTGCGGGCAAATTCCAAGCGATTGTCTCGCTTCCTGCTTGCTATTGACAATTGACTTATTGTACAAAACACAATCGCCAGATGTAGGTGGGAACAGGCCAGTCAAGACCGATACAGTAGTTGTCTTTCCAGCACCGTTGTGTCCCAAGAGAGCTGTGATCTGGGATTCGTACATCGTTAGATTCAACCCGTCAACAGCCGGTGGAAAAGCAGTTTTGCCCTTGAAGTATTGCTTGACCAGACCACGAATTTGTACCTTTGGAATCAAATTAGTGTCATTCACTGGCTCGACATCCGGACTACAGCAAACAGAGACACAATTAGAAAACGAAATGTCCGTTGGATCCGTTCTAAGAGAGCATTCTTGACTAGAAATACATACCTTTCGTTGTCAATATCAGGAAAAATCTCAGCCTTTCCTCCGTCTTTCTTGGCACATTCTCCCAACCAATAGCTTGGAAGGAACAGGAAGTAGAATGGGCGGGGAACGCCGTACTGCTGGGGAAGAACTTGATCTAGATACCAGCCAATAAAGATGTACAAGAATGTGTCCGCCAGCATCATCAAAAGTGCAGTGTTGAAAGAGTAGCCACCTTCGCCTGCATTGTAGCTTTGGATTCCTTGCTCAGCATACTCGTAGTCGGCAATGATATCAGCACCAAAGCAGAATGCAGTTGCCGGAAAAAGAGACGACAAGATCTGTCCAGTGACATTTTCGTAACGGTTGCTTTCAAAAAAGACAAACCGAGGGAGAATAGTTGCGAAAAGAGCGATGGGTCCGATGATAGCTGCCAACTTGGCACGTGAAAAGAAACTTGCAATTGCAAAGCAGAATCCGATAGTAGACGTCCCGAAAAGGAAGACGAATGCAAATAGGTATGCAGGATCTGTGTGTTTCAGGACAGTCGCAGACAGAGTGAAGGCAACTGATACCGTAATAATAATGAACACCAAAAGAGCGGTGAGGAACCAACTCATCCAATGTGCCCAAGTACGCACTCCGAGAATCAACAGCGTTTCTTTCATCTTGGTCTCTTTCTCTTCCACAAGCGTCTTGATGAATCGTGAGGTTGGATACAAGAATGCCATTGCCATTGTCAGTCCAAGAAGGTAACCAACTTGAGTAAAGAATGGATTCTGCGAGTATGCCGCCGTTGGCATTGCTGTACAAAGGAAAGCAAAGCGCAAAGTGAGCAAAGCAGAATCTCGGAAATTGTGAATGGTCACAAGTGAAACAATATCCTTACGCATGCTCATGATGGATGACAAGTCTTGATCGCAACCGCTTTGCGCAAAGGCAAACTCGTTGATCGTTCGTTGCAAGGTCATGTATCCTGACAAGTAGTATCGCTGGTATCTTCGACTCAACCCAATATTGGCCCAATTGGTAATCTCATTCACATTTGGAACGGTGGTGTAATTCAATCGAATCTGGTACGAATTGGAATCCTGTTCCCGATCGAAATTAGCGAAATCGAGCAATGCCCATGTACGCTCTTCTCCGTTGGTGGCCTCAATGTAGTTCAGAGCGGATGCTTCGTCATCGTGCATTCGGACGCGAAAGTTTGAAATGTTGGTTCCAGAAGTGGCCAACATGATCACTGGGTAGGTCTCATTCAGATATGCCCAAAAGTCTTCGGCCGCTTGATTCCTGGGACTGAGGTGCAGTGTACCAAGGGTAAGAAGATTTCCCCATTGTCGACCAAAACTCGTTTCGCCGAAAATCCGTGGCAGACTGTCCAGTGGAACGATATTAAACAATGCTGTCGAGATGGACACAAATTGCGAGAAGGATGGTGTTGGAATGGGACCCTGGAGGAGATCACGTATCTGTAAACAATGCGAAGGACAACGAGAGAATGGTGATAATGTTAGAAATACAGGTTGGACGCAGCGTTAGATAGAGATAAGCTTTGAGTAGTAGTGGCTCACCTCATCGCGTGCATCGTCCAACAATTCATAGGATTCCACTTCTGCATCAAGGCTTGTATCCACGTTATTGCGGAAGGTTTGAAGACGTCGATTGTGGCTCTGCTGGTCCATCTCATCGGATGCGATCTCTTGGGTGTGCTTCAACATGATTTGTTCCATTTTCTGCTGAAGCCCTTCAAAGATTCCATCCCAAGTCTTTTCGTCGTCACTGGTGTCTGAGTTCATCATTTGTACCAAAAGATTTGGATCTTCTCCTCGGGTGCTCTTCTTGAGTTTGCGGCGACGGCCCATGGCATCAGCCATATCACTGCCGGGGAAGACTGACTGGGTCCTCTGGGCAAGATCGATCCAGGGTCCAGGAAATGCGAGATTGAGAGAAGCATACATTGCCGCATCCTCATATTCAATCTCTGTCAACGTGTAAGCAGCCGACAATACCAACATCATGAGTACTGGACTGAAGAGTTCAAAGAAGGTTGCTCCAGGTGTTCGAAGCTTGGTAAGAATATTCTTGCGAATAAGAGCCAAGATTTGAGAAAGGCTCGATGCCTGACGATTACCACGGCGAGTGGAAGCAGGATCGGAATCTTGACTGCCCACAGTTTGCGAGTCTTTCTCCACGTCCCTCGCGGAGGAAACAGACGATGCGTCCTCCGTTGCAATGCCTGCAAAACTAGCCTTGGCTGGTTCTTCGGGACTGTCTTCTTCTGCAAATCCACTTTCAGTTTCCTTCATGTCCTTATTATCAGAAGCCGCAGCAGACGATGAAGGCTGTGAAGATGGTTCGTCTTTTACCGCTTTCGCAACAACTTGAACAGTTTCCTCTTCCGACGACTTTGTTTCCTCGTTTTCATTCTCATCTTCACTACCTTCATCAGATTCTTCTTTTGGCTTGTCGACATCTGATGCAACAGCTTTGGTTGTTTCCGATGGTGGATCCTCTTCAGCTGTGTCAGCAGTAGCAGCAGCTTCTTCCACTGCATCGTTAGCATCGTCAGCATCATCAGCACCGTTCGAGGCAGCCTCATTGTCGCCATTCTCAGCTGTTTCTTCAGCAAGAGCAGCTGCCTCTTCTGCAACACTTTTCTCCTCTTCTGAAGGAACTTTGCGAGCAGAAGAAAATTCTTCTGGTGCCGTGGTAATGGGTGCCGATGCTTCCGCTTCCGAGGCCATGATGTGTATATTCTTTGGTGATATCAGACGATGATGATGTCCTCCAAAGTTATTCTGCTTCTCAATGTGCTAGAAAGAAGATGATCCAAGATTCAGTCTCCTTCTTTTACAAGTTCTTTGGACAATGAAACCTTTGCTCGTTTCGTTGTATCCGATGTGTTTTTGTGGACTGGCTCAGATGGTACAAATGCGCTGTGTCAGCGATACCAATATCACTAAATCGATCTTGCCAAATATAATCCTCGGACAGAATATAAAAAATACAATATGATAGGCACCTTCTCGTCATGGAAGTTCCTGTGTGTTCATTCTCTGAATCGTACTTGCTCGAACTAGTCGAACATTACCCGGGACTCGCAACGCAACGCATCAACCAAGCATTCTCAAATCTGAAACGGAAGCAAAAAGTAACGAATACGGCTGCTTGGTTGCTTGTTTGGATTGTTCCCTCATCCATCTACCATATCTGAATAAACCCCAAAAATGGGAGCTTCGAAGTTGCCACTTATTCGTTTCGAGACAACAAAGCATATCTGTAGACTAGACTAGACTAGACTAGACAGAAGTTGATATTTCGTATCGAGTACTATACGCCGAGTAGTACCAATCGACCGCATGGGTCACTCGTGACTCGCTGGAAGCCGATGGATGGAATGAGACGATGACGACGTGGTGAGTCAGTGCGCGCATGCAGTATCTACGGACGCATTATATGGGGAGACATCCGATCGACATGCGGCATTCTGGCACCAAAACGTCAATGCTCGAAAACCGAAAATCTGAGAGAGTTTTAGAGGAGATCGCGGGCGTGAAGGAAGTGAGTGTCTCGGTGTTTCACATTTGATCATCATTGCTTATGATCAGGAAGGTCAGGAAGGAGCTGCAGGCAGAACGTGAGAAGGAGGAAGTAAGGAGTCGTCGATTGCTATCACGCATATTCGTACCGGTATACCGAGCCTTCTGACTGAGGAAAAAGAGAAGATCTGAAGGCCATCTATTTTCTGATACACTGCAAATGACTGTTAGATTTAGGGTTATTCATAACATCAACGTCAACGTCAACGTCAACAAACAATACTATCCTACTTGCATCGCTGAGATCCACAACTGAAGAGACCAGGATACGATTGTAAATCATGCCGGCTCGATTAAGCGAAAGAGAGGATCCAAATGGTAATCGTCCAAATCGATCCACCAGTAGATCACCAATGATGTCAGACAATTCTCGGAGACGACGATCTCAAGAAGCCAGATCCAGAACACCGCCTAGTGGGGATGGCAGAAGATCTCTGACACCCCCACCACGACAGGGATCTGCTTCCCCCGCAAGAAGACGAGTCTTACGAAAGGGGTCAAGTGTAAGGAACCCTGATAAACCACAGATTAGTCCGAAAGGTAATAGTACTCGTCGGTTGCCAAAGTATAATTCCTTTACTGGAATCACTGATCCCAATACTCGCAAATCATCCAATAAAAGCATGCCAAGCAATGGTGATACTAGTACCGTGACTTCCACCAACTCGACCCGAAGTGCTCGGCAGCCCAAGCGGAAAGGATCCATGACTGCCGATTCCAAGATATCCCCAAGCGCGGATCGGATTGCATCCGAACCGGCTGGTGGTGGTGGTCGGCACAACAACAACAACAACAACAACAACAGCAGCAACAACAGCAGCAGCAACAATACAAACAACAGCAATAACAGTCGCCAAACCAAACGTATAAATAGTCTTGGAAATATTGGACAGCAACCACGGACACAGACACCCAAACGAATGATGAGTCTTCAACTAGCATCACAACAACAACTTCCACGGACACAGGCACCCAAGCGCATGAACAGTCTTTCATCGAACCTTGATGCTGGACAACAGCAACAGCAACAACCAAGGACCCAGCCACCCAAACGAATGATGAGTCTTGGAAATATAGGAGGACAACAACAACCGAGGATACAGGCCCCCAAACGCATGAACAGTCTTTCCTCGAATCTTTCACCAAAGGATTCTGCCCTCATTCGCATCCGATCCCCATCCTTGCGAAAAGAAAGGTCCAGCGGTGGCAATCAAAACAAAAAGGAACTCAGAAGCAATGATTCCACAGTCTCGGAAAGTGAAAATGGTTCTTCCTCGAATCGTCAGCTACGATCCAAAAGCAAATCTGCTAGTATTACGCCAGCTCGATCCAAACGATGGAACTTTACTGGAAGCGTCTCCATGTCCGAAGACGATGCCGAATACGGCGATTCCGCTAGCGTTGGAGCCTTTGAGGATGATCCGCATGACAACAGCAATAGTAATCGTATTACCAAGCACAAGGTGGGAGAAGTGGATTCTGACAGTGAGTGGGATTCCGATGATTCGGACGAAGAATACAGCCGGATGATGAGGAATAATTATGCCGACACCGCCGCTGCTACCATGACCGAAAATGGAAGCCTTCCACCACCCAATCAAAAGCGATTGCAAAAACGAAAGCATCACGATGCCTTGTTCCCGGATGACAAGTGGTGGCAAAAGTGTCTGCGGCATTTTCGGATTCTACCACCCATTCCCAACGAAGGCCGCACGAGGAGGAGTGTTCGAAAATTGATTTGGGCGACTCTGCTATTCGACGTTTTGGTAGCCATTGTTACCATTGCGACCTACAGTGGGACTGTCACCATGTGCTGCAACCAAGTCACCATGGCGAGTATCCCATCCATTGATTGGAATACCTTCATCAAGGTCGTTTCCTACATTTACTTGGTTGGAATCTTCTTGGAGATTCATCCCGTGGTGAGAGAGGGTCCCATACCCTGGAACTTGCTCAATCCCATCTTTGGTAGTTTGCTGAGTTTTGCTGTCTTTGTTGACGACAGCAAAGCCGAAGCCATTGGCATTTGGATTTTGGAAATCGCATCTGTCATTTTGGAAGGCTTTACCTACCTTCGATTGAAAAAATTGTATCAACGAGAAGAACGTCGATTGGAAAAGCTGGATGGCTTTCTGAAGGATGAGCAAAGTTCTTCGAATGAGCATCGAAAGGGTGGCCAATACAAGAAGAACGCCTACTTGCGTGAGCGTCGGATTTTGCGAATCGAACATGCCCAAAACAAATCCAAACTCCGGTACCATTTTGTTGGAGTCTCTGTGAACTTTGTTTTGGTCAGTTTGACCCTCCTTCTCATGATTCTTGTGGCTCGAGGTAGAGGGATGTGTTTGGTGGCTGGACAAGGCTTGGATTTGTTCAATCCCGATCAGAGGTCTCGTTGCTTTGAGTGCTTGGACAAATCACAAGGGTGGAAAGAAAGATGCGAAGTGTGCGAGGAAGGTCCTAATGCGGACCCGACGATGAATGACCCAATACAGTGCTTCTACCCGTACTTCTAGTGGTTGTTGACAACGGCAGCAAATTAAATGAAGTTTTCATAAGACATATGCTACCTAGCTTTGTGAGACTGTATATTGTCCATATTCTCTATGTCCTTTTTTCAAGTTTCATTATGATTCAATGAATTCAACAGAATGAATCTCAAGATCAAAGGGAAAGACGCCCTTACCAAATGTCGATACAGGATTCGGCTTTCCATTGCTCAATTGCAATGAAAGCATAAACGTAATTTCCTTCACAAGGTCCTTGTTGAAACTAATTCCAGATGGAGCCTTTCGTGGACCCATGGCTGGGATCAAGTCAGAATAGTGAACCTCCAATACTTCCAGGTCCCCTGACTTTGCTGTGGTCGGAATATCCTGTTGCCACGAAAGTGTGTCGTAACGATGACTTCCGTCGGACATGGTGAACTTGAACGTTTTGCCATCTCCTTTGAACTTGATCCGAATGCCAGTGGAGTTTGGAGGCAGACTAGCTGGAAGTTCTGCTCGGATAGAACAAAAGCCACCACCGTTGGTGTTGATGGTACCAGAAAACTGCAGTGTGCCTTCTTCGTCAACTTCGCCACGTTCAGTTGATGATTGCCCACCCATGACCCCATCATCCAAAGCAAACCAAGAAAGGCTCGACAGGTCGAGGACGTTGCTTGTGCTGGATTTGGTTGCGGTGTCAATCATCCCGCTAACTGGAATATCGCTTGGTGATTTCCCAGCGTTCGTGAATGAGAAACAGATGACAAGCAAAATAAAAGAGGGAAAAAGCATAACGCAGTAAGTTGAATTATAATGTATCTCTTTTCATTCAACATATATTATACCCATGTCACATCGTTCATCGTTCATCGCATCATCTCGCGTCACGTCAGTAGTACTTTCGAATGGTTCGTCAGCGGGTGGAATGTGACACCCGCCGCTATTATTTTAATATTACATGCCTCTCCCGTCTCCTATTTCCCTCCGCGCATAACCGCAATTCTTGATTTTATTTATTGCTCCACGGAAGAGTATGAGCAAATGTACTAATGTCAGCTGGGAGAAGTTCTGTCGATCGTTTCAAGCTATCTGAGAGTTTCATGCTGAGAGCCACTCAGCACAAGCGCGTTGCTTCTTTCTTGCTGATTTCAATCCGAACAAACTCGTTTCTTCAACGGCACTGAATGAATCATTGCGGAGGCAACTCCCTCACAGATGGCATTGCAACGAAAGACCACCAACACAACACTTATTGTGTTTTCGGCCAGCAATCTACCTGTGTCCCTCCGCATATAAGGTTCGCTTTCGAAGACTTGGTGTGGTCCTCTGTACCTACAGAATCCTCGATCAACGCATTCTTTTTCTGTTTTAGATTCTTTGGTGTCTTTGGTGCCCCCCCCCCCTCCTCTTGAATCAACACTGACGAGGTGTTTTTCATCTAATCCAGAGTAGTCTTTTTAACACCGATTTCTTGATCACCTTTACTTGGTATACCTTGCTGCGGTATTTTCTCTTGAAAAGAAACTGCCCCAGGATTGTCTACGATGAGGACGCATGACTGATAGTTGATCGTCAACGTCCCCATGAACTGGGCGAGTGCTGATGGACACTGCTCGTTGGAAGCAGGAGCACGTGCATTCAATTCTGCCTGACTGTTCCTTCTATTCATGAGGAGCAGAGATATTTGGTTGAGAAAAAAAGTGAGAAAAGAAGACGAAGTTTTGCAATCCATGAAGATCGCAAAACCCTATTCTCTTGAACACTTTTGCAAATACGATTATTGCAGCTGTGCAGGTTTACATATTGTGTATGTCAGTTTATGTGCAAGCGACAAAATCGAAACTCGAAAGTAGCTTGTTGTTCGGTCTACATGACAGAAGTACTTTCTCTCCTTGTTCGTCAATCGTTGTCCTATTTAACGACCTGGAACGCCGTCACCGCATTTCGAGGCGAATTCACATTGGAGAGACGCGCAATATATATGTATATTACAGTACAGTATTACCTTCTAAAAGGAGTACCACATTCGTACATTAGCAGGGCATGTACACTGCGGACAAGATAGGCACTACGCGTCTCAGCATTAGCATCTACCTCAATTGGAGAAGTATTGGCATCACCCATGTAAGGATAAGCAATTGTTTAGGGTCTTCTGGGGTCGTTTTAATAATATGGGCAAAGATCCCTTGGAACTACTCGTTATGTAGTTATGGTTTTGATTGATCCGACAATAATTGATTGTTTCATCCAATTGGCAACAGTGACATTGTCTCCGAATCGTTTCTACAGCTCGGTGTTCTGAGAGCTGAAGATGTGTTGGGTGATCTCGTTCTTTCACTGCTTTGGAGCGATATCCCATCCGGTGAGTTGGAAGGAGTAACATCCATCTGCAAGGTCCAGCACTTCACTTTAGTTGATTGCTTTAAGCAGAATCGTTTCTTTTTACGTCAGATTCATTGAGTAGATGCCCTCTTGAATCGCCAGCGCGGAGTGCTTTGGTTTCAATCCAAGGAAATTCTGTGGACATCTTTGTCTTGATCAACACCTTTACTTGGTGTGCCTTGCTGCGATATTTTCTCTTGAAAAGAAACTGCCCCAGGATTGTCTACGATGAGGACGCATGACTGATAGTTAATCGTCAACGTCCCCATGAACTGGGATAGTGCCGATGGACGGTGCTCGTTAGAAGCAGAACCTACATTCAATGCTGCTAAGCTGTTGCTTCTATTCATGAGGATCAGAAATGTTTCGGAGACAAAAATGAGAGGAGAAGATGCAGTTTGAATTATGACATGATGGAATTCTTCGCTTTGAACACTTCTGCGAGCGCGATGTGATCGACTTGAGCATATATATCTATACCGGTATTATCGATTCCACTTTTCAATAATTGCCCAATGGGGAGTTTATTATGTGTCATTTTGAATTTGGTTCACATGCGCGATTCTAATATTTTCGAAACCAGCAGGATCGGACAATTTTGGTTTTCTCTCCACTACAAAAGTATTTCTTTTCTCTTCCAAAGGCAAAATCTTATTTAATGACTAGAAACCGAGGCGAGCTTTTTCCAACGTGCGAAACAAGCGAAAACTTTATTTGTCCGGAATAATGAGAACCATCCATTGCACAGTATGATAAAACTGGTGTGGTATGGTACTGTAAACATATATAAAATATAATGTAAGTTGGAAAGAAGGTCAAGTGAACCCAGGCAGATGGCCAACCGGAAAAAATCAGTGGCCCGTGGTGGTGCCGCATTTCGTTGCAATGCCATCCATGAAGTTCTTGTCTTGTTGAGCGATGATGATTGAATTGAATCAATACTTTTTGGACGGGCAGCTAGTCTGCCACTATACAAGTAGATCCTGAATGACACCAAAGGGACATTCGTACCAGGTACGACGGTATAGCAGGTAAGCTGGCTGGTAAAGTATCTCTACGAAATGTAGAGTTGTGACCATGCACTGCTACCGGGTGCTGGTAGTCGTCTTGCCAAGAGTATCCGCCCATACAATACGTTCACGGAGCGAGAAGTCATATGATACGATACAGTGGACTCGTGGCTTTAGGGGAGGACCAAAGTACAGTGACGAATTGTTGGGACTTGGATCTCGTTCCCCCTTTATCACAGTTTGCTAATATGCTGCAGTACCGGTATATCAGTACCGGAACATCCTGGAGTACAACATATAACTCGAACTCAATCACAATTTCGAGATACCATATTCACAGCTGCAGCTCTCATGCAAAACGTATGCTAGGCACTACGCGTCCCAGCGTTAACGTCTTTCTCGACCACATCAAAAAGCAAGGATAAATCTAGAAGTCTTTAGGCTTTTTATGAGTTTGATCTACTGTTGTTGGTACGCAAAGGAGACGACTGGCTGCTCGTACTGTTAGTGTAGATGTATATTGGTTCTGATTGATTGACAATGCATTGCTTCATCTGATTGGCGATAGTGACAGATCCGAAGAGTTTCTACGTTTTGGTTTCCTGGGAGCGGAAGAGTGATTTGGTGATCTTGTTCTTCCACCTCGTCGTTCGGATGTCCTATTGGAAGGAGAAGTATCCTCTTCTTGGCGGGGTGACACTTTCAGCGATGAAGAAAAAGCTGAAGCATCCACTGTGGATGCTGGCCGTGTAGGAGGAGAAAAGAATTGTGATTCTGCATTTGGCATTGGCACTGTAAATCTTGAGGCGGACGATGATGGCAATGGCGAACCTATTGCCGACATTGGAATGCGAGTCGTTGTGTCTGACGAAAACGTAGACGCAGATGCCCATCGTTCGCTGCCTCTTCTCGCCTCGTTAGTGCTCACGGTAAAGTTTTGCTTCACCGAAGAAATTCGAGCATTGTCTTCGACTATGCGTGTTACTCTCTTGGTGCTCATCAAGTTACCCATGAAAGATTGCAAGGGTGATATGGGCGGGTTTGATGATTTATTGGTTGACACAGGTGCCTTTTTCAACATACTTCGATCACGGCGATCGCTATCTGTTAGCTCAGAGTCACGATGATCATCGTCATTGGTTTCTATCCGAAGTTCTTTGTGGTATTCAGCCGATGGTGAACTCATATTTGCTGGTATGTCATCCAGATTCATGCTTTTGACGTAAGATGATTGATGATGTCGATCACAAATAATCAACTGCCGATGAAACAATGGATAACGCAATCTTTAGCATTGAGGGGCGAAGATTCGAGAGTATAAACAACCTTTTTTTGTCTCTGCAGGGGGGTGCTTTGAACAATGCTTTGTATGCAGACGAGTTTTGTTGTGGCTTGATATAGTGATATGATAACGAGCGAAACTACTTTTCGATAATATCCAAATGTGAAGACAGATTCCCTTTCTTCTTTTACTGTTCCCAGTGTCAATCCAATTCCGACCGCAGAATCGCGATTGTATAAATGTTCAATCTTGGTTGAGAAATATTTATCTTGGTTGTTAAATCGATGTGTTATTTACGACCACGGTCGATAAGTGCAAAGTTTAGAAATCTTTGGGAACTTTTTGTTCCGAGACCAACACCTAAGCCCCCGCCTCTAATTGGTCTTGTGTTAAACTTGTCGTCGGTTGCGTGCGGACATAATAATCCTAAGTTTGTGATTCCTTCAGACAAAAAAGTCTGAAGTCGAAGAAAGTTCTGAATTCTTTAGCTCCCCTTCTTTTTTTGTCATTGCGATTTGCAATGCGAAGGTGTGTCCCGCGTGTGCTGCAACAGAGAAATATTGCGAAACAGAAGCATTTTTGACTCGACACGGTGGATTGATTGATTGATTGATTCATTCACACATTCATTCATTCATTCATTCTTGTATGCGGATAGAGCATTCGGGTCGACTGATTCGACTCTTGATTGAATACCACGTCATTCGGAAATTCTTTTGTGTTCAGAGTTGAGACCGTCAGATGTGCGATGAATCATCATCGATTGTACTGTACATACTACCGGAATACAGTTCGATTGCCGGAAACTGCATAGGAACATATTCTCAACAGCAGTCTCATTCATCTGAATACAATTACGATGTCCCTCTTCACCGCTGAGACGCCGTTTGCCAGCGCTGCAATATTTACCTTTGGCCTCCAATTCGCTGGTTTTGTTGTAGCATATGCTGTAAGTTGTTGTTTTGTTGTTGTCGTTTCTTGTGATGATGTGATGTCACGTTGTTCAAATCAAGGAATTCACAACGCTTCCTATTCTTCCTCTTCACAGACCCAAACTGAAAAGTTCTACGACATTCTGGGATCCGGAAACTTCCTGCTTTTGGGTATCTGGAGCTTCTTTGCTTCATCTTCGCCATATGCTCCTGTCAGTGCTGTAGCAACGGTACTGTTTGTAATCAGCAGATTATGGTTACTGCTTTTCTTGGGCTGGAGAGCTCATTCCCGAAAGGGTGATTCCAGGTTTGATGAAGTCAAAGACAAGGCTGGAATGTTCCTTGTCTACTGGATGATGCAAGCCTTATGGGTTTACTTCATCACTTTGCCCATCATTTATATCAATACCATCTTTACCTTGGAAGATGACGTGTCGTCCACCTTGACGGCGTATCAGGTAGTCTTCCTGATTTTCTTTGGGGTTTGCGTCGTCACTGAAATATTGGCCGACATTCAAAAATCAAAATGGGTGTCTGCAGGCAGGAAAGGTGGCTTCTGTAATGAGGGACTATGGAAATACAGTCGGCATCCCAACTATTTTGGAGAAATCTTCCAATGGTGGTCGGCATTCCTTCTCATTTTGCCCATTCTCTTCGACAAACCGTCCGTCTATGGATGGGGTTCCATCCTTTCTCCGATATTCACATGCTTCATCTTGCTGTTTGCCGGTGGGACTGGACTCACCAACGCTGAAGGGAAGGGTCTTAAGCGATACTACGACAATGAAGCGATAGCTGAAGACTACAAATCATATCGCGAGAATACTTCAATCCTTATCCCAATGGTCGGATACGGATATATTCCACAGATAGTCAAGCGAGTATTGCTGTTCGAATGGGAACGGTATCAATACAAGCCGGAAATGTCCCAATCTTCTGAAGAAGGTAAGAAAGAAGATTGACATCAGGCCGCCCAGTCAGATCAACCTAGCAATGCCGTCTAATGACTGTCATTGCCCTTTTTGACCTACTGGGGCCATCCATAAAAAGACGAAGAACCGATTCACAATGAACAAAGTCGACTTAGTTCTGAAGCATGATAGAAAATACAATTTTACTCTGATAGAAAATACAAATTGTACCCTTCACTCAACATGATAGGTCTGTATACATATTAAAGTAGTAGACATTAGGACACTTTCACAGCAACAAACCCAAATATAACTCCAAGTGAAGTCAGGAAAATCACAATCAACCAGAATTGTTTTTCATCTAATTGTGTTGGATCCTTCTGCTCCACATCAAGAGACCGATCGCTGGGATTCTTTCGTTTTTTCATTCGATTGGGACGATGTAGTCCTGCTTGACCCAATTCCATCGTTTCAACGCTGCCGTCGCCGATGGTATCCGCACTCTCATCAGAAACCCGTCTCGATAGCTGCGCTGACGAGCGTCGGATGGCTGCCATATCATCCATGTCGAGATCATCGTTTGTAGGAGGCGGTTTCAGCGGCTTGAATCGATTCGGGGCAGGCCTCTGCCTGGGTTGTCGGGTGTTCATGGGTCCGCCGCCGCGCATGGATGATGGAACCCTATGGGGAGATCTACTGCGCATAGTTGATTCCAGTTCCCGCCCTAAAGCAACCGATCCTTTATGCATTCCAAGCAAGTATGCCGCCTTCTCTCGTCTGGGAGAGTCATCTCCTCCACCAGACACTCTTCGCTTAAACATACTAAGTCTCGCTCTTCCACTTGAAGTTTCTGATTCTAATTCTGGTGCCATCAAATCCGCAAGATCATCTGCTGATCGCAATCTCCGTCTATTCTTTGCATCTGGACTGGCTTCCAATTTCTTTTGTGAAGAGTCTAAATTTGGAGCGCCATCCGAAGGTGCACCCGAAGCTGCCCCGGATGAATCGGCCTGTACCTTTCCGGCAAAACGCTGTGCGAACGGTATTGTGTTGAATCGATTGTCGTCTTCGTACACCTTTCTTCGGGAATCGAGGGAAAGTCGCCTCTCGGGTGGCATTTGCCGTTTTGGTGCCTGTTGTGGTAAGTTGTGAGATACAGGCGCCATGGACTTTATTCTAGCGGGAGCTTTCATTCTCCTTTTCCCTGATCCCTGTTGGTGTGGAGCTGTTTGATCCACTTGAAGTGTGTCAGAACGGTTGCCCACAGCAAAGGCGTCTAGTGAAATCATTCGGTTGGGTTGCTGTTGCCGGGCCCGTGTCCTTGTTCGAGTCCTTGGAGCTGGCATTGGAAGGTCGGCAATAGTGTCGGCGGCTTCGTCTTCGTCTGTATCTTGAGAATCATGGCTTTTCACCCTCTGTCGCTGCCGAATCGATGGAGCATCCAATTCAAGTGAGCTGGACATGCTGCCTTCATGAGTGTCGTTGCTCCTCACCCTTTGTCGCTGCCGAGTCGGCGGAGCATCCAGCTCAAGTGAGTTGGAACTGGTGCCACCCATATCTTCATGAGAATCGTGGCTTCTTACCCTTTGTCGCTGCTGAATCGGAGGAGCATCCAGTTCCAGTGAGTTGGAAAATTTATCCTGCGGTGGAAGGATGCGATCTCGGCTTCTCGTCCTCTGCCTAGTCTGAGCTTGTGGGGCATCTAATTGAAGTGAAACGGTAGCCTTTATTGGTGATGGCATACGGTCTTGACTCCGCGCTCTCTGTCTCGTCTGAGCTGGCGGGGCATCCAATTGGATCGAGTTGGTAAATATGTCCTGATCTCGGTTTTGCACGTTTTGCACTGTACTATGAGCAGGCGGAGAATCCAATTGGAGTGAAGTTGGAGCAGTCGCGCTAGATTCAAATGGCATGGCCGTATCATGAAGTGGTGTCCTTCGTCGTGTTCGAGGAGGAGGCGTCGTCTGTTGGAGCGGACTAGATACAGAGCTACTGAATTCGGAAGATGAATTTTCATTTGAATCTTCATCAAGAGACTCGGACGGCTCTGCCGAAGTTTCTTCCGACTCTTCTTCGTCGTCGTCCTCATCGTCGTCCTCATCATCGTCTTCCGATCCTTCATCCTCATCGTCTTCCGATCCTTCATCAGCGTCATCGTCGTCCGATTCTTCATCATCGTTATCGTCATCTGATTGCTCGTCTTCGTCATCGTCATCTGATTGCTCGTCATCGTCTTTGTCGTCGTCGTCGCCATCTTCGTCATCCTCGTCCGATTCCACTTCATAATTGCTCGATTCAGACTCCTCCTCCTCGCTCTCCCTCTTTTCCACTGCTTCATTCTCATCATCATCGCCTTCTTCTTCAGAATCATCGCCGAGAGACAGAGATGGAAACTGCCGTGGTGCTTCGGTGCCTGAATGGTCTATTACCCCAGCCGTCAGCACTGCCCTGATTCGATGTTCAGGTGTTGCTGGGACCATGTCCAGTTGAAATCCAGATGAGCCTTTGAGATTGTCTGTTTGAGATTCACTCAAATCTTGGATAGTGTCCAATTGGACATAATCTTCTGAGTATTCCCCTCCTATTACATCAGCTCCGTAATCGTCCTCGTCCGCGGAACTCCCATTTCTGGAAAGAGAACGACTCCTCGACGTGGAACGAGCCGTGTGGAACGATGACGACTGCAAGTCCTTGTTACCAGATGTTGACATACTACTCTCTTCCTCGTCTACTTCAAACATGATTGGCATAGTGCCTAGGTCTGAGCCTTGTCTTCTCCGTCCGATCGGAATAATAGGCTGCGTTCTGTCGGCACTGCCGTCATCATTATTGTTGCTTCTGCGATTCTTCCTTGCGAAGCTACTTCGCTTCTTGTTGCTACCCGGTGCCTCAATTCTTTGCTTGATTCTACTTCCAATCTGAACGGATTGCTTCTGGCGTGGTGTAGGAGAAACCGAATCAAAGTTTTCACCAGTATTTAACAAACTCATGGTAAAGTGATATAGCGCTGAAGGCAACCGCCTGATACTTCCTTTTAATTAAGTGGCTCTTTATGAATCACCAATTCATCAATTCGTTCAGTCTGTTCAGGTTGAACGATGGGAATGTGATGCTGTACAGTATTATTGACAGATTCCTCGCTGCTGTTTATGTACAGTTGAAACGGAATACGGTATAAGAAAAACTGTGCTATGAAAATCATCAATAATATTATACCGCGCGCTCGCGTCTCTCAACACCTACCGTACGAAAGGAGCAATAGCAGCCCAGCTGCAGCGAAGTCCACATTCTACCTTCACTACGAGACACATCATTCTACAGTAGTTTAATTTCTAATAAGATCGCGGTATTTATTATAGTGCTGACCTTTTTTTGCTGTGTAGCAGTAGATTCAGGCTGGTGACAGAGTCAGAAAAACAAGTAAAAGGGAGATTCCCAGTGCCACTAGACGTGCGGAGGAGGCATTGTCAACATCGTTCTGGCATGGCATTTCAGGGCTAAAAAAGAAGCGGAATGTATACAGCAGTGCCACAAAGTCTAGGGTTGGGGATCCACCTCTGTAGGATTGTACCAACAAGAAGAAGATGCTCAAGGCGGCCAGACCACCATATCCAATGGAGAAGCGGCCCAAGGCAGCACTAGCAGCACGACCGCCATTGGTATCCACCATGCTTGGAAACATTTGAATAGCATTAATCATCAAACCAAGATAACCAGCAATGACCATGGGATCCAATGGTACTGACGAGGACGCTCCGTCGCCCAAGGAGAGCAGCGTATTGGTGCCCATGAGACTTTCGATGGTGGCCGACGTCAAGAAGCTTTGTTTCAAAGTTTCCAATTCAAAGTGTGGCATTTGGGCAAAATCTGCGGCATTGGTCACTTGCATGGTCGATTCGAGTCCCAAGACAATGAATCCATAGCTGATTAAGAATCCAACGAATGGTGCAAGGAATCCAAAATCAAACATGTCGTTTTTGTTCTTTGGAGGAGAATTGATGAATACGGCGCTGCCGACCAAAGGAATTCCCCACAAACCTGGAATGAGTGTGGGGAGCGGTGAAATCTTGAAGCCTCCCTTTAGCGCCAACAAGAGTTGAATGACATGCTGTAGTGCAAAGGTTCCCAATAGATAGAGCAGAACCGGACTTTGGATTCCTGTGACAAATTCTTGAACGTAGTTGGGCTGTGCGTCTGGGTAGTAGAAGGTTCCAATGGTTGTGACGAGGTCCAAGAAGGCAAAGGTTGTAATTCCCAACCGAGTATCGATGGGCTTGTCTGAATCCAAGTTCTTTCCAGTAATGAGCAAGGCAGGAGGCTCAAATCCATTCACCAATTCCAAAGCTCTACCAATGTCGTCTTCTCCCCCATTGTTTTGAATATAATCCGCCTGTTGCACTTCATCCAATTCAATTTGGGGTGAAGGATCCCGAAGATAAAAAATATTGATCTTGTCCTTCAGAGAAGACTGCTCCAATGCTTCCTTCAATCCACTTATCACTTTGTCGCCATCTCTCTCGACCACTTTTCCATCGAACAAAAAAGCTGACCCAACCTGTCGCGGTTTGGCGGTCCTTGAAAATAGCTTGGGATTGGGATCTAAGACCTCTTCGCAAAATACCTTCTGGATTCCTTCTTCTTGTCGATTTCGTTGGAGCGAAAAGAGGCTGGAATCGTAGGCTTCGGCGAAGAGATTGAAACGTTCCATGTACAATGGATCCTCTTCATTCACCTTGTACCCTTCCAACAAATTCATGGCAACTTCAACCAAGAAGGGTAGATTGGTCTGACAAAAGTTGACTGCTTTACTAAAGCCACGAATGATGTCAAGCTCAGATTTCGAGATATTCCCGGCCCGGGCCTCGACAAAGGTGGTTTTGGCAAATTGCATGGTCCGAGCAACCTCCATGTCTACTTCCTCCTTCGTCTCACTTGCTTCATCCTTGTCATCATCTCCAAATTTAATGGCTATCTCAAATGGAGACTTTTTGTTCCTGGTCGCTTTTTTAAGATCCAAGACAGCTTGCCAGTTTTCTTCTAACTCGTCAATGATTCGCAAATCATCCTGAGAAAGTGGCCCGACATATTCTGTCTCGTTGGATTGCCATATACAATCCCGCTCCTCCGTAAAGTTAAACATGGATCCCATATCGAATCCTTCATCCCCAACTGAGAAAACTATATTTTCAACGTCCTGGGTGGTAAACTTTTCAATCATTTCTTCGTCGGTCATGTTGTCTTGGTTAAAATCTGAGACGATCGTCTCGGTCTTGTTATTATCGACAGAAACAAATTGGATGGAATTGTTGTCCAAGTTCACACGCATGGTGACCATTTCATCATTCTTGGTTTCAATTTTTTCGTCTTGAGACGTCATGGGTTTCGTTTGGACCATGGTTTTTTTCATCGGATCGTTCTTTTCATCTGGGTTCAACCGATATTCCAACATTTGAATTTGTCGAGTCAAAACTAGCTTTTCTTCTAGCAGTTTTAGGTTCTTTTCCTTTTCGGCTGGTTCCGACTTTGCAATCTTTTTGTCGAGTTTGTCCAGCTTCTTGGATAGGCCCTCCAGTTTCTCTTGAATTAGCTTCATTTCCATTTCTTCGGCTTCCAATCGTATCCGTTTGGCAGACCGTTTCAAGTTTTCAGATTCTGAAACTTCCGTGGTATCATCAGTGCTTTCAAAGAGTGCCGAGCGTCGGTGGTATGAGGAATCTGGTCTCCATGATTTGATAGTACTGGGTGGCTTCAACGAAGAAAGGCTGCCAATTCCTGACGATTGCTTTGTCAAAGAAGGCTTTGTGGTGGAGAATTGTCCAACTGTCCAAGCCTGAATCTCGACTACTTGCAAGCCAACTGCCAAAAGACATAGCAATAGGGACTGCGAAAGGGTCCTTGTTGAGTATAGTGTTTGTTTCGCCATTGTAGATTGCACCTTTGGAATGACCAGACGCAACTATTTTGTGATGGCACTTCTGTCACAACTACCTTCGCCTGAAGATAATCGTTTTGAAGTTTCGAAGATTTTCCTAACGGGGCTTCGGACAGACCCTTCTTGAGGCCTCCAGTTGGAACTCAACTGGGGGTTCGACTTTATTCTTGGTTCCACCCCCCCTACCCCCAGCAAAATCCCCCACCATCCCCTACCCCCAGAAAAATTTAAATCTTGCTGATAATATAAAACATACTACCGGTACCTGAAGACATATTGATGCATGATCCCTTCAACGTCAATCTACAGTAGTGAAGCAACTACAACTACTATAATGCTATCAGCATGGCAAAATGTCAACTTTTTTTTTTCGGCTACAAAATTCCTTTTTCTGTTATTTTTAAAGTTTCGTGTTCAACAATTCTCAGCAGAGGCAACAGATACATCGTTCGTTTGTTGCCACTATATTGCCGAAAGATACCATCGCATATCTCATTCATTGTTACTCTTTCGAGATTTTTTTAGCCGATACTCGGTTCCATAATAGCTTAACCAAGTAAAGTCACTCATGCTATATTTTCCATACACCACCTGCCCATCATCAACATGATTCCCTTTCAAAAGAAAGAGAGTTACAGATAGACTTTTACAGTCCATTCAAAGCATCATCCAAAGACCGAATCAAGTCATCCGGATCTTCGATACCCACCGAAATACGAATGAATCCATCCACAATACCAACCTTCAGGCGATCTTCCTTGAGCATGTTGGCATGCGTCATGACGGCACACGCCGTGATGATGGATTCGGTGGCACCCAAGTTTTCACAAAGTGTCCATGGACGCTTGATAGTGTCCATCAACTTGATTGGGTCTCCCTTGACATCAAACCACAACATGCCGCCGTGCAAACCGTTTCGATGTTGGCGGTCGGCCAATTCCTTTTGGGGGAAGGAGTCCAAGCCGGGATAGACACACTTGGTGACCTTGGGGTGATTTTCCAAAAAGGTGGCAATCTTCATGGCCGATGCCGACTGTTGACGAATGCGGAGTCCCATGGTCTTCATGGTTTGCAAGATCAAATACGCAGTCATTGGACTCATAATGTTGCCGTGCATATTTTGAACAAGCTTGATGCGCTCATAGAGTTCGGGAGTCTTGGCAATCAAGGCACCACCGGTACCAATGTTGAGACCATCATAATACTTGGTGAGAGATTGAATGGTCAAATCAGCACCATGATCCAAAGGACGGGTAATATAAGGAGTAGCAAAGGTGGAATCACACACATGCAAGACTCCATGCTTCTTGGCAATGGCCGAAATGGCATCCAAATCAGCCAAGGTCAGAGTAGGATTCGTTGGAGTTTCGCTAAAGATGAGTTTGGTGTTTGGCTTGATGGCGTCTTCCACAGTTTGGGGATCCGTAAAGTCGACAAAGGAAAATTCCATTCCAAAGGGTTCAAACTGTTCCCGACAGATACGGTTGGTTCCACCATAACTACAGTTGGTAATGACACAGTGATCACCAGTCTTCATGAAGGCATTGATACAAGACGCAGTAGCTGACATGCCCGTTCCCACAACGATACTGTCGTAACCATTTTCAATCTTGGCCACTTTTTCTTCCAACATTTTGACAGTAGGATTGTTGGTACGACTATACGAAAAGCCACTATCCAAATATTTGTCGACAGATTCTTGGACGAAGGTTGTACTGAGGTAGACAGGAGTCAAGATGGCTCCAGTCTTCTTACAAGGCGTGACTCCACCGTGAACAATGTCTGTATCCATGGAAACATTGTCTATGAAAGGTTTGTCCAGTGGATTCTCTTCTGGCTTGGAAGAGAACGAACGGGCGGTAGGAGAAGCAGCAAATGCAACTCTTCTTGAGCTCTTGGGAAGGCGTGTGGCAATATTACGGACCAACATCATGCGGATATGAATTTGGCTTGAATACTACTACAATAGCGTATTGTACTCAAGATATGAGATGCGCCTGAGACTGATGATGTGCGGTCGTCAGTAAAACGTTAGTTTCAAACTGGGAGACTTTGCGACAAAATTCGACCCAATCTCTTGGTATTTCTATGTCCTAAATGTCACAGATCTGTCGTAACCGAGAGGTTGTGATCATCACGTGCATGCCGAATTCGACCTCGTGGGGCGGAGCGGAGCTCGAAACTGCCGCCATGCAGACGGCAGAGGAGATTTTTTAAACCGCGGAATAATGGTCTAGAAAAGCATCAAACCAAAAAATCTATATAAAAGGCAAATGGATACTGTAGCGAAAGCTTCAAGCTGGATCAGTTTTTCTTCTAAAAACGTGTATGATTATTGAGTACAATTGTTTATCTAATACTTCCCTTTCTAATTTCCCGTTATTATTTCCCATTTCCCTAGTTCAGTCCATCAGCTGAGGAAGTGATGATTTTCTCGGCATTCAAGAGTTGGTTGGGCAAGCCAGAGGCAAAGCTGCCGCCAATGGACGAAACGTCGTCACCCATGCTGAAGTCGTCATCATGATTGCTAACAATGCTGACTCGACCGATCCTGCGCCCACGAAGGTGTAAGGAACCAAGTTTGCCAATGTTTACGGTTGGTGCTGGCAGACTCCCATCAGCACTGCTAGGCTCATCATCATCCGCATTATACATTTTGTACCATTCTTGCTGTTTGAAGTGGTTGTGAATGTCACCCCAGGACTTCTTGCGAAGTTCCTTTCCACCTGGACGGCCTTTGTAGGCGACAGCAATGAGATTCCCACAGGCAGATTGCATCTTGCGTTCGTATCTTTTGACAACCTTGGCCAAGCCTTCCACCTCTGTCACCATCTTGGAGGTCATCAGAATTTCAGACTCGGTCGGGTGCATGGGAGTAGTTGATCTTGCATGATGCGCACTACGGGAGTTCACCTTGGCTGTAGCGGATATGAACATGGCTTCGCAGATCTCCTTCCCATGCGTTTCCCACCGGTCACGGTTGCTTTTGGCTTGCTTGACAAGTTGCTCGCTCACGATGTCCAAGACACCGCAAGCCTTGAGGTTTGTGGCAAGAGGGACGACCCAGTTATCAAAGAACCAAAGCTCGCCACCGTACCATCCTGAAGATGGATCCGTCTGAGAACGACCGTCCAAAAAAGCTTGGTACATTTCCAAGAACAGATGCTCGTTCCATTCGCGATAGAGCTCCCAATCTTGCATGGTGTGAGCAATATCGGCTGCTTGCATGATGTGATCAATCACAATGGTTGTCTTCAGGTTCTCTTCTTCTTCGTCAGAATCAAATGACTTCTTATGAGAGTAGGCCTTGTCCCATTGGGCCTTGCGAATGGAGCGGAGATCCTTGTCAAAGATATCAGTGGCCATGACACAGTTGGCAAGAAGTTTGTGGAGGCGCTCGCGTTCCCCAGCATCCTCAAAAATGTAGTTTTGGAGGTGTTCAAAGGATTCTGAATTCAAAATGTTCCAAGCAATATCGATCGAGTTCTGCTCCGCGATGCTCTTGTTCGAGTACTTCTCTGCCAGTCGTGGATTTTCAATGGCTACCTGTCCATTTGGAACACCAGTGTGTCCAATATCGTGCACCAAAGCAGAAAGAACAATTGCGAAACGAGCAAGTGGGTCGGATGCGATTCCAGATCCATCTTTGCTGCCGTCGACGCCATTGATCCCATTCAGGAGAAGGTTGGCGAGATGAGCAACGTGGCTGGCGTGTTGGAAGTTGTGGAAGTCATTCGATTCATAGCCAGAAGCAATCATAATGACAAAATGTCGGAGTTCAGTTCGAACATGTGATGGAAGATCAGGAGTTGGCGTAAAATCGGCAATGGCATTGTCTTCATATCCGTTATCGGCAGGATAAGTCACGATGTCCTTCAAAAGATCTTCCAGCAATTCAACATTGGCGGCAACGAGTGCTCCCATTCGGTCCAATGAAATCTTCTCTCCTCGATCATCTTCCACAGTCGCAGTTGAGACAAGACTTGCGGCGAGTCTATCTCGTCCGTTGCTTCGCCATTGCTCAATGTTGCGCAGCACACAGTCTCCAAGACAAGTTGCCTTCGGTAAGGCCCTCCCAATCTGATTCACAAGTGGTACGAGAGCGTCCGAAAAGAACATATTCTGCTCGTAGTACCAACTGTCGCGTGGATCTTCAGAGCGACCAGAACGATGAGCCTTGAGATGTTCTTGGAAGTTGAGGTGGTTCCACTTTAAGAAATTGTCATACGATTGGGCATAGTGACCAATAGTAGACATTGCAAGAACCAAGCCAACCTTAGCTTCGCGTTGCTCCTTCAATGCGCGCTGAGTTTTGGAAGTCTTGGCCAAGATCTTCTCGAAGTTCTCAACCATCGCACGAAGCATTTCCTCATTTTCCAAGTCTGTAAAGTTCACCACCAACTTCTTGACGGAAGCTCGAAAGTTGGGGCATCCAAAGATAATCTCTTCGCAAAGCTCCTCGAAGTCTTCATCGAGCCTTTCAAAAGCACAATCGAAAGAGCTCCTCTGTTGATAGGCTCGTTTCTTACGGTATATTGCAACAATGACATCGTTCTCAGCTTCAAGACGAGAATTGTCAATACCGGTATGTTGTACGCCATGGATCAAAGCTGCAAACAAAAGCATGAAGTGATCCCATGGATCTTTGCTCACATCAGTAGCCCAAGTGTCCCAGATGAAGTTTGCGCGAAGGACGACTTCAGCGGCAAGCTTAAAGCTGTGGAATGCATTCGCTTCACTGTAGAGATCTGCGATCGTCTTGACATACTTCTCAAGTTGACCATTGATCACGTTGAGTCGTGCGCCACCCTTGCCAATACACTGTTGCAATACCTTCAATAGAATATCAAAGATCTTTCCTTGCAAGGCATTCTTGGAGCATTCACCCCATTGAAGATTCTCCCAGCTCTTGCCAAAAGAATCGATGGCATCCTCTTCGAAGTCCATCTCGGAGTAAGTTTGAATATCATCTTCTTTGATAGCCTCCATTATTTCACTGTCCCTTTGAAGAGCACCCGCTCCTTTTGCAGAGATGCCACTGGACCTTCGAGATTCAGCTTTGGTTGCAGTGTTATCTGAAGCTACAGGTTGCTTCACTCTCAGAATGCCTCCATTTTTGAAATACTTTCGCATCTTCCATTTCTCGGATGAGATCATTGCTTCGACTTCTTCCGACAGATCTTCGAGAGCAGTGGGATTTGCATATTCATTATGTTCGGTACCGCTTTCGAGCCAGTAGGTGTAGTGTTCTCCCTTTCCCTTCATGTCGACAAGACCTCTTGCCTTGAAGCGGAATTCTTGGTTGTCGGATTGTGAAAAGTGCGTGAGTCGACCGTAGAGAAAACTCGAGGCATGGATCTTTCCTGCAGCACCGGTCGACTCATGGCGACTGGTAAAGTTGACCATATCTCCAAAGAGACAGTAGTGAGGCGTCAAGGTTCCCACCACACCAGAAGTACAGCTTCCAGTGTGGATTCCAATTCGAAGGTTGATGGGCTCGCCGGTGACCGGAGACTTGATATGCTTGACGCATTCCAAGACTGCCAAAGCAAAGTTGGCAACATTCTCGGCATGGTATTGATCGGGTTCAGGAAGCCCAGAGCAGCACCTATAATAGTTAAAGCAATTAATGTGAGTCCAAGCACTAGACAACGTTTGATAGATAGGATGGTCGTTTCGGATACTCACATGTATGCGTCACCAACAGTCTCGACCTTGTAAAGCTTAAACTTGGCAGCCAAGAAATCCATGACAGAATACAATTGATTCATCATATCGATAATGTCCCAAGGTTCGACCTGGCCGCAAAGGTCGGTGAATCCAACGATATCAGAAAAGAACAGAGTGACATTCTCGTGGAACTTGGGTTCGATAGTCTTTCCTTTTCTCAAGTCATCCGCGACTTGTTTTGGAAGAATGTTGTACAGGAGCGTGTTGGAAAGAGCCTAAAAGTAGAAGATACAATGTAAGTCTCGGCCCAATACATTGAGAATCGACAAAATATTCGTTAAAGAATATGACTTACCTGTTCGGATCCGAGCGTTCGGCTCAGCTTATCCAATCCGTGTGCTTTGTCAGCTTCTTGTCGAATGTATTCACCGAGGAAAACGGCATCTCGTTGGCAACTATGAAGCGGCAAATCGGAAAAATCTAGACCCATGTGGTTAAGATCTTCCACGTTTCGGGCTTCAGGACTGAGCGTAAACATGGCCAAATCCCCGTCCAAGTCCACGATAGAAGCCTTGAATTTGACGGCACCTCCCCCCATTCCGAACCTTTGCTGCCCATCCGCTGTAATGTGTGTTGCTCGATTACCTGTACTCGCGTCGTCGATAGCAGGTGCGAGGAAGAAATTTTGGTCCGAAAGCTTATTCAAGGAGCTCCAATTCCAGGAGGTACCGAGAACCGGCTTTGTGATCTTGAGCACGTCTTTAATATGAACTCCCACAAGATCATGCGAGTTGGTGGCTTTCAAAAGCACCGGGAGCTTCTCACCCACTTGGACAATCTTGAATTCTTTGTCAACGATGACGTGGAAGGGAAAGACCGCCTGCATCTTTTCCAAGGAGAGACCAGGTCGAACAGTCGTCTCTTTGACTTCTGTGAGTGTTGATACGGCGGTGGACATGGAAGCAGTTGTCGCGGTTGTCGCGGTTGTCTCGGTCGTCGTTCGTTCCAGCTCTTTCTTGCCATGTGGGCACATGTTATCAATGCCGTCGGCATCTTTTTGCAGATTTTTGCCAGAGAAGGGACACTTGCTTGGCAGTTTGACTTCGCTAAAGTCAACGACTTCGTCGTCGTCGCCGTCGTTCAGTACAGCAGCTTTGGGAGAAAGCTTCCACATTTGGGTCTCATCCGCCGCTGTTATTCTCCAAGTGGTAAATTTTGAAGCATATCCATCTTGCTTGGCGAGCAGATTCATTTTCACATCGACTTCGAAGTGAAAGGAGGCCACTATTATTCCAAAAGAGTAGAAGCATAAGGTTAGCAACATAATGCACTGTTGCACCACGACAGTAGTATTCAACCGAAACGGCCGTAGACTTACATTCTTCTACAATTCCGACCACCCAAGGAACCAATAGGCAACCTCGTAGACTGAAGTAATGGAGCAAGATAGATCCTTCAACAGTGTCACAGTCTTCACACCAAAAAACTGGCGCACAAAAGTTCTCTCCCGGAAAACTCCTTTGTACGTGATCGTGCATTGCATTTAGATTGGATAGCCACTGTCGTAGAGTCGAACCTTGGCATCTTAAAAGGGCTTCGTGCCCATGAGAGAAGTGATACCTGATGCTGTATTTGCCATAGGATTCAAGGACATCGTCGAAGGACATGGAAAGCTCCTCCGATGTTGCTGTCACGAGCTCGATCCAAATATCGTAGTTATAGAATGTTCTTGTGACAAACGACTTATCCTTGATATCACAGTCGGCCTTCTTCTTGATCGAATGCCAAGCCTCGAGGCCGTGTAATTCAATGACCCAGTCTTCAAAGATTTCAAATACTAGTCCGTGCATGATGATGATATGAGAAAGAAAATGACTCGTTCAAAGGTTGAGGTTTGTGGTGGCTGCTGAGATTTAAAAACTTGGACAAAATGTTTTATGGGAACATGATTTCAGATCGACGACCAACTTCATACCGGGTTCGTACCGATTTTATACCACTCCGACATCCCGTGTATCGTGTATCGTTCTTTGTTCAGATGATGAGATTCTTTTGACTCGACTCGGTATTGGATCCGCTAATCGAAATTATTTGAACATTCTCTCCATTGTAAAAACGCTCTTGATCCCAATTTGCCGAGGCTATCGTATCACGGCTATCACATAAATGTTTGCCCGATGGCAATTTTTCCGTTAAATAGAATCGAATAAAAACTCTACAGTCGGTTCTCTTTAAAAGTCGTAGATCTGTTCCTGGTAAGTTTTCACTAAGTAAGTTATGGTGCTGGAACTAGGTTTTGGTCTGAAAAACTCGCCTTCGGATTTGGGACAATACCATCTGGCGGTCGGAGAATCATTGGACTACTGTAACTGACTGACTGGAATGAATCAGAACGATTGGACCCGAAAGAGGATATCCAAAACTATAAGATAAACCGTATCTATTGCAAGTATTGCTTGATGCGTAAAGTAACAAAAAGTATGCATGATTTTATATTATTATACAGATATATATTTTCTTTCTTTCTTTGTATTGTCCAGTGTTGCTGTGACACTAGAACTTTCCCAATATCCCCATTTCAACAACCATCCGATCAAGCAGCCTTGCTGGAGGCAATCAGCTTCTCGGCAATCATCAGTTGGCTGCGCAAGCCAGAGACACTGCTACCGATGGATGAGAAATCGTCCTCTTCTAAAAGGTCCTTGCTGCCGCTGCTAAGAAAGCTGACTCGGCCACCAACCTTTCGTGAACGAGTGATATGTGAAGTTAGTTTGCCCTGATTTTTCTTGGTGCTTCTGACGCTTGGTAGGCTTCCATCGACACTGAGCTCATCATCAGAGTACATTTTGTACCAGTCTTGTTGTTTGAAGTGACTGTGAATGTCACCGGAAGACATCTTGCGAAGATCCTTGCCATCTGGGCCGCCCTTGTAAGCGACAGCAATGAGATTTCCACAAGCAGCTGCCATCTTGCGTTCGTATCGTTTGACAACCTTGGACAAGCACTCGACTTCGTTCACCATCTTGGAAGTCAGCATGATTTCAGATTCCGTAGAGCGCATTGAGGAAACCGATCTTAAATCGCGACTGCTGCGGTTGTTCACCTTAGCTTTGACCTTTTCGAACATGGCTTCGCAGATCTCCTTTCCTTCAGCTTCCCATTGCTGACGGTTACTCTTGGCTTGTTCGGCAAGTTGCTCGCTCACAATATCCAAGACACCACAAGTCTTGAGGTTTGTGGCAAGAGGAACGACCCAGTTGTCAAAGAACCAAAGCTCGCCACCGTACCATGATGCAGTTGGATCCTTCTCTGATCGACCATCCAAGAAAGCTTGGTACATTTCCATGAAGAGACTCTCGTTCCATTGGCGGTAGAGCTCCCAATCTTGCATGGTGTGAGCGACATCGGATGCTTGCATGATGTGTTCAATCACAATGGTGGCCTTCAAGTGCTCTTCTTCTTCGGCAGAATGAAGTTTCTCGTTATCCGAATAGACCTTGTCCCATCGTGTTTGGCGAATTGAGCGTAGATCCTTGTCGAAGATATCAGTGGCCATGACACAATTGACGAGAAGCTGGCGAAGACGTTCACGTTCTCCAGCGTCTTCATAGATGCAGTGTTGGAGATTCTCAAAGCAATCCGAATTCAACATGTTCCAAGCAACATCGATCGAGTTCTGCTCTGCAATACTCTTGTTCGAGTACTTTTCTGCCAGCGTTGGGTGCTCGACGGCGAGCTGTCCATTTGGAACACCAGTGTGCCCAACATCATGAACCAAAGCAGCAAGCACAATCGCAAAACGAGCAAGTGGGTCGCATCCAATTCCTGATCCATCATTGCTGCCATCGATACCATTGATGCCATTCACGAGAAGGTTGGAAAGATAAGCAACATGGCTTGCATGCTGGAAGTTGTGGAAGTCGTTTGATTCATAGCCAGAAGCAATAGTAATGACAAAGTCTCGGAGTTCGGAGCGAACATGTGGTGGCAGATCGGCAGTGGGTCTGAACTTTTCAGCAGTCTTGTTCTTCATCGCAATGGACATTTGAATCTCGTCCACTGGCATGCTCATGCGCCTGCTGCTGGTACCACAGCTTCGAATTCTGTTTTCGGCATGGCAGGCAACAATGTCCTTCAACAAACCTTCCAACATATCAACATTGGCAGCAATGAGTGCTCCCATTCGGTCCAACGAAAGCTTCTCTCCGCGGTAATCTTCAACAGTAGCAGTTGGGACAAGACTTGCGGCGAGTCTGTCACGTCCGTTTCTTCGCCATTGCTCAATGTTGCGCAGCACACAGTCTCCAAGACAAGTTGCCCCGGGCAGGAACTTCTCAATCTGATTCACAAGAGGCATGATAGCATCCGAGAAGAACATGTTCTGCTCGTAGTACCAACTGTCGCGTGGATCTTCAGAGCGACCAGCACGGTGAGCCTTGAGATGTTCTTGGAAGTTGAGGTTGTTCCACTTCAAGAAATTGTCATACGATTGGGCGTAGTGACCGATAGCGGACATTGCAAGAACCAGTCCAACCTTGGCCTCGCGTTGCTCCTTCAAGACACGCTGATTTTTGGAAGTCTTGGCAATGATTTCCTCGAAGTTTGCAACCATCGCACGAAGCATTTTCTCAGATTCCAAGTCGGTGAAGCTGACAACCAACTTCTTGACGGAAGCTCGGAAGTTGGGACATCCAAAGACAATCTCTTCGCAAAGCTCCTCGAAGTCTTCTTCAAGTCTTTCGAAAGCACAATCAAAAGAACTTCGTTGTTGGTAAGCTTGCTTTCCTCGGTACATGGTACAGATGACATCGTCCTCGAATTCGAGTTGAGCATTATCGACACCAGCATGTTGTACGCCGTGAATCAAAGCTGCAAACAATAGCATGAAGTGGTCCCATGGATCCTTGCTCACATCGGTTGCCCAAGCATCCCAGATGAAGTTTGCGCGAAGGACAACCTCAGCAGCAAGCTTAAAGCTGTGAAATGAGTTCTCTTCACTGTAAAGATCCAAGATGGTTTGGACATACTTCTCAAGCTGACTAGTGATGATATTGAGCCTTGCGCCACCCTTTCCAACGCAAACTTGCAAGACGTTCATTAGAATATCAAAGACCTTTCCTTGCAAGGCATCCTTGGAGCACGAGCCCCATTCAAGGTCCTCCCAGCCATTGCCAAAATCTGCAAGTTGCTCCAAACCCTCGATTCGCACCAAGTTAGCGATGGGGTCTTCAATCACATCGTCTTCTTCAATGTCATCCAAGATGTCACCGTCGTCACTATGGACAGAACCGGCTTCTTTCTGAGACATGCCATTGGACGAATCGCTGGTACTGTGATATCCAGAACTCTCTTCATTGGACGAAGACAGGTTTCCTGACGCTTCTTGTTCGCTTCTGAAAAGGCCTCCATGTTTGAAATACTTTCGCATCTTCCATTTCCTGGAGGAGATCATTGCTTCGACTTCTTCAGACAGAGCTTCCAGAGCAGTAGGATTCGCGGATTCGTTGTGTTCAGTACCGCTTTCGAGCCAATAAGTGTAATGTTCTCCCTTGCCCTTCATGTCGACAAGACCTCTTGCCTTGAAGCTGTATTCTTGGTTGTCAGATTGAGCAAAATGAGTGAGTCGACCAAATAGGTGACTCGAGGCATGGATCTTTCCTGCAGCACCGGTCGACTCATGGCGACTGGTAAAGTTGACCATATCTCCAAAGAGACAGTAGTGAGGCGTCAAGGTTCCCACCACACCAGAAGTACAGCTTCCAGTGTGGATTCCAATTCGAAGGTCGATGGGCTCTCCAGTGACAGGAGACTTGACATGCTTGACGCATTCCAAGACTGCCAAAGCAAAGTTGGCAACATTCTCGGCATGATATTGATCGGGTTCAGGAAGACCAGAGCAGCACCTGTGATAGTAAAAAACAAGTAGCGTGAGTAAAAGATAACATCGAGGAGATACAGAATTCGTTTCGGATACTCACATGTACGAGTCACCAACAGTCTCGACCTTGTAGAGATCAAATCGGTCAGCCAAGAAATCCATGACAGAATACAATTGATTCATCATATCGATGACGTTCCAAGGTTCGACCTGACCGCAAAGATCCGTGAATCCAACGATATCGGAAAAGAAAAGAGTGACATTCTCATGGAACTTTGGTTCGATGGTCTTTCCCTTTCTCATATCATCTGCGACTTGTCTTGGAAGGATGTTGTAGAGCAGGGTGTTGGAAAGAGCCTGTTCTGTTCCAAGCTTTCGGCTCAACTTATCAAGTCCGTGAGCCTTATCAGCTTCTTGTGTAATGTATTCACCGAGGAAGACGGCATCTCGTTGACAACTCTGAAGAGGCAAATCGGAAAGTGTTAGACCCATATTGTTCAGGTCTTCCACGTTTCTGGCTTCGGGACTGAGCGTGAACATGACCTTGTCCTCGGCCAAGTGCACAATGGAAGCCTTGAACTTTACAACACTTTCTTCCATTCCGAACTTCTGCTGCCCATCGGCAGTAATGTGCATCGAAGCACGAGTATCTGCAGTCGACTCTTCGGTTGCAGGTGCGAGGAAGAAATTTTGGTCCGAAAGCTTATTCAATGATCTCCAGTCCCAAGAGGTACCAAGAACTGGCCTTGTGATTTTTAGGACGCTTTTGATGTGAGCTCCAAGCAGATCATTGATGTTTGTTTTCATGAGCTTTGGAAGCTTCTCTCCAACTTGGGCAATCTTGAAGTCTTTGTCGACCATGACGTGGAAAGGAAAGACCTCCTTCATCTTGTTCATGGAAAGACCAGATTCAGCCTCTTCGGATTCTGTAAGTAGCGATGTATCAGTGGACACCGAAGCAGTTGCTGCCTCCATCTCCATCTTTTCGAGCTCTCTCTTGGCGTGTGGGCACATATTCTCACTGCTGTCCATGTCTTTTCGTAGCTTCTTGCCAGTGAAAGGGCACTTGCCTGGCAACTTGACTGCGCTAAAGTCAATGACTTCTTCTTCATTGTGCATGGTGCTTGGAGAAAGCTTCCACATTTGAGTCTCATCCACGGCTGTTATTCTCCAAGTGGTGAATTTCGAATCATGTTCATCTTGCTTGGCGATTCTGTTCAGCTTGACTTCGACTTCGAAGTGAAATGAGGCCACTTTAAAATTCAGAAAGTAAAATCATATGATTAGCGATTCACCAAAAAAACAAAGAGTATTCAATTCAATCGAAGCAAAGACTTACATTCTTCCACAATTCCAACCACCCAAGGAACCAGTAGGTTGCCTCTTTGACTGAAGTAATGAAGCAAGATAGATCCTTCGACATCCTCGCAGTCTTCGCACCAAAAGACTGGTGGACAAAAGTTCTCTCCCGGAAAACTCTTCTGTACGTGATCGTGCATGGCATTTAGGTTGGATAGCCATTGTCTGAGAGTGGAGCCTTGGCATCGTAAAAGGGCATCGTGGCCGTGTGAGAAGTGATACCTGATATTGTAGTGGCCGTATGCTTCGAGGACGTCGTCAAAGGAGACTGAAATTTCTTGTGATGTTGCTGTGATGAGCTTGATCCAGATGTCGTAATTGTAAAATGTTCTGGTGACGAAGGATTTATCCTTGACATCACAGCCAGCCTTCTTCTTGATTGAGTGCCAAGCATCGAGGCCGTGTAATTCAATGACCCAGTCTTCAAAGATTTCAAATACTAGCCCGTGCATGATGTGATGATGTTGTAGAAGAAAAGATTGTGATGTATCTTTCCGCTCAGAATAAAAATATGAGAAAGAAAGAGAAGAGAAAGAATCACAACAAATTCAACATCTCTTGTTCGTTGATGGGAGTGTTGAAGCAAGTTGCGGGGTTATTAATCCCGTGATTGCATTATCTAGATTCTGTCACTCTTCAGAATTTCTTATGACAAAATTGAATTTATATTCTGTTCGAAAGCAGTCCCTAACAACAGTGACGAGCCTTTTGACAAAAGGTTTAAAAGTGCGTGAGCCAAAAAACCTCCGAGGACATGTTGTCACGGCACTCGATAAAATCTTAGCTCGCCTTTTTGATTTGTTTCAGTAGTTCTTTAACACGAGTACACTTTTGACCGAGCCAAAAAACGGTACGGTATCCATCGAAGGTATTCTTCCGTTCCTCCGCTATTGGTATCACTGTTGCCATGGACATATTTATGAGAAAGGATGTGCTGGTGCAGGAGTTTTTCCAAATCTGTCAGGGGCAATTCAATTTTTTTAGTTCGCCATCTGGTCGAGTTGACGGTACCGTAGCGAACCTTTGCAACTACTACAGTATCAAGCCAACTCTGCACAGCGGAGAATAATTCTTCTGGTCTTCTCCGTGTTCTCGGCAGAAAATAACAAATACCGGTACTCAGTAAACCCGTGATGTTTGTGCGTTCCACCTCCGCAATCTGTCCAAACGAGGAGAAACGATGTGTTGTCTATGCAGCTGTCTGTGGAGCGCAGCTGCGCTGGTCATCTGGCTGATTCAGATGGTTGCTTCAAACCACTAAAGGTACTTCAGAAGTCACTGACACTGTGGACCCAGTCGAATGATGCGATGAATCAAAGAGTCCAATCCATCGAGTCGAATCGTAGAAATATAAATGAATCACGAATCACTACGTCAGTTGGTCAGAAGACAAGAAGAGACATCATGAGTCATGCTGCGCACATCATCAAAAGAGTGCATGAACAATCTCATTTTCAAAGTCTTCCTTTGTTTTCTTATCACTACCATGTCAAAAGCAAACTATCAAGCCCCATCTCTTTCCGGAAAGCCAATCAAGAACTTGGTTCCTCCTGGAAAGTGCCAGTTTACCGATGAATTTGTCGCTGTGCCGTTGCTGGAACGAGTTGCTGTTTCTCCCACTTCGAGTGTTTTGAGATTTGGCCTTCCCGACACATCCGCTCCTCTGAACCTGAGCACATGCGCCTGTATCCTAGCCAAGGCCAAGATTGGTGGTGAGGATGTTGTCCGTCCATACACTCCCATCTCCACCAACGATCAAGTCGGTTGCTTCGACATGCTCATTAAGGACTACGGTGAAAATGCCAAGATGTCCAAGCTGATGTGCGAAGACCTGAAGGTGGGAGAAACTGTTGAATTCAAGCACATCGCATTTAATGTAAAGATCCAAGCCCCGTTCAAACCAAAGAAGATTTGTATGTTGGTCGGAGGCACAGGACTTACCCCAATGGTCCAAGCGGTATGTATTTTTTATTCATTCAATCCGTCGTGATGACAAACTTATTATTGATTTTTCAATCTGTGCATTTCCTCACACGCTCCTTTTACACTTTCAATTTTAGTTGCATGCCATCTTGGGTGACCCTGATTCCACAACTGAAGTAGTCATGCTCTACGGATCCAAGGTTGCCGAGGATATTTTGGGTAGAGAGCTGATTGACAACTGGGCTGCTGAGAATCCTCGTTTCAAGGTTGTCCACGTTTTGTCTGACGAGCCAGCTGACTCGGAATGGAAGGGAGCCCGTGGCTACATCAATGCTGATATTGTCACGAGCAACTTCCCCGAGCCATCTGCGGGAGACGATCTCATGATCTTTGTCTGTGGTCCTCCACCCATGTACAACGCTCTTTGTGGACCCCGTGACGAGAAAGAGCTTTCTGGGTTGCTCAGTGAATTGAAGTACACCGCAGACCAAGTTTACAAATTCTAAACGTACAACACGTACTATCCGGTTACTATCTTTTCTCAGAAATAGATTTGGCTTGCGAGTAGGCCAAGAGAGTAACTTTAACTACCCTTTCTATTTGAATATTGATTACATTAGTTTTGATTACACAGGTAGTTGGGATTGTACGCGAGCCCGAGCATTGATAAAGCGTTGTCGTAGTCTTTCACGAGCAGCCTTCGCTTCTTGCCGTTTTTCTTCCAAGGATGACCTCCTACCTTCTACGGTAGGTACGGCGGAAGCTTCTTGTTGGTCTCTCAGATCAGCTGTGGTTTGAGCTTTGACTCCGTCCCCAAAGGTCGAATTCATTCTCGAGTTCAGCCTCTCCAAAGTGGCTTGTGCTTGGGCTCGCTTCTGAGCAGTGGACGATGAAGATAAAAACGAAGCATCTGAATGAGTACTGGAACGCAAGAGCGAACCAGGTTCGATTCTTGGCTGTTCGATGTCAGGTGAAGGCGCCGCGGTTTCCTTCTCGGGAGCAAGCGTATTGGACGCATCGGATTTCTGAGAAATAATGGCTTTTGAAGATTGAACAGGCAATCCAGTGCCCACCTCTGACACTGATGAGGACGTTGACGTCGCTGGAGATTGTTTGTCGACAGATGGTATATATTCAGAGTCTTCCGTGTTGGCGGTAATCTCAGTTGGTGAAGGCGATGCCTTGAGATTCTTCACTTCCTTCTCCGTTGACGGTTGGGGCAAAGGCGAAATCCTGGCGTCTGCTTGTTCTCTTGTTTTGATCTCAGTAGTTTTGCTGCGGCCTCTTAGCTCCTCGACTGGTACCCCTCTTCGGGGAAGTGGCGGTGGTGGTGGTATGTAGTCCAGTACAATTGGCATTTCAGTTTCTTTCTTCTCTTCGGCTATTGACGAAGTTGGAGGCGTCGATTTCGGTTTTTCGGGTTCTTCCATCTCTTCCTCTGCGGATGTCAAAGGTTCCGGGATTTTGTCCTTTGGACTGATACTGTTTGGTGAAGTTTCTTTGGATATTAACGCCTTGTCATCTTCATCACCAAAAAGAACGGCTGCAGAGACTGGCACCCTTTTCGTGCTAATGGTTCTTCTCGGGCGCATTGGCGATACATCGCGCATAGGTGGCCCATCTAGTACTGGCGCCACAATTCGCATTGAGCTTGGCAACGACCCGATCGGCAATGATTGATTTGGCGCTGCATCATTTGCAAAAGATCCTTCCGACATAGAGTCTTCATCATCTTCGATATTCACACCAGGCGACACCACCTTCTCGAGAGTTCGTCTCGGACGCATAGGAGACTGATCCCGGGCAATCCTCCTTTGTCTGCTTTCTTCTGCTTTGCTCGTTAGGGAGCTTATCGACATCTCAAGATCGACATCAACAGACAAATACCGCTTTGGCATACTCGGGGACTCGTCCACAACAGACCTCTTGCTCGAGGTGCGAGACATCTGGTTTCGCCTTGAGCTGGACATGCTATTTTGACGTGACAGTAGATTCCGCCGGGAATTGTTAGCGAAACTGGATACACTTGTTTGCCGTTTCATCAAGTTCCGCCTCGAATGATTGGTAAAGCTTGACATGGAAAGATCTCGTCTCATCTGGCCCCTCCTCCCCGAGGCAGCGTTGTGCATAGAGGTGCTCATGTTGTGCATAGAGGTGCTCAGGATTGAATTATCCATGTTGAAACTCTGATTGTGCTTTTCCGATACTGACGCAAGATCCAGTGATCGTCGCCGCATTCCTTCAGTTCGTCGTCGATGACGAGAACCTTCTTCTGATCCAAGAGGTTGCTTGCGGCCGCCCCTTCTTTTGTAACTGCTGCTAAAATCAGAAGCTTCTGCCTCCTCCTTCCCATCGCCGAGTTTCGGACTGGGTGCTTGTCGCCTCGGTGGGACTGGCGATATGTCAGAAGACCTCTTCGACATTGCTTGTTGCGGTGTGGAATCGAATCGGGTACTGCTCATGAGCGAATCAGCTGCCAGCGATTCACTATCCAGCGTGGAGAACGAATCCTGAGGATTGTCCATTAGACCTGCCGGTATCTGAATTTCCAAGACCCTTCCTTCCGCCTTGGACCAAGACGAGTTGTCATCATCCATTATCCCATGAAACAAATGCTTGTCCGTGTCTTCAGAATCAGCCCTGCTTCTTCCCCTTACCCGCGCGACCGGAGGAGGCGGTGTTCTATCTTGTCCACGGTTGATCCTGGGCCGTGGGGCTACCGCGTGACCCGAAAAGGGCGCCAGCGGTGACAATTCGGGACTGTCCATGTTGGGTGAGGCGAGAACGGCTTCCGTATCATTTCGCACCGGAGTTTGACGGCCAGAGGTATTCATTGGTGACAGACTGGGATTTTTTCCCTCAAGTTTCGACGTAGTTTGACGCATCGGGTGGCCAGAGAAAGTCAATGGTGACAGCTCGGAACTGTCGCTATTTGACGCCGCACTGATTGATTTTGTTGGAATTCGTCGATCGTCATTTCGCCCGGAAGCGCTGCCCTCCATGATCTTGTTGTTGTTGTTGGCACCACGACGGTGACCAGAAGCAGTCAGTGGTGATAATTCACTGTTGTTGGATCTAGCAATTGCATCTTTTGGAATTTGATGATTTCGCACTGCTGCTGCTGGAGTAGTTTCCTCCTCTGTCGTATTGACGTGACGCATCGGGTGAGGTGATAGTTCACTCGAATTGCTGTTCGAGGTTGCAATGGTTCTAGTTGGGACTTGATGATTTTGCACTTGATTCCTTTCTTCCTCCACGCTCTTGGCTTGTCTACTGTGTCGTGGCCCCGAAGCGTGCAATGAAATTGATGGTTCACTTCTGTTGCTGCTGGTTGACGCCGAAGTTGCTTTGGTTGGAACTGGAGCGTCAGGAAGGAAATCAGAAGCGGCCGTCGTTGGTGATAGTTCAATTGGATTGCTCTTTGTTGCAGCCATTGTTTTGGTTGGAGCGGGAGCGCCCGGAGGAAAATCAGAAACGGCCGTCGCGGGTGATGATTCATTCGGATCGCTCCCTGTTGTAGCCATTGCTTTGCTTGGAACTGCAGCGACAGGAGGGAAATCAGAAGCAGCCGTCGTAGGTGATACTTCACTTGGATTGCTCTGTGTCGCAGCAATTGTTTTGTTTGGAACTGGAGCATCAGGAGGAAAATCAGAGGCGATCATCGCCGGTGATGCTTCACTTGGGTTGCTCTCTGTTGTAGCGACTGCTTTGGTTGGACCATTGGGTGGTTCATCGAAGTCATTATTAGGCTTCGATGTTATGGCGGATGGTTCTGATGGTTTGGCATCATTCTCTTGTTGGAAAAAATTAGGAGGCGGAAGGTTCGCCAGGAGACTGGATCGCCTTCCACCTCTTGGAGCATGTGGTTTGTCCTCGTGAATCGGTGATGTAATCAAGGATCGTCGTTTGGCCCGCCTGGAACTTGACATGGTCCTAGCGGGGGCAACTCGGTTTCGCGGAGCTCCTGCTCCTTTCCGGGCACTTTGAGCCTCGACGACGTTTTCCAGATAATCCGTCACCTGCTGTCGTATGGGGCTCAAGTCTCTGGAGGTTGATTTTCTTTTTGTAATTCCTGTCGATCGTCGTTTGCCCAGTGGCCCATACCGTACTTTATCCATGGTTACTCTGTATGGATTTAGGGATAGGTTCATTCCTGGGGCTGCTTCCACATTCGTATTTCCTAACACTTCATCTTCTTCTTCATCATCCGTGTCGACGAGTTCGAACATGTAGGATGACTCGAAGTTAATCATTCCAGACTGTGTGAAATCCATCGTCGTTAGTCCACTCATATGCATATTTTCCATATTGGAAGTTTCAGGAAGTGTCAGATCAAATCCATCTGAACTATTGGTAGCATCAGCATCGTCTGACGACTGCTGATCTGTACTATCGCCACTTTCTGAACCAGAATACCGGTAGGCAGTTTTCGTCTTCTGCTTATTATCTTCTGATGGAGTAACATCATTCAGGTCGTCGAGAGACATCAATTCTGATGCACTTCCAACTGACATTTCCACATATTCCGAAACAAGAGACTGTCGACGATGTGCATTCCTTGGCGGCGCCGAGGGACTAACGTCATTGAAATCCACTTCCGTCACTTCTTCTTCCTCTATTATATATTCGACACTGTGCACTTCCTCCTCATCTTCAACAATCACCACTTCCTCTTCAATGATCTCTTCTGAAACCAAACTTCCTGATTCACTCATCTTGTGCCGTTGTTTGTGGGACTATCGTTTTTATGCTGTCATTCTTCTTCTATTCATATCTCCTTGCTCTTGCGAGTACTAATTTTGCTATGTCTTTAATCTCTCCTTTCGCCTGTGCTTTTTATATTTCAGTTACTGGTTCATTTCTGTCTCTCGTTTCGCCGCTTGGGAGGTGAGGAGATTTTTGGTCCATCCGTTCCGCATTTTCTCCATAATTGGCGTCGGCTGGCGTAAGCAGGGCAACAAGTCTGCTTAAAACATTATGACTGCGCACGTCAGCTCCGATTCACAAAAAGAATATCGTGAAAAATGCATGGGCTTATATATATTTTTCGCTATATATACTTGTATTATGTTTTCGTCCAATCAAGTAGAGGTACCGGTAGGTCCTTTTAAAATTAAAGTTCAAAGTGTGAATCCGCAATCGAAAGGCAGTAGGTCGACTGCATGATTGTTTCATTCGAAGGAATCAATCTACATTTCCAATGAAAGAATAGAATAATATCAGAGGCGAGTCGCGAGGCACAACGTATACCACTGTACTTCTAATAGTAGCAATGTAATGCAGAAAGCATTCGAATGACCGAGTGAAGATGTCAGTTTCCAGATTGAGATGAAAGAATATTGAAGATTTTATATGAAGGAACACCTTCTTCAAATTTGAATTTATAATGAACACTGCTTCAGGAAATCTGCCACGGCGTCATCAAAAGTCTCTCGATATGATACTAAAGCAACGCAACGCCGCCAGTTTCCACATTCCCTATAAGCCCCGTTGCATTCGATACATTTTCCTTAGATCTCATATTCGCTTTGTGACAACCCGAGGTGCTTGTCAAGTGGGGATTGTGTATTCCGATAATTTGTCAACTGGCATCTGAACCAAAATTATTATCCGGACTGCAAGCAGTGGCCGAATTCCCCTCTCGCTACGGAGACGATAAGTGGTGGAAGAAACACATATGAAATATGAACCACAATGATGTCCTATGGATCCTTTGGGGATTTGCTTCGATTCGAAACAACAGGCAATGTTCTCAACCCAAACGGCAATTGAACAGCATCAGACAGGTCTGCGACTTCAGATGACACTAATTGACCGCAATTGGACCAAGGACCGCAATTGGACCAAGATGAGGTAGCGTAGAGTAAGTCAACGTTTCCCTCATTCCGTTCGAAATCCACCTGGAATCAAGTAAGACGCATCGGCTCGGCCAGATGGAGTGAAGCAATGCCAATAAGGCGCATCGTCTGGACGAAATGGACACCAGTGTTGGACGTCACTCAAACATGAGAGTACAAAGCGTTTCTGATTCTAAAAATGTAAGATTGGGAAGAACTATCGTTTGCTGAGTATGGCTTGTCACATACAAGACAACTTGTGTCCAACGTCAGCCCAACGCCTGAACGGACGCCAGCATGACAGAATCTCAGGTTTTCGTTGGTACCTTCAGCGAAGAATTCCAATGCTGCTGCCGCCAGCTAATATTTCACAATCCAGAGCTCTGTCTATCTACTGCTTGGCCAGTCCAACAAGTACCAGGTACTAGACAATGAGTCGTGATCCGCCGCGAAAGAAACCGAAATCGAATGAGGAAGCGGAGCCTGACGAGGATGACGAAGAAGTGCCTGGTCTCCCTTTGGAAAGGTTTGTTTGCAAGTACACGTGCTGGTTTACATTTGATATACTAACTTGGACCAATATTATATTTCAGTGTTGGATACTACAATATCAGGCAACTCGAATTGGTATTGCCTTTCGAACAAGATGTTGGATCCATTGGAGATCTTGCCGTCGCCGAGCATGACGACGAAAGCGCTTCGTTGTTTTCTTTGTTCCCAACGCTTCAGGACTTGGATTGGCAGGAACCAAATGCTTCGCAGAACGCGAGTCCTTCGGCATTTGCGTCCTTTGAAGACTTCGAAAACCGACTGACAGGGCTCATTTTTGGAGCCCACCGCGATCTTTCTTTGCTGGGTATCCAACTCCTCGACAGTCCAAATGTGAGACAGCTTCGAGTTCTTTTACCGGAGTACAGTGACCTTTTAGTTGCAGTGATTCTGCAGTTGATTGCTTGGACAGAGACACGCGAACCTAGGGCTAGGTTGCTTATTCCAATCCATCAACCACCCGACGCACGGATTTCTCAACCCAATCAATCAACTACAGTAACGCCGCAAGTAATAGATCACTCCTCTGGTAGGATTGGCATTATTCACAAATGTTGGAAGTGTGGTGAGCCGATGAAAGGACATTCCTGCCGTCTTCCTCCTGAAACAGAAGTTCCCGGATTGTTCGAAGGGCATGATGGAAGGATGTGGAAGATTCGTCTCGCTATGGATGTAATTGAGGAGATGAATGATGCCGCCAAAGAAAATGGTGTGGAGAAGCCGCTTGCCGACGAACAATGTGGCAAGGGCGTGCAAAAGAAGAGAGGAACGTACCTCTGCAACTTCTGCTTGTACCCCAAGAAGTCAGAGTTCCACCGAAAGCATTGCATTCTGCGTCCCAGAACGAAGGTCACACTAGGAGGAGAAGATGGTAAGACTTGGTTGCATGCGACTCTAGTTGGGCGTGTAAGCAAGTCGAAAGCGGTGAGTTATTCCAGATTCCGATCGCCGCCCTGCAATTGACTTTCTCTAATTTGTTGAACGAGACACAGCGCTTGAAAGAAGTAGGTGAAGGGAAGGTAAGATCAGAACTTGGAATTTTGGCCTATTCACATCCTGAATGCCGCTTGTGGCTGTTGGCTGTTGGGTATATAGGTTTTGGAGAACGGTGAAGATGAAGCTGCCGAAGATGACAGGAAACCTTCAGCGAAGGACAGGGTGAGTTTCAGAATAGATGCGATGGTTTTGATTTTCCACTTTCCTCAGTACTCCCTATTTGACTTCACACAAATGTGTAGAATAGGGAGAGTGATGGTGATGGAGGCAAGGGAGATGGCAAAGACGGTGATAATGACGATCCACCAAGTGGAGACGGTGACGGTAACGGTGATGGAGTTTCAGGAGTGGCAAGTTATCCAGTTTGAGTTTCCAGTTGTTTGTAGTGATTGTTATATTTTCCATAATTCGAATGTAAGAGTGATGATGATAGTTTACGAAAGTGTATTATACTTTCTACACTCATACAGTAGTCTTTGCCATGTGGCACAATGTACAGTAAAAGACTACTAGGTGTCCCACGAACTATCGCTACGCACGTGATAGTACATATGACCGTGCGTCAGCATGACATGGTGCAGGTTTCAAATAGATATTTTTCCAACACTCTCACTTGCTGCTGACTGAATATTTCACAACAAGCAAGCGTTCTACCGCCAAATCCAACAAGCAAGTACACGCACGGTACCACCTGGGTATAAGATATACATAGAAGCAATGAGTCGTGATCCACCGCAAAAGAAACAGAAACTAAACGATGCCAATAATGAAGGATCTCCTGATTTCACGTTGGAAGAAGGGTAAGTACCGGGATAGGTACAATTCTAAGTGCACACGATGACTGAGCTGTTACACACTTCTTACACTGAATCGGATCGACATTGTTTCTCATTGTTGGCGGACACAATATCAGGTTTCTCGAAGACATAGATGTTGGATCCATTGGAGATGTCAATGATCTTTCGGTCATTAACGATAATGACGATGAGAGTATTGCATTTTCTCCTTTGTTTCCGGAGACTGATTGCGAGGACCTATTGTCTTCCCAGCATGGGCGTCCTTTGGCATTTCCGCTCGACGCAAATCTTGCAAACCGCGTGTGGGAACTCATGCTTGGAGCCTACCGCGATCATTTGCTGGGTATCCAACTCCTCGATAGTCCAAATGTGAAAGAGATTCGAGGACTTCTTACACCGGAGTACGGTGACCATTTAGTTGCAGTGATTCCGCAGTTAATTGCTTCGACAGAGAGCCGCAATCCTAGGGCCCGGGTGATTATTCCGAACTATCAACCACCCGGCGCTAGGATTTCTCATTCCAATCAAAGAACTGCAGTCTCGCCGCAAGTAAGTGGTTACCCCTCCGGTAAGAAGGGCAAATCACGCGGTCGTTACAAGTGTGGGAGGTGTGGTGCTCCCAAGGCAGGGCATGTCTGTCTTTTTCGTCCAGTGTATGTCATTGATGCTGCTGCAAAAGATAGTGATGAAGAGGAGGTAAGATCAGAACTTGGAAGTGTCGAGGAGAACAACGAGATGGCAAAGATGAAAGGAAACCTGGAGCAAAAGACATGGTCAGTTACAGAATCGATATGATGGGTTTCACATTCTCGCTTTCCTCAGTATGCTCCACATTTGAAGTGACAAAACCGCAGAATAAGAAGAGTGGTGGTGATGGAAGAAAGAAGGGAGACGGCAAATACGATAGTAATAATGACGATGATTCCAAGGACGATTCATGGAGATGGAGGATTTTCAGTTGTGACATCAGGCGCTGAGTTTGAGTTTCTAGTTGTTCAATGATTATTCCAGTTTCCAGAAAATGTGTAGTGTGGAATATAAGAGTGATTTTAAAATATATGATTTAGTTTACGGAACGGTTGGATGTTGAATATCCATTTTAGGAACTATTTCGTTCCCTCATCACAAGAATTCCTGGAAGCAAAAGTTTTTCATTCCAACGGAAATCTGCTGTTTTTTCGATATTGGATTGCTTCGACTGACGACTCGCACTCACTCTCGCACTCCAAGGAAGACTCCTCTCACACCCGGAAATAGTATAATCGTCTCTGCATCGCTTGTGGAATGCAAGAGTTGTTTTTGACAGTGTTCTATTTCATATTCTTTGTCTATTTGTATTTGCCATACCTCCTTGAAGGCGATCCCGAGATGGAAGAACGAGTTCAAAAATTGAGAACCAAGGCAACGAGGATTTCGAACGTCATTACGAATTCTCCCTATTTTGCCCAGCTATGCGATTGGGCATTCGGTGTGTGTGATCCGGATGGAACTAACCATGTTGGTAGGTTGTTGAGTGAGCATATATCGACAAATCAAAAGTATGCGAATGTCTCTCATGATGCATGATCATTCTCTTGCGACTTTCATTTTATTTTCAGGCAAGGCAGACCTGTATGCTGGAATCTTGATGGTGCACATCAAGTTGGCCAAAATGGCGGGAGCATCAGCTACCTTTCCTCCCGAACGTGAAGCCATCAACCATCTATTCGATGCATGTGATACGAACGGCAGTGGAGGGATCAATCGAGAAGAGTTTGATATTTTCCTAAGTGCCTCGAGTGCTCAGATCTTTGGCAGAATTTTGGTCAATTTGCTGACTTATATATTTGTGATTCCGTACTATTCCAAGGTGAGCTTGAGCGATTCGAACTTATCCGAGTGGACAATCTATTACTATGATTATTATTATTATTATTATTATTATTATCCGGACGCTGACAAGCTTGACTGATGTTACAGCACATTGTGGACAACTTTGGACTGAAAGAAGGAACCTACTGGGAAGTCGTGGCAGAACAAGCGTGTGGATTGTTTCTCTTTTTCGTAATCGTCCCAATATTCTGGGGTATGATTGATGTCAAAAGCTGTCAAACAGCAAGCCAAAAAGCAGAGCGGCATCGTGATGCAAAAGGATTGGCAAAGGAGAATAAAGTTGACTGATGTTGATCATGGTGATGATACTATATACTATTGCCAATTCGCTCATGTGTGGATCCATATGCATGCTTCGGCGGTGCTACATGGCATGAAATGTACTACAATATGATGCTCTGAATGTATAGGAACGCTTCTGTCAGCCGTTCGAGCCAAACACAGGCTAAATATTGGAGTTCCCGCTCGAGGGAGAGGCAGGCAGGAGGAGGACAAGTCGTCGATTGTCTTAAAATGTGGGATCATCGTGGATCCCAGCACCATAGCACTCTGGCGGTCAAAACAATGCAATTTCGTGACAGGCCTCTAGACTAAAATAAGAACCTAGATAATAGATAGACATTTAGGGGTAGCAGTTGGCGCTGTCCAAGATGTGTTAATATTTGATTGTGAACGGATGGAGGTTGTTTGTCAATCAACAGTAGAGTTTATTGAGTCAAGGAATATTGGAGATTGGAGAAATGATGGTTTTACTAATGGATAATAATGCAGTCTAAAAGAACAATCACATCATCAACGACTGGATTTGCGGTCTGATCTGATCAAGCGGAGTAGGAGAAGGAGAATCTGCCGGTGGTTTGAAAATCCGTAAGATGTCAAAAATCATTGCGGTGCTCACAACAAAATATCCAAAGCCGTCATCCACTTGATTCCAAATCAACAACATGAAATTGACTTTGCTTTCTTCTTCCTTGGCACTCTTCCTCTGCCAAACACAAGCCTTTGCCCCTGTTTCTCCCAGCATTCGACCAAGAACCTCTGTCTTGGCGGTCACTGAAGGCGAAACGGATACGTACTTCCGTGCCATCAAATGTGCCGAAGGATCATCTTCGACTCTAGAAGAGCTTGAGAAACTAGCGACTGACTTGGAAAATGTGTTGGGCTCCCAATACGAAGAAGGAATCGAAAACTGTGAGCGAGAGGTTCGAGATCGCATGGATGTCGCACACATGCTTCGATTGCGCATTGAATTGCAACTGAGGTAAGCGTCAGTCTCGCGTTGTTTTGCGTTTGTTCAGAAAAAAATCAGTAGTGATACTGTGCAATGAACAGTGTACTAATGCTTTTCCTTGGATTTAATTTAATTTGATTTTTTCTACACCTATAGAATGGACTACCTGAAGGGAGAGAACCTGTTTGCATCAGATGTTCAGAAAAGTCACGACCGTGACGAGCGTCGCCGATTCAAAGAGCTGCTTGAAGCGAACCGAGACAAGGTTGTGGATGGAGCTGATCTTGGACTTTGGTAACAACTCATTCATTGTACCATGCTGGTCTTTCAACCCAATGGTCGGTATGGATACAACAACCCAATCGAGGAATGATGTGCATCGGCAGCAAGACATGACATGTAAATAGCTGTTTAGCATGCCCAATGATGCAAATCTAAACCGTATAATGAAACTAAAAGGATTTATTTCAAATCTACATGATTATATCGTACCATCACCATAGCTAGCAAATGGATCTATCTCTCCTTCGTTATATCGATCCAATGCGTCGCTGACATTTCCCAACGTCATGGCACCAACATAGCCCGGCATCATGGATCCCTTGTATCCAATATCACCTTGCACCTTTGGATTGCGGAATGAAAAGTTAAGCATGACTCGGGTTGCTCCCTTATCAATATCATTGGCACCGCCACAATGAAGTACGCGAGCGTCAAACAAGACGGCGGCACCCTTGCTCAGAGTCGCGAAACGACAGTCTGCCTTACGAAGTTGATCGTCCTTGGCGTCCATATCACCGCCGTCAAATATTTCGATTGCTTTTTTGACATGTGATTTGAGCAAAAAGGAAGTTGGGCCCATTTCTTCAGTGACGTCTTGAAGTGCCAAGAAAATCACGTACAGCGGAGCATTGTCTTGGAATGGCAAATCGGGATGAACCATTTGTCGATAGCTGCCCGGTTTTGTAATGATGCCGGCCAATTCATAGAATTCTCCTTCCTTAGACACCAAGGCTTCGTAGATTGGCCTCAACGTTCCATCCGACGACAAGAGTTCTTGCAAAGCTTCCGCCAATACATTTTCATCGTCCGCCGTACTTTCGTCATCACTGTTACCATCTGTCAGCTTTACTCCTCCCTTCGTCAGAGTCAAGTGCATATCAGCTCGGTTCTTTCGTGTTTGTTCAACACCATAGTATATCTTTGATGCTTGTGGGTTGCTTGCGGTTTCGCTTTCGACAAGTGTTTGCTGATCCAGCATGTACTGTCTGAGTTTGTCACAGACATCTGGCGACAAGACATTATTTATTCGCAACACTCCATCTCGTTTCATAATCTTTGCTTGCTCGGCAGCCTGTCTCGTGGAAGGGTCCATGGCTCCCTTGTCGGCAAATCCAGTTCCCGACTTGGGGGGTTTTGCTTTGATCGTGGCGGCTTGCAGTTCCTTGGGCATACTTTTCTGAGATAAAAGTTCCTCTTCATGAAGAGCTCGACGAAGCATGGCTTCTTGTTGGTCTTGATATAAGAGCTCACTCGCGGAAGAAAGCAATGAGGTCGAGGAGGCAAATTCATTCTGGATGTGTCTTTTGGTTGAAGTTCTTCTCGTTGTTGTTGCCGAAACACACGGCGAAGGTGTAAAGGCGTCTATCGCTGTGCTACCTAAAGCAAAGACAAAATAGAAGGCTTGCAAAGCATGTGACATGGTGATGTTGAAACTTAGATGGCTGCGCATAGAGAAGATCGGACTTTACAAGGGAAGCGAATACAAGTGGCCGTCTTCGTCTCGAGAAAGAATATTGTGACATTATTTTTGGATAGGGTGGTGACGCTGATGATTCATTGAATTCGCATGTCGCGTACGCACGCGGCAGTTGGCAGCTGGCCGTGTCTTCCCCTATCCTCCGCTACGCTCTCGGCTAGCAGCGGGAGCATGAAAAAGTTTCAAAAGTTTCAAGATGATTGATTCGCTCGGAGCTGAAAGGAATTTTCGAAAATCATGACCGGCGGGGTAAATCGAAACGCGGGGCCGCGCGTATCAGTTACGGAAGAAAAGATCCCACCTTTGATTTATTGCATTCAATTCTCTGATGATAAAGCTCACCATCAGTGGCAAAGGCTCCTTCACTTCTGTACGCTGTATTACGAGTCGTTTGATGGCGCTGACAAAGGAAAGTTTGCAATGTGAGCTTTCGCACTCTGACCAGATTTGTCAATGAGTTGAAGTAGACTTAAGGCAAAGTGCTTTTTCACCTCGTACACTAAATAGCCTGCGCTAAGAAGAGCTTTCTCCTATTCTTTGGAAATCCATGATTGCCCATCACCTTTTCGCTTGCTTCTTGACAGCCAAAAATCACAACTTGCAGAACAGTCACATCAAAACAGCCATCTGCAAAACATCACCATGGTGTCCAGTCGTAACAGCCAAACGAGCATCGAATCTTCGGCATTGGCAAAATTTCTACAAACGCTGAATGTTGGGCATTCATCAGTACAAATCGTTGTGGATAATGCCAGACCCACTGCTCTAGACAGACATATCATCGGAGGAGGAGAACAATCTCGAGAATCTCAAGATAGTACTGCTACGACTAAAACAAGAAGACCACACGGCAGCAATGATGCTTCTCTTGGAAAGAAACGCAGACGGAGAGTTTCCTTCAACTACAAGATTCGTGTGGTAAACTGCTCCGCTCTCACCAACACAGATGAACTATTTTACACAGAGAAAGAGTACAAGAAGATGAAGAAGGAAATCAAAGCCACCCTCCTTCGGCATATGATGGAAGACGAATCGTCGTCGTCCAACGACGATGACACCATTGATTGTATGAGAGGAATCGAAACACACCTCGAAGATGCCAGGGCTGCCAAGAATCGGGCACGATTGCGTGCTTGCTTAGCAGTCTTGACGGAACAAAAACGCCAACTTCTAGAGGATGGCAATGTGATTCCCATGGACGGACAAGAGTTGTCTCGTCGCTACCAACAGGTATCACTGGAATGCCAATGGGAGGCAATCCAACGGGGATTGAAGGATTGGGTGGACATTTGCCCTCCTTCCTACAAATCAACTACTCAAGACCAGACCCCCATTGGATACGAGTTTGGAGTAGCAGCTCCTACCATCTGCCCAAAGATCCGAGCCATCTCATCATTTGCGGCTTGAGAGACAAAATACGTATTTTCAATTTTGGATGTATAACTTTTGAGATTATTTTTGCAAACATCATGATTATTTCTTATAACGTTCAAAATGATTTCAGTGGGTGATAGCTTGAACACTAGGTAGCTGTAATACGGTAGTAGCCCCCCAAGAAGTTTCCAATGGGGTTCTCCAGACGAAGAATGATTCTGCAAAGGATCGAACGAGTCAACCGTGATCATATTTTGAATTCCCTCTTTTGGACTAAGAGTTTCGACCCCCTTTTCAATTCCGGACAATCAACGCTGGCCAGTATCACTCTCTAGCCATCGTCTATGGGTCGTCCGTTACGTCTGTCTGTCGCACGTGAACGAGCGAAGGACTCTCAATAGTCTCAGGGAGACCCTTCGGTCGTTTTACGTGCGACCGACAGACAGGGTGGGCTGACCGCAAGACGATGGCTAGAGAGGAACGCACCACAACGTGCAACGCCGCACGCAATTTAAATGTCCGTTAATAGTTAAAAATGGTTTTATTGGAAAACGTTAAGTGTCCGTTTCCATTTTAGCGCGGGCGCACTGTGGAAATCGGGCATGCCCCGTGCGTCAATTTGACGCAAAAACGGGCACGCCCCGCGTCAAATTAACGCAAATCTGCGTCAAATTGACGCAAATGCGAAACTGCGTCCAATTGACGCAAGTTGCGTCAATCCCGCGTCAAACTCAAGAAATTGCGTCAATCCCGCGTCAAACAGATGCAGTTGCGTCAATCCCGCGTCAAACTCAAGGGAGGCCAGAAACACAATGTTATAAGAGCACAGTTCAGGTTCTGACATCAGCTACTTCATTATGCTATGGGCTACAGTTCTGGATTCGTTTATCAGGAGTACTTGGCTTCATATCCCAAAATTTCACAGTTCCAAGCTCTAAACCAATTTGGATTGTTGATTCCAGGACAGCACCTAGTACCGCAAGTGTATGCTTATCATAGTTATGGATCCAAATACCTTGCAATGATTGGAACTTTTTCATCTTGCAAAAGACACATACTACCTCGTTTTTTGGTGTTCAACAAGAATGCTGGATGCAATAAGTCCCTAAACAATTGAGACAAGGAGAGCAGAAAGATCCTGAAAGGAATAGGAGACATTGCCAGATCCCTGGCCAAGTATGCCTATGGAAGAAAGGTCAGTTCCAATATTGCCAAATCCATTCTCAAATATGTTTTCTACAAGATTTTTGAGCAGTACTATACCTGGGGGATTCCGTTGATGAGCAAGACAGGGATATCTGTTGGTGAATTTCATCAAGGGCTTTAAACTCCTCATTGATTAGGTTGTTGCTTCTTGCTTGGAAAATAGCATCATTGCCATTATGTGTCCCAGCTTTGTCAATTTCCATCAGATCCATTGTTCAAAAAATGGGCAACTCTCATTGGAATGAGAGTGGGAACTCAAACTCTCATTCATTCACACACTCCAATCTTTTTGGAACTGATACCAGTACGCGGGTTTTGTCCCGCGTCGAAGACACGCAGGCCCGCGTTAAATTGACGCAACCCGCGTCAGTTGACGCGGAATCGGCGTTAAACTGACGCAACTCTGCGTCAAACTGACGCAACTCCGCGTCAAACTAACGCAACTCCGCGTCAAACCAACGCAACTCCGCGTCAAACTAACGCAACTCGCGTCATTCCCGCGTCAAAAGAAACGTCCCGCGTCAAAGTCGCAGAGCATTTTAACGGACACATAAAAATTATTTAGAGCTAAAAAAATCCTCAAAACAATCTAAACGGACAGATTTCGGGCGTGCGTTTGACGTTGTTGTATGCACTCCTTCGCTCGTCTACGTGCGACTGACAGACGGAATGGATTGACCCTTAATTCCCTCTTTTGGAAGAGTTTCGGGAAAATCAATATTTACTGTCAAGAATTGTACCGGTACTGGTACCGTATGCTAAATATCTATTTCCCGGCCGTTCCTGGTCAGTGCGCAGTCCTTCGCTCGTCTACGTGTGACGGACAGACTGTGTCGGTTGACCGCAAGACGATGTTCAATGGTGCAAGAGTATAGTTGATGTTCACGATGTGAGCTGGCTAAATAGAGAGTGTATCGCACCACTAGCATGAACCCGATACACAGTTGAAGTACCGGTACTGCAGAAGAATGCACACGGTTTCAACGAAACCACTATCACAAGAATCATTCCGATAAAGATCCATTTGACTTCTTGGATCAAGGGACAACTTCCTTATTACCAATACGAATACTTGTTCAGTTGGACTCTCTTTCGCTTTTTGGCTCATGGTAGGACTACAGCGAGTGATTTAAAAAAAGCCAGTCGTACTGCGTGATGATCGAACAATTCAATAGCCAAAATCCAATGGAGTTACAATATTGTTTTCTCAACGCGGGTGCAATTTCTTGTTCACACTCGTTAGCTTAGAATGAAATTTGTATCCTCTTGTCTCCAATGCCGGTTTTCATTTTACCTGTGGTTATTCTTGTGTCTGTCTTCTGTCTATCGGATTGGGATTTTGAAGTTAGGTTCCTCCTACCCGGTACGGTACAGTACCTAAGGTTCGAAGCGGAAGTGGTTCGTTCCTGATTTGTAATGCAATCAATGGAAACCGAAATCCCATTGGCGAACAACACACTTCTTCATCGTACAATAGGGCCTTCCTTCGAATGAGGCGCACACTTAACACTAGATCGGAGGGTAGTAAAGTCCGGATAGGATGTATAATAGAAAGAAAAAGCGTATGCAAAGTGTTATCGGAATTGCGAGAACATATATCATCGACCTCCTCCTCATTTCTGTGTTGGTTCCTATGTAAATGACTATTTTCGCCCTTTTATCTATGCCTGACCATTCACAGATTTACTTAGACGAATTACTTTTTTAGTCGTTAAAACACACTTGAAGCTTCTAATTGTTTATGCTTTAGCTAATTCGAATGGGCGGAACGCTTCGTTTGAATAAATCCCTATTCGAAACGCTCGTATCCATTAATTTCGAAAATCATAACATCACGTCCGAAATTACATACTGTTTCGCCTCCAGCTCATCCCGAAGACGCTCGCCGCAAGATACGCGAAACGAAATTTTTTGCTCTATTACTTTATTTTCTATTCAGCTGTTTTTTCATCATCATCACCATGATGAGCACTGATATGGATATGTCGCATCGCAGCAGCGGCGGAGTGCAAGAAGGAGTATTTTCTCCACCCCTCACACGTCGTTCCAGCCATGATACGCCACCGCAACCACCGAGCCGCACCCGGTACTATGACATGTCTCCTCAGGTTCCCCGGCGGAGTGCTGTAGCGAACAACAACGATTCCTTATCCTCGTCCAGACGTAGTCCCAACGGTAGCAGTCGTAGTCCACGGCGCGGCCCTGGAAGTCGTAGAAGCAATTACAGACGCTCCGGTTCGTCCAAGCGATCGGATCAGGATGAATCCTTGGAGAACTCGAACCACAGCACAGCTTCATCTAATCGACGACAACGAAGCAGATCCTCCTCCCGGCACCGTAGGTCCCGATCCGGTGGTCGTAGGTCCCGATCCGGTGGTCGTAGGTCATCCAATAGTTTGACCAGTCCTCGACGAATGAGACGAAGTGAATCCCAAAACCAGCCCGGAGCCTATAAGTATTACGATGATATCGATGATCATGCGGAAGCTGTCAAGGCAAAACAATCCTCGCGGCGTTCCAGTTCTACTGGCCGAAGAAGTCCAAGACGATCCGAGTTATCATCCTCGTCTCGACGATCACCCCCCTCGGATCCTGATTCCAGACAAACATCATTCTCACGACGTTCCCCCCAACCCGAGGAACCCAAAATCTACGATGATGCCTTTGGGGACTGCCCCAAAACTACTGCAAAGAAAAAGGAGATTCCCATCACACCTACATCCGTTCTGACAGAGACTTCTAACCAAGAGGACATGTCGGACGACGAAGAGATTGTGCTGCCCGGTGCCTATGCCTCCAATTTGGAGGGAGACGATCTACGCCTTTCCAGACTCCATGGAAGGTCCAAGGCTCGAAGATCCCGAAACCACATGCGAGTGAGTATGGGTGGCTTGGATCCTCCTCTAATGGACTCCAATAGCAGCAGTGCTGGATCCTCCAGCATGACATCGGCGGAACGGTCTGCCTTAGAAGCTCGCAAGGATTCGAGACGATCCAGCATGATGCGAGCGGCTTCGGAGCGCAATCGAAGTAGCAGAAGACTGTTGGTGCGACAACACAGCGCCAGTCCGAGTGTCAGTGCTAACAGTAACATCGCCATTGCGACTGCCATTCGACCTGCTGTAAGCGAATCCGAGTCGGAAGAAGACATTGGCGAGGAGATTGTCAATGATGAATACTTTGATCATGACTATGATAATGATGATCTAGAGATGAGCCATCAAACAACAAGTATGTTCTCATCATCTCAAAAAGCAAGCGTGGCCTCTCAAAGCCACAGAACCGATTTGTGTGAATCACCCGATGCCAGCGAAAGCACGGCTACCGGTTCCATCTCAGAAGATGTGGTCACGGAAATCGTCAAGCCCAACAAGTTTCGCCGCAACAACAAACGCAACAAGAAAGAGCAATCTCAGCGAAAGATGATTCAAAGACGGCAACGACGGGAGAGAAACTATTGTCTTGTGGCTGTCTTTTTATTGATCGTCGGCGGCGGCACCATCTATCTTCTTTTAAGACCGGATAAAACGGATGACTCTTCTTCCTCTGACATTGCCAGCAACAGCAACTTGGACAACAACCAGAATCCTACCAGCCATCCCTCTGCCGCACCATCCGCAGCCGTGGAAACCCTTCCACCAACAGAATCCTATCTGTACCATCCTCCTTCTCCTCAAGATTGCATTGCCATGAAAAATGATGAAATGATAATTGGTCAAGGCAACATGACCAATCGAAATTTCAACTTGCATTTCGATGTGGTTTTGGATGCTGCCAAAGCAGTGGAAATCGATTCCGTTCTAAAGGAACTGCTGGAAGCGATTGAATCTTACTTTGTTCCATCCTTGGCTGGATGTGACGATATCATGTCATCCACTAAAGACAATGATGGCAATCGGCGAAGATTGGCCCTTCTTCGGTACGTTGTGGCCAATGCCGACGTCGATGGCGAGGTGAGCGTTGACGAATCTTGCACCACCACACCAGAGCAACCATGTTTTCGGGTTGTTGTCAATCTCAAAGTTTATCTAAAGGGGAATGTTCGCATTGCCCAACTACTGAACTTGATTGTGGGTGTGGTGGAACTGGATGGCTTCAAGGGAGTCTCGTTGGGCAATGCCCGGAAATTGGAGAAAAAGGTTGATGCAGCACCAGTGTTGGCCGAGCGATGGAACTTGAGCGACGTCTTCAAGGGTGTGGTTCTGGCGCGAATCGAATCAGCCAACGCGGCATCCTCTGCACCCAGTATGGTTCCAAGTATCTCCCCTTCAACTTCTGCGCCATCCAGCAGTCCTTCTGCATCGCCATCGGCACAACCTTCGAGCAGTGATGCGCCTTTCGTTGTAAAGGATACCACTACTTCTTCGCCAGTAGTACCTAATGTTGCATCCCAAGGCCCGACGGCTGGCATTTCAATTCCACCGACAAGCACAGACGCCCCGGTTCCATCCGCCGCCCCAACTCGAACTTCATCTGTCGCTCCAACGATTCAGACAACAACTCAAACCCCCACAAGGGAACCAACCGAAACACCATCGGAGGTCCCTACTTCCAAACCCAGTACCATGGGTTCAGCATTACCATCACGTTCGCCAACGGCATCACCAACGGACAAACCCAGTGTTGCACCGTCACCTGTTCCGTCTGGAAGCCAAAGCGAACCACCAACTGCAATTCCTACCATGTCACCATCTGCAGAACCCAGTTGGAGCCCATCGTCAGCTCCCACCTTGGGAGTATCGGATAATCCTACACCCGCTCCGGTTCCCGAATCGTCTGGAGGAGGTTTACCGGGAGGAGGTGGTCTATCCTCGCCGACGGAACCTCCAGCAGAGATTATAACCGTGGAGTTTGACGATCTACCAACTACTGATAGTGGCGAATGCCTCGGTGGATCACCAACTGCAATATCTGGTACTTACGAAAACATCCGATGGAACAATTTCGGAGTGATGGATGCCACTTGCTTTGGATGCTATGGGCCTTCCTGTCCGAACGCGGTCAAATTTGCAGTGACCAGTCCAACTGTAAGAAAAGCATCCTTTGAGAGCCCGACGGAAAGAACCTTTGATTTGTTTTCAATGTGGGTGTACAACCCTGTCTTTCCATTCACTCTGACTGGATATGCCGGGGATAGAACGACTCAGATTCATTTTGCCTCCTATCCCTATGTTGGCACTGGATGGCATCAACTCGATTTGTCAGCATTCAAGAATGTTGCCGTATTTGTGATTGAAAACACTGGACCGACATCTGTTTTTGATATCGCCTTTGATGCGATCCAAATTAGATTCAACTAGAATACAACATATTATACATACATGTTTAAATGAAACAGTACTTGATGTATCTCTTTTCTCTTGGCATTTTGTGGCCTTGTTTTCGCTCTCGGTTGAATGGAAAAGATCTTTCCACGTACATCAATTGATACATCGGTCCAAGGTACATACCAGTAGGTACCAGGTACGGGTAAAGTACCGGTAAATCTGCAACTATTTTGTATTTTATCAAAAAGATCTTCCAGCAGTATGTTTAAAATCCATCTAGTCGAACAGTCACGGTGAAATAGAGGCGAGGGGAGGAGCTGTTTAATCTCTTGTTCAGAATAGGTACCGGCATGTGTAAAAGCTCCAGCCCACAAAACAGTACTACCGGCAGGATGATGGTGATGTCAGAAGCATCTCCATTACCAGGGCCGCGCCAGAATTACGAAAAGGGCGTTTTATACTGTACAATGCAACGGGTGGTTCCGATTTTGTTGGGTACCAGGTACCTGGTACTGGTACCGTACGATGTGTGATATTTTCAGCTAACCATTTTGATTTTTTTTTAAAAACAAAAAAGCTTGCACTAGGGCTGTTAAACCAGAAGGGGAAAATGAGGTGTCTGAGTTTCTCCGGAGATTTTACTTAGGGAAATAAAGATGAGCAGAATATTTTGAAATAGAACTGTACGACAAAGGCGCAAGTCTTTTCCGCTGAAATGGGTCGTTCCGATTAAATAAAAATGTGGGTGATAAATGAAGCAATGCAATTTGAAAATACTTTTGTCCTGGATGCTGCAAGAATCATCTCCCCGAACGGTACCAGTACTGACATTACGGCAAGGGCGTAAATCTTTTACGCAAAAGGTCGTTCTGATTAAGTGGGTGCGATAAATGTAAGCAACGCTATTTTAATACTTTCATCAGTTCGAGTAGGACCTATCAGTACTGTACCTGTAGGATATTTTACATGTTCCTGAATCTTCTCATAATTTTCCTTGTTGGAACGAAAATCAAGGTTATTTGCATCAAAGATGGCTGATATCATCCTAGCTCCCTCACCACTGTGTTCATTCATGAAACAGCTCGGAAAGTCTATGGGTACCTGTAACATAGAACTTGTGAATGACAATGCAAGAAGCCATTCACCAGTTTCAAGAGTTGTGAAAAGCCGCGGTAGCGACAAAATTTTGCAAAATCGATGGAAAGCAACTTACCATTCGAAGGATCGTGCAATGGAAACTGCGTATTGCCGATCGCCTTCAATGATCTCCAATACTACGTTTGACTGCTATCAAATCGAGGTCTCTCGTCGAGGAGGACGAGCTCATCAACGTTGGTCATCTTGTGAAAACGTATCATCGTCATCGCTGACGCTGACACAACGACGTTCCAAAAGACGGCCCCGTGCCATTTCGAACAACAAGAGCCCTCCGCGACGAAATTCTGCGGATGACTATGATACTACTACGACTACTACTGTGGTTAAAGCAAAGGATGACTACGCTGCAAAAGTGCGACCCCGCCGCTGTTGGTCATCGCCAGTGGCATGCACCCATGCACCCATCCATGTAAGGCGACTCTCGCCGTCCAGGAGAGAAAGGGAACACAGTTATGACTGAATACAAATAGAATCCATACATACATTTTGGAGAGCGAGAACCCCATAATAAGCTATCAGATAATAGATACAAAAATTATTTTCCCATCATTCGTTTCAGCATTTCCGCTTGTCGTTCTGCCTTGGATTTCTTCTTCTTGACAGCCGTAGCTCCAACGTTGCCTGACGCCGCCGCCTTCGACTTTGATGATTCCTCTGCAGCCAACGAAACCGACACCCCTGATGGCATCGAAGGTCCAACAGAAGATTGAAAGAGGTCAGCATTCAGATAGGCTATGGTCCCCTTGAATTTGGCTGGCGATTTCCAGCTTACAAATACCTTGGCAGCAGGGACCAGGTCCAAGTCGGTCAAGGTCTGATGCGGCAACAGTTTGGTTCGTGGCGGTGTAATGTACAGTTCAAATCCTTCCGATTGAAAGCCTTCGGTGAGTACTTCGTGCCGTATTGATTCCATGACAGAATTGACCGTTTCCGCTGGAAGAAATTGACCTTTGCAAGAACAGCCATCTGGGAAAGTAATTGCCAAGAGTGTGTGGGAATACACCTTTTGCTTCTTGATTTTTTCCAAATCTCTCATAGCTTTCGTGGTAAAGCCCCGATTGGCTTCCTCTTGTACTCGTTTTTGTTGTTTTTGGATGTGACTGGCAATCAATGCAGAATCTTCTCTTGAAGAAGTTGTAGATTGCAGTTGTTGGGCTCCTCTTGTTGCTTCTGCTGCTGGAGGAGCATTCAATACTTCGCCCGGTCGTAATGCCACCCAATTTCGTTCCTTGGCAATTTGATGCTTCTTGGCCAGTTGTGCTTGCTTCTTTTCCAGCGATTCCAAATGGGCTTCCGTGGCACTTTTCCAACCCTTGGGAGGTCCCAATGATTGTCCTACTGCAGCCGATTGTCCATCAAACCTAGCGCCCTGATACACATTGAATCCTTGGCCAAACGTGCCATTTCCGACGGCCACTTTGGTGACGGGCGGCTGAAACTTGGGCAACATATCTGGTTTGCATTTGAGTTGATGAATTGCGACTTGACTTAGAGCATGCCGGACATGTACCAGCCAATCTGTATCTTCATTCTGATCCTGAAGCACCAGGAATGAATCTCCTTGTCCGGCTTTTGACAACAGCTGCTGTTCTTCTTTCAAGACAAATCCGCAACTATAGAGTATATCGACTCCGCCTTGTTTGGATAAGATCTTCTTTTGCATTGCTTGATTCTGAAATCGAATCGAACGAACTTTTTCATTTCCAGGCTTTTGCAAAATGTTATCCACGACTTTAAGGCAGGTTTGAACGCAAGTCAAGGAATCTGCATCGAAGTTACTATTCAGCAGCTTGCTGAGTGCCGCATCCAGCATTGGTTTCCTACTAGCTACAGAAGACGCCATTTTGCCAGCCAGAATTCAATGTAGACAACAACAAATCGACTGATGGAACTGCCTATGATCGATCCATTCATCAGACGATGAGAAAAAATAATTTCAGACGACTTCGACTTCGCCAACCTTCCAAACTCCTCTTGTGACGACTCAAATGACTCACTCGTTTTCTCGACTGGCAGAGCTTGTGGTGGCGTCTCCAAATGACCCTTTGGTTTTACGTACCGCGGTGAATATTCGCATACCCGTATCGGACGCACCATCATGCAGATTGTATTTAAAAGAACGAACCCAAAAATTGGCACTGTACGAACTTCTTATACCTAAGCGAAGCAGCGGAAACATACAATAAAACATTCAATCATCATCGAGCAAAGTAAAATGGCTAGCATCCCAGAATCAGGACTCTCTCCAAGGAACAACAAAAAGTGTATCAACTGTGGCAGCTTCGGGCAAAGTGTGGCGCGACCAGTTGCTGCTTCGTCTGAGATGAAATCAGCAGAGGGTATTATTGCGGCTGAATTGAAGGGACTTTCGATCCAGGAAAGAGTCACTGCCTTGGACGATTTGCATTGTGTCGGTCAAGGTCAAGAAGAAGATCCAGAAGTGATCCGAACGGCTCTAGAGAAATTTGAAGAAGAGGTTCGGAACGCAAATCATCCAGCGTACAACTTGGCAGTGAGGAAGCAAAATCCATACGTCCAAGACTCTGAATATCGACTTCGGTTTCTCAGGGGGGCCCTATTTGACGTCAAGAAGGCAGTCCGACAAATGCTTAGCCTGTTGCAGTACCAAGCTGAATATTTTGGCGTCGATGCACTTGATCGCAGAATTGCTCTGTCTGATCTAAAAGAAGAAGAAGTCAGAGTCATGCTAAATGGAATGTTTCACTATCCTACACAGACGGACAGAAATGGCAGATACGTGACCTACTGTTTCAGCAATGTCTTCTTGGCTGGTATTCCAGCCGAAACAATGGTGCGTCAAGTCGATGCTCTTGTCACTGCCCCTTTGAATCAATCTCATCAAATACTGTATGTTATTATACTCCAGATTCGCTCATGCCTGTATGCCAATTCGTACTTCACCTCCTTTCCAGATTTACAAAAGAAGGGTTTAGTAGGCGTCTACATGGATATAGGTGAACCTGATCAATCCATACAACTGGGTCCAAGGTTCTTCAGCTGGGTCTTCAATTTGATGAAGTTTATGCTTTGTCTTCCTCTCAAGTTTTCAAGTTCGCACTACTGTATCAATGTCGGTAATAGCAAGAATGTGGCAATTCACAAAAGTGTGATTGAAACATTCATAAAGGTCCTTCCTAGTTATGCAAGAGCGAGAACAAAGCTTCATTATGGGAGTGCACTGGAGATCCGTTACAGCCTTCAGAGTCATGGTATTCCGATGGATACTTACCCGATAGATTCAAATGGCAACATTCGACAAGATATGATTGATAGCTCCTGTCTCAAGCACTACGGCATTGATGCTTCCAACTACAGAGGAGTAAAAACACCTCCCAACTTAGATTCGAATGATGCACCGACAGCTGTGATACCTTCGATCGCCGCCTCCTCTCAGCAGAATAGAAGCGGCCATATTGTTCCACTGGAACCCAAACTTACCGATGTGCTTCTTGGGCGTGGAAAACCAAATCAGAACCATCCTGGGAATATCCAACTAAGAGCAATGATTGAGGAATGCCAGGAAGAATATGATGCGATTGGTAGACTGGAGAAGCGTCAAATGATCCAGAACATCAAGCATGCGTGTCATTCCATAGGCACCCGATTTCTGAAGCAACAAGGGAATAAGAATACCTGGGTCGTGGCCAATTCCTCTGAGGCTGATGAGAAGATACGGCAACATTTCAGATGTGCTAGGAAGAAACGGTAACGAAAGTATGCTACAGTTCATGTCTCTCTAAAAAAACGGTGGAGATCCATAGAGATGAAGCTTTGTATTGTTTGAAAAAATTAGGCATGGAGGACATCCCATGGTCTTGCAAAGAACCAAAAATATTCATTTTGGGTTTATTAATGGTTTTAAAAATATTTGAGGGGATGCCGTTTGAGTTATTTTGCTCCCCCCTATTGGACAGATGAATTATCTGCAAAGTACTAAAACCGTGCCGCGCGGTGGACCGCACTCTGTATACCCGTAATATAAAATATTGTGGTACCGCGTAATCTTATTATTCTCCGTTGATCTCTCTATATAAAAAGCATCATAGGTTGAAACTACACCACTGCAACACTGTGCAAACGTACAATCATAATCGAGTAGTGCAATGGCTACCATCCCTGCAAGAAACCATGAAAGCAAAGTCACTTGTGGTTGCCTCGGTCGAACTGTGACACAACCAATGGCTGCTTCGTCTGAGATGGACATAGCAGAAGGTATCATTGCGGCTGAATTGAATGGACTTTCGATTCAGGAAAGAGTCACTGCCTTGGATGACTTGCATTGTGTCGGCCAAGGTGAAGAAGACGACCCGGAAATGATCCAAAGCGCACTAGATAAATTTGAAGAAGAGGTTCTCATGGCAAACCATCCTGCATACAACTTGGCAGTGATGAAGCAAAATCCATACGTTGAAGACTCTGAATATCGACTTCGGTTCCTCAGGGCGACAATATTTGACGTAAAAAAGGCAGTCCGACACATGCTTAGCCTGTTGCAGTACCAAGCTGAATACTTTGGCGTCGACACGCTCGGCCGTAAAATTGTTCTGTCTGAGCTGAAGAAAGAAGAAGCGATGCTCATGCTAAGAGGAATACATCACTATTCTATGCAGACAGACAGAAATGGTCGATATGTGACCTATGTCTTCAGCAACACTTTATTGGCTGGTGTCCCAGTGGAAACTATCGTACGTATATAATCGATCATCTTGTCACTCCACTATTGGGCGATATGGGCATCAATCTCATCGCAAATTTATCACTCTTGTATACACCGCAGATTCGATCTTGTCTGTATGCCAATCAGGTCTTCTCTTCGTTTCCAGAGGCACAAAAGAAGGGTTTAGTAGGCGTCTACATGGGTATTGGTGAACCCGATGAATCCGTACAGCTGGGTCCAAGATACTTCAGTTGGTTCTTTAAATTGATCAAGTTTATCGTATGCCTTCCAATCAAGTTCTCAAGTTCGCACTTCTGTATCAATATCGCCAACAGCAAGAACGTGGCGATTCACAAAAATGTTATTGAGACCTTCATCAAGGCCCTTCCTAGTTACGCGAGGGTGAGAACAAAGCTTCATTATGGGAGTGCACTGGAGATCCGTTACAGCCTTCAGAGTCATGGTATTCCGATGGACACTTACCCGATAGATTCCAATGGCAACATTCGACAAGATATGATTGATAGCTCCTGTCTCAAGCACTACGGCATTGATGCTTCCAACTACAGAGTAAACCCATCTTTCGATTTGGTGCCGAATAATGCAGTGACAGGTGTGATACCTCCGACCCCCGCCTCTTCTCAGCAGAATAGAATGGGTCATATTGCTCTGCTTGAACCCAAACCTACTGATGTGCTACTTGGACGTGGAAAACCACTTCATAATCACCCTGGAAATATCCAGTTAAGAGCAATGATTGAGGAATGCCAGGAAGAATACGATGCGATTGGTAGACTGGAGAAACGTCAAATGATCCAGAACATCAAGCGTGCGTGTCATTCCAAAGGCACCCGATTTCTCAAGCAATATGGCAAGAGGACCTGGGTTCTCGCTAATTCCGCTGAAGCTGACGAGAAGATACGGCAACGATTTAGGTCTGGTAGGAAGGAACGGTAATGATTGGAACTGAAATTCTGGTACACTTAGTGTCCGTCTCATCAACGGCGCATAGTCATGGAGAAGTAGTTTTGTATTTTTTAATTAAACAAAAATAGTTATGTATTATTGCAAAGAGCCAAAACTGTTGGGTTCAACTCGAGCCCTGGCTACAGGACTGGCTCAGAGACCTAGTGCTACCTTCACTAAATGACCTGGCCCATTCACCCAACATTGGGACCCCACTCAATACTTCTGAGACCTTTTTCATCAGCTCGTTTTCTCCTGGTCTCTTCCAATCTTCAGGATTGATCTCTAGTACTCTGCACATCTTGACGACTTCTGCTCGAGATTCTGTCACCTCGTCCTGAAGTGAGGCTTCCCTTCGTTTGCTATCTTCTTGAAGTAACTTGATTTGTTTCTTTAGGAACGACAGCAGTTTCTTGTTCTTCTTCTGCATCTTCTTGGTTTGATTCATATAGACTTCATGCACGTGAAAGGCACGACAAAGTTGCTTCTGGTTCGCCGTGACATAAGTTGGCAGCGGCATATCTGTCTTCATTGCTTGTGTATACGGTGCCATGCTGGTCATCGCTAACTTTTTCTTCAGCTTGCTCTCCAAGTTTGTTAGCTTGACTTGCATTTGCCTAACGTTGTTTGCATTCTCTGCTCTTCTTCTCTCGCCATCTTCTTTGGTGCGTTTCAGCAGACTTGCAACTTCTTCTGGTGTTAGCCTGGACAAGTCCACAATAAACTCTGCAGACGATACTGGTTCAATTGTCTCATCATAGGCTTCGGTTTCAGAATGCCCCGACTCGTCTCCTGCTTCGGAAGCATCCAAGAGTCGGTCAATTTCAGAATAGGACCGAGTAGGGATGTTTGGTTTCCGAATGTTTGGCTTCAGCGCAACCTGCTTTTTTGAAACATAATCTTGCTTTGCATTGGAAGACGTTTGGGCACACCCTAAAGTGTTGGATTCGGTAACTGCCATTGTGGTGACAATCATTGGACCTTTAAGTGCGGCTCTCTAACGGCTCGAGTATTATGATGAGTGATTGCAGTTGCCTTGTGTTGAAGTTGACTTGTTGATCCTCAACCAAGCTACCAGTACGATAGTTAGTTCCTTGTTGGATGATTCTGACCGGAATAACAATTCTTCGCATGGTTGGAGATGCGGATGATACATCTTCAGCATTTGGGGATGCGAATTTTACTGTACGTACATGTACGCTTACTACCTACGGGACCATTCAGGTTTCTACAATATCAATGCGTAAGATTTTCCACTGGCGCGCGCGTAACACTTTTTCGTATCATGCTGTACCGGCAGGTACAATACTGATATTGATGAATATGTAACGCTCAAAACCGTCCACCCGGTAGTCATGACTACAGTGTACCAGTACCGGTATAAAGCCGCTTTGATTACACGCACGAACACATGACGTCACGAAGATTGGATTACATCGAATAAAAATTTCAAAATTCTCAAAACTGAAAGCCATCTGTTTCGATTTTGAAATCGAGAACCGTGTCAAGAACATCAGGAATAAGTCAGTCTTTCGCCATAGTATTGTAATTGCAACGCAGCTGCTTTAACACCTTCGCCATGAGATCTCCAATTGCCTTCCTCCTTCTACTCCTCATCTCTTCTGTGGCAGGATATGCTCGTCCATCTTTTGTGACACCTTCGAGTCTTCGCAAATCGGATCCTCAGCGCTTGCTGCGACGTCAAAATGAGTACGCTCAGCCCAACTCTCGGCGTGGTCCTGTTTCCAAGCCAATTCCTGAGGCAGTCCACAATACGCACCGTGTGGAGCTTCCTGGAAAGCACAAGGATGGACCATGGTTCACCAAGAATCAGCACAAGAAGGAGAAGAATAACAAGAAGGGCAAGAACGAGAAAAATGACACCGGCGGACGAGCTTTTACGTATGGCAAGGTCCCCAGATGGTAACGACACCATATCTCGGTTTTGCTAGTTATATGGTGTTGACTGGGTGATGGATGTTGGGTAGCGTCGAACTTTTTCATTCCATCCATCATTCCATGAAAAAAGCTATCGATTTCGCCATCCGTGTCTTTCCAGGATGTCATCATAACAAGTAAATCTGGTCATGTATATACCAGCAGAGTGCGTTCTGCTTCATGGATATGATTGATTGAGTTGCATCGTTTTTGCAGTTGATTTCGTCATGTTTTCAGATTTTATGGTGATGATCGATGTCAAGTGTCAATCACCAAGCAACAACCCATTCAATCATCTTTGTCTCTGATCACAACGATTGTGTAGATATGGGAGGACTTGCGATGATTCATCGAGACCTGCAGAAACAATCCTCTTCCGTTGCGTTTTCAGGACTTTGAAAGTACCCTTGCACCTAGTCTCATTACATGAATAGGATCCGACAATTTCAACTGGTACGAGTACTATCGAAGAGGAAGAGAAATCAGCTGCGACTTGCCTTGGACTCGTGGTTACCTCAATGTCACAGCTGTAGTACCGGTATGTGTTTTCGCCGTTGCATGATGATAGGAGCTACGACTCTTTCAGCAACTCGTCCACTAACAACTGGGGCAGCGGGCCAACTGATTTTGTCTCTCCCTTCTCCAAGCTAACGCTATTAGTCTTCTGAACCCACTTTTGCTATCCTCAACTTGATCCCACTTTTCGCTGGATGATGAAAGTTCTTCACCATCGGATCATGACCTCATGCATGTGATTGTTTTAAAAAAGATTGATTTATTATTCTTTCGTATTCGTAGGTAGAAGATAGAAAGGACACCACGATCTGATGACTCATGTTTTGTACTCGGGAAGTCACTATGCAACATTTTGGCAAGAGGATCACACGGTCATGTTTCAGCTTAAAAATAATTATTCAAAAGAAGGCATCGTATCTCTTGTTCCAGCCAAAAGAAACTCCTGAATTGCTTTAACTAAGTAAATATCAGATGCTAAGATTCCAAGATCAACCGCATAATTCTACTTAAGTACCCATCGATGTGTCACCATTCATTTATTTATGCTCTGATGTTTAGTTTCGTTGGGCTCTACCCGGTATCTGTTACCGTCAGCAAAAACAAGAACATATTCATTTAAAAGCACCGGCGCTTCAGTTACACCTTGCCGGTACTCGTGGGTGATGGTTGATTGTGTTTCTTGTAGGTACCGGTAGGGACAAAAACGAGTAAACGAAATTATTACTCTCATCAGCTGTCAGAGATACAAGGACATTTCCTGTCCTCTCATCTTTCCAAGATGCTTGCTTCCAAGAAAGTAGCATCTAAACGGATATCAAGTACCCCATGGATTGGTAGTGTTGGGGGAGAGTTTGACGACCTCAAGGTTGATGTGGATAGTGGGAGCCGAGTTGGTACATCATCCGAATTGAAAGCTCATTGCATTGCTGAGGATGATGACTACGATGTGAAGGTCACTGCTGTTGGACTTGCGGGTATCAATCTAACCAGAGACAAAGACGGTCCAATAGCCCCCCTTCAGGCTTCCCAACTTACCCCGGCCTTCTCTACTGAACCGAGTGTATCCATTCGGTCGGGAACTCGCAGATCCACTTCGAGCAGACGTGGAGCCTCTAATAGGGGAGGACTATCCATGTTTACTAATCATACCACCACCACAATGGTTTCATCGACCTATCATTCCTCAGATTTGGACAGTTTTTCAGAAGGAGTACCAGACAGTGAAATGGATTCAGAGGATGAAAGTCTGCAACCCAGTACCGATTCTGGCGATTCACGAGATGGTGACGATGAAATCAAGAGCATCTTATCATCGGACTTTGATTCCCTTGATCTAGAATTCGACGAGGCGCGACATGGCAGTGAGTCACTAGATGATGAACCTTCCAGTTCAGACGACTCTTCTAGTTCAGACAGTTCCGTTTCAGAACGAGATGAGCCAACATCTCCACAGCACGAGAAGCAAAACAAGGCAGAATTGAGACCTGATATGCGATGGAACGCCTTGGAAAGCTCTCCAAGTCTCAAGTCAAACCCCTTCGCGCCACATAGTGAAATGATTTCCAACTCTTCCCTGTTTGTTCAAGTTGCTGAAGATGAAGAGAACGACCATCGCAAGAGTGGTGTTGGAGGCGGGGGCTTTGTTTATATTCGTGGCAACGGTGATGACTATGTAGACGAAGAAAATGACTATGTAGCCGAAGAAAATGAGCATGCTGTTCCATGCAATGATGCAAAGGAAATAAGAAAAAGCAACGTCGCTGATGTGTTGGAATACAGGTCAGGTTCCGAGCACACATCATTTCTTTTGGAATTGGACCACAACATGCAACGAAATGTTAGCGGATTGACACTTCATTCAGGGCTAGGTAGGCAAACTTCCCATAGAGCCACGAGACGAGGAGGCAAACGAAATCGGGCTGCGGATGCGTGGCAGAACGAAGTTTGGAATCACGAGCCTGATGTGCAGCGCGAAATCGATGGAATCCCAAACCAGCCCCTTCCACCACCGCCACCACCCTCTTCAACACCACCGCATCCATCACAAAACAAGAAAAATTCGATACTACGGAGTCAATCATACAGTTCCAAAGTATCCAAAGTTTCGGCACTGTCAACACCTACAATGGAAGGAAGAAAGTCTGTGACCCCAAGACATCTCAGGAAACATTCCTCCACAGGATCGTTTGAATCAAGTTGGGACAGTACTATTATGTCATCGCCAAGAACTGCAAAGGGCACCAAGAAACTTAGAGTGGACGGGGCAGAAGGCTCAGGAAGGGATGCCCTATCTTCACCTGAAAATCCTACGTTTCATCCAGGAAACCGAGCTTCTGGTGTTTCGTTGGACATTCCTCCACCACCACCTGCTCGGCATGGGACCCCCCGTAGCCAACCTCCGCCGCCACCGCCTCTGCCACCGGGTACTCCTGACACTCCCGATAACCGGAGCAGCAACAACGGACGACCTTCGATGGTGAACATGAGGGAACTATCCAAGCTGTCTACGATCACTTCCGATTCTGCTCTTACCACCCCAACTGTCAAAGAACGCCATCGGAAGAATCTAGAACGTCTGAATGACCAGATGAACGCGGCCATTGGTGTGAGTCCTCGATTGAGAGCTACCAAGTCTTCTGGAAGTAACTTGTCGATTGTCGAACGTCGAGAATCAGTGAGGCTGTTACGAGAAAAGCTACAGCACAGCTTCCGGCATGTGGTCTTTCCCGGCAGTCCCAAAGACCGGAAGACGAAGGGGAATGCATCCTCAATTCCCTCGGTTCCTGATACGCGATTGCGTGAAAGTAGTTTCAGCCCCACAAGTCAGTACAGGCGTACTGCTCGTAAATAAATTTTTGATTTAATAACAACAAAAGTGTGCTATTATAAACTAGTTACTTTAGCTTTCAAAACTGATGATGAGTGCATTCATTCTTGTCGTTGGCACTCCCATCTCATCTCTCTCATACTGTATTTGAAATTCTTCCTCCAATGCATAATCGGAAGCGTCTTCAGTTGAGGCCGTCCCGCGCGAGAAAATTCGGCCACCAGAGCGTTTGTACTACCACGTATGTAGAAAGTTTTTACTCGTGCTAGTCGGCGAGCGCCAAAAATCTGTAGCATCCCGCGCCCTGAAAGAAAAAACGCATCAGGAAATAAGCTTCCTCTCCAAGTAAAGTATTAGACTCCCTCTTTACTTCACCAAGCAGCCAAACGAGATGGACGATTCTGCATCTGCATCAACAAGTACCTTGCCTCTATCCCAACGGGAAGCTTCAGCTCCGGAAATTGCACCGACAGATAGCACAGTCTCCAGCACAGTAACTGAAGTAACTTGCAACGTTTCAGGCGAAACTACTCATACTCGGACTAGAGCTTATATTGCGCAAACGCCCGAGAAACGATATCGCTTGAGTCAGCCCTTCCCAAACAATTCGATGCGATCACCGTCTACCGTTATTGGGGAAACCATTGGGCGAGTCGGCGGGAAAATATTCTCCTGTTTAAATGGTGATAGTGGCTACGTTCCGACCGCTGACGAAAATGATCTTCTTTTTAATGTTCATCACAAGACAGCTGTCAAAAGGGCCTTGCACCAGCACTCTTCTCCGACTAGATCCTTTCCGGAAGAAGAAAAGAAGGAAGACCACAGGCTTCACTTAAAGAGGAATCCCAATTCTTTACTATCGAATCAGGATTTTCCAACATGTGATGGATGCCTGAAACGAATATACCCCACTGATAGTGTCACCAAAGCATTTTCTCCTACCCGGACGTTTCATTCTACCTGTTTCAAGTGTTACTTGTGCAGTTCACAACTGCGATACCACGGCCAAGAAGTCTGCATACGCATTCCTGATGAATCCGATGAGGGTTCGTTTCGTCACATTCTCTTATGCCAGCCTTGTCAACAGGCTTCTCAGTCGGAATACTCCGAGAAACGCCTCTCCACCATTGCTGGCACACGAGTGGCGCCAACCGACAATGAGTTTGGCGACGTAGATGGTGTGTTGGATGAAATTGGTGACGAGTTGGAGCAAGTCATGATGCACAATTACGTACCGACTTGCACCATTTGCGGAGGCAATTTTCTATCATATGATGGACACAAGGTGGTAATGATGGGGCCGACCTTGAAGTTTCACTATGAGTGCTGGGAAACTGGAAAGCCAAGTGTTGATGTTCAAGAACGTAAGCTGGAACTCATTCAGGCAGTCAAGTATCTTCCAACCGAACTGATTCTCCGCGTTCGTAGTGAAGAGTCCATTACCACCTTGTACTTTGAATGGAAGAATCGGCTAGAAGACTTTAAGTCGATGGTGGCCGAATCCAAAAGGACCAGAACCTTGCGAGTGGTGTATTCCATCAATTTGAATACCAACACTGGCTCGTCCAAGCGACCATGGGTACCTCTTAGGTATCTGTATACCTTTGAGTTGGTAGGGGAGCCACTTGGAAAGGGTATGCTTGCAGATTCTACCAGTACTATATCACGAAAATCTAATGAAGATGTGGATGTGATTGGGTGCATGCGGGTGTCGCGATTTGAGCTTCACCATGCCCTTCGCATTCGCATACCAATCGTCAAGGAGCATGGACAAGATCAGCTGGACCTTCAAAAGTCGGTGCTGGCAATAGACCTGATTGATGAGTAAGACTAAAATTAGATCAAGTTCTTGGGTTCAAATCTATGTTGAACGATTCAAAATCTTTTAGCATCGTTACTTGGTGCATGTTGTATGTGGTCGGAATGGATTGCCATGTCCCTTCATGTGAAACAAAGTATCGTGTATTAGTCCTATATGTTTGTGGTACGTTTTGTTTTATTTCTAATGGTTGTGCTCATCTAAGCTCATCTTTCCTGCAGATATGGTGACCCCCGCAGAAATCAAGCAAAGGCGACTGAAGGTTTCGGTAGTGTTGTCACTGTCAATGTCGAACTCATGTTGACAACGCGCTTCGAAGGGCGTGTCATGTGTCATATTCTGATCAGACCAAGGATCAGATCACTTGTGAGCGGTAGCAATAATAGGTACAGTACACACGTGGAAATTTTTCCAATATCACAATTTCAACATCAAACTCGACCCTGTTATTATGACGACCCTATCAGTGAGGCTAAGTGTTTATCGCGCGAGAAAAAATATGGAGGAATTGATGCATTCTACCGGTAGGTGGAAGTGCTATTTTCTCATGGCGGCCGAGAAAGGTCGAAATATCCCGAGCGTCGATAAGTACCCTTCTCGTTCTTCAAGACATCAATCTAGAGGACTACTTAACGCCGCGCTGAGAAAGTGCTCTTTGGCAACCACTATCACTAGAGGAAAATGAAACAATATTCATCCACATTTTCGCACAATAATTTTCCATCCGATTTTGTAACTGAGACCATGTCGACAGCAGTTGCAACACCCATGCAACCCCCCATGATATCAGCAGAGACTCCTCATCAAGTGCCATCAGCGCTTTCGGACACCATTAGCAGAAAAGTCCATTTTCCTCGCAACATGAAAACCGTAGTCAGCGTGCTGTCACGAAGGGATTACTCGAATTCAGAGCTGAGGGAATGCTTCTACACTCCTGACGATCGACATCGAATAGAATGCGAAAGGGAACGCCTTGTAAGACGTTTTAATAAAGAGCCGAACAAAAAACATCTGCACTCTTCTCTACGAGGTTTGGAAAATTCGACAAGAGAAGGAAGCGTACAATCAGAGAAGCGTGTTTGGGCAGTCGTCGACAGCGTCCTAAATGAGCAAGATGATCAGTTGGAACTCCGTGAGTTCGATTGCTATCGAATTGCATCCGCTTCTCAGTCCAACTCGACAGAAAGTACACTATTGGCACTTCGTGCTGCAATTGGCGATCAACTAGCTGCTTTCAGTATATATCGTGACTGGGCTTCGGACAACCGAGCCATTTTGAACGCTTCAACCAAGGGTGACCGATCTTGCAAATGTTAAAAAGAGAGACGATGACGGTATCTACGTTATATGTTAGCAGCGTCTATGCATTTAGGTGCAAGCACAATAATGCGGGACGACTGACTCCCGCCCCATGGAATTTTCACTAGAATAATATAAAATGCATTTACATATACAACATTTTGAAGTTACCCATTGGAGACTCTACTATCTATAGCATTCCTTGACTGCCTACGATGGTGGAGTGGAAGGGGATCTACTACAAGTAGCTACTGTACCTAGATTACATCGAAATGCTGATGAAGCTCCGATCTGTAGAGCCCAGCACGCATCGTAAACGGCGTATTTTTTCTCGCTTCTAAACATTTTGCTCCCGCATTCTGGTCGCACGCAATAGCAGAGCTGCAATGAAATCATGTAGCCGAACTGGGTACGGTACTGTGCTGGTAACTTCAACTCCCCCATCATTCCTTACTGGCAGCTGGGAATTTAGGAGACAATGTAGTAGAATAAACAAATAGTATATCTAAATTTACAAAATCGGTCTACAATCCGTTACACAACGTGAGAAAATCACAAGAAGGGGGCTGTCCCAGGAGAGGCACAAAGCTGAGGTCCATCCAACCTGTTTAGCAAGTTCAAACCCTCACGAGCGACGAGTCCATCCAAGTTGCGAGAAAATATATCGCCATAGCTTCCGCTTTCTCGAACGGAGTTCTGCCACATTCCAGTGAGCTCGCTTCCAAACAAGTTTGTGGTGGGCATCCGAATGGATGTTTCGGAAGTGATTCCTCTCTCTTCAGCATTGAACAAGCCATAAATGATCCATCGAATCAAATCTGAGAACTGCTGATCATCAGACCGATGCATCATACTAAGGGGTTCTTTAGTGTATCTTTTTGTTCCGACAAAATACTCATCCATTTCCATCAATGTTCGATTCAACTTGTTGGATTCGTATACCAACGCGTTGCACTCGCTCGCCAGGTGCTTCTGAAGTCCTTCCGCGTTCGACTCGGTCATAAGGATATTCTTGTCGGGGACTCCAAGTGCAACAAGTGCATCATACCACGTTGTGATTTCAGAAACACAAATGAGAGTATCTTCACAGGTTCCATCGAAAATCAGGTTTGCGGCACATCGGCCAAATGGCTCGTAACCAGCAAAGATCATCCCGTCATAAAAGTATGGTGGTGAAAAGTCGAATGCGAAGCCTCCACTACTGGAGTGTTTGATCTCTCGTTCCAATGTACGAGTCTTGCCGGCGGCAAGATCAATATTGCCGCCCTTCACTGCAGTAAAGACCTCACTAGTAGTCCCAGTAACGAAATCAACCTTCGGCTGACCGTTGAAAATGGCGGCAGCAATCGCTCGGCAAATATCTACCTCCAGTCCTGTCCAACTGTTTGTTTGTTCATTGAATTCGGCAAAGCCAGTTGCAGGGGAAACGGAGCATACCAAAGCACCCCGTTGAATGATTCGCTCGATCTGTCCTCCTTGGCTTGGTCGGTCACCGAGGTCTCCAAATGCACCGAAATCCATCGCCACAATCAGGCCACTAGTTCCGTCGCATACAGTGTTCATTGCAGGCCTGGAGAAGGGCATGGATTTGTCCCACAGCTCACCAAAATTGCCATTTGCCGCCACGGCATTTCGAAACATATCGTCAAAGCTGTATTTTGGATCATTGAATACAATCGTTGACTCCATAATACTTGCACTTGCTTGTGTGATTCCGGATTCCTCAGCCTGAACCAGTGCTTCAAAGATCCACGAAGTCATTTTCGTCCATTGCCGATCGGCCGATCGAGTCATCCACGTCTCGAAACTCTTCGAGTGCATGCGCTCGCCAACAGCAAATCCGACACTCAAGTCATATCCCAGGCGCACAACATTTTCTTCCAGAACTTCAAATCTTGTTGCTCCAAACACGTTGCAGAGTCCATTCCCGAGAGCGGGCACTGATGAGGCAATACCTTCTGTTCCAACGATGTTTTCTGGAGGAAAAATGTTTGCCACCACGTCGTACCAAGAGGTCAGTTGGCTGACGCAAATCTTGACACCTTGACATGCCGGAGAGATGAAATCATAGCTATCAGCACATTCGACAAATCGAGGAATGCCAGCAAAAGTCAAACCTGCAAAATAGTAAGGCATGGCGGCGTATGAAAAGGGCGATTTCGATTTTTTCTGTGAAATATTGTCATGCCACCAGTTTGTTAGAAACGCAATGTAATACATATGACCCACATTCAGTGCTTAGCATCGTCTGTTTCTGTACCTCATAAACATCACGATTCGCAAGAAAGTCAGAGCCAAAGATGATGTCGTATTTTCCATCGTTAATAGCAAGGAATCGGTTTATCCCAACTGCACTACCCCATAGATCGATGGAATACGCATCTTTGTCACCAAGAACTGCTGCCGCAACTGCTTGACACTGTAGCACAAATTAGTTGTGAGAAGTTTATTCAGCCGCATAGGTTTCCACATTGAGAAGAATTGACTTACCTGCGCTGCAAAGAAATCAGACATGAAATCAGACTTGTATGTTCCGCAGATAACTTGCCCTCGTTCCATGATATTGAATAGTGTTTGAGATCCCGAGATTTGCTTGACTGCATCTGGATCAGTACAATTTGGGAATCCAATGTAAGCAAGCGTGTTGCCCAAACTGGTACTTCGCTCAACAACTCCACACTCGTTTTCGACTGTACTCGCGCACGTCCCTTCACACTGTAGGTCGACCAACAAACTGAAGATGAGAGATTAACCAGTTTTCATTACGAAAATAGCTCAAGCAAACCACTTACACAGTCGCCGCCATCAAAATTGAACTGAGGAGTGTTGAAAGTGACATCGCAAAATCCATTGCCACTTGGAGGGATCTGGCACAGAGTACCCGCCTTGTCTTTTTCTCCTTGTTCGCAAACGCAATTACCTCCAGCCATGCAGGTGCCGCCGTAGAAACAAGGGTTTGTTTCGTTGTTACAGCTGGAACAGAGAAGTCTCAGATCGATTTGGTTGTTTTGCAGATTCGGTCCTTGAACTCTTCCACGATCGGTCTCGGGAGGGTTCGCTTCAAGCCAATCAATTCGGGACGGATCTGTGGAATCTTCGGGTGTGTTGATGTCGATAGCTCCAGTGATGAAGGATACTCTGTAATCGGACCAATAGCCATGCGAGTCGACCAAGAAATGCTGTACCTGTTCTTCAGTGACAAGAGCGTCTCGTACAACATTGACCCACCGCCTTCCATTGTAAAAAATGATTTCTACAGGCACTGCAACGCCATTTTTGATACCACCGCCGATGTAGGTAGGTCGATTGTACTTCGTTAGGAGTTTGGGCGGCGCATCAGTTTCATTTCCTTCGACGGGTGCCATTAGTAGCTTGTATTGACCTGCCCAAGTTCGGGATCCTCCAAGATTATGCAGGGGGTTGACCTCAAGGGCGCCGCAAGGCATGAAGTAATCACAGCGGTAACCATACCAGCCCTCGTCGCAAATGCATCGGTTATTCTGTTGTAAAGAATCGAGGTAAGGTACAATTTGTCTATACACAGTAGTAATGCCAAATAATGATACGTACCACACAAGTTCCTCTGCCACAGAAGCTATCATCGTACATGCAATCATAACACGTAAGGGTGAACTCCGGCATTGGCAATTCTCTTCTATCTCCCAATTTGATCGTCCACGGCTCGTTACCCTTGACAGATTCCAAAATGTTATACGAAGCTTCCGAAAGAATGTTTTGATTTGGCGATTGAATCAGCCAGTTTTGACAGTTGAATCGACCCCCTTCATCAAACGCAAAGACCCACGTCGAAAGCGCATCGCAAAAGATGAACGAAGCAGTAGAAGAATAGTTGCCATGTCCAACTTCCACATAGGCCGCACGTTTGCAGTAGCCGTTTTCTCCACATTTCTTTTCAAAGAGGCCACTGAAGGTGGCTAATCCAGGATGATAAATGTCATTAAATTGCACGAAGACTGTATCGCAAACAAAGGTGCCCGTTCGCTGCCAATAATAATTTATGGCCCATCCAGACAGCATGGTCACGTAAATGGCAGCTAGGAACGCGAATCGAGGAAAACGACTGTAGCACATGCAGCGGTGTTCTTCTCCAAACTTGAGTTCTTCGCGCATCGACGCAAAGGTTGCAAAGGAGTGGATGGAATGGATGTCAAAATCTCGATCTGTTTCCAGGTCCAACCCTCCTTCCAGTGCCGCATGGGGGTTTATCATCTTTTTGGACTTTTTCTTCACATGCAACTGCTTGATGCGTTTACGTTGTCGGTTGCGTGTTACTCGTTTCAACTCTACCGAGTCTCGGACTGGTGCTTCGGCAGAGGGCTTCTTGCCGTCCTCCACTTCTTCTTGCACCAATACGGGGGCCTTGGCTTGAATCACAGCCGTGGCGTCACGTTGGGCACTCAATCCAAGGTAGCCCCTACAAAATAATCCAATAGTCCAATAATATTAAGTTAGAACGAAGAAGAAGAACAATGTTAGCACAATCACCACAAAATCACATTAGTGAGGCATTCATTCTTCTCTCAATAATTCATTCGTACCATGCAGTCAACCAAAAGAAGATATTGTCAATGTTTGTAACGAACTCAATCGATGTAAAGTCCAAAAGTAGCTGAGTCACATCGGACTCTCGCACAATCATGACAAATGTGATGCACAAACCCAAAATAGTAACCAATAGCCGTGTACAGAGTGATATCAACCATCGCCGGTACGTCACTTTAGCATTCAAGTTCTTTTCCAGTTCTTCCTTGTCGTACCCCATGAACAACAGGTTTAGGGAATCCTGCAAATCGCCCTGACTGATCACAATGATAAAGAGCGCAATGACTTGGATCGTAGCCGTTCGCGAATTCACACTGACGGGTACTCCTAATCGATTGCCAGGGTATTTAATGGATGCAAAGTCCAAGGCCAACACCGACAGAGTAGTGACTTGGATGGCCACCACCGCAAGGGCAGTAAACATGGATGTGGAACGCCACTTGGAGAATGCCAAATAACTAAAGGTGTCTTCGGGCAAGAGATTCAAATCCACACCTTCTTCTTCATCATCATCATCATCGGCGGCGCCATTATCATTCGACCTCATCGTTAGACTACCCTTTTCCATATCGCTGTTGTTGTGGCTGTTATTGTTTTGTTCATAGATTACCGGGTGCAAATGATCCGCAAACTGAATTTTCCTCCCCTGCGGATGATACGAAGCACCCACGTTGCTCGCTTCTGTCACCCCGGATATGCCTCGATACAAGCCTGGCTTATTTGGAATAACATCGTTCAATGGTCCAGAGCTCATCATTCCATCGGAACCACTACTATCAAAGGACCTCCGGCTTTGATTGTTATTGTCTGCATTTGCATGGTGGCCATTATTACTATTATGAGCATGATGATGGCTGTTATGCTTGGTGTTTCCCCTTGTTATTCCAATATCGGCGGGTACTGTGATGGGTGCAGGTGCTTGATTTCTCAACAAGGAAATCTCTTCTTTGAGCAACCGAATTTCCTCTTGATGATCACGTGCTCGGCGATCCATTTCCCGTTTCAATTGGGAATCTCGATCGTTTAACAATCGATGAAATTCTTCATTCCCTACCACCACGCCACCGCTAGTATTACCACTGCTTCCACTCCCGCCACTGGAAAAGGAAGCCGTCCGATAGGTGGATGCACTACCGGAATGCATGGAAGGACGATGGAAATCGGCCTTGACTGTTTCTTGGCTTATTGCTCTTCTCGTTTTGTCTTTGGCGGTCAAGAGATTGCCAGAAGACACATTTCCCGTAAAGTCAATGGCTGAGAACTGCATTGTTATTATGATTATTATTATTCTGCTCTGCCGTGAATACTATACTGTACTATCGTTTGTACAACAAGAGCGGATAGGTTACAGTATCACGCTGCTCTATAGCTAGAACGTCCAAAATTAAAATTGGGCAAGGTTGAATTTTGGAACGCGTGTTGTCTAGAGTAGTTTTGTATTTCAAAGGCATCTCTTTTTTTCATTTTTTGAAGGTGCAGAAGGTGCAGAAAAGGTGCAGAAACGGCACCACGCACTCGGAATCTTAACTATGATCACAAACTATCTGTTAATTCAGATGAAATAGGGCAAAAATTCAAACATCTTCAACGTATTGTGGCATTTAAATAGCATCTTGATCACCGGGAACGTCATTTAGAGATTGCAGATTGCAATCTCTTAATAAATTGTTCCGTCGCAACTGACATTTGGAGCGACCTTTAGAGCGTAGCGAAAACCTTCGACATTTCGTTTCTGAAATTGCGAAAAACGAAAGATGCGGCACCAAAAGGAGCGAGCCCCAAAGCTATACGATTGATTGATTGGAGGACCAGTCGATTACGGTTAGTTAGTAGTGCGTCTCGTTGGCAGTTGATTACGGTCGGTCATACGTCCGTTTTCCAGCGGTACACACACGACACACACGACACACGGAAAACGGCCAGCGGAGAAAATGGCAGACGGATGACCCATGTACCAATGTCAGATGGCAGTACCTGTACCGGTATGTATGATCGTGAACGATGAAAAATAAGACGGGCCAATGGATTATTGTTGCCATTTGGGATATTACAACCCTATCACGAACGGTTTTGTTAGTGGATAGGAAAGCACGAGATCTTCTGGGTGGTCGTATCTTGTAGTTCTTACCTAGCTAGTGTAGTGGGGTAGCATTTCACTCGATCGTATATATATTGATATTGAAATTTAACTTGAAATTGTATTCATTTGCCTCTGTAATATAACCATCAGTTTCATGCCGGTATAGGTACAGTAGGTCCAACAGAAGAAGTTTGGAGTGGGCGGACACGGACATATGACAGACGTGGATCGGCATCAACGCAAATTTGTGAAACTTCCGCCGTTGAGATTGAAAATATGATGGATACACACACAAAAAAGAAAGGTCGCATGGCATTTGCAGAGCCAGAAAATCTTAACAATGCGGTCCCATCTCCTTCTTCTTCTTCTTCTTCTTGCAACAATCACAGAATGACAGCAACCACTAGACGAGTAGCGGAAAATAGTATAACATACAAACAACAAGACGAAATGATCATGGCACAGCATCCTCCTTGTCATCGTGATGATCATGCTGCTAATCACAAGCACCAGCACCACCACCACCACCAGCACCACCCTTTAGTCTTCTTCCAATCATGTTGCAAGACATTTCTTCCGAGTATGACTCCAAAGTTTACTCCTGCAACGTTGATGATGGAAGATGCTCCCAAACAGCAGTCTATCCGTTTTCAATTGGATCAAAATACTGTTCACATCTTACCAGAAGAGCTGCCCAGCAGCAAGAGGGACCGTAAAAAGTATTTGTTCATTACGGCCGAAGAGCAAGAGGCCACGATATTGGATATGAACGTTACCGTGACGTATTTCCGTCGTTTGTTTTGGTTGGAAGGCCGACCCAAACGGGCCGACTTGGCATCTTCTGCTTGGTGGATGGACCCCGCCGAACAGTCCACGACCATTGGCTTGGAATGGCGGATATGGGACGATGGTCGTTTTGAACGGCGTCGAGCGATGGAGCATGTGGTTCGACAAAATCGTGATTCTTCCAACAACAGCAGCAGCAACAACAACAAGAAGAAGAAGAAGAAGAACTATCCGCATCCAGCCTTGGCCCGCAAGTGCCACGCGATTAGTACCATCTCGGAACATTTGGCACGAGAACGAGCCCAATATGTAATCAATGACTTGTTGGAAGAAGAAGAAGAAGAA